ACTTTAGGGTTTAGCGTACACGTGCAATAACGTATAGAGGTCTGTCCAGTAGATTGGGAATCGAGAACGCGTTTCTAGTTGATACTGATAATAATATTACTAACACCACCTAGAGAGGCAGCGGCTAGAGCTACGAATATCTAGTACAGCGGTAGCATCGAGGAATAGAATAGGACTGATAAAATACTCTTAGAATTTAGGTAGACGGCACTAAAAGCCATGGAATTCATAATACTCTGCTTAATCTGTAAAAAATGAATGGTACACTGCCAGCACTGTAAACTGTTCCGCACCTCCTCTCTGCTAGCCCATTTAGGTTTGATATGTAACTAGATAACTTTTTCATCTTACCACCGCTCTATCAGCCTAGCACAGCCCATCACAGCACAGCCACCTTACCTTATTACAATATAATCGAAGCTTTTCGTCTTTCTTTAGGACGAATAAAATAAGATATTCTATTTCTAACTTTAATAATCTAATATAGTCTTTCGTTAAATATTCTTTAAGATATTTCTATAAGGTCTTTTACTCGGTTTCCGATAATAAGTATAGTAGTCTAAATATAGAGTGTTTTCCTTCTTAAAGATATATTTTATAGTCTTATAATTTATATTTTAGTAGAGTCTCGATTTCTACTTTCTTTTTGAATATAGATCTTAGTCTTTCGTATTCTAATGAGTATTTTATTATCGTATTAGTAAATACTTATACTAGTCGTATCTAAACGATCTTTTTTATATATTTCTAAGCTAATTTTATCTTAGATTCCTAGATTTTCGTAGTGTAGTTATAATTATTAAATCGTATTTAAGTCTCTACCTAGTTAATAATTAGGTTATAATATTTTAACTAAGATATATCTAGTACTATATTATATTTTATATTCATAATGTCGAGGTCTAATTCTTCTTAATATTTATCGATCGTAAGTCGTATTAATCGTAGCTTATACGTGAGCTTAGATATAATGGTACCGTCGAATTCTATAATTACGTCGAATCTTAGTCTTTTAGTTTTCTATTACGATAGCTTTTCTACTATTTTAGTATATACTAGGTTTCTAGTGTATCTTAAGTCGATTAGAATACTAACTTCTTAGTTCTCTAATATTTCTCCGAGAAATATAGATCTAGCGTTAGATCTTATAGCTATATTTAACTTAAGTTATTAATTTCTTCTTTCTTCTTTAGTTCTAACTAGCTATACGCCATTCTTATTAATTTTTTAGCGTTGGCGTCTTCTAAGGGCGTATTTCTAGTGGTTTAGACGTCTCTAATTCTTTTACTATTTTAGTTTTTTAGCTAGTGAAGGTAATCTATTTTTCTATTCTTTAAATTAGATACTTTATATTTATACACCGCGCATCGCGCTATCGATTCTTTATAAACTCGCTATACTTTCACGGCGGTTATATTTAGCTTTTTCGATTAAAGGTAGTCGAGATACTATGTGTGTAGATAGAGAATTAGTCGTAGAGAATAAGTATAAACTATTCTATAGGGAAATAGCTTCTAGATACTAACATTTAGTAGAGTTTTTATAAGTCGAGGTACTTTAACTCTTCGTTCTCTATAGGTTCTAAGGACCGCTTAAACTCTTATCTTCGCTCTAGCTAGGATTCGATTCGTCGTTAGTCGTACTTATATTTCTTTCTCCGATATTTAGGCGATTACTGCGATCTCTCTTATATCGTCTTCCGTAAGAGCTCATAAGAGAGTTTCTTTCGCTAAAGTTATTTATACTTCTCTTATTAGTTCTTACGTTTATTAAGCTCTTACTTTAACTCTCTCTACTACTTCTTAGAAAATCTACTCGAGTTTCTCCTATGTAAGGGATTTCGGTTCTTCACTAAACTAAGCTTTTAGTTCTTCGTCTAGATCTAAATCGAAGTCGTATTACGAATTCGTTATATTATATTCTCTTAGTACTTCTAAGTCTACCTCGGTAATATAAATATTTAAAGTACTCGGGTCGCCTCTTTAGTGAGTATAGATAAAGTCTAGATAACTTCTCTTCTATAAGTACTTATCGTTTTAGTAAATTCTTATACTAAAAGTTATTTCGATCTCTAAAGAGGAGTTTTTTAGTTCGTATATTATATGGCTATACTCTAGCACTAAAGAAGTATAATAAGAATCTAAGTATAATCTTCTTACTTAGTATTTCGTCCGAATATATATACGCGTAGATATAATTATTATTAATATCGCTTTTCTACTATCGATACTTTCTTCGATCGTCACTATTTTACCTTCTACTATATTAGCTTCGGGGTGATCGTCGCCGTTTCCTTAATCTTAGGTTTCTTTTCGGCGGCCGTAATCTATTTTCTTTTACTCTTATAGTCTTTTATATAATGATCTAGCTTATCGTAGCTATAGTAGACGAATTCTTTTTTTCTCTTAAGGTTCGGTCTCTCTCTACCTTTACTTCTAATATTACCGCGTCTTTTCTATACTTAGTCTAAATCTATAGACTATAGTCCGTAATAAGATTTACGTTTTTTTTAGATATTGACTCGCTGCGCTCTTATCGCATAGATTTTTCTAGTGATATAGAGATGCTCGTGCTAGCGATATTCTCTAATATCGTTATCTTCTTTAATAGCCGTAGCTATTTATTTTTCTAGTAACTTTTCTTCTAAATATCGAAGTTTCCACTTAATTTTTAGCTTTAATTCTTCTCGAAAGATAGAAATAGTAATATTATCTTATTAGTCGAGCTTCGTATTTAGCGTTCTAAACTTAGTTATATATTTCTAAATAGACTTTATTTATTAAAGACTTACTATTTTCTTTTAAGCTTTCTTCTCTTTATTCTTCGCCCTAAATACTAATTTTACTATTTTCTTAAACTCTATAAACGTAGCGAAGAGACTAATAGTTTCGTCTTCTCTATTATTCGCCTCGTTCTTAATATAATCTTTAACGAAGAATCTAAGCTAAGCCTCGGTATTACCTTTAAAGTAACTTTCTATAAAGAGTATTTTCTATAAGTCGTTCTAAAAGTTAGTGAGATTCATTAGGATGTATAAGTCTATATAATGAATAAAGAATATAAGTTTAGATTCTACGCTATTAAAGAGCTTAGGTGGGTTACTAATCTTTTCCTTAGTTACTAGTGCGGGTACGGTAGTAGTTATTACCGTTCTTAAGATACTTAGTATTAATCTCGGGGTACTAGTAGTAGTAGATATAGTATCGTTAAGAGATAGTCGTGCTATACGTCGTACTAGTTCGTTAATAGGCGAGATGAGTCGGTTCGGTGTTCCTTAACTGCTTATAGGGGTCGTTCTTTATAATAAGAGTAATAGCTAAAGTATTAGAGATTCTACTAAGGCCTAACTAGGTTAGGGTTTCTAGTAATAATCTAAATAGTATGAACTAGTTAGGAAGAATATAAGGTACGAATAGTCGCTTATCACTAAGAACTGTATAGTCTAATAAATAATATAAGTTGGCTACGAAGAGAGTGTAAACTATCTAGGGGTAATGAGGGTGTATATATAATGCCTATGCTCTGTGCGCTCTGTGCGCTCTGTACGCTCTGCTGGCAGAGCTCACAGGGCCAACAGAGCCAGCAGGGTATATTACGTGACTCAGTCTTGTTCTCTCGCGGACCCTTCTACGTGGCCAATGAATGTGGTGAGCCGCCTCCGTGCAGCCCACGACCGGTCCCTTCTAAGGCTGTGTCTAACAGCGATATTCCACAACTATAAAGAGAACTATTGAAACTATGGAAACTATCTCGTATATAGACCTAGGAGATTCGTAGTGCTCTGTAGTGATCTATTCCCCTTGGCCAGATCACTTCAGATCTTATGCCGTGCTCTATGGTGCTTTATCTTCCTTAGTAGGAGCACTATAGATCACCTTACCTAGTCCACTTGTCCTCGCTAGACCTTCCCTACGAGCTCCCTTTAGCCCCTTAAAAGGTCTATTTCGTAACACTCATATACCCAATGAGTGTGGTGAGTCGTACATATACGACTCGTAGCTGGCTGCTCTTAAGGCTATATCTAACACTATTATAACTTACGGCCCTAGACTAAAGTAACTTTAGAAAGTTCCCTTATTCTTCTAATTATTTCGCTCTCTTACCCCTTCTCTTCGTTTGGCCTTCTCTGGCATTTTCTCCACATTACCCCACACCTTCTAGGTTAATATCGCACTAAATATCTAGGCGCAGCCTTGGCCACAATTTGAGGCTCGGCATACTCTAGCAGAGCGCAAAGCGATTGATAAAAGCCAATAGGCAGTAGGAGAAACCCCAGAAAGTCTTGTTAGCTAAGTATTGGGGAACCGACTCTGCCTCGCCGCCAAGGCACGGCAGATGATTATTTATTATTCATGCCGTCGAGATAGCTAAATTCCCGAAAGGGTAGGCAGCGCTCCCCACATACAGTAGTAATAAAGAAGACGCGGCGCCGGTTGGTTTAAGTTCGAAATGAGAGTAGAAATTCCATTTACGATCTTTGCCTGACCTGAGGCACGCTACCGATACCATGGATCCCATCGACGTCGAAGGAAATGTCAACGTCCTTAGTAAAGACGAAGTTCTCGCCATGCATGCTGAGCAGATCATCGAAGACGAGAGGAAGCACGAGGAGCCAACCTTGCCCAAGTCACAGGTCCGTCGATTCATGTGGCAGGTCGACCTTCACGTCTTGCCTATGCTTGGACTTATCTACGCTGTTTCAATCATTGATCGAATCAATATCGGCAGTGCTAAAGTCCTCGGAATGCAACAAGATTTGAACCTGGGGACGCAAAGATATTCGATCATCCTCATGCTGTTCTTTCCAGGATATGCTCTGTCTGATGTTCCCTCTAACTGGATTCTCACAAAAGTCGAACCACGCTGGTGGCTTCCCTTTTTGACTTTTTCTTGGGGAGCAGTGCTTTGTGGAATGGGATTCCTCCATAGCTGGGGTGCGATGGCATTTCTGCGTTTCCTCCTGGGCACGTTTGAGGGAGGCGTGCTTCCGGGTATCACCTTCACAATTGCCTGCTGGTACACTAGGCGAGAGTTGCACAAGAGGATAGCATTTGCTTACGCTGTTGGCGTCGTCGCCTCCGCATTAGCTGGCATTCTATCCTATGGACTTGGTTCCATGAGTGGAGCTCGCAATATGAATGGCTGGCGGTGGATCTTTTCTATCGAAGGTGGTGCGTCAATGGCAATCGGCCTGATCGCACCTTTTTTCGTTCCAAAGTTCCCGGATCACACGAAATGGATCAAGCCCGATGAACGAGTGTATTTGTACAACAAGCTCGACAGGGATCGTGGAGAGTACAAAACAGCCAAAGTTGTGTGGTCAGCTTTTGTCGAAACGGCAAAAGACTGGACATTGTGGGCACAAGGCACAATCTATTGTTTCAATGTCGGGACAGCGAATGCTACCGCCTTCTTCACGCCAACAATCATCAAGGTACATGAATTTCTCTTTTGAAGTGTCTTGTTGCTAACTCCCCCTAGGGATTAGGGTACTCTGGTTTAGAAGCCAGTCTTCGATCCGGCTATCCCTTCTTTGCAGCTCTTGGGCTTTTGGGAATTACTTCTTACCTATCGGATAAGTATCAAAAGAGAGCATCCATCTGCATTTTCAATTCCATCGTTATGATCGTTGGCTTTTCAAGTATGTCTTCTCGTCCATGTGTCTCTCTTTTGCTAATTTCTCCTAATGTAGTTATGCGGGAAGGCTTTTCCAATGACGTTCGATACTTGGGTATCTTTCTCGCAACAATGGGCGTTCATTCAAATACTCCTGCACTCCTTGCTTTCAACCAGTCCAACACGATCGGATCAGCTGCAAGAGCAGTATCTTCTGGGATCTTGATCGCTTGTGGTGCAATCGGAGGTATCATTGGGAGTCTTATCTTCAGAGGTCAAGATGCTCCTTCATACGGTCCTGGAATCTACACAACCATCGGTCTAACGGCGTACATGGTCATCGCATTGACGTTTATGGTGTACATCTATTGGAAACGTAACATTGCCGCCGATCGGGGCGGCGTTGAGATCGGAGGTATTCCAGGCTTCAGATATGCACTTTGATTGGGCTTACCATCAGACGACAGAAAATCAGGTGCTCTTTCCGCTTACAGAACTGCAATTAAATCGCCGAAGAGTTTATGTGGGGCTCCGAAGATGACTATAGTTGTGTGTTCCTGGAGCCCATGGTGCAATAAGTGCTAGAAGGACAGGATCTTCTTTGACATCGCAACTATCAATTTGAATCTTTTCTCGCCATGATAGATTTTTGTGACTCTGTGGTTCATATAATCCTCTACATTACTCGCTGCATTGTTGTGAGTCTGAATTGACGGTCCTCTAAGACGCCATGGCTGTCGAGCTCAGAGATTGGACTAAAATCTATAATAACTCTTCTATGCTTCGGGTAGAGTTAAAACTTGCCTAAAGCTTCACAAAAGACACAGAAACATAACTAGGATGATTTTTTCCAATGTGCACTGCATGTCGTTCCATGCTACCGGTATTGAAAGCGCCTCACAATGGTTCAAACTCAGTCAATGTCATTTGATGTTCAGCAACTTTGAAAATTAAACTCCCTGCACTTTCAACCGCAATGCCGCAAGGCAAGACGCCCATGTTCAATTTCACTAACTCGCCTGCAGATATCTCTCTGTGGATCGGCTAATGAGGCTAATGCGGGCTGCTTAGCTTTCGAGTCTGATGGGCGGAAAACGCTGCCTTAAACGGTTGCACCGTTGTGAAGAGAGGCCTCGATGTTCTTTCAAAAACTGTAATGGCCGTGGATGTACAGTAAGCAGGACTCTTCAGAGCCTAGCAGGCATGGTTTCGAATACGGACTTACGACTATCAAAATGAGCAGAGGGCGAGTGGTGAATACAACGGTTTTTGCACCACCTTGATCCCGCTTACAAAAAAAACTATTCGCGCCATTTTAGATTATTCGCAGTTCAAGATCATTTAGGAACACCGAGCTTAAATCAGCGCCCTGTTTTCTATCGGGCTATAGATTACCTCGACGTGACTCTTCACAGCGCTGAGATAGAGAAGCAATAGATCATTCCTACGAGCAGGGTTTGTTTTCCTTTGTTTGGCACGTCCTCGCCATCGGCACCATCAGCTGGATCAATGGAATTACTAAGCACTCCGTGGGGAAGCGAGGAGAAAAGGCTAGTGAGGCCTAGTGGCTTAGTGCTAATGCAGTTGTATGGATTCATTAATGTCCCACCGGTGCCATGGGTCTCCTTGTCCCAGAGCTTAACATTAACCCCACAGATCAGGGGTTTGATGTCGTTGGACATGTGGGGCGCCTTGCTATCTGAAAACTGCCCAGAAGCTGTAAACATTATGCCGCGCCTCAAGCTGGTGGGCCCATTGCTGCCCACAAATTGTTAATGGCATGCATCTTATTTATATATCTGCGCGGTATCAGGCCGCACAGTTGACAAAGCAAACTCCTTTTTCAGGCGGGACGACCACTGCTTCAATTCCTGGAAGTTTGGCGAGATGCACACAAAAACTTACTAACATCCATAGCCTGTTACTAACATTTATCCTTCAAGACGGATATATCTCCACGTAGCTACAGGCATGAAGCTTTTCCATCTCACTATCGCCTCTGTCTTGCCTTTTCTTGTTGTCATATGGCTGGTTCATTCTCTAATACATCGCAAGAAAAGGAACCTTCCGCCTGGTCCGCCACGGCTGCCAATAATCGGCAACCTACATCAAGCACCGCCTCTCGACCCATGGCGAGTATATCAGGGATGGACCAAGCAGTATGGGCCCATCTTCAGCCTCCAATATGGTTTAAGCACGGTGATCATGCTGGGGACTCATAAAGCAGCTCACGATCTCCTCGATAAGCGAAGCAACATCTACAGCTCCCGTCCTCGTGTTGTCATGGGTGACGAGTGCGTTAGTAAAGGCTACAGAACTTTGCTTATGCCCTATGGCCAGAGATGGCGCAGCCATCAAAGGCTTCAAGGCGCATTCCTCAATGTCCGCATCTCACAAAGTTACCGTCATCTCCAAGAGCTCGAGAGTCTCCAACTCATTTATGAACTGCTGGATCCAGAAGCAGACTTCTCCGATCGCTATCACCGCTACTCCTCGAGCTTGATATTTTCATTGGCATATGGGCGCCGTATGACTATAGGCGACGAACCAGAAGTAAAAGGAATTGACCAAGTAATGGAGAATTTCCTGTACGCGGCAAGGGTCGGGACATGGCTAGTGGACGCGGTTCCTGCGCTCAACTACCTCCCTTCCTTTCTTGCCCCATGGAAACGTCTCGCTGACAGACTGCACGAATTCGAATCCAAGTTATATGTGGACAATTTAATCCAAGGGAAAGCATCAAATTGCTGGAACTGGTCTAAGCAGGCACAAGAGATGAAGGAAGCTCAAGCTATGTCACAGAAAGAACTCGCTTATGATGTTGGTATTCTATACGAAGCGGGTAGCGATACAACAACGATGGCTCTAGAGGTCTTCACGCTTGCGATGCTCCTATACCCAGAAGTCATGAGAAAGGGACAGGCCGAGCTTGATTCCGTACTCGGATCTACTCACTTCCCGACTTTCGAAGACAAAGACAGTCTCCCCTATGTCGACGCAATCATCAAAGAGACCCTTCGATGGCGACCGGTATCTGCCGGCGGTATACCCCACGCTGTGATTCAGGATGACAAATTTATGGGTTACGACATACCCGCAGGAGCTACGGTGATCGGGAATCACTGGGCCATTCACCTAGATGAGAATGTCTACAAGGACGCTTACGCCTTTAACCCTGATAGATGGATCAAAGATCCCACCCTGCCCCTGGCGGCCTTTGGGTTCGGAAGAAGAATTTGTACTGGCCAACATATTGCGAAGAACAGTCTATTCATTAACATCGCAAGGATCTTGTGGACGTTTGATATAGGTTACAAGGACAAAGTTGTCGAAGGAAAGCGACAGAGGCGCGAGGTGGATCCATTCGCCTTTACCCAAGGATTCAATTCCCGACCTGTTAAGTTTGAAGCACGCTTTATCCCGCGCGAAGGTAGAGGAAGCAAGGTCAGGACAATTTGGGAAAGCGCAGAGAAGGACCTGGGTTCCGTCATGGAGAAAGTACGAGTCGAAAACCCGAAGTCGTGAGTCGTGATCACCGTGAAGTCTTGATGGGAACGGAGGAGATGATCAAGGGTGTTGCTGCAGACACAGACAGAGCGTGTGCCAGAAGCATGGATATTGCTCGTACGTTCAACTTATTCAACCTATACTTCCTTTATCACTTTTCCAGTACTTCCAATTTTTGTGGCTGGAGTTTTCTCCAATCCTTGGCTGAGGGCTTCAACAATACTTATGGAAGTGGCCTTTTCTGGAGGTTCTCCTCGAGTTGCCTGATATTACTCGCTTCAATAATCACGGCATCGCCTTTTTTGCCGCTGAGCATCGAGTGATGCACAATCCGTTGAAGTGCACATTCAGACTCCACTAGATCGGAGTCCTTCATTGCTGCTCGAAGTATGTCCAATGCGTCAAACATCCCATCATTCTAATACCTATTGCTGTAGCCCTTACCTTTGAAAGTGCTTGGGCTGGAGCTAAACCTTTTTCAATCTCTGCGTTTTCATTATTGCCATGGCATCGATTCGTCAAATATCCACTGGCTAAAGGATTATACTCTTTAAAACTGGATTTCGTAACATCGCAGACAAGAAAATAATTCCTGCCACACGCTACGATGGATTGCTTTAAACCCTCCTTGACACACCGTAGACTGTATGCAGCCAAACATATGTAGTCGCTGATGGCAAATTTGTTGAAAGGACCCCCTAGTTCAGTTTGCCAACTTCTTACAAGGTCGTTTCATAGGGCGTGGTCCGATCAGGGCAATGGAGGTACCAAAGATCAATCGTTTCAGCCTTGAGCGTTTTGAGTGACTTCAACAGATTCTGAGTCAAGCTTACTGTTCCATGAGTCAATCTTTTCACTTCTCGAGACGCTAGATGCTGCAACAGCGGCTTTTAGATAGAACCTAGCGCCCATGACGAGGCCTCGATCTGTTCAGTCAAGCGAACCTAGGCAATCCTCCGGTAGACCAATACCGTAGAATTCAACTGTGTCAAACTTCGTTGTGGCCATGAGATTTGAAGAGATCAACCATATAATTGGCGACATATAAGTCATGGGCACGAGCTTTGTCAACTCCTTCACGTCCGAGGGTCATGCTACCTGAGCACAATTATCAATATCTTGTAATTGGTTTATAGCAGACTAGACAAACTGAACACTATCTTGAGGGATTGTTCCCGAGTCTTGATAGCATTGAAGAAATTCAGGAGAGAGCGACCACATCCGCAGCAATTAAAAAAAACGTCAACCCCTGGGTTCAGTCCCAGGAATATGCAACTACGGGATGGCACCTGGATATAAGTCTGAGTTCGATGATATGACAAGATATACGTGTAAGCAGCCGACGATTTTATTCTAAACTCCCTGTTCTGCAATGGCCCAATGCTTTGCTTTCTCTCGTATTTCATTTGCAGTTACTTCTTCTTGGTTCAACTGCATCAGGCTTTGACGGAGTAACCGGTTGATCTTGCCGAGATATTTGCTTCTCAAATCCTTCTCCTCATGCGTCTCAGGATTTGGGAGCAGCTGCAGACAAAGCCATGGCCTGATGCGAATGGCTACATAACCCTGTCCGGTTCCGAGATGACTCGCCACCAAGTCCCCACCGGAGAAGTTGTCGATATGGTTGGGAAAATCGAAATAATTTCGCCGATCCCATTCCATGAGATACAAGTCGCAGGATTGTTCAATTAAGCCTTGCCCTTCCCAGCAGCATGGCGAACCCAAATCTCCTGCAATTCATCGAGCTTATGGCGACCGTGGGTCACCTTGCGGGATGTTGTCTTCCTGAGTTGATGGTTGATCGTCGGCCACAATTGGTAGCAGCGGTAACGATGGTCGTGTTTGCGTCGAAATGCGACTTGGTGTTCTGGTTACTACCGGTGGAGTGTGCCCATCTCTAGAACTAGTAGTGGCAGGTCCGGTGCGCCGTCGACAGAGCCGATCAAATTCTTCCACAACTTCGTCGGTACTAATGTCCATGCCGATCGCGCGGATAAAATATTTGTCCTGCACTCGCTGGGCGGATGCCACAGACTTTTTTGTCTTCGAATGAACTGCCGCATAGATTGACTTATAGATCCCTTGACCAGTGTAGCCGATGAGCCCCATGCATGCTTCAGCAAACCATAAGTCAGGCGATCATCAATATGAGGGAAGCGAACATACCTGCTGTTGGTTTTGTCGCGGTCTGCAATGCCCCTTTACCGATCCCTTTGCCAAACCCAATTATCCCTTCTTTGGCGATACCTTTAGCTGGCTGCACCACAAGATCTGTAAGTCCCTCAGCCATTTGGTGGACGAAGGTTGATCCAGCAACTGCGAGACCACTCTTCCAGTCGGTCACAGCGGCATGATCGGGCACTTCCTGACCGTAGAGTTTTGGCGTATTCCGCAAGCCTTCGGCAACTGCGACTGGGATGTCGACCAAGGATCCCTTTATCACAATTCCCGTAATGTGAGAAATACTCATAGCAGAGGCCCCCACCATCTTTGCAATTTCTTTGCTTGGGCCTTCCATGGGATGGTTTTCGTTACCAGACGCTGTTTGATGAGATGAGGCACGACTCAAGGCACGCTCTTTATCTTTCTGCTTGCGAAGCGCTCGCGGGTTTCTCCAAAACCCGCTCAGAGCGGCCAGGATGTCATACGACATCTCCATCGAGACAGCGAGAGAGCTAGTAAGAAAGTCCCATCTGCGGTTCTCGATGATGAATGGTTTTGATCTGTACAGCCGAAGGTCTTCCGCTTTAATCCTCCGCGCTTGAATCAAAATTTCAGCTGCAGCCCCAGAAATTTTGAGAAAAGTCTTCGATCTTCTGTACACCCAAGTGGCAGGTAATCCCTTGATCAAATCACAACCCATATCGTCGACTGGTAAATGCCGATGGAATGAATGAACTGCAGCCTTGACTCCCAGTTCTGTCGTCATCTTTTCAGCCACAGCCTTTGCAGCTTGTTGAGCCTCTTCGCGTAAGCAATACCGGATTGAGCTGCTAAGATTCTTGCTACTTAGTTTCTTATGAGGGATCGGAGGTGGTCCAGCTCGGGAAGCGGCAACCACGTTACCCCAGAACGGCTGGCTATAGTAGATCAGCAATGAGCGGAACTTAGATTGGAGAAAGAACATTACTCTCCGAAAAATGGCACAATAACAGTTGGTCGGCCGTTTATGAGCCCACAAGCCGTAGTTCCAGCTCCGCCATGGTGAACTACCAAAGAGACTTGTTGAAACAGCCACTCTGCATAATTCAGCAAACGCTATCGCAGAATATGTGATCGAGATATCACTTACCGTGAGGACATTCCTCGAGAAAAAAGACATTTTCACCAACATCCTCGCTTTCCAGGTTGCTCCAGCCTTTCGAGATAATGGCTCGAACACCACATTCATTTACTGCATCGAGCAATATCTGAAGGAGCTTCTCGGGATCTTCTATCACGATACTGCCAAAGCCAATGTAGACAGGGGTCGGTCCCGATTTCAGAAATGTGTCGAGATCAACTGGTGCCGTGTACAGTGCTGGATCTCGACGTATAAAACCGCAGACATCTGTTTCATCTGATTAGGAAAGATTATGCTGAGGCCAAACAGTACTGACCAATATGTTTGCCCCAGTCTTTGGGTTTGGGGACTAGTGCAGGAGACCAGCAGTAAGTGTGAGGAACCTGAAGAGTCTCCATCAGGAAAGGAGCTTCAGACATCGGTACAGCTTCCAGATCGATTGATTTCCTCCAATTTTGAACAATGTCGCCAATTCTCGAAGGGCAGTCAGCAGTGTAACTCGGAAAAGTTGAACCTGACATACCCATTCCAGGTCAACAACTGGACCATGCCGTATGAAATGTAATTTGCTAACTTTGGATCAGTACTGCCATTCCTGATATTCGCTAGAGGATGGGGGAACGCTCGAGTCGGGCTCCATGGCATGGTGAACATGATGTGAACGGGGACTCCAAGTGCTTGAGCACAATGAATGTGGGCAAAGGATGGAGGATTAGCGATTATGGCATTAGCAACGAATGGATCTCCGCTTTCCGAGGGTAAAATGCATGAAGCCCAGCATCCGTCAAGTATCTCCCGGATCATCTTTCTGTTTTTGCTCACTTCTCCTTCTCGTAGAGCTCTCATGCGAGGAAGCAATCCTGGATTCCTGACCATGTACTAGATGATCATTTAGCATGGGTTGCAGTCATCGGGAAGACAACAAGGTACCGCCATCAGTTCCGCTGGATCGCCTCCGATGGAATAAAACTCCAATCCTGCATTCTCAACAAACTGTCTGAAGACATTGTGAGTCGCCAGGCGAACTCTATGTCCATAACGCTGCAACTCTTGTCCAAGAGCAACAAACGGCTGAACATCCCCGCGGCTACCAACGATCTGAATCACAATGTTCAGAGGCAGTCTCCACGCCTCTAGATCCGAAATGGTTGAGTATGCTGGGGGAGGTTCGATAACATCTTCTTCATCCTCGGAGGCCTCAATAAGTTTCGCAAAAACCTGGGCGAGCTTTGAGTCGAGGTTAAGAGAGACACGACCGTCGTCGAGAACGCTCGTGGTATCATCTAGTAGGGCATCAGGGAGCGGTGACTCGGGTTCGTCAAAAACAGGAACATTGTCTGTTTGAACAACAATGTTTGAAGGCTGTGACAATTGAGGCAAAGCCGCAGATTGGTGTGACAACTCTTTTTTCTTGCCCATAGCGGGGAAATTCTGGTTTGGAGTCGAGCCAGGAGCAGCGCATTCTTGGAATTATTCTCTGACGATAGCTCTCAGCGTATTGAGGCGGACAGGAAGGGCTGTGCTAAGTGCTTCTGCCATGTTTCTCCTTGGATTTCAGGCGACAGTAATTCATTCCGCTTGTGGAGAAGCCTTTTGGCCAGCTAGTGCGTCTTTGGGCAGTACGGCCCAAGTACGGCGAAAGCGCGCATTCGGAAGAGGAAAAGCCACACCTTCAGCCCCCAAAACCTATCTGGGGACAACGCGGAAACGCACGGATATCGAATCAAGGGACCCCCAAAAGCAGTTGAGTGCGCAAGCGGAAAGAAATCATCTAAATCATCTAGAACATCAAATTGAGCCAGGGATGTCATTACTCAATATCCGAAAGTCAATAGCGTGATTTGTGTCTCAATTAGTGCTTCTGCCTGAACACAGCCCAATTTGTCAACCGTTGCAAAGAGATCGGAGCTCACCTTTTCAAAACCAGTTCGGCAAAACTCCGACAGGCATCAACCACCAGCTTTTTCGTCCCGGCTTCTTACTTCGCAGGACTCTTGTCAGGCGTCCGTCAGTTCCCCCATGGTTTTGGCTGACTGGTCGTGACCATAACAATAACTCGGTTTCCGTGACGGACGTTCAAGCGTCAATCGAACCTGGCAGAAGCTCTATCTCGGGTGCTGCATATCATGGTTAGGCGAACAAGTACACGGGCCGGTCGTGAGAGTGCATTGTTTGATCAAGTTTGGAGTGAATATCGAGCAATGGGTTTCCGTGTCACTGAGGGCTTAACTTCGTACTCCGTACAAAATGCATTTGTGTCGACATGTTTATTTCGCGGGCCAGCGAAATATGGTCGGTCATCCATGATTTTCGCTCATCCAATGAGATCCCATTTGTTTCCAGAAATATCAAGGAAGACAGCAACACGCCCAGCGAACTGCTTTCCCACCATGATTGTTTGCTCAAGGCCATCTGCTTGAGCCAGAAGGATACCAGTACTTCCAAACCGAGCGAGCGGTGGATGAACGACAACCCAGCGCTTTGGTTTGCCCGCGGTTGTCAGACTAGGTGAATCCTCAGCCAGAATGAATCCGAGCTTTTGTATGAAGAATGCGAGCACTTCGTCATAGGAATGCACTAGAATGGAGACAAGCGTAATTCCAGCCTCGGCTGGGGATGCAGGTGGTGCCGCCATGGAGAAGAGTTGTTGACAGTCCCAGTCTCCGTGATTATTTCGGTCGGGACAAGTGAATGGGAGCTCAGGGTTACCACGGATTCTGCAATGTAACTAGGAGTTTCCGCTGAAGTCCTTTGCGGAAGATAGAGGACTACGAAGTAGATGCTTGTCGTTGTGTAATTTTGCTGTATTGTGAAATCCTCAAACTGCAGCCAGTCTCGGCGGGTTGGAGGGGAGATTGTCGAACTGGAAACAGAAGTGAATTAGAAAGGTTAGAATGTCTGACTGTTCTTCAGTGGTCAGCAAAGTGTGTCACTATTCGGAGAGCTTGTCGTCTTCTCGTTGTCGTTCTGTTCGTCCATGCGTTGGCAAGGACAATATGCGCGATGAGACATTTATTCCCAGGTTGGGATCCTCGCCCGAGGACTTGGCCAGCAAGTCAGCGGAAAGATATCTGCCATGCCTCCAGAATACGGGCGATTATGGAAGCGCGCATCAGCGCGCAATTGTAGACTGGGCGGCAAAGATATCCATGGATGCAATCGGCACTCGATCGCTGGACAGTTTGGCGAAGCTCCACACAGCGAGACTGCTTACAAGCACCCAGTACTGTACAAGTACATCCTGCCGGCCGCTAGTCTTCAACAGGAAGTCCCCGGTCGGTGAATCGCATCTGTCACCGGGGCCTGCACGAAAATCATTTTGACACCAAAGTTTCCCTCCATGGCGCCCTCAAGGACAATAGACGAACGGCTCGACCTACATTCAAGCTCCTCCGCCAGTGACCTCAGCAGCGATAACGAATTTCGGAATCCCCCTCCAAAGCGCAGACGCACTTCGCAAGAGACTGACGAACCTCCACCCACTGCTACCCACCCCACGTCGGTATCCAGAGTGAAAAAGCCTGTCTGTCCGGAGGAAAATGGATCGATATCGGCGACGCGAACTTCAGTCTCTACAACTTCTTTTACCTTCCATTCACTTTCCGTGGCGCCATGGCTGATACAGTCCCTCGCCGCCATGGCCATATCAAATCCGACCGAGATCCAACGGACCTGCATACCTGAAATTTTGAAGGGAAGAGATTGCATTGGAGGCTCTAGGACGGGTACTGGAAAAACAGTGGCCTTTGCCGTTCCTATTTTGCAAAAGTGGGCAGAGGACCCGTTTGGCATCTACGCTGTCGTCCTCACACCAACCCGGGAGTTAGCTCTACAAATCTACGAACAATTTCAAGCGCTGGGAGCACCGCAGAATCTCAAAACAGTTCTAATAACAGGAGGATGTGATATGAGACCACAAGCGGTTGCTCTAGCTAAACGGCCACATATCGTCGTTGCAACACCCGGGAGACTGGCAGACCACATTCTTAGCTCGGGCAAAGAAACCACCATCGGATTGTCTCGCGCGAAAGTAATGGTCCTCGACGAAGCAGACCGCTTGCTAGCCTCCGGACCAGGGTCGATGCTTCCAGACCTCAGCACTTGTTTATCTGCTCTTCCTCCACCTTCATCTCGGTTAACTTTGCTTTTCACCGCAACCATAACGTCAGAAGTTCGAGCGTTGAAGGAACTTCCACGCTCGCAGAGCCGACCCCCTATCTTCATATCCGAGATCACAGACTTCTCTGATTCTGCTCTCTCTTCAAGCCTTGTTCCGGCGATGCTCACACAAACATACCTACAGATTCCGATGACTCACAAAGATGCCTTCCTTCACGTCCTCCTTTCTGTTCCTTCGTTCACGAAAGCGCCTGAGCCCAGCATCATGGTCTTCGTGAATCGCACCAACACCGCCGACGTCCTCCAACGTACCCTCCTCCAGCTCTCCCATCCCGTAACAGCACTGCACTCAGAGCTCCCTCAAAATCAACGAAACAAGAACCTCTCCGACTTTCGCTCTCAGAAGGCGCGGATTCTTATAAGCACAGATGTGGCATCAAGAGGCCTTGATATTCCCGAGGTCAACTTTGTGATCAACTTTGATGTCCCTCGAAATCCGATAGATTACGTTCACCGTGTGGGTCGAACAGCTAGAGCGGGCAGGAAAGGTACGAGTGTCACATTTATTGGGCAGCGGGATGTCACCCTCGTCCTGGCTATTGAGGAGTATGTAGGGAGCAAGATGGCAGAATGGAGCGAAGAGGGGGTCAATATCGAGACACGTGTGGTGAAAGACCGGACGTTAAAAGATGTAGCCGAAGCGAGGATGCAAGCTCTTCGAGACCTCGAGAGTGGGAAGGACGTCAAAGGGTGGCGAAGAAAGATCAAGAAGGACAGGAAACGATCATTTGCCGAATGAAGACTTGACGCCAGTAACGGCGTATTGTTGATGGACAGCAATGATGATTTTACGACATGTGAGCCTGCCCGATGTGGTATCCTCCATGGCAAATAAGCCTGTGGGTGTATGACTTATACCTCTGAATTCTTTTCCTCTTTTTATAATTTCACCCAATGTGTCGCCGGATGTCGTCCGGATTTTCGATGATCATACAATCATGCGCGTTCTCTGTCTCTAATGCATCCGCTCTCAAATACCGGCTCATCAGGTTGGTCATTCTGGGTCAACATCAAGACATGCAAACTCCACATACATCGAACATAGCCAGCTCGGCGGCGTTCTACCTCATCCAGTCAATATCAAGCTCCGCTTTGTATTCACCCTCGTCATCGATGCTGCTGAGAACAGTCTCTTCTCCTGTCCAGGTCGTCGGCGTGCCGTGACGCATACTTGACAGGCTTCCCGCCCTCTCGCTTCCATTCACACTGCCCTCTCTCAGTCTCCTCACAGATTCGTTGGACTGATGTTCTTTCCACCATTTTGCACTCTCTTCAACGACCTTCTCTTCCCAACCCTTGACAGGTCCGATGACCTCGGTGTCCTTCTGACCAGCCTTAAGCACATCCCGACATGGAAGTGACATTGTCATGTTCTCCTTGTTGTTACCACCTGTTAAATCTTTCAACTTCTCTTCACTGGCAGCATAGAGCAGGCGTCCAATATTGCTCCAGTACAATGTCCCCGCACACATAGCGCACGGTTCCCAAGTTGACACCAGCGTGCATGCAGCGAGGTATTCCTGTGTGAAGTGCAGGGTAGCTAGCCGGGCAAGCTCGGTCTCCGCATGTTGGACATGAGAAATGGAGAAGTGCGTAAGCAGGGAAGTGGTGTTGTCAGGTCCGAGGAGCAAGGCTGCAAAAGGCCGCTTCTCGTGCAAAGTCGCAGCAGTAATTTGTAAATCCAAGCATGCTTTCAACGCAGCGTCAATTTGTTCTTTGGTCAAGGGTGTGCGAGTCGGTTCACGAGTAGGAATGCTTGAGCCGGAGACAGGCAGAATTTTGGGGGCGGAGAGGTTTGCTGGTGAGTTCGTTGATGATGCCGGCGTGAAAGGAGCATTGGTAGATGTTGTAGTGGCATTTTTTGTCAGGGTGCTATGAATTGATGAGAAAGAAGGTGTGTTGGACGGCGCTGAGGTCGGAGGAGGTTTTCGATGGGTAGAACCTGGAGAAGGAGTTTTGCTGTTGGCATAGGCTGCGGTGGACTTGAGATATGACTGATAGCTCATCTTTGGTGGGTGAAAGGAGACACCCTTTCAAAAGTTCCCAGCAGCTTGAGGACAGTACTCCTTACAAAACTCGAAAGCACGAGAAGTCTGGTTAGATTACTGACTTGCGCAGTGTCCTGAGGGTTGTAGCGAAATCACCATCAATCAGCTCGCAAGATGCCGACAGCTCCTTCACTATACCAAGTAGATAAACCCCACGTGAATCGCGATGCACCAGCATTGACATCAGGTGGAAGAAGAAAGGCGGGAAGGGCTTTCAGAGTAATGATTCTAAAGCGCAGTAGGCATTATTGGCGGACTGGAGATTTTTCATTTCTGCAGGAGCACCCATCAACGATGGCTCCAAATGTCCACCAATTTGCGCCACCTCTTTCCAGGTGAGAAACACTGCGGAGAGACGCCCGCAAAACTCGCATACGAAAGAGCTGATGATTCGTTGGTCTGAACCGAAAGACTCGCCTAAACAGCCTGTTCCTGGCGCTAGTGTTTCTGCCCCTTGTGGGCTTCCCACAGCCTGCACGCCGCAGAGAGGTTGTATCGTACCCAAGTTTTCAAGAGTCCTAGCGTGCGATTCTGTATTGGTTCGCTGCCCATGCACTTCGTAATGGCGTTGACCACGCGATCGCATCATCTTCAATTAGAAGACTAGTATATCAATTTTGTTTTGTTCAATCCGGTATCTCTGGCGAATGCTGTCGTCATTGAGCAAGGCGACCATCGGTTGAAAAATTTGCCCAATCATGAAGATTGTGTTCTTCTTCTCGTCTTGATATGAACCATCCACCACGATTCGTTGTAGGCCCCCCGTCTTCATTGCACCTACTTCCAACAATTGGTACATCCTCTCTGGAGTCCCTATGGCGATCCCCACTTTGTTTTTTTGCAAAAACTCCACATTCATTTCGAGTTTCATGTGTTTGGCGATGAATTTACCGACTTTGGCATCTTGGGTCTTGAAAACTCGTAGTTGGCGCATGAGATCTGCAGTCCGTATGCCAGACACTGTGAGGACAAGGGTGTGTGGCGTCGCGACCTGGTCGCAGGTAGAAAGGTGGTCTTTCCCGTCTGCTGAGAATCGCACGAGAAAGTCTGGCAGATTCGCGGCAACTCGGTCTTTTTCATAGCTCGTCGTGTCAAGAAAAGCCTTTGCGGGTAGGTATCGGTCTTCTAGTTCCATGGGACTACTTTTCGAAAACCACTTTCGAATGAACTTCGCAAAGTGATCGGCGAGAAGGGCAGGGTCAACGACGGCTTCTAGGGTTGGAATTTCTTCTCGTTTAGTGTCGAGAGCGGTTCGCTTCGATGGAGAGCACGTCTCGATACCGTCGGACTCGTCGAGCTTTCGCTTCTTTCCGCACTCATTGGGAGTCAGCGGATTATTCGCTCGCTCGCTGGGAGCCACCTGATTCTTTCGTCGCTCACTGATCTTTGCTGGCCCTTTCTGCCCTCTTCGAGCCCTCATCTTCGTGCGCGACATCCTGGCGATTAGTTGTTTAGAAAGACAGATGCATGGATTTGCCTGCGATGAACATTCGCGAAGTGGACCCGAAGAAGTTAAAATCGCAGCAAGTAAAATAAATCTTCCTGAGCTGTGTCGATCACCCCGCATTCCGCACCTTGGCGGGACATGTTCGGAAAAGGATTATGGAGTTCTAGGTACGGGTTGATACGGGCTCCCAAGCATGACATCTTGCAGTCGTGGCAATTTACAAACAAAATCAAATGTTGGAGTTCACTTGGTCTGGGGTTATGCGTGCACTGGTTATGCTGGACTCCCCCTTCCTAGGTGAGAATCCGCCCGGCGTCATTTCTGCGATCGATGACACCATCAAGACTAGTCGAGTATATTTACAAGGATGTTCGGAAAGATTGCGCAAATAGAGACTCCTGATCTTCTTTTGAAGGGGAAAGGTCCAGCTTGTCTCTGCACTTCACCGACAATATGGGCGGCTTCAAGGATAGACTTGAGGGCCAGAAGATCGTAGTAGTTGGAGGAAGCACAGGGTAAGCCAAGATAACATGATCCGTTACGCTTCTGCTTTGTGCCATGCATAATTGATAATTGTAGGATCGGCTTCGGCGCTGCGGCGGCTCTCCTTGATTTTGGTGCCAGAGTAACCATCATTTCATCTTCTCCGGCAAACATTGAGGCCGCACTGCAAAGACTGGCGTCTCCAAATGCCAAGGGAGTCATCGCCGACGTCCGTGACGAGGCAACCTTCACAGAAACGCTTCAGTCACTAGCACCTATCGACCACATTGTTTTCTCCGCTGTTGATAACATAATTCGGGGCAAACTAGAGGAACAGGACCTCGATGACGCCAAACACCTCTTCGGAGTGAAATTCTGGGGGGCGGTGACTACAGGAAAAGGTATGGGTCTTGACGGCTGCGATTAAGCGATGGGTCACTTACTGGACATAGTCCTCCTGAAGCACAGCATTGTACGAGAGGGAGGTTCATTGACTCTCACATCCGGGACTGCTGGCATCAAGCCTGGAAAACACGCCGCAATTGGTGGAGCCTTGAACGGAGGGGTGCTCGCTCTCACCAAAGGTCTTGCAGCGGACCTTGCGGAGAAGAAGATCCGCGTCAACACAGTAGTCCCAGGCTTGGTTAAAACGCCTCTATGGGACAAACAAGGGAAAACGCCCGAAGAACAGGAGGAACTCTTCAACAAAGCTAGCCAGAATCTGCCGGTTGGGTTTGTCGCGACTCCTGAACATATCGCTGAGGCGTACCTCTACGCCATCCGAGCAGATTACTCCACTGGAAAGTTGATCGAGATTGGTAGGTGTAGCATGTTAAGTCTTGCGCCGGCGCTGATATACTTCAGATGGGGGTGTTCTCTTATAATGGAGGCTCGATCCATACAAGTGCCGAGCTTGGGCTTCACATTTTGGAAAACACGCAGAGGCATGGACCAAGTTACGCGGCCGCAATCCTGACGAGATTTCTGCAGTGCGGTGGAACTTCTGATTTGTAAGTGCATGGAGATTTACGAACCGACGCTGTCAAGCTCTAAGAGGGTGAATATTCTGAAGAAATGAAGTATGCACTGTGAATGCTATATCGTTATATCCCACCACCTGGTTGGCACAAGAAGTGGACCGGCTTCGAAAACCAACCTATCCTCGTACCTCATACCACTCGCTGGGTCGAAAATTCCGGAGCACAACGGGAATTCAACTTCATTTCATTCACTTCGAATTAACAACGCACCAACTATCAAGGTAGGAACGAACCTATACTCTACAGACGCTCTGAGCTTATGGTCAATGAATGCTACTTCTACTATCGTACAGTCATGGAATTGCCTGGTTTCAAGTCCTTGCTGAAATGATGCATGCTTGGATCTCCACCAATCATGGCTTACCGTCATCTATCCTCAAGCTACACAATGACTTCCCAAGGCTGACGCGAGAAATGCTGGCGTCACAAGATGTTTTGTTTAAGTTTCCCATGTGGCCGTCTTTCAAGGATTCGCCGTCATCATGGGAATGCTCCTACATTTCAACTCTAACCCTTGGGTTCCAGAGACAGATTCTCTGTTGCGGTCGAGGGGGTTGGCCTGGATCTTCACCATGGAAAGGCTGGCGATGCTGTATTTCGCAGCCCCAACTCTAAAACATACACTAAATGGGGCAGTAGATATAATGGGATGCTCGCCGAGTATGCCATTCTCCCTCCTACGCTGGTCCTCCAAAAATCTGGCAACATTTCTTTCACTGCGGCGTCCGGTTTGGCCGCAAATCGATGCACCGCTCTGCAGTTCTGCGACATTTCGGGCATGAAAAAGGGGGACAAAATCTTGGTCATTGCCACCTCCGGAGGCCCAGGGTTTCTGATCGTACAATTTGCGCGAGCAGTAGTGGGAAGTGAGAAAATCATCGTCGGTACCTATTCGGCGTCGAACACAGACCTCTTTAAAGGCTTGGGTGCTGATGAGGTCTGTTTTAGCGTTGTCCCATTACCTAGGAGGCAATGACAGTATACCCCGAGCTGGAAGCAACGGGAAAAAACAGCCCGAACATTGACAACAAAGTTTTACAGGTGATTGAATACAGATCACACCTCGAACTTCCCGAATACATCGCTCTGCATCGCTCCTTACGGCCATTCAACATCATAATCGGCATCGCAGGCTCCGAAGACTTGTGCAATGAGATTCAGGAATACTTGAACCCCGGCGGCATTTTCTTGCAGTGGGCAGGATGAGCATCACCCATGGTGGCGGCGGGGTTCTCGTTATTTTCATTCCTGACCAACGTCCAACTCAGAATGTACCAGCCGCTGGTCCTTGGGGAACGCCACGCGGAGCAATTTTCCATTCTGGCGACGTCGTGCAAAGCAGCATGCAAAAACTTCCCCATTTGATCGAAAGGGGATAACTCTCTGGTCTAGTCGACAGTGAGAGGGCTATGGAAGATGCCATAACAGTCCTTGTACTTGGGCCTTGGACGCGCAAGCTGCGATACTGATGGTCACAGGCTTATGGGCGTGCTGCCACGGGTCGAGCGAGAATGAAAGTCGTTGTGCGAGTGCAGGGTATCTGAAGCCACATATGCATCTGCAATACTCCGAAGCACTGTTGGCTTCCACCCATGCCGTGCTCAAGCTTTTCGCGGTCAAGAAGAGTCGTGGTCGTAATTTCAACGCGCCCAGAGCAACCCTGCTAATGTGGTTTATTTCGATACAAATTTCCCATACGAAGCTAGATGTCTCTCTCCTGTCTCAGCTGGGACTGTGCAGGCAACGGCTGCAGTGACTGAGTCAAATATGCTGCCGGTGGCCCTTGATGACCGGGGACACATTCAGATAAAGCTGCCTCGGCTTGAGCACTGACAGTTCGGGACATACAGTACTATTCGACTCTTTAAAGCACAACTGCTGGTCTTCTAAGTAACTGGTCTCTCACCTTTGTTCTTCATATTCAACCGAAGCAATATGGCAGTCTCAATTCTCCAAGAGCGAGGAGCAGCACCAGTATCACCTCCCGGGCTCACGTGTCCAACGGGGATGACTTCCTGCTACACTTTTAACGGAGCATATTGTTACAATGCAAGTGGTGCAGACATTTGCTGTGCTGACGGCAGTGGTAAGCTATCCGCTGTACTTTTGAAGTCTTACGACTGAAGATACTGGGGCAGGGGTCTGCTCTGGAGGGTTCGAATGTGGCAGCGGTATTGCTGCCAACCGATGCTGCCAACCAGTATGTCGCTAATGTCGACCTATCGTCCAGGGCTCACCGATCCAGGGTCAAACATCAGAGCAATGCGCACAGGGTCCTGTTATCAACGTAGCGACCACTGTGAATTCAATTCCAGATCCTACCGCCGCTTTGCGAACCTCTGATTCGAGACAGCGGAGCGTTTGCATCTCGAGGATTGGCGTTGTGTTCGCGTTCTTTGCCCTTCTCTTGTCTATATACGGCTACTCGTGACGATAGTGATTTGCTGTGCATTCTGTTGACAGGACTTCAACAAAGCGGGCAGGAGGAATCGTTCTCGCCAATGAATTATTCAGTGGTCAAGCAATAATATCGCGTACGACTAGAATGAACCAGCTTGTGGAAAGTCCCATTGAGATTTTTTGAGAAGTCAGCGTGGCATTTCGTTCGAGTTAAAACCCCAATACTGCGGCATGAATTCGCGGTTAACCTGGAGTCTGAGTGGCTGTCGTTGACGTCGGACGACCTCCTTGCGACGGCACTTAGGTTTGTTGAGGAAGAACTGGTTCATTGCTTCTTTCGCGTCACATCGGGACAATGTTACAGTAGCATAAAGATACGAGAGGCTACGAGGTGGAGGACTGCGGGTTCCGCTCGGGATCGGTGAATGCGGGCGAGTCTCTACGGGGCGGGGGCTACGCGAGGGGTGCAATTCACCATTGTTTTTACTCCGTGCTTCAATCAGCGTCGAAACATTGATCCGACAAATGAATTTCTCGACCGAGGTCCGCACCACCGCAGTATCCGTTGCCTCCAGCCCGGTCACAACCAGTGATCACCCTCTAAGTGACTTATCTGTTGGGTATACCATTCTATGACATCGGCCGACCGGATTATTGCGATGCCCACCCACATATATGCCAAAAGTTATTGCGAAATGATCGGTGGCCGATAGCTTCAGAGACCCAACGTGCATCGCCGCACAGTCACACCGACGCAATTAAACCGCCTAGATTGAATGCCGGTGTCGACCCCCTGTTTTCACGATGCCGATTCTAGAAGAGACCGTGACGGACAACGAGCACCATGACAGTTCTGCAATCGCAGAAGGCGATGCTTCTAGCCGCCATCCACGTGTTCCTCCAACCCCAGCTTCAGTTAAGATCAATGTCGAAGGCGCATTTATCGTCGACGACGAGATGAGGGTCCGTAATGGCACGGCGAGCGAGCATGAGCACGTCCACTGGGAACACAAGGACATCCGCCTTCCACATCATACTGACGTGGTGAGCCATGTTGCCGTTGATGTACGTCATCTGCGCGATGTTTCCTTCCATCATACCAGTCCTGACTCTAATTCTAGATTGGCGGCTCTTTGGCGAAACTGGTATACTTCTCTCGCGAGCCAGGCTCAACGCACGGCGGCGGCCGACTGAATTTCGTCAACTTCGAGACAGACCGGATTGATCTATGCATTGACTTCATTCAAGAATTAAAAAAGACGCAATCAAAGCTGAACGGGTCGACTCCACAGGAGCTGTGTGTCATGGCGACAGGAGGCGGCGCATACAAGTTCTACAACCGGATGAAGGAGTTGCTACACGTGGATGTCGTTCAAGAGGACGAGATGGAGTGCCTAATCATTGGTTAGAACTGGAAGAGAGGCTTTTTGGGCAAGATAACTGACTGGTTCCGAAACAGGTCTGGACTTCTTCATTACAGAAATTCCCCGTGAGGTGTTCACATACAGCGAAGAGGAGCCGATGCAATTTGCCGAGGCCCGTGCAGACATCTATCCCTACCTCTTGGTCAATATCGGATCCGGGGTGTCAATGGTCAAAGTCTCCGGACCTCGGGAGTTTCAGCGTGTGGGTGGTACGTCCTTGGGGGGAGGGACATTCTGGGGCATCCTGTCCCTTCTCACTGGAGCCCGCACCTTCGACGAGATGCTCCGCCTGGCGGAGTTGGGTGACAACAGTGGCGTAGATATGCTTGTGGGAGATATCTATGGTGGAGGATACAGTAAAATTGGGCTCAAAAGCACCACTATTGCGAGCACGTTTGGGAAAGTGTTTCGAATGAAGAGAATGGCTGAAAGGCACGCGGAAGACGGCGAAGGATTGTTCAACGGCGACGGTCATGGCGAAGACCATGACATGTTGCGAGGATTCAAGATTGAAGACATGGCCAGAAGCCTCCTGTACGCGATATCGAACAACATTGGCCAGATTGCTTACCTACAATCGGAGAAGCACAATCTTCAACACATTTATTTTGGAGGCTCTTTCATTCGAGGCCATACCCAGACGATGAATACCCTTTCTTACGCCATCAAGTTCTGGTCCAAAGGCGGGAAGCAGGCCTACTTCCTCCGGCACGAAGGATATCTTGGTGCAGTTGGAGCATTTCTCAAACGACAACCGAAGAACTGGGGCAGACGAAACAGTTTCGAGGATATCCGACTTGGCAAAGTGCTGTCGAGGGAATAGAACATAGGGTCTTCCCCAACAAAGCCCTTCACGCAAGATTTAATCAGGATTCACCGCTTCATCAGACTGATCTGTCTGACGTGGATGGCGCCAAAGGTGTATCTATATCTTTGATACCGACAGCATACGCCCGACAAAACCGCCCTTTGGAAAGGATGGGGTCAATATTCAGAGCCCGGTGAAACGCATCATTCGCAAGACCCCAATATAGACAGAGTACAGCCTGCCATGGAAATCAGAACGCTCGCGCCACAAGTAGAGGCTGCTCATGAGCTTGGTGCCGGAAGTCTGGCATGGTTATCTTAGACTGGATGTCAGATGTCTGAGGCGGAGGACCAAAAGTCTTTGTATAAGGATTGTGGAAATCATCCAGCGCACCTCCGCCTGGAAATCTAGAGAAAAACACACTATGGATGATGAGTTTTCGACAGACGCTTTTGCATGAGAGCGGAAGAGTTTTTCGTGGAGGAGCAGACAGCGGGTAGCTTTTGCTGGGCCGCTGAGAGTGGTGTGAAAAGGCGCAAAGGTAGTAGTGTTCTGCCGATCTACATACCTATATGCGGGAATATCCATGAACGTAGCCACGTCTGTCTACCTTTGTTGTTCAGCTGCATAGTCCAAAAGAAAGGTTCGAGAAGTCAACTGCTCAGACCATTACGGCATGTTGGTCGTATCATGCAGTTCGCCCACCACGTGAGAGCAACCAAGGGAAAAGCTCGGCGGGTGGAGGCTCCCCCAACGCCGCCTGCAGGTTGGTTGGCCTCGAGTCTGCCGAAGCTCTGACGATGCCTGACGTCAAATGGTTTTGCTCGCTCTCACATCTCCTATCCAGCCCTCACATGAGACTGGTCAACAATGGCCGCTATCCAGCCTCCTTCGGGTCACCTATATCTTACGCTCGTTCTTTTGCGCTGTCGCTCGCGAAATCGCGCATTCCTGTGAGACACATGCTCTCTATCTCTCCTTAGCATTTGTTGTTTCTAACCCTCGTTCGCGAAACCACAAATCCAAATCCCTTCTTCGGTGATCTGCCGCGAAGCGCTTAAGCCTGCGGATGGGTTCGGCATTGCGAGAAAACAACAAATAAGTAGTAGACGAAATCACAACTGCAGCCCTTTCTCTTTGAAATCGCCAAAGACTTGACCACAAGCCCTTTCTCAAGGCGCACATTGCTTCCCAATGGTCTGCGCCGCCACCACCGAAGACTGGACCTTTGAATTGACGCATTGATAGGCTCCTCTCGTCACAGCCGCATCTGCTTTCTCCCCAGCAACCCCTGCCCTGGTACATCGCCAGGCCACGACTACCATTATAACGCAGCCGGCGACGTCGTGTTCAGGACAATATTCCGGAGGTACACTTGCTGGCGCCATCATCGGGACATTCTTTGGAACCCTTCTATTGATCTTTCTCTTTAATTCACTGCAAGCGGGCGGTTTCGGGAACCGACGTGAAGAAGTCATAGTTGAGCGGAAGCGAAGACGCCGGAGTCGAAGCGGCAGCTCGTCAGGGGTGCGGCGACCGAGTAGAGTATACTCCGGGTAGAAGAGTATTCGAGGTCTCATTGGGTATCAAGATGAGAAGGAGGACGAACACGAGGTGTACGATCATTGATCATTGACTGACGATGGTGTGGGCAACATTGCTGCAGGACATGTTTGCAATGCAGCTGATCAGATCTCGGATTTACGAAGAGCAAAGAGATTTGAATACGGGGCTGTTGGATAAGGGGTATCGAGTGGGGATCTATCGGAATGCTTTGCATCTTATGTATAAAGGATCTTGGTTGTTTGAGGTGCAGCTGCATGTCTGGCTGATTTGTTCATTAGGAAGGTACCGAGGACTGCTTGGATTGGGATGAAGATTGTGACGATCTTTGTACGTGACGACCCAGGGAACGGATGTCAAGGTGCGCAGACGCTGTGGTCAGACTCTCTATGACATTGAGGAAGATTTCAAATTTCATCGTCTCCGTCGATTTCAAATTTGCGATTCTGCTGCTACATAGAAGCATCCCTCCTGGTGTCTGTTTGCCCCGTTTCCCGTACGGAGGGCCCCAATTACGAGGTATGTACTCCATAGAGTGATCTCCATCTTGTCTCCATTCACCTAAACTCGCCTTAACTTGCCTTAACTCGCCTGACCTACTGCTCTGGCACACCCATTCAGGCTTCTGCCGAGCAGCGTTCTCCCTCCTTGCTTTGTTTCCACACTTAGGATCTATTGATTTGATAGTCTCTACGCTTTGTTCTTTTGTGCAGTTGTATTTCTGGAGGTCTTCCATCAAGGCTATAAGACGTGCATTGCGAGATTAGCCAACGACTTTCTGCCGCAGGTCGAGCGGTGAGCCCCATCCGCAGGCACGCGAGCTCTGCACCATGGCCGTGAAAGCGGTAATACCATTCCTTGTGGGAATGATGCTGCTCACTGGGTGTGCCAACACCCTTCTGACGAAGTTTCAAGATCAACAATGTGTACGAGGCTGCAACAGCAAAAACCCAAAGGATCACAAGACGTTTGAACAACCAGTCATCCAAACGTAAGCTCCGCCATTCACCAGGCCGAGTTGTTGGTCACTAATTCCCACAGGGTACAAATGTTCATCGGAGAGATGGGATGTTGGCTCGTCATGTTGGGATTCTACCTGCATCGCTACCTTGCCCTGCGCTCCAAAGATGCACCCCTCCTGTACCGGCCCGTCAACACTGAGGAAGAGCACGAAGAGGATCAGGAGGAGGAGGAGGATACCGTCCGGCCAGCGCCTTCACGCGATGCTACGGATCCAGCATTGAAACCGCTCTTACCTAATGCAGACGACCGAGCTCATCTCAAGGGTTGGAAGGTTGTCCTGTTAGGACTTCCAGCTTGTTGCGATATTGCAGGCACAACCTTGATGAACGTCGGCTTGCTGTTCGTGGCTGCCTCCATATACCAGATGACCAGAGGAGCATTGGTTTTGTTCGTTGGCCTGTTCAGTGTCTTGTTCTTGAAGAGAAAGCTATACCTGTACCATTGGATTTCCCTTATTATTGTTGTGCTGGGCGTTGCTTTGGTCGGGCTGGCCGGGGCTATTTCATCTGGCGACAAGAACTCCCCTGCACCCAAGGAGGATGGCATTGAGCTGATTCGACATACAGTCCTTGCTGCGCGAGACATTATCCTGGAAACCGTCGACCCTAGCGTCCTGCGTACTGTCGTCGGTATTTTCCTCATTGCTTTCGCCCAAATCTTCACCGCCACACAGTTCTGTCTTGAAGAATGGATCCTGGAGCACTACGCCCTGGAACCCCTGAAAGTTGTTGCTTGGGAAGGTTTATTCGGATTCATCGTCACCGTCTTGGTTCAGGTCATTCTGCACCTGGCGGTCGGCATTACAAAGGCTGGGAGGCACGGATACTTTGATGCGGAGGAAGGGTATCGTCAAGTTTTTACCAACCGGGCAATCGGCATCTCAAGTCTTGCGATTATGGTCTCCATTGGCGGCTTTAATTTCTTCGGTCTGTCGGTGACTCGAAGTATTTCCGCGACCTCAAGATCCATTATCGATACATGTCGAACTCTCTTCATTTGGATTGTCTCGCTTGGGCTCGGATGGGAGTCTTTTAAGTGGCTCCAAGTCCTGGGATTTGCGCTGGTGAGTTTCAAAATTGTCTCTTTCAATGCGGAAAGTGCTGACGGACTGCTACAGCTAGTTTATGGCACATTCATGTTCAACGACCTGGTCAGACCGCCAATCAAAGCTCTTTTGCCTCAAAGGCGAGAGGGCGAAGAGCGTGAGGAACTCCTGCCAGAAGAGCCAGTTGAGCATATATAGATTCTGCTCAATACGGGAAGAGTGTTGGACGCATTCACGTCGACGTGACTTCCTCCAAATCATGGATCATGTTGCTAGACTGAATTTTTGTATCTTTTCACAGGTCCTTTTCTTTATTTGCAGCGGCTGAGGGACAATCTTTGTTGACCTAGGTAGGCTCAGCCCGTTCTACGGATAAATGGATACCCCAACATGCTCTTTGCAATGCTGTTTTCCAAAGGTGGAGCAACAACACTTGCTCGTCACGTACCGAGATTCGAATGAGCTCATGCTGAATCTTCTACGATACCTTGCTCTTCAATACTATGTTTTGTGTTCTCTGAACTCCTCTCTCGACGATGGCAATTTCCGAGTGACAGATCTGAGTGGTGGATCTGGAAACGCAGTGTTCGGATTTTGTCCCCCCTTCATGCAAGGCATGACAATTAAAAAGCTGCATATGCCCCTTCAAACCTCACTGTCATGCTACGCGGTGCAACAATCCTGCAACATTGTAACTCTTTCACGGTTGTGGTGCGCACCCTGAAGTCGGGTTGAAGCAAGGGATGAATTTCTGCGCCACCGGCTCCAAGGTGGCTGGTCAAGACTTCGTCCAAAGAGTGGGACGACTCTGTGCGACACCGAAGCTGATACTCAAGGAGGATATGCAAGGGCAGGATTCAAGAATCGGCTGCTCGCGTCTTGTGAAGGGATCTGACGCCACTGGCAGTTGGATTTGCAACATGCACAGGAGCGAGTAAGTGACCTCCCCAGGGATATATGTCTCATTTTATCCTTTTGTCGAAGGGCCACGTCCACAGCCTACTTATTCGAGCTCGCATAGACACCATGGAACAATTGGCTCCTACACCCGCTCTCGACGCAGCACCTCAACATCACGGCCGCTCCACAGTACTCCGCCTCGCCCATCGTTTGAAGGAGGGACAAATGACACCTCCCCCGTCTCCCCTCCCGCCTTCTCGGAACGGATCTAGATTGCAGCTGTCAAGACTGCTTCGTCGACGCAAGTCGGCTAGATCAAACCAATGTGGATTATTGCAAGACATCTTTCGAACCGCCACTTCACATCCCTTCGTGGCAGACTTGGAGACTCCTTTTCCTTTACTTCGGACTGAGTTTCCTGCTGTTGCCCAGGACAATTCTCCTCCCACGACACTCCCTTCTCCAGAGCTGCGCAGGATGTCCGCCAGCTATACTGACTTGCGTGCTCTGGCGCGGAGTCAGGCTGCTTCGAGCCCAGTCACCCCATTGCTTCCAAGCCCCATTGCAGGAGAGCCTCAGCCGGAAGGTCAATCACATTTCAAATTCCATAATCCACGAGAGCGACTGCCAACACCCATCCCGAACGACGATTCTTTGGACAGCCTACATATTCTGTCCTATTATTGCAACGATCCGGATTGCGACGAGCAAGACCGAGCAGCCCACTCCTCTGAACAAGAGACACTAGAAGACGACAATCTAAGCACAGCGTCGGAATCCATGCCGGTAACTCCGCGTGACCACGAGTATCAAGGCACTCCGTGTTCGGACGAATCTGGATGGCTGGCCAATACCACATCGCATGAGGAGAGGATCCGCCGATTCAAAGCTCGATACTATCAAGTCGTGCAGCGTCCTTGCACATCCGCTCGCGCAGGAGACAGCGAGCATGGAGTGGTACACATCCACGCATTGCTGTTCCCACTCAAAGTGCACTAACTGTATTTCAGATGATCGCCACCGTGCTCGTAGGACCAGGCAAGCCGAAGCTGATTCAGATTCAACGTCCGCCCTCTAGTCGATCGAGGGGTAAGTCGCCTGCTGAAGGCGCCCTCATCCCTTCGACGCCGAAGCAAACGCTCGTTGAAGTCTCCGCCTTCAGCCCGTACGACACCCCTTGTGATGTCTCTCACGACTCTCACATTTCAGATGGCGCCTATGACCGTACCCAAAACCCCTCGCCTTCTTCGACCCGTGCCGTCCCGCAACTCGTCGCCTTTGCAACACGAGGCAGGACAAGCAGATCGGGAACCAGTGTGTCCAACGGCACTGGGCCACATATCTGCAAATTGACAGATCCATTTACGACCTCGCCCCGGAGGACGCGCAGCGATCGATCTTTCCGCACGTTGGAGATGAGGTGGGCCATTGCGGACACGCTAGAAGTTGATACGCGCTCCGTTGCACAGCTGTCGCCTACTACCAAAAGTGCAAAATGGTCTCGGTGCCGAAGATTAGAAAGAGCTCTGAACGCGGTCACTATGGCCATCGACGAATTTCCCGACGGTATGCTATGTCTCGATTCGCCTGCCGTCATGGAGCTGCGGAATCCGCAAATCACTGATGCAACATATATCGAGGCCTTTCGGCGAATATTTCCCTCGGCACCCTCACTGCTCATTTCGGCAATCACGGCCTGGGTTATCGTCGACCTCTATTTCTCTCGATTGAAAGACCAGCTCGTTCCCATGGAGCGGTGCTGGGCACAAGCCGCAGCCTCAAACGAAAGTCTGCACCGCATTCCCGAGAAGGCAAGAGAAATGTTAGGAATCGGTCCCCCCGACGAAACAACCATTATGCTCAATGAGTATGCGCTCAGGAAGAGGGGGATGGCGATGCAGGCAAGTATTGGTGTGATTGGACGAAGGCTGGTCAATGCTTTGAGAGGGTCGTGGGATGAAGATATATGGCGGTCTCTGAAAGTCTTGGTGGAGGTGATTGAGGCCAGTCCGCCGCGTTGGCCATGATGGCAATTCTTGTTGACAAATTTTCTTGTCATTGTAAAACCAATAATCCAATTCATTCCTGATGTGCAGTCCTCACCGTAATGCCAACCTGACATTCAACCCCGTCTGATTCAACACCCAAGCATTACTTACTTCCCATTCCTTCTTAGGTTCATCCAGTTCAATGCTAAATTTCATGAGCAACGCCGGAACAAGCTTGTGCAGCTCCAGCATTGCAATGTTCTTGCCCAAGCAGGATCTCTTCCCTGCGCCGAATGACAGGAGACTGTGCTCCATATTCTTGGTCTCTCTTTCTTTGTCGCTGAGCCAACGGCCTGGGTTCCAGGCCTCAGCATCGGGGCCAAAGACCTGAGGGCTCCGGTGGAAGACCCATGGATTGATACCTAGGACAGTGCCGTGAGGTAGAAAGGTGTGGGTGCCATCTTCGTGTTGCAAAGTCAGGCCTTCTTTCGGAACGATGCGTTCCAGTGGCAGTGATAAGGCGGGATTCATCCTGAGGCCTTCTCTTACTACTGCACAAAGGTAAGGTAGGCTTTGTTGAGTCTCGTTCCACGTTGGGGATGGGCTTGAGATTTTCTTCTGTGCTGCAGCTGAGTCTAGCTCGGTGATCAAGAGCGAGAGCGAGACGGGGTTTTTGAGAAGATGGTAGAAGATAGCGCGTAGAGTCGAGGCAATCGTGTCGCTTCCCGCATTTATATTCATCTAAGCAAACTATGGTTAGGCAATGTCAAGATGGGAAAGGGTTTTGGCACTCACAAATAAGTTGGACAGAATCTGAGCATCTGTCAGTGTCTCGTCCCCTTCGGTATCTGCTTTCCTGATCTTCAGAAAACGGCTGAGGAAATCTGGTTTGTTCAACTTGTCCTCTTTATCCTCTGCACGATCTTCCTTGAGCTCGCGCAAACGTTCCTTCAGCAATCGTTGAGCAAACAGCAAGATAGGTGAACTGACGCTCTTCCGGAAATACCTTATGTAAAGTGGATTCTTTCCTAGGACGGCTTCATCCAGCCAAGGCATTTGGCCGAGGACACTGAAGTAGGAGAAATTCGCTCCAATAGCTTTGATGATATCGTCCACATCCATACCAGATTCAATGAACCCCAACCGGTGACTGAAAGTGAGTTCCCCAATGACATCGAAGGCGAAGAACTGTAGAAAGCGTCCCAGGTCAAGTACTCGTTTCTGCGAAAGTGAAGTATAGGCAAATTGTTCCTCGAGAGTCTGTAAAAATACATCCGTCGTGCGGTCCACCAGTTCCTCATATTCTACCAGCGTACTTAACGAATATGCATGAGCAATCAACCTTTTTGACTTTGCGTGCTGGCTTTCATCCGTCATAGCCACAAGACTGGCCGCGCGTCGCCCATTCACAATGTTCTGGAAACAGCGGTAAAAGTCGGACTTCACAAGGCCTTTACCGATGCCGTAGATCTGGGGGATGTAACTCTGCGAACCTGTAACGGAGATGCAGTTGGGCCCCAAGCGGACGAGGTTGCCATAATATTTGTGGAGCTTAAGGTGTTTCTCGTGGGGATTTCGGTTGTAGACGAGAAAGAGGCGGTAAAGGTTTGTGAAACTTGCGGCGAAAGGCCCAGGTATTGACGATAGAGAAAAGTAGTCTTCAAGGAGATATAATACGAGGAAGATGGGGACCGCATAAGTTAAAAGGAGAAGTAGCATGGCTCTTGGAAGTGGGAGCAATCGAGAATGAGCCAAACGAAAAGACGTAGTTGGATTCCAATAGGTAGTCAACAACGCACGTCGAGTGCCCTTACATTTGTTCAAACCACAAAGATATAGCTGAGGCGGGAAGAATGGTCATAGAAGGGTGGGCTCTGCCCGGGTCAATAGCCTCGGCGTTCTTCCGCTCAGAGGAAGTAGGGCAGGCAAGCTGGTCCAGTTACTGAGGAAGGGCGCAACAACTGATCTAGATGGACAAGAGAAAGAAACTTGCTGAAGATCTTTTTTTAGTGGCAGAAGCGGGACGCTCCTTTGCCCCTGAGCGGAACGCTTTCCGTACCCTCTGTTGGCGCCCACATGTTACAAAAATTATCAGTGTCGATTTCTGCAAGAGACTGATCGCTGCCGTTGCATCCGCATGCTTTGAGATGTCTAGGCCTCCAAACTGAAGCCAAATCCCCAGTCAGGTTGATAATAACTTTTCATTGTCTTTGGATTCAATGATGAGGCCTTGCAATGGCCGGCTGTTGCGCGGCTTGACCTAGCCCGCTTAGCCACGTATTTGGCCGATTCAGCTGAATGTCTTTGGGCAGGTATTGCATGGAGCAATCCTAAGGCTTGCACAAGAACACAGATGAAGATTCGCACAGTTCATGGTTCTGTCCAGTCGACTTGTTCGGTTACCGGAGCACTCCCATCTTTGGCATACGAGATTTTCAATCGAAGGCGGAGTTTTGAGGGCAGGGGCTACTCGCGCAGTCAGTAGATAGGCTAGGATACAAGTGCGAAGGAACTTACCCCGGTCGCTGCAACAACCTTCATGCCTTGAGTAGCCTCATCACCGGCTCCCAGCGCGCTTCTGTTTACCGCTTGTAAAGTCAATTTCTGACTCTTTGGTACTGCGGCCTGCAAGCCGACATTTGACATCTGTTCGAACGCTGAGTTATTCTTGAACCTCGCGATAGCTTGTATTGCAGAACCACTTCTTGAGACTTGAATCGCAACCGACAGATCGTTTTTATTGTATACGGGGTGTGCTTGTGGTCCAGCAGGTGCAGGGCTGGTGGGTTTGGCAGTTCCGTTGCCGAATAGATCCATGATAGCATCCGTATTGGATGGTGGTGCAGGGCTTTTCGTTTGTGCTGGAGGACTAGAAACTGAGCTTCCACCTCCGAGAATGTCTGCCAATAAGTCTGCTGTCTGTTGTTGGCCGTTCAGTGTAGCACTCGTGTCTACAGCTGGCAGGTCCGATCCCCCCATAAGATCAAGAAGCATGTCGGATTCTGTCGCCTTGGCAACTTTGACGTTTGTCTTCGCTTTCAAGGTCTTTCTCTTGTCCTTAGCAGGCGCCGTTGACTGCCCGAGGACTCGTTGCTCCTCTTTGATTTCCGGTGGCGGCATCTTCTCCAGCACGCCTCTTCGAATCGAGTCATAACCAAACATGTTGCTATACTCAACAGCCCTTTGCTGGATCTCGATGCTTAGATCCGCCGTTCTGGAATTCATTAAGCGCCGTATTCGTTCAATTTGTGACTGGTCTGACATCCTCGTTGTCAGCTTCATTGCAGAAGTGACAATGTATTCGGTCACCACCTGATTTGCGTATGTCGAGTTGAGGATTGTCGTATACAAGTCAACAATATCATTTTCTTTTACTTCCTTCACCAGCTCTTCTTCTTCGTACGATCCACCACGAAGTAACGAGTCACCATACTCACCAATGACCCAGACAGCGGCCAGGGTCAGAGCCTCTTGTGTGATGTCCGCTTTCAGGGCCGCATATAGCTTCTGGACTGCATAAGTTTGCTGGTCAGGCGAGGTGGCGATGAGACGAATGAAAGACGATAGAATCTGCTCCTTGACATAGTTGCCAGCCAGCTTGACAACCCGCAGCATAGTATCGATGTGCCAGCGTTTGTTAGGGGCGAAACGATCTGCCGCAATGCCAATCTGCGTCGTCATCACAGGTTTAAACTCGGTGTCAGCGACTTCCAGAAATGCCAATAATTCTCGTATCAGCACCCGTACGTTGTCTTCGCGGATCAAGGTGAAGCTCAGATCCAACGCTCGACGTCGGATTGAGATATCTGGGTCTCTCAAGCACTCTAGAATGGTATTTCGGTGCCTTTGAACTGCGTTAGGCTCAATGGCGACCACCTTGATCAGCGTGTTAAGTGCGACATATCGAATGTTATTGTCTTTGTTGGCTAAGAATTTCCCCAGAATATTGACGCCCAGCACTCTCAGACCCGAGTCAGCTTCGATGTCAAGAATAGTAAGGACTGCTTCGTATAAGATGGCGTTTCCGACATTCTTGGTGGACTCGGTGTTGGTAGCAACTTGTGCCAGAATGTCGTTGATCTGTTCGCTGGTGGCCGCGTCTCCTCGTCCTAGCACTCGGAAAAGCTGAAGGATCTTGACTTGCAAGAAGGGATCTGTGATTCCCGAAACATCGTGTTCAGGCGTGTACCCCGAGCTCGTAAGACTTTTCAACGTGCGGACCAAGTGTGGAACAACTGGTCGGAACATTTCGACCACGCCCTCTTCACCCCCTTCTGCTTCATCTGCCTCGCACATGCTCGTTATCAGGGTCAATCCACACAGGAGGACTCCGTGATTCCTATCCTGTAGCAGAAGTTTGGCTTTTTCGAGGAAATGTTCTTGAAGATCTGGGACTTTGCGGCATATCCGCATGGCGCAGAGCGCAGCCTTTCGACGTATGTAGGGGTTCGCAGTGGATATAAGGGTCTCGACTTCGGGGAACAAGTCTCTGGACATTTCGACAGAGGCAATGTTGCCTAAGGTACAGAGAGCGAGGCCGACGACATATTGATTAGAATGATTGAGATCGCTGTGCATGATCAGTAAGGGTCTTGGAGGAGCTGGCGGAGCGCATACGTACTTTTTCAACGAGTTCGTCACCAATGTGAGGACTTCCTGATTCTCGTCCAGCAGCAGCATAGTCCCCAAATAGCCCAGTCGTTTGTCCGCAAACCGCGGAGAGGCCAATAGTTTAAGGCATTCTATCTGGCCGAAATGCGTGCGTTCTCCCAGGGTGAACAGGTATAATAGCTTTGCGACATTGTTCCTCCTACTTCAGGTCAGAGACATCCCTTCTCGAAGAGCAATTGTGATGCGAGACCTAATGTTCGAGTCTCCGCTCTCTTCTCGAAAACTAGCCCGGATCGCCGCACTCTCTTTCTGGACGACAGCACGCTCGTCTGCGATGGTCTTGGAGGCCCGCACATTGCGGATAAATTGTTTGACTTCATCGCCTGTCAGTAGGCCTCGAGCAGTGCAGACAGTTCATAGGGTGACTGACGGGAGGTCATGATGGTTCACGCTGACCCAAAATTCGGGGTCGTCCAAGTCTGTTCACTCTTTCATGGATTTGGCACTACCATGCACTGGTTTGGGATAGACCATAGACTTTGCAGGCGAGGAAGGATGACGGATGCCCTAAAACGCCTGTGACCGTTGAGGATTCTGGTGTCTGAATATCCGCTTAGGAAGCGCTCGCTGCATCTGCAGAAGTGTCCTTGAACAGCAGCCAATCGGGGACAATGCCAACGCCAAGAGCCGCGAGTTCTGTCCTTCTCGCCTCCTCACCATCTCGCCATGTTTTTGCTGCTGGCTTGAAGACGTGCAGACAACTTGGCATGAATGGATTTAATGTCTGTCAGCTCGCCCAGAAAGCCCGAGAATGTCCAAATATTCTCGTGGAGGATGTGCCGCCTGCCGGAAGGCACATGTCAAATGCGACGAAAGAACGCCTGCCTGCTCCAGATGTATGCTTTCCAGCACGACGAAACAGAGAAGCGGCGATCTGATTGAATTCAGGCATCAACCGAGGTTGGCTATGCCCTGGCTATCAACGGCCTCTCCGCTGGTCCCTGAAATATGAGCAAACCACGAGGCCGAATTCGCCTGTTCCGGTAACAGCCTCCAAATCCAGTCTCCCTCTAAACGAATCTTGCCACGAGAGCTCGTATACCCCTCTCATGAACCTCCAGTCTGGCCATGGAAACCCTTCTTTTGATCTACGCACAGATCCAGCTGACTACGACGTTATGCCCGCGCCACGGTCGGCAGAAGAGACTGGAAAGACATTAAATCCAGCAGCGCTCCGTTCAAATGATCTAGTCACAGCATCTGTGTATCGACGATCGTTATCGACCTTTCAAGATTCCACTTTGCTCGTCAATTGCTATACCAGGATTTTATCCCGGGTGCTGTCTATCTATGATGGTCGCTTCAGCCCTTTCCGTGCTGCGGTAATGTCCACGTGGAGGCGATCACCACTCCTCTTCTCGGTATTCAGATATTTTGTTGGTATCTACCGATCGAGCCTCGATGCAGACTGCCGTCTTGGTGTGGCCGTGAATCAGGCACGAATTGACGTTCTAGGTCAATTGTCTTCTAATCTCCTTCCTACCAGCACCTCCGTTCCAATTCGAAAGACTGAAGTCCTCTTTGTTGTCTGCATGTTTGGCCTCAGCAGTAGCTGGTACGACTTGAATGACCTCGGATTAGAACACTACGATGCCGCTACCGCTCTCCTAGCGGAACTGCACCTGCAGGCCCCCAATGTTCCCCCAAGAGCTGCTCAATTCTTCGTCGAATTCCTGGTATACTGGTGGATGATGCTATCGTTTGCTTACAATCCGGGCTCTCACAAAATCCAGAATCCACCAGCAATTTGTCCTCGGGAGGCGCTAGAGCTCCGAATGCCGCACCCGCTTACTGGTGTATCGTCAGAATCTCAACTTCTTCTGGGCATGGTCGGCCGTCTCGTCCTATCTCAGCGTAGGATGGCCCTTCAGCAACCAGTAACTACCGCAGGTGTGCTCCCTTGCACACTCTCTGACAATGTGCAACCTCGGGAACTTGAGTCTCAACTGATTTCTTTGGAACTTCCCAGACCAAATATGGTCTTAGATCCGGAAGATCCCCATACCTCTGTCTATGACCTGATCAACATTGCGCAAGCATATCGACTGTGCGGCCTTTTACTACTCTATCATACTTACCCCGACCTCCTTGAGGTCAAGATGGCCAACCACTCTTCGCACGGCATGAGAACACCATCCGCTCGGAATCACAAAACAAACTCGGAGTTTCTAGTATCATTAGCAATTCACGTCTTACAGGTGTTGGAGCAGAACTCGAAAAGCTCCGGCACCCGGACCATCGAAGCAATTTTGCTTCTGATCATATCCGGCGAACTTTCGCAGAACATGATCAATCCTTCTGGCAGTGAGAGCGAGTTGCAGTGTGGCATATGCTCTCAGCTGCCTGCAATTACGCAGTGTCGAGAGTTACCCGACTCACATCACCAATTGACAGTGATGGAAGCAAGATCCATAGTCATCACCCGGTTTGAACGAATCCAAGCTATCCTGCCCTTCAGTACAATCCGCCATATGAGGTCCTTGGTCCTAGAGACCTGGCGGTTCATGGACCAAGGATTAGATGTTTTTTGGGTTGATTTGTTGATCAAAAACAACTGGCAGTTTGTGATGATCTGATTTCTGGACGTGCAATTTCGGTATTACCCAGGGCAGGCATCGGTCACGGATTACTCCGCAATGAAAAATTGGCACTAAATGTCCCTTTCGGACTACTCGTCCTGCGAGAGAGAGACCTACCGAGTAGTCCGTCTCTTATTCCTTTGTTGATCCCAACACCTTTATTCCTACATCCGGGTGCGCATGTATTTACGCAGATCGAATCCGTAATCGTGAGCGTCACGATGCACATCCTCCTTGTCATTTGTCATCCCAACCAGGAGTCCTTCACTCATGCTATTGCCGATCAAGTTATTAAGGGAGCACAGAGCAAAGGCCATACGGTGAAGGTCATTGATTTGTATCGAGACGGTTTCAACCCGGTCTTCACTTCGCGCGACTGGGAGCAATTTGAGGGTGTGCCGATGCCTGATGATGTGCTTGAGCAACAACGTTTTGTGGAAGAATCAGACGCGGTTTTTCTCATTTTCCCAATCTGGTGGTACCAAATGCCTGCCGTAATGAAGGGATGGCTGGACAGAGTCTGGTCCGCAGGCTGGTGCTACAAGTCGGAGCGCGACCCTGAAGGTAGCCTGCTGAGCCATCGGCCTTGCACAGTGTTCGCTCTGGCTGGCGCAACCTCCCGACAACTTGACAGATGGGGCTATGACAAACAAATTCATCATCTTTGGCGATATGGTATCTTCGGCTACTGCGGGTTCGAACCTCTCAGAATCACGATCCTCGATGACTGCTCTTACCCTGAAGGTGGGAAACATGCCAAACATTTGCAGACAGCGTTTCAAGCCGGAGAGAATATTGGTCATGATCCCGAAGCTCTCCCTGGGATCAAACCGTTCTTAGACAAAGGCCTCAACATTCGGGGAGACAGATACGTCGAGGGATGACTTTCTTGCCTGGCCCAAAGTCCATCGACGCGAATCCACACCGGCAAGACAGCAAGCCTCGAACGGCAATTGCGATTCGACAAGCTGGAGAGAATCTAGAGTGGGGATCGAGCTCTTTGCTTGCTTTGCACAGGACTTCTAATAAGACATGAACAAAGGTGATTTGCACCACGTACACCGCTTGTATGTTCGTTTGCGGAATCGAAGTCCGGCGGATGCAAGACCTCCAACTACTCCGGCTAGGCAGGATAATCATGTCGTCTCTCATTGGCCACACTGCAGACACCTTACTCAATTCGAAGCAAAATTGCGAACATCCTTGACAACGGTCCAACATCAACCACAACATAGCTCGAGCCGAGAAGCTTGGATGCTCCTACTCGCCTATCAATTCGAGCCGATATCAACTCGTGGCCGGCTAGAACGAGCCATCATATGAGATGCTCAAGAGGCTCGATAGCCCCTTCTGAGTCCCTCAGCAGATATCCAAGGGCGGTATTCTATATCTAAATACTCTGTGGTCTTGCGGGGCAGAACCCATCTATTCCGAGTGATCTTGAGCATTAAACGGTGACTTCACGAACCCTTCACTGCTTCGCAGTCTCATTATCGGAAAACCATGGACGCCTCCAAGAAGAGTAGCACGACTAAAGGCACAGTCACTCATGGTCCAATAATCAACACTATCCCAGCATCCTGGTACCGCGAAGAAGGGATGTATGAACTTGAAAAACGTGCAATCTTCTCCAAACGATGGCTCTGTGTCTCCCATTCTCTTCGATTCAGAGAGATCGGGGAGTTTGTGAATTTTGAGATCGCCGGCTTCAAGTTCTTCGTTATCCGGGACCGACAGAAAGAGCTGAGGGCCTTCTTGAATATTTGTCGGCATAGAGCGTATCCCGTAATTGAGAAGGAAAGTGGCCAGGGTGGGAAGATTAGTATTCTTGCATGCAAGTATCATGGTAATACGGCGGTGCTGGCACAAGGCACATCCTCCTGCCTCCTCTTCAATGTTGATTGACGCCTGTCAGGATGGTCTTATGGCCTCTCCGGCAATCTCGCGAAGGCACCGCGTTTCGAAACAGTGGAGAATTTCGACAAGTCGAAATATTCATTGTACAGTGTCCATGTGCGGGTTGACAGACTCGGCTTCGTCTGGGTTAATCTCGACGCTGCCGACCCCCCTACGATACCTTGGGAAGACCATTTTGAGAGAGTTGATGAGCAGCCACGCCAGAAAGATTTTACCATGGACGACTTCAAATTTGACCATGCTTGGGAGATGGAGGGAGAGTACAACTGGAAAGCTATGGTGGACAATTATAATGAGGTATTCAAGATCCGCCAGTGAACAGTCTGAAGCTGACGACATGCTCAGTGTTACCACTGCACAACTGCACATCCTGGCATTCTGGCGACCACCAAACTTGATACTTACGACGTCAAGGGCATCAAAGGGTGGATTGAGCACTATTCGGAGCCGTTGGAGAGTGTTGAACACAAGTACGGAGTGCAACCAACTTACTTCTTCCCCAATGCTGCCATATTGATATCGTAAGTGCCGTTGATGTAATGTTGCGTTCATTCTACTTCCTAACAAAGGAAAAGCGATGGAATAACATATCTCACTCGATTCGCACCAACATCCGCAACCTCACTGAAGCTGGAATACGAGGTCTATCGGCACAAGTCGTGCTCTGATCAAGACTTTGAAACGATGAATCCCTTCTTCAAACAAGTCGAAAAGGAAGATCTCGATCTCTGCAACGCCCTGCAGCGCAACCTCAATATGGACACATATGTCAAGGGGCCACTTCACCCTCACAACGAAAAAGGCGTCATCTACTTCAAGAATCTTGTGAGAGAGGTCCTGTATAAACACATGGAGGAGGAGCAATACGCTGGTCGAAAGATCTACCCAGCCCGGAGGGACGACGGCAACCGAGAGATTGCAGCTGAAGAGGCCTTTTGTCGCCTTGCCTGTGATGGTGTTCGACCTAAGGCGGTCCCGCAGTGGTAGAGTCTGATGGACGATCAGTGTGTGTTCGACTAGTTATAGGGTTCGTATCATGATGGTGGGCGTATCTCGCAAGACGTTCGCGATATATTGTATCTACCATCTCATCCATACCAACTCCCGCACCATCCAGTAGGATCATCGCGGAGTCGATTTTGGGGTCGCAATGTCATGCATGAGAGGGCCAAAGGGCGACACCACCCAAGAATCAGATGCTGGCGACGATGACCCAATCGGCGCGCCTGACATCAACGGAAGCCGAGGCTGACGTCTAGAACGACGAATTCGGGGAATGGTCGTGCGGATTGCTCCATTTTGGGTAGAGATTAGGACAATCCAAGCTCACTCTGAGCATTCGGATTCAGAGAGCCCGAGAATCCAATCTTGCATTTAGTACCCCATCTCGCCCAGCAGGTCCAGAATTTTGGTTTGGCGTCCGGAATCATGGATGACTGCTTTGCTGCCATGCACATTGTTCTGGAGTGTTTTTAATAGTATCTCCTTTCTCTTTCCGTTTTTTTGGGTGATACCCCACCATGGCCCTTCCTCGCTCCAGCAGTCAAGAGCGCAACCTCTTGCGTCCGCGACCGACGAGGGCATTGCCGGAAGCCCTCCGTGCTTCAGGCCAGGGCCTGAACGGCTTTGCCGATGTCTCCTCGAGTATCTCAAGGCATGTTCTCCTTCCATTCTATACCTGGAATTGCGACGCTGACAATGACATCTCAGCGGCCGCTCCACGCCAATCCCTCAGGATGCACCGCCTTCGGTACACTCCCTTTCCACGGCGCGAAAAGCTGCTCGTGCTCAAGCGAAGCATCGCATGTTCTATACAATCGACTACGTGTCTCGCGTCTCCTATTTTGATGCCCGGAGTGAATACCGCGACTTTCGTGGTTTCTTTGTCCTATTCTGGATCGGTCTGGCCATCATGGTCATCACGACGTGTTTAAGAAACATCAAAGAGACGGGCCACCCATTGCGAGTCGAAGTATATGCTTTGTTGTCCAGGAATGTCGTTTCTCTGGGATTAAGTGACGCGGCCATGGTGGCAAGCACTGTGCTGAGCTTGCCCATCCAAAAAATGGCACGGGGAGCGAAGGGTGTCCTGCGATGGCGAAGAGCCGGGATTTGGATACAGAGCGTGTTTCAAGCACTGTGGTTGGCTTTATGGGTGAGCTGGCCATTCTTGCTGAGCTGGACCTGGACTTCGCAAGTCTTCTTCGCTCTTCACACCCTAACCTTCCTTATGAAGATGCATTCCTACGCATTCTATAATGGACATCTGAGCGAGACCGAGCGACGACTTCGAGACCTTGACAAGCCCGAAACGGCAGACCGGGGCAAGGCCGTCAAATATCCCAGCTCTCCCTCTCGCTTGCGCCAAATGGATTCAGAGAGTTCCGAGGAAGAGAAGGAAGACGAGCAAGATTTGGCTCAGCTCCGGCAAGATTTGGCCACCGAGTTAACTTCTCCTCTTGGACAAGTCACATACCCTCAAAATCTAACACTGTACAATTACATCGACTATGTCCTATGTCCTACTCTTTGCTACGAGCTCGAATACCCAAGGACACCCAAAATTCGATGGGATAGCCTCTTCTACAAGACCCTCGCCGTCTTCGGCTGCATCTTCTTGATGATCACAGTCAGCGAGGAATTCATCGTGCCAGTCCTGGTCGAATCAGCGACGCAGCTGCGTCTGACGACATCTCGCTCGGAAAAGGCATTGATTCTGGCCGAGACCACTAGCATGATGTTGTTCCCATTTATGATCACCTTCCTGCTCGTCTTCCTGGTAATCTGGGAGTACATCCTGGGTGCGTTCGCTGAGATTACCTGTTTTGCCGACCGCCATTTCTACTCGGACTGGTGGAATTCCAGCGACTGGCTCGAGTTCAGCCGCGAGTGGAACATTCCAGTCTACCATTTTCTGCGCCGACACGTCTTCTTCTCGTCCAAGACGTACTTCTCGACTCCAGTTGCTATGACAATCACCTTCCTCGTTAGCGCCCTCGGTCATGAGCTGATCATGGGCTGCATCACGAAGAAACTGCGTGGATACGGCTTCTTCGCAATGATGCTGCAACTACCGATAGTAGCACTACAAAGGAGCAAGTTAGTCCGAGGTCGATGGGTGCTCAATAACGCCGCATTTTGGGGCAGCATGATTCTGGGTTTAAGCACCATGTGTAGCTTGTACGTCCTGGTTTGATTGGGGGCTTCAGTAAACACGGTAAACCCCTCATATATGTAGAGTGTAGTCTGTGACAATAGGAGAAAATCAGAGACAATAGCGAGCAAAACTAACTCCATGAAAGCTGTGAGCCTGGCAGCCACGATGCCTAAACACAGGGCATGACCTTGGCATAATTTTATGCGTGGCCTTGGTATTAATTATCTGCACAAACGCATTTCCAAAATATCTCGCCAGTTTAGATTTCTCCTCGACTCCCATATCACAATCAGAGTCGCCGCTTTAAACCAGCCGCCACCACTGCCACTGAAACATATCACACTTTTCCTTTTTCAAGAAATGACTCTCTCCTTGTAAGTGCCCATTCTTATTTGTTCGTTTCATCAGCACCACTGTTTTGGACATGCTCCCAAAAAAAAGGGAGGACCACGACATGTTCCATGTCCACGGACGCCTAGATTAACGACATGCTGTTAAACGTCCTACGGACTGTACCTACTCCCCCGTGGAGCTTCACAATGCCTCCTCATCACCTACACTCTTTCACCAACTGCCCTCTCAATCCCGATCCCTGTACATTGCCCACCCACCACATTCAAGGTATTTAAAAAATCACTTTGCTCGAAACAGCGGACAATTAGATGAGAAAAATCACATTAGAGAACGTTGTTGATGGTCGGTGCTCTATTCTCTCTTCACAACCCGATGAATTTTCTCCAACCCCGTCCCCAACTGAACCTGAATCTGCACGCCGCGGACAAGTGTAGCCTTCTCAACGTTGCACCTGCACTACCCTGCCTCCCCAACAATCAGCTCACTTACTTTGCACTCTTGGTGGAATCCATCGCTAACGTTGTGATTATCGATAGGCCCGCCAGAGCCAGTGTGTGGAAGTTCACCTACATGGCAAGCCGCCAGGAGGGCTTCTTTGTCCAGGATGGAGATGAGCTGGACTACCACTCAGCCATCGTCCCCAGTGAAGGAAAGAAGCCCATCCACGTCAACGGTCATGAGCTGGTGGTTCCGCGCCTGCGCGTGAGGCGCGATTCGGCCGGAAAGGCCATCACACAACCTCCCGGGCTCTGGTTCTGGGAGGTTAACGACCCGGACCAACTCGAGCCGGACGGCAGCGAGACGTGGATGGAGCTGGGGTTCTTCTCAGGCCCAAAGGACCTGGAGAAGAAGTTGCTGGATTTCTTTGCGCGAGATTGGGGGGACAAAGTCACCGGACCCACTGGTGCTCTCAAAGACGGCCACGGCGTGTGGGACCGATTTCTCTTTCGTCGCTCAGGGGAGCAGACTAAGAAGATGATGGAGGTCCGGGAGGAGTACTGGCAGGCGCAACGGCAACAGCAACAGCAACAGGAGGAGGAACAGGAACAGGAACAGGAACAGGAACAGCAACAATGAAGCTCCCCCCGCCCTCTCTTGCCCTTTCTCGCCCCCTTCTCGACTTACTCCGTTCTCTGCCTGGAAGGATAGTGGTTGGATATGTTGCGCTCTTGGACCGGGTATTGGCCACTCGTGTGCTTGTTTGCTCGCGCGGAATGGTCGTAGCCCCTTTCCTCCCTCCGGATTGTGCATAAAGGGCTTACCGCTGTAGGGAAAAGCCTCCGAGCTTTGCTCGCCAATATTATGAGCTTTGCTCGCCGACGTGGATAACAGAGTTGGTATTCATGGGAGTGGGTGAGGAACGAGTACTCATAGCAGGCACAATAGATAGCTTTTCAATCAAATCCTGGCTGAACCAAAGCCTTACACTCGTCATGTTCCCGATTGGACAAGATGGATGGACCAGAGCAGCGGAATGGGCAACCACCGACTGGTGGACATTTCTTGTAGACATCGAATATCGACTGACCCACGTATAAACAAGCTGGAGACGATTGATACGGGATGTCGTCCGATTTCTGCCCCGACTGTTGCCACAGAGTGCACGACAGTCACACCACAACAAACACTCTAAAACAGCTCAATGGTGACAGACGCTAGAATATAACCATGGACCAAGATGCGCCAGTACCTCGCCATGATGGAAGATCCAAAATACCCAGACTCCAAACAATTGCATTCAGTACAGATCGCCCATTCCGCATTTCTCCGATTCGAGCCTCAATCAGCGCGTCGCCAGCGCCATAGAAATCAACAAAAAAAGACAGCGAACTCGCGGGGGCGATACAGCTCACATGACCACGCAACCACCACTCCTGGCGCGCCGCCGGCCTCCTCTCGGGGGTCGTCCGGCCGCGTACTCCAGACCACTGCCATCTTCATCTCCCGTCCCGATATCTTGAGCGGCACCGTCTTCGTCGTCTCTGACACGGTATTCAGCCTCACGAGCTCGCCGTCTGCGGCGCCTCGAGCTCCAACCATGGCCGATGACACCGACCTCTTCGCTGGCGACCATCCACTCGGCCCATTTTTGTTCCAGCCTGGCAGCTGCACCCCAGCGGCCGGTGATGCAACGTTTATAATGCTCCTCTACCGTTTGCTGCCAACCATAGAATGCCTTGAGATGGATGATTTCGATAGGGTAAAGCAGGGTTTGAATCTCAACAACTTTCCGGATCTCCTGCTTTTCACCAAACTCATCCTCAGCATTGAAAGTCTGGACCACGGACTTTTTCCGACCCTGCATGACGCGGCCATTTCCCTGCAGAATCTCGCGGACGCCAGCCCAGGTGACATTGGCACAGTCAAATGCAACGAGTTCTAGCCCTTTCTTAGGCCGTTGTGACTTCTTTGTTGTGCTGCCGCGTTTTCGGACCTGCTCAGAGGCTTCCATGAGCACCAAGTCAGAGATTCTGGTGTTATCCAAACAGAGAGACTTGATTTGCGGGCAGGCCTTGAGAAGGGGGAGCACTCCAATGTCTCCTACTTGCTCACAGTAGGAAATGCTCAGATGTTCCAAAGTCTTTGCAGCTTTCGACTTGGAAAGATTCATAAGCGTTGCATTTGTCAGAAGATCAACTTCTTCCAGCTCCAAGTGAGTTAGGCGGTGCGTTGACTGCAGGAGATCTTCAAAGGCATCATCGGTCAAAGCAGTGTCCTGGCAGGTTCGGAGACCTTCCAGATACGGCACATTGTATGCAAGGGCTTTGACGCCTCGGTCGGTCAGACTTCGACACCTTGAAATATCCAAATGTCGCAATCGCCTAGGAGGGACGACAGGTCGATCAGTGAGGACATCTCGTTCAGGGTCAGTCCCGTGGATCATGATCTCCAGAGCCTCATCCGTCAAGCTGTCGCAATGCTGAAGGATTAATCTCTCCAGGGTATTACGCTGGAACAATTCGAGCATAAACTCGTTGTCATCCAACCCTCGAACCTCGCTAGCACGCAGGTCGATGAGGTTTGGACACGACTGGATGACCTTTTTAAGCCCTTTTGTATCGATTTGGGAGCACCAGTCGATGTTCAGCAACTCGAGCTGTGGGCAATGGCTGGCAATGATTTTCATGGTTGCATTGTTGATATTCTGCATGCTGGGCATATTGATATGGAGCAGTCTCGGATTCCGAAGGAGGAAGAAGTGGATGGACGACCGCTCAATTTTGCAGCCTTCAATGCTGAAGTTCTCCAGGTTCCGGCATTCTTGGTTCGTCATTCTCGTCCCGAGGCTCAGCCACTGATCCCGCAGCTGCACACACCCTCTGAGGTTGAGATTCTTGACAAAGGCACCAGCCCTGAGCATGATCTTTATCAGAGCTTCCGAGGTAATCTGTTGGTAGTATGTCTGGCAATCGAGGCTCGTCCATAATTGGCCATCAAAGCACATATCATGCCACTCTTTTGACACTGCCGAGAATCTGATGATCTCCTTTGGCGACAGAAAGCCCAGAATATAGACTCGTATCTCATACGGCAGGTCTTTCCAAAAGTTGAAATTGGGTCGTCGAGGAAGCGGCTTCTCTGAGATCTCGGGAAGTGGAGCAGAGAGGGGTTTGGAGGTGCGGATATCGATTGGGACAGGGACGGTGGTAATTTCATTGGGGTCCAATGGTCGCAGCCGGGAGTTTGTTTCGAAGTAGGACTGCTGGCTGCAGGGCGAACCAGGCGTGGTTGGCGCCGTAGAGAAGCCATTGGACAAGGCGTAGGAAGCGTGAGGTGATAACGAGTATGTCGAGGGTGGCGAATTGAGAGACACGCAGGAGATGGAGGCTTTCTGGCCGGATTTGTAGACCTTCTCACTTGAGCGAGTTCTACCCAACTTGGCGAGTGACGGAGAAGAAGACATGCGCTGCAGGCCTTGAAGTAATCTGTGTCGACCTTTAAGCTTGACCGGCTGGTCAAAGGGCGTTTGAGCCTCCATCAGCGGACTTGCAGGAGTCATTGGCCTTGGGGAATCAAGCTGTCGAGGCTGAGAAGAGGAGATGGTGGTGTTGAGCATGGCCGGGGAGAGTGACTGCTGTTCCATGATGTATGCCGGGCAGACTCGGCACCAGCAATTCAGAAGTAGAAGCTGATATGCAGGATCAAATGTAAAGCAGCTTCGACCGGTGTTTGGTTGCAGGATGGACTGTCGGTCGAATCAAGCAAGCCAAACGAGGGAGAGGAACCCCCCTCACGGCCCTCGACAAGGGATTTCTTTCAGCAGCAGTGACAGCAGGATCAAGTTGGCCAGCAACCACTTTCGGAGCTGTGAGGAGGAGGCGGAGGGAAACGAAAGCGAAAGATTTCAAGCTGAGAAGCAATCAGTCCATTTGCAAGACCGAGCGACGACAGTGAGGTCAGGCGACTGGGCAGGGCAGGAGAGCGTCAACAAGATGGGGATTGGGGGGGGCATGGCAAGAAGAGCAAGCAGGATTTTGAGAGGCCGAGCCGAGACAAGGGGACAGGGAGACACGCAATAGATGCTGGTGATGGACACGGACGCGGACCTACATACGAGCACAGCTGATGGTCGCATGGATACCTCTCTAGTGGTAGCGAAGTGGGTGTCATGTTGCCAGGCCATCGGGCGATACTACTAACGGGCAGCTAACGGGGATGGAGGCCACACAGGAGGGGGCAAAAGGGTGGTGAAGCTGCGAGTAGGTAGAGCCAAACGGGCACAAGCACGGCCAAAGGCAAATAACCCAGCTACGGAGCAGACGAGCCAGGTCCGATGGACGACCGAACGACGAGGGGCTTAACCGCCTGGGACTGCTGGGGGAACAAGGAAAAGACGGTCAGATTTGGCTTATCGGCGTTATCGATAGGCTGACCAGGTCCCTATCAGTGCCAAGGTCCAACTAAATTAGCGACCACCCGAGAACCCCTCCTCCTTCCTCCTTCCTTCCCTCCCTGACCCTCGATGTATTCTGTACCCTCTGCGCCCACCACCAAACAGGTCGGTCAGTTGTATCCGCCACCTGTCCCCTGACTGGTTCATCGGACATGTACTCACACATGCAGGCTGTCAATCTGATGGCAGGGCTCTGGACAAGATAACGTGGTACAGGACACCAGACCCGAGCGTTCTTATGGATGGTCAGAGTTCACATGGCACCCTAGGCAAGTGATCAATACAGAAAGCGTGTGCTCATTGCCATCTTTCTTTCCTTTTTCCTGTTTCTGAAGGTGTCATCGCGTGCTTCCGGGAAGCCAACTCAACATCCTTCCCTGGATTTTTGGCCATCCAGGGGGCTTGGCCATCGGATGCAGTTGGATTATCGCCCGCGGACCCATGCAGCTACCGACAGGAGAACTGGGGAACGAGCAAGGGTGAAATTTGACAACCAGTCTCTCCTCCTCCACAAAGATCTGCCGACAACTGCTGGTCACGACTCTGTGGTGGAGACAAAGGCAGTGTTTTCAGCCCAGAGACTAGGAAAAGTCACTGCGGATCCAGTCCGCTTAACCGAAGAGGAACCCATCTCACCTTGGTGCGGCGTTGCCTCGTGGCCACTACCACGCCGCCCGCTTCTACTCGCCCAAATGCGGCGGACCTCAGAATCAACTCGGCCCATGCTAGCCCGTGGTCTGTGTCTAGTTAGAGACATGCAGAGACGTTCCGCGCAAAAGCAGGGTCCAGGCCCTTCGTAATATCTGCGAGATTCCGAATCCTCTTTGGTTAAGTTGCAGATATGTCGCCGCGGGCGATTCCTTCTCGAAGGAATTTGCACGAATTGAGCAAAGGTGGCTGGTTGTCAAGAGCCAAGGGTCCTGGTCCTGCTAACTACGGGCTGCAGGATACCCACGGCTCGGTCGTCTGCGAAGCTTTGTTCGTGTGTGGTCATGATCTTCTTTTCCCCTTGCCATTATGGAGTAGGACCAACTAGTACCTCGACCTTTTCAATCGTCACATGGGATGTCGCTAATCGCCCATGGGATGAAGCTGTCAATGATTGACCTGCTTGTGCCTTGATTTTGGTGACTTTGATACCATCCGTGACGACACTTCGTTGTGTGAAGACAGGTGTGATCCGGGGCCCTTTTCCGAACCGAGGAATCCAACCTCTCCTCTTCTTGCAGTTGTCGCGAGACATGCGGCAGAGGCCTTACCGCACGGCAGTTCGCCAGGAAATGGCTACCGCCTGCTTGTCACTCGGAGTACAGCCGAACGTGGTGTGTCTAGTCAGATGGCAAGCTTACCCCAAGGGCTGCCCGAGGACAACACTTGCCAGCGCGGACTGGACTTGAGTGTCTTTTGGCGTCAGGCTTGTTTCCACACTATTAGCAAGGGCAACGGGAGAATCTCCAGAGTTTAAGCGAGGGCTAGGCTAGGGAGGCATGCCCAAAGAAACTCCAGGAACTCCGTACCCAGATCCCCGCAGTTGCACTCCCTTTCCCCAGCTCCCAAATTCGGCTGAATGTGTTCCGTTCTCTTCAGGGGCGTTCATCCGCGTCCCGGCAATGACCAGGTGTAACTATGTGCACACAAACGTCTATGTGGACAATGCAGGGCTCAAGGACGTGGAGGGATGGTGGGAGTAGAGGGAGATGCCTTTCGTGACAGGAGACACCGGCCTGCTGAGAACTCATGACGAGAAACATCGAGCAGAACGACTGATGGAATCTGAAGGATACGTGGTAACAGCTCCGCATCGCTTCTGAAACCTGGAGTCCAAAGGTACCATTCGTCTGCCGAGGGACAACTATTCTTCAACCGCATTTTGGGATTTGAAGGTCTCGTTGGTCCCTAGCTAGCTCTCTCCACATTTCGGGGTTGAGAGTCGACCGTGGCTGCATCATGCGAGGCACGTTCTTCGACCTCCGTATCCAATATGCACACCGTGCTACCTGCGATTCGGTCTCCCAGGAGAGCCTGGTCTCGACCGAACTGCCACCTCTCCACGCGTGGTGCTGCTTTTCCCCTCTGGTTCGTTATCCCATTTTTGGACGTCTGCGATTGTGGCTGGTACTCGACAAGCCCGTCCATATTTGCATATCTGAAACGCCCAAGCTTTCAAACCTCCTCGTCCACTTGTCTAAAAAGATTTGTATCCGCCGGCAAAAGTTCTTTTTTTATCGCCATAAATCTGGTCATTTAGCACATAAAGCCCACTTGAGTCCCAAAAGATGAATCCAATCGTTTCAGTCATCGTCTTCTTCAAGCCAAGGATCGTCAAGCACTTCTTCAATGGTGCTACGTCTGTCCACATCACGGTCCAACATCTTCCGAATGAGTTCTAGGCATTCTTCAGAAAATGGCAAAAACGGAACCCGCAGTGGGTGATCGAGTATTTCATCTGCCACAAGTCAGTCTGAAAGCAGCCCAGTCTCGGCGTGACGATTCTCACCTAAGTTATAAAAAGGATCTTGCAGGCTATTAGTCATGGCTCAATCAAGCAGGGGCAAGCTCGACTCACTTTCTTTGTACGCAATGGTGTATAACAATATGCCCAATGCCCATACGTCTTGTTCCTTGCCGCCATAGGGTCTGCCATGAAGAACTTCCGGGGCAGCATAGTCTACAGATGTTAAGAGCTAAACACCATGCAGGGTCTGTTGACACTCACCTATAGTTCCCACAAACACGTCAAATGGTCCATTTTTGATATATGCAGCGCTGCCAAAGTCAATCAATTTGATTCGTCCTTCGCCATCCAAAACAACATTCTCATCTTTAATGTCTCGATGCACCACAAGAGCCTTCGTGTGGAGATGATGAATAGCGTCCACTACCTGGCGAAAGATGTTCCGACTCTCGGCCTCGGTCATGTTTGTCCTCAGCTCGATATAGTCGAACAGGTCCATACCCGGAATGCCATGAGGTAGCATTTCAATGTAATAATTGATATCATCCTCGAAGAAGTCAATCATCTCCACGATATTAGGGTGTCGGAGCCCATCTCGACGAAGATAATCTAGGACATGGATCTCCAACGGAACGGTGCCCAACCTGCGGTCTCTGGTCCAAGTGTCGACCAGGATACGCTTTTTGGTCACATACTTGAGAACCATCTTCCTCGACTGACCTTTCTTGTATCTAACAAGCTTAACCTGACCGTATGCTCCAGAGCCCATTTCCTCTAAGATAATGAAGTCATCAATGGTCTTTTTCTTGTGAGAAATATATGTCATATGGGGAGGTGGATGTTCGAGCGGTTCATCCATGGTGACGGACTCTGTTTCATCTGATTGATCAGCCACAAGCGAAAGCTGGGAGCTGTCTCCGGATCTGTCTGAGGGCACTGGAGGTGGAGAAGGGAGCGTTGGGGGTGGTTCTGGTTGTGATGGTGGCGACAAAGAGCGTTCATGCGCCAAATAGTTATCATCGTTGGGGCCTATTCCCACACCATGAATATTGCGGGAATAGATGATCCAGAGTGCGTAAACAAGCTCCGCCACGGCAACACTTGATTCCGCCCGGAGCTCATCTTTTTCCTCGATCACAGCCTCATCCGACATGGGAAAGACAGTTTCACTGCGAATGACTCTCATCTGAATATCAACCATAATGTCCGATCCATCTCGATGTTTAGCGGGGACACCGCACGGCCTTAAGAATATGTGGGCAGGATTTTCTTTGCCTTCGCGAAGTGAGAGAATGGTTCGAGCTCGACGAAAGCTGTGTTCTGGCACAACAATGCCATCAACGAGGTCGACACCGTCATCCTGCCTTAGAATGCTCAAAACATCCTCGAAGCTGGGGATCAGACTAGCGATACGCAAGCCATCAAGTTTCGGATACCCAAACAGAGCTGCTGAGAATATGCTGTTCGAGCTCGTGATTTTAAGAGTATCTGGGTCCAAGACCATGACACCTGCTATGTGAGGCAGACTGGAAATTCGGATCTGGTCTCCTGTCGGTGATACCTCCACTGTGGTCGGTATACGGACATGTTCAATCGTTTCTGCTGCGAAATACCCTATGTAATGTTTGTCGTGGGAGTCAAGTGCATCCAACGGGAACTTTGGAAGGAGAGACTTGAGGGGTGTGCCATCAAGGTCGGACCGGCCCCAAATGGCAAGTATCTCACCATGAGCACTTTTCACCGCGCCCATGTCATCAATATCGAGGTATGCGACGTCCTCGGTGATCTCTTCGATCACCCAGATAAGACCACCGCGTTTTTCCATGACCCAAAAGCTGGCTGCACCCTTGCTGCCATCTCGTCTTTGAATGGGCACGATGTCTCCGCAAAGCAGGACGCCCCTTGATTTGTTTGACGGGTGGTTCTTAGGCTTGGGGCTGTAGTGGCCGCCAGAGCCATCGTCCGTCCTTGCTCTTTCTGAAGATTTGTTAGCTCGAGAGGGAGCTTTACTAAGTAGCCGAGCTGTAATACCGCTTCTTGACCCTACCAATGACAGGCTAGTGCTTCTCGCTTCACTCTTCGGAGGGGACGGGGACTGCGGTTCCTGAACTTCTTCAGGTCGCGACAGTCTCATCTCCAACCAGTGCCTTCTTTCTTCCTGAATGATTCCAAGGATACTCAAAGACCGGAGTTCAGCTCGTGTAACTCCGAAGATCAGGCAGGCCAGATCATTGGCTGCCAGAATCGTCCAAGGAGCATCTGCCGTTGTGCGAAAAACAGCCTGGTGCGCAGGCGACCACTTGCTGCTGTGGGTATGGACGGACGAGGGATTTCCAGTGGTAGGTGTAGCAGGAACACCTGTGATCGAAGAAGCGCGCACAGCGCCTTGCGTAAGATTGTTGTCATCAGCCGAGTATGGCTGAGCAAGTGCTTCTATAAGCTTCTGCTGTAGAGACAGAGAGTGCAGATCCGTGTACGTCCTCTTGAGGCCCGTCCGCGGAGGCACATCTATAGAATCTGATCTGGTTGGCGGTATCTGCATTTCAAGACCAGGCTCATTCGGCGACATGTCATCATCTAGGGAATATTTTCGTCTTTGCATTGCTTCCTCGGGGTCAGGGCTCGCAACTTCCTGTCCGGCATGCTCCAACTCCCGGCCAAAGCTCTTTTCGAAAACATTGCGTCCATCGGTGTGGGCAGGGCCCGTGAAGGGCCCCAGACCCACCGCTTTGGATCTGCTGTTGCTTGTGTCGATGGGAATGATGTTTGCCTTCTTGAGCAGGTCCATCATGCCCTGAAGCTCTGGATCCCCACTGACTCGCGCTTGGGCGTGAGCCAAGGCTGGATTTGAGGCCCATGACGAACGGTCCCTCACGAAATCGATTGACTTCTGAAGAATGTTCTGCCTGCTGTGTAGGACCTCCTCGGACTGCTTGGCGAAAGAGAATGAGTGGAGAGATTCTGAGGGAAAGCGATGAAGATCCTCTAGCACAGGAGAAGAGGGTCCGCTCATCATATAGCCCGTTGAAACGGACCGGCTGGAGGAGCCTGATATTGGCGCAGTCTTGGAGTGATGCAGCACAGGAGCAATAAATTCTCCGGCCTCCAAGATCAGCGTAGGGGTTCGTAGCGACGGCCCTTGTCGTCTGATTCTTCGAAGGCCGGACCTGCCCAAGCCGTCATGGTCGATACGAGCAGCCCTAAATGTTGGTCAAACCCCCGATCTTCCCTGGACAACATGTACACCCACCTTTTGAGATTGTTCATCTCTTGAGCGGTCCCCGCGTCGAAGGAGAAGCGTGTTCTCTGAGGAAACGAGGGTGCATCGTACTTGACGGGATGTAGGTTCCCGGTGCTCTTATTCTTCGGGATTCGTAGTGACTGGTCTCCGCCCATGCCAGTCGAGGGTACAGCGAGGAGGGGAGAAAGAGGCGGGGTGGTGTCTCCTTCGTACACATGTCAATACATGTCTAAATTCAGCTGGTTGTTCCAACAAGTAGCGAATGGCGCCAGGCTCCTCCCAGCAGAGCCATAGGCTCAATGCATACCGTGAATATCCAATCCATTTCGTTTCATGCTGAATATTGGCACTTTGATTGCTCGTCAGGCCGCCGGGCCGACCAGTCCAATACCAGCCAGTATTACAATGCCTACCTAGACAGAGGCATCTCTCTGCAGGTATGTACGTTGACGAACGTAAGGTCGAGCGCGGAAAAGGAGGGTATTAAATCAGATACTGTCTCTAAATTTGAATTGCACCCTTAGGTGAGAAAGATCAGAACGGCAAAGACGGACGGCGACAGGCAAGATACCTCAGGGTGCGAAGGTGAGGTTGATAAGTCGTGGCGATCCCAGGATGGGAAGCAAAGAATCGTCGATCAAGAGGCTATCGGCTATTATGCAGGTCGCGAGTTGAGAGGAGATTGTGGAAAGGTGAGTCGTGTTCAAGCTGCATAGTGTAGGCGCAGTTGTGCAGTCGGTGGCGATTGGTCCTCCCAGCCAGTAGCCTAAGCCCTTCGGTTTGCATGTGGCCACCGCTGCCACCACTGATTTGAGCTGGACCGCTTCAAAGGAACTTCGCCTGGTGGCCTTTTTTTGCGAGAGATCTGGCAGCCTCATGCCCGAACCGCCTAGCTAATATTCCAACGATCGCGAATGAAAGCATCTGGCCCACAGGATTCGGAGCCAGGCCTCAACCGAAACAAACAGGCCTCCTCCTCCCTGCAACACTGGCGAAATTTGGGCGACACCGGGCTCTCGATCGCAGGCTATATATCTGGACAACCGGATCATTCGACCAGGCTGCGTCCTGATACAGACACGATTTGATCGTCATCGCTTTCCCACCTAATGTACCATCAACAAACACCGGCACAAAGGGGCACAAAGGGTTTCCGTCACCAACCCAACGGTCACAGCCACACTGCGAGACGGGCTTGGAGCTCCGGAAATGTCGGACTTATAAGGCTTCAAAAGAAAACTCAAACAGCAAGTCTATATTAGACGCCTGACTCGCGACCCGTCGACATCTCTACTAAGAATGCAAAAATATCTTGACGTCGTTCAAATGCATCGCTGATACATACACTGACGTTACACACCAACCGATCACTTCCGGCGTTAGCGCTTGTTCTTCTCCTCAGCCTTGTCCTCCTCGAATCTTAGTCAAGGAAAAGCCGTCATCCTCCCTCCCCGAGTCTCTGCGCTCCTGCTGCATCTTGGTTTCAACTGCCTTGTTCTTGAGTCTGGTACCGGACTCGCTTTCCCTTTTACGTTCTGGTAGGTCCGCAACAGAACTGACGAAGCTAGACCGGTGTCGGTTCTCCCCAAGCATAAACGAAAATGATGAGTCCATCAGTGACGGCCGTGGCAACGCCTTGTTTGCTGCTACACCACCTCCATTTCCGTCTGTGGCATTTTTAGCCGACTCAGGGGTTCGTGATTCTGGTTTCTTGTCGTCCTCTTTTTCCGAGACGTGTCCGCCTCGAACTTCTTTCCTTGAATCTTGCGCAGTCGGGTTGGTCGTTTTGATTGGCTTGTTTGAATCCTGGGATGCTTGTTCCTTTGGAATAGGGATTTCTGGATTGGACAGATAAACCGAGACGAATTGGATCTTGGCCAGGCAAATGTTTAGGTCCTGTTCTGCCTCTCCAGCTGCTTCCGGAGTCGTCAGCTTAATCGCCCTCAACGATTCCAATGCATCATCTAGCATTTGGGCGAGCACCACATTCCTTTCCTGTAATAATTCTGCTTTCTGTTTTAAATTCTGTGACAACACCTCAGCTTCAGCTTCTGGACCTGTCCGCTCGGGAACGACCAACTGAGGTGCATCAAGACTGGAATGCCTGGCATGTGATGATTGATAGTGATTCATATTTCGCCGGACCTCGCCAACCGCGCTTCTAACGGCTTTCGAGACATCCCAACCTTCGGTTCGCTTGTGAAGATTGCCTGTGACTTCTCGAAACAGTCCTTCGAGCTGTCTTTGTGGGGAATCGAACCGCCCTGGAGACGCATTGGGTGATTGTCGATGCTGAGGGGTTCGGGTTGCTCTGATGGCAGATGGGCTGCGTCTACTTGGAGCTTCGGTCCGCTTCGGCCGTCTGCCAGAGTATCGCTGGATGACTATTGCTCCAGCCTCGCGGTCCCGGTTCTTGTCCAAGAAGACAGCGTCCCTGACTAAGGACCGGGGGTCCCCAGCGGAGCTAGGGAGAGTGTAGTGAGTGAGTGCAGTGATGGCGGCGGTGTAGTCTGATTCGATCAACGACCAGCGAGATCTCAACAGCATTGCGACACAAGTCAAATCGACGATATCTGACCTTAAATTCTCGGCAAAGAGAACATCCCATATCCTGAGGACATCTTTGAACTCGAACTCCCGCCCGAACAGCAGCCGAATCCAACGGCTGCATGCTGTCAGATATAGCATGTTACGCCATAAAAAGGGGGTAACTCACATAGAATAGATCTGGGGAAGAATGCCGAGTACATGTAAGTGGAGGGCTAGTTCCGGATCGACGGCATTGAGAATGTCGTCGTGGATTCTTTTGCTTCTTGCAACGATAGGGGAGGAGTCACGGTTCTCGCCAACTTCGTAGAAGGCTTTCGCTGTCTGCATCAAGGCACAGAAGAGGTTGAATGAATCATGCTCAACGAATTTGTCGTCCAGCACCTCTGTCATGAAATCAACGCCTTCAGCCTTTTTAACAGCCTCTGGGACAGACATTAGATCCACCGCATCTTGTTGAACGACCCACACAATGGGCGCCAACAGTTCATGCATGCCTTGTCGGTATCCAATATCCGGGTTTAGTTTCGCGTAAATAAAGAGGATGTCCAGCAGTTTCTTCTGAGTAGCAGGTTCGCGGAAGAAGTAATTGTCCTGCATGCATCGTCTTACATCCTGGAATATCTCCTCCCGGCTTATCTCGTCTTGCCGTAGACTTGCCCAGGGAGACTTTGCTTCGTCAGACGTCAGACCCTTGAAGTGTTTCCAAGAGACGAAGCAACATACATTTTCATCGTCCGCCAGGGGGTCTGCAGACGAGTGAAGGTCATTGGGGTGTTCTATAAAGCGTAAAAAGTGATCCCGTAGAGAGGCGTAGGCGTACCGAGACTCGGCCAACTTTCTGGACCACGAACCCTGGCTCAATGGTCCGTAGAGGAGGAAAGCCTAGTAGAATTGATGTTGGCCGACAATATTTCTGGACGGCCAAGCAGGTCACGAACCTTCCAAGAAACGGACCGCAACCCTTCTTCACATGGATCGAAGCCTTCACCGTCTCTTACAGCCTGTCTCAAGTCGACTCCTATCGAGGTACTGAACAGCGACGTCCACCGACGCCTAAGATAGAGTCAGTGTGTACGTGATTTCCAAAGACATTCTTCTTACTGTATATCTGCAAAGGTCCGCATGACCGCCAGTCATGTCCAACGAAGAGGCCAATGGTAAAGAAGAGGTAAATTGATAAATGGCCGACACAAATCGCGTTGGCGGTTATGCCTGAAGTCACGGGTCGGCCTTGCATTTGACGGTGTTAGATGCTTGGCATATGTGCTGCTTTTAACACCAGCTGCTCGGACGAACCACTTGCAACATCACATTGCCTACCCAACGCTTACAAACTATACATGGATAATTCTGCTGGATTCATGACTATTACCGTATTGGATATACAATCAAGTAGCAGGACAGATAATGAAGGATTTGATTTACCCTACGTGGTACGTAAAGTAGGATCTAGTAGGTTGTCAGGAGCTGGACATTTCCCCCCCCCCCCCCCCCCCCACGATATCAATTGGCTCTTGCGCGGGGAAAGAGGGCCAGGCTGGCATCATCCTCAATCCCGAAACATGGCGAATCGCCAGCAGTTTTCTACGTACATATCCCTTGAAACTCACCCTCCACTTGTAGTTTCCCGCTAGCTATAGCATGCATCAAGTGCCACCGAAAATCCGCACGACGACCTCAGCGTCAACCTGTCATGCAGTTCGTTGACAATGTCGGCCGATTTGTATGCAGCGTTTTTGGCGGATAAGGCACCAAGTCTGGAAGAGACAGGAAACACACCGACCTATGCAACGACGATTGCTCCTTCTACAACCGCCATTGATATTCAGCTCCCAACCCCGGTCCAACCAACGCTGCAGCAGAAGGCGCCTTCGCCACTCTGGCAGCGGGACACGGGTGTGAGCCACGTCCTCTTTGATACCGAAGACGCCGATTTTGAGGATGAATTTGGCGACTTTGAAACGGCACGCGACTCCACTAATAATGGGATCAATATTAGACAACATGACTTGGTGGCGCAAGCGGGCCTCATCTCTACCAACATATCCGATCGAGCGCCTTTAGTTCCTGATCTTCCGGATGCCGATAACATGCTCTGCGAACCATCGCATCGAGGAATCAAGCTCTCACAGACCTCAACAGTCCAGAATAATCAGAGTGGTACGAGAGACGCAGCAATCGGCGCACAGCCTTCGTGGGACGACGATTGGGGCGATTTTGAGCAGACAGAGCCCGCAGGCGCTCTTCAATTAGCCGTGGAAGCGACCACTCACGCGTCCGATGATGAATGGGAGCCTCTCGACGACTGTATACCTGCTTCAAACCAGCAGATTTCTCATCCAAACATACTTGCATCGACGGAAAGCAAAGCTATGTCGGTCGCTTTCCAACCCGACACCCAGACTTCAGCATTTGAGAGGCCGACCAATGTCCCACCACCCTCCTCTCTTCTGCAGTTACTCTCTTCCGTCTTTGACTTCATCCACAAGAGCAATGCTGATCATACGTTCTCAAAATCGGAACTGGCGTCGAAGGTGCTGCTCGTCTTTCGGGTTTCCGGCCGAATAGCGTCAGGCAGGACCTTGCGGTGGAAGAGAGATGCCCTCTTAGCCCAAAGTGTGAGGATAGGTCAATCGGGCAAGAGCGGCGGGATGAAACTAACAGCGGTGAACAAGAGTGAGGCAACCAAGGAAGAAAGAGACACGGAAGAGATGGTTCGAGATTGGTCAAGCTACGTCCATGAATTCAACAGCATCCTTGCCCAAGCCCAAGTTACCCCTCACCGGATGAGGCTATCTTCCACTCCTTCCCTTAAGAAATTGGAACACACAGACCCCTCTGACCCGTCGAAGCAATGTGTTCTCTGTGGATTGAAGCGGACGGAAAGACTGAGCGATATTGATGTCGACGTGGATGATCTTTTCGGTGAGTTTTGGGTTGAACATTGGGGCCACAAGGATTGCTTCAACTTCTGGTATTCATACAAGAATATGCTCGGACACCGTTAAGAACGAAACTGGTCTCAATCGAGTACCAGAGTTAAGACTCGCTTCCGCAAACATCGAAGCATTGACTTGATGTCTAATGCACCCATTACTCACAGCACGTGTCCACGTTCCAGGTGCGGTAAGGTCCCGTGTCTGCAGCGCACGGCTCATCAAGCTCGTACCTAGCCGACTTTTCTCTCATCTCAGCTTGTGTCCAGTGGAAAGCTTCACATCCGTCACAGTTGAAGTCTGATGCTGGTTCGTCGCCACACGAACAAGGACTGATCGCCCGATCGTTCTTGCAGAACTCACTCACTCTGTGGCAGTCGAGACAGACCCGGAGGGAGACTTCCCTGAAGAGCTGTTCTCGTTGCTCTCTTTCGCTTTTATCATGTTCTGTGTCTCGACGTTTCCCATCACGGTTTGCATTGTCTTGGTACGCTAAATCAGACCGGGTGTTGACCTGCGGCTCGCTCAACTCCCAGGTCACAGAGGAGTTGAAGTTAGTTGCTCGACAGTATCGGAGACAATGGTGGCAGAAGAGAAGACTCGGGGGCATCCAGGACGACAGTTTCGACATCAATATCAAATGGGTCTCCCAATCCCCAGGGCAAGCCTGTTGATTCCGTTGCATAAATGGTGCAACGTGTGCAGCCATGGCCTTGGAGGTGAGTGCGAGGCTGATGAGGTTTGCTTTGCAGGAGACTCTTTTGAAGACGCAGGCTAGGACACTGTGTGGGAGACATTCGAAAATTGACAGTGGCATTTTGGCTGGGGTTGCGGTACGAGACTACTTTGAGATCAGATCGAGATCTCAAGAAATGAACAGCAATTGAGCATACCGCTTGTGGTAACCAAACCTCATCCAGGTCCACCTTGCTGTTGAGGCGGGTGAGGCGGGTGAGGCGTCTCGACTGCCCGCGATCTGGGGAAGGGCCTGAGAAAGTAACTTGACATTTCATGTTGTTCCGCCTTGTTGAGTCAGCTCCGGGTAGAGGACAAAACCAGCAATCTCCGTCAGGTAAAGACCACACGATGCAATTAGGAGAGAGCTCGTCGCATACGTTGCGAGACAGGGCCCAAGCCATGTGAGCTGAAAACACCCTTCCAAGAATTAGAATCTTACAATCTTACAAGCCTTACCAAAGAAAGGAAGAAAAGGTCAAGATAACGAGAGTGGTTTCAGTTCATTGAGAATAAATTGTTGATGGGATGGTGACAACAAAGTGAATGTTTACCAGCAACTGCAGTCTCCCGCCTGAACCCAAGGCAGGCTCTTTATCGTCTTTCCTTCCATTTTAACTCACTTCGCTTGCGACGCTGGCATTTGTCACCTCACCAGACAGTGACCGCAATGAACCAAGCTATATTGGAACAATGGAAGGAGGCCAGGACCGCGACCTCTGAAGCCGGACGCTCCAAAAGGACGGCTGCCATGGAAGATACAACAGAGATATACTCGAGGATTGCTGCTGGAGACAGTCAGAGACACAAATCATCTCAATGCCTGACACTTGTGTTGGACCACACCAGTTTATAGTCCCTTACTTTGCAGCCTCGCCTTCCATTCTTGCATCAGTTTCTGACCTGTTGGGCCGGGGGTGACCAGACTGACAAGGTGAGCAGGCAATTGGCAGGCAACAACAGGCAACAAGGCTCGCAGCTTCTTTGTGGCCGAAGTTTAGCCGATATCGATAAACGCACCCGACGCCAGAGTCTCAGCCGCCACAGTAGGAGGGACAGCACAGAGAAAGGCGCTGGTAACAATGATTTGAACCGAACCGCCACATGTGGCTTGATAGGCTCCTTTGATGCCTGGAAAAGGTGCTTGCTCTGGTAAACTGGGTTCCCATTTTCGCAGGATCAGAGCACAACTTCATAGTCATGATTCACGGTACCACCCTAGGTAAGCTAGTGGGGCTGGCATGAACAAGAAAGGCCCGAGAATGAAGTCTCGGATAGGACTGCGGTCCAAGCCGCATGAGTTTTAACCCCAACATCGATTTCCATGTTCCAGTGAACTCCGTCACTACGTCCGTCTGCTATGCTACGCAGATCATCCTATCCATGACTTGAGCTGTACAGCCAGACATCTAACACAACCAGACTTACCACGGTAGACTTCGCCATTCTCCAGTTCCACGGCCGAGTCCAAACACCCGTCCTCAGGGCAGTCACGAGCCATTCGATCCGTGTCCCTCCCGCTTCCAACGCTCCCACCCACTTCTTTCAGCTTCCTACCGACGACGTCGAGTTGACGATTGTTCTCATCGATCACGAGCCTACCACTAGACCGTCGCTGTCGGACTATAGGGATAGTCTCGAGGGTACCCCGGATACAAGAGCCGCGCAAGAAGATCTTGGACGAGTAATTGACAAGAAAGGAGGGGCTGCAGCTCGCTGGCGGAGGTCGACCAACGTCTCTGGCTTTAACAGCATCGAGGTTGTAGCTAGAAAACGCCCTGAGCAAAATGGGACTTGCGTACAACGTCTACCTCAACTCTGCTAAAATATTTGGCTGCAAGGTATACCCTCCTCGTCTGATGCCTAGGTGTTCCCGTTCGTTAACGGAGCTTGTGAATGCTCTAGAACTGTAAAACACACCTCGCCGACTTCGACGACATCATTTCACGCAATTTCCGAGGCCAACACGGGAAGGCCTTCCTATTCTCCACTGTTGTCAATATCAAGCAGGCCGAAGCCATGGAACGCAATATGACCACCGGTAGACACATTGTGAGGGATATCAAGTGCAAGCAGTGCGATGAGACGGTGGGATGGAAATATGATAAGGCATACGAGGCTGCAGAAAAGTATAAAGAAGGGAAATTCATTTTGGAAAGCGAGTTGCTCTGCACGGTGACTTGAACGAGGCGCCAAAAGACCAGATATAGGGAGCATTTCGGGGGAGCATTGGGAGGCACCGGAGTTCTCTGATATTGGTACCTTGGGGGTACCGTTGGAGTCGACCATGATGGTCCTGTCGGTCGGACTTGGGGAGCATGGTTTCGGATCGGTGGATTTGGTATGAAGGATATTCCCTAGAACAATGAACGAGCGATACCGCTGCTTTGCTCCGTGATAGCCCATCGAGATGTGGGACGAAGTCTTTTCGATCGGGCAATCCCGCCGAACTTCCCACCTTGTTTCTTCTCGACGTTGAAGTCGAAGCTATGAGAGACTGTTAAGCAGCGGTCTTGAAGAAATCAAATTCATTCCACCGGAACTCAATTCCCGCGTCTGGTGGCAGAAGGAAGATCCCAGTCCGAAACATGGCCAAATAGGATGCTCATTCGGAAGATGTTCTCAACCCCCTCATTGGGTGTCAGCTCCAGTTTCTCCTCTGCTCCAATCTTGCCCTCTTCCACACCCTCTACAAGCCATGCTCGAGCAACTTCTGTGCTGTTTGTTGCGTTTTCGGGATCACCACGACCTCTAATACTCGACGAGTGCGAGCCGTTGACTCGCGCTAGAATATCCACTGGTCGATGTCAGCCCACCCTTAATCCGTCCACATTCGCCCGCCATGCATCTGCCGGGGCAGGAATATACATCCAACTCGTAATCCGTAAATCATGACATACCCAACCGATGCTTCTCCGACTGAGGCCGCCAGACTTATTTAGAACGCGTACTTCACAACGACTCCTTGGCAACCATATAAACGAGATACACTTCCCTTGGGGTCTTCTCGTGCCTTGCCAGTCTGAGAGCCCAGAGGCCCGGAACCATCGTAATACAGGAAGACCTGGATCGAAGAACGCATCATGGCATCCAAAGAGTCGATGAAGGCGGTTGTGTTCAAGGGCAAACTGCAAATTGTAGTTGAGGATAGACCCATCCCCAAAATCCAAGACCCCAAAGATATCATTGTCAAAGTCAGGTACACTGCGCTTTGTGGAAGGTATGTATCCCGATCCCCCGCTATCCTTGCCTGCACTGACAAATACAAAGCGAACTTCACGTCTTTCGTGGCCATCAGCCGTCGGGCACTGGCTTCATCATGGGCCACGAATTCACGGGGGACGTAGTTGAAACAGGCTCCGATGTCAAAACAGTCAAGAAAGGCGACAAGATCGTCACTCCCTTCACCACCAACTGCGGAGAATGCTTTTATTGCCAGAGAGGCTTCTCATCGCGTTGCGAGAAATGCCAACTGTTCGGAACGGTGACCCTCAATGGTGGGCAAGCGGAATACTGTCGAATCCCGCTGGCAGACAGCACTGTCATCAAGGCCCCAGCGAGTATTCAGGAGAACAAGCTTGTGCTGATGGCCGACATCTTTCCGACAGGATATTTTGCTGCCGCCAATGCGTTCCGAGGGATGGATCAGGATGTGATATCGCAGAGTGTCGTCCTTTTGATCGGGTGCGGACCGGTTGGACTCTGTGCGTTGATCTGCGCTCTTGAGTACAAGCCCAAGGCTGTCCTGGCCATTGATGGCGTTGAGGCCCGTTTGGAGCAGGCGAGAAAGCTTGGTGCCGAACCCTGGAATTACCAAAAGGATATGGAAGGCCTGAAAAAGCGAGTACTGGAACTCTCCGACGGAAGAGGAGCAGATACGGCAATCGAGCTAGTAGGTCAAAGCAGCGCGCTGGGCATGGCTTTTGAACTGCTGAGGCCGTGGGGCAATATTTCCAGTATCGGCGTACACAACGGAGAGATCCCCTGGACAGGCAATCAGGCATATGGGAAGAATTTGAGGATCCAGATGGGCAGATGTCCAGTTCGGAGCCTTTTTGAAGAAGCTTTGGACATGCTTGCAAAGAAACAGGACCAGTTGGACTTCATGACTGACAATCTCAAGCCTCTTTCGGAGGCCGTCAAATGGTACGATGAGTTCAACAACATGAGAGTTCAAAAGGTGGTTTTTGAAGCAGATAAATGAGCGGTTAGAAATACTTGCCTCTCTCGCTCCTAGTCTCTCACGAGATATGTAGAGAGTTTGCAAGCCGATGCATTCCCAACGGATAGCTTGTCACTCTTGCTAATGCAGACCGGATCTCAACGTTCGAACCTTCCAGGATTCCCCATGTTCCCAAGATCAAAATCGATTCAAGTGCAGCAGGCACAACGCATTGACATTGTGGCTACATGCAGCCTGGTGGGTCGGAGGCGTTTTCCCCACCGGCTATAACCCTTGGCCTATATACCTCGTATTTTATCACGCCGAAAGAAACCACAGCGTACAAGGATGCCGGCGCGGGCTATGTAGGTCAGGCGCTCTGTACGAGATATGGGCCGATGTCGGCTTGACCTAGTGCGAGAGGCAAGTAAATGAAACTTGGCTTCTGGTCTGAAGACTGGATTAAAGAGCGAGACGATGCTGTGTCTGATGATTATGAATGAGTTGGTTCGCAGCAGCTGGTTTGGAAGGAGGGGAACAAAAATGCATCGAGTACTCGGTACCTAAGTAGGGGCAAAGCCTTAAAGCTCCAAAAGTGAAGCATCCGGCCCTCCGGCCAGTGGGAATTGGGCAGGCCCAAACCCGAAGGACTGATGGCTGGAGCTGCTAACTGCTGCTGCTTGTTTGCTGTTGCTGTGCCAGTGGCCGGCTAGCTTGGTGAGCCTATGAGAAGGACCCCTCTCTTCACTTCTCTTCACTGCAGCTGCTCGTTCGCCGTTCGCCGCTGAAGACTTGTGTTGCTTGTCGCCTCCAGTTTTTCTGTTATTTCGTTTGTTTCTCAAAAACCTTGCTGCATCCTCACCACCCACACCACATATCGAATCACCTTTCGCCTCACACCTCGCACCTCATCCTCGCCCGCTTCTCAACCTCGACCTCTCCATCCTTTCCTTTCCTCCTCCATTCTCCCTCCATTTTAACCCTGTATCACATCTTTCTACTCCGCAGGCTCACCTCGCACCTGCTCAGCTGGACTTCTCTGCCCATACCTTGTCGACCCGCAGCCTCCCCCACGCCCGGCGCTGCCTCAGTTGATTTTGTTATCATCCTCCAATCCGACACGTCCACTGATAATCGTCACGATGGCATCCACCGAATCCGCAGCGTCTGCAAACCACGTTGAGGAAGCTGGCCTCGCCGAGTCCTTGAACCAGCTTAATGTCGGAGATTCCCAGAACGACACCCCAAAGACCGAAGAAGAATACGCGCAATCGCAGTTGACCCTGCGTGCTATTGTATCGACCAAGGAAGCTGGTGTCATCATCGGCAAAGCTGGAAAGAATGTTGCTGATCTACGAGAAGAAACCGGCGTCAAAGCCGGCGTCAGCAAAGTTGTCCAAGGTGTACATGATCGCGTATTGACAGTCACTGGCCCTCTTTCTGGCATCGCAAAGGCATATTCTCTTGTGGCCAAGGGTCTTCTTGAAGGCGCACCGCAGATGGGCATGGGTGGCGTTATCCAGAATAACGGCACACATCGTAAGCATTTCTCCAACTTGTAATCCTCGAGTTTCGCTAATGTTGGTCCCCACCCAGCCATTCGTCTCCTCATCTCTCATAATCAGATGGGTACCATCATCGGCCGGCAAGGGTTGAAGATCAAGCATATCCAGGATGTGTCGGGAGTTCGGATGGTTGCCCAGAAAGAGATGTTGCCACAATCCACTGAGCGTATCGTCGAGGTTCAAGGCACGCCCGAGGGTATCGACAAAGCTGTTTGGGAGATTGGGAAATGCTTGGTCGATGACTGGCAGCGTGGCACCGGGACCGTTCTCTACAACCCGGCCGTTCGAGTCCAAGTTGGTTCCGGCCCTCTTCCTCCTGCAGTTGGCAGTGGTGGAATGTCAGGTGGCAACTTCGGTGGCAGTGGTCGGTCCTACAATCGAACTGGTAACGGCGCTGATTTTAGTGAAACGCGTACGTACAACCGCAGCGCCGATGCGCCACGAGGAGGTGGTATTCCCATGGTCACCGAGGACGGAGAGGAAGTCCAGACCCAGAATATCAGCATCCCCGCCGATATGGTCGGCTGCATCATCGGAAGAGGAGGAGCAAAGATCAGTGAGATCCGCAAGAGTTCTGGAGCCCGCATTTCCATCGCCAAAGCACCACACGACGACACCGGCGAGAGAATGTTCACCATCATGGGAAGCGCCAGTGCCAACGAACGAGCCTTGTATCTCCTCTACGAAAACCTCGAGGCAGAGAAAGGACGCAGACAGCAGGTCTCTTCTGAATGAGGTGCTGATGCTGCCACAGCCCCGCAACTTTGACTCAAACGGCTACCCTTCGACACGCTCCTTGAAATCCCCCGTCCAAACATGTCCCGCCTCCAGACTCGACGAAATGACAGTTCGACTAAAAAGCATACGGCATTGTTTTTTCCTTCGGCGTCGGATAGATGGTGTCTTGCGCAAAGCGACATTGACGAAGCTATGATACCTTAACTCTCGCCTGGGGCGCGAGACTTTTGACGAATGATGACCTGAACTCGAGCTTGTACGTGACGAGCTCCCCCAACCGATCCTTGTTTAATGTTCCTCCACCTACCAAACACCATTGCACATCGACTTCAGACTCAACCGCGAACTCATGCACTTCCCCCACTACTTTTCCCATTTTGAGCCTCAACATCACAGCATACCGTCCAAGGCTGGGTTCTCCGAAGCGAGGGAAAGATAGACACTAGTCGGAAAATAGCGGCGGGGGAGACGCCCTTGAAGCGGGTTGTCAATAGTTTATCTGGAGGGTATGACCAAACAATACCTAGGTATCGCCTGTCTGGTGGAGGAGAGGGATGTTTGTTGAGCATCTAACAACTCATGCCGGTTGAAGAGAATGAGCGTATCAGATCAGAGGACGAGACGGGGCTCCTCTCCCCTAGCTCGAACGAATCCAACCAAAACCTTTCGTGCAAACTCGCTTAACCCGGGATTTTCAGTTCGCACTTTGTAGAAGGGCTCAATCCGAAATCCACCCGACTGCAGTGGTGATTTGCTCTAGGCGGGTGACTTTGTAGATCGGTCACCGCATGTTGACAGTCTCTGACAGGCGGGGATGGGCTGGGATGGGCCAAGTCAGCGACCAAGGGGCGGTATGTGAAATCAGAGCAGCTCCTCTGATCATAGGCTAGTCGGGGGCTCAAATGAGGTTCTGTCAAAGTTCCTGCTGATGCCCGAATGCCGCAGCTGCCACCACAGCTGCATCCTATTGCCCCAAGCGCTTCAGCAACCCCTGGTGTTTAAATGCCTTCGGTGGCCAATCCAGTAACAAGAGGTCGGGGTAATGGGGTCCGGCCCCTACAACATGGCGACAACAGGGACTGAGGGGGGTCAAGGGACATAAGGGACCTGATTCCAGGCCGTGTAGCCCCAAGCTGCAGGCTGTCAGATGGGTGCCAATTACATGCCTAAAGGGGACAGCTGAAAAGAAGATCGTGATGTTGCGATTCATGGATCACCACTCCGTCTTATGTACTCGGTACGAGGTAGTTGAAGTAGACAACAGACTGGTCCGCGGAGCCGTCTCAGTCAAAGGTTCGCTACACATGGGCTGACTGACTCCAGTATTGTGAGTTTGCAGAAAATCTCCCTTAGGCAGGGCGACCTTAGACAGGTCGGTTCTTTGGCGTTTCAGGTAGCCGCCCGTTGCAGATCAACAATCCACCATCGCCAAAACGTGGCGACTTGGCCTATTACCAGCCAACTAACCCTCGTCCGGGCACACACCACGCTTGACGTCGACTCTGCCGTCCTCGTGGCCTCAAGGGTCTGGCTCTGGTTCTCGCTTTGGCTCTGGCTGGCGTGTCAGTCAGCAATGCCAAATGCGAATCGATTATTCCCTACCAGATACCGAGTACTTACTTTCTCAAGCATCCACGCGCGTGATTTCTCTCCCTGCAACAATAACCAACATCTACTTCCCTACAGTGCAACAAGCCGCCTGCAGCCCAGCCTTGCCTTGCCCTGCGGTGACCAAGCCAGGCAACTTGGGCTACTATATTACCTCCCCTCCCGTGTGACCATCATAAAGGCACTCGGTTTGCAAGGCACATCCTGAACCCTGCGGCTGCGTCTGTGTCTGAACCTCGACTGCACCTTGGTGCAACGGGCAAAAGAACAGGGTCAATTTTGCCTCCCATCCGCCGCAGGATTCCGCCACAATACCTTCGACAACCCCTCTCCCGCCCGAACTCGAACTGCGTCGAGTCTCTAAAAAAAAAAAAAAGAAAGGGAAAGCCGTGCACTCCCCGAACGTCCTGCTAGTTCTCACATATCAATTCAACCGACCCTGAGCGCACCTGTAACCAGCAATGTCTTCCCCGGTGCCGCTTCTTCGGCCACCTGTCCCTGGTGCGCGAAGCTCAAGCGGCAGCCGGACACCTCGTTTGACGTTAGGAATCCCCCCTTCACCCAACCAACGGCCAGTCACTGGAGAAGGTGAACCCCCTGCTGAAGTCCCTCGCTTCAGCCTGGCCGCATCTGGAGCGAAAGGGCCGCCAAAACTATCTCTTGCAACACCATTGGGAAGTCTAGGCTCAGTGCAAGAAGGAGGAACCAATCTAAGACCACAGATACAACCATTGAACATATCCGCAGTGACAGGAAATGAAGCCATCGGCAGACCCCGGGGGGATAGTTTCCATGCCGCCAGTGTGCCCGGATCTGCATCGTCATCCACATATTCGGCCCTGTCCTTCGCCATGCAAGGCAGGCAAGCTGGAACACCTGACCCATCCTCGGCGATAAGTTCGATATACTCAGAGGCCAGTATCGGCGGGACTTCGATGGAAAGGGAATCGAGTATGGGTGGATTATCAATTGACTTTGAAAAACTCGCAATCGAGAAGGGTAGGCCGCTCGATGTGGAAGATCTGGACGACGAGGGGTGGGGTGCCGCGAGTGAACAGAAGAAAATCATCGAACTAGGTTCTTTGGGTGAAGGTGCGGGAGGTGCGGTGACAAGGTGTATGTTGGAAGGTGGCAAGACGATTTTTGCTCTCAAGGTACGTTTGAATCCGCCTGAATCTGGTGAGGCTCCTGTTTCTGATTTTGACATTTCACACAGATTATCACCACCAGCCCCGACCCGGACGTGAAAAAGCAAATCCTTCGTGAACTCAAATTCAACAAGAATTGCACGTCAGAGTACATCTGCCAATACTACGGCGCTTTCATGGACAAATCCTCGAGCACGATATCAATAGCAATGGAGTTCTGCGAGGGTGGCAGCTTGGACAGTGTATACCGTGAGGTCAAAAAACTGGGCGGTAGGACGGGAGAAAAGGTCCTGGGCAAGATCGCAGAAGGCGTGTTGCATGGTCTCACGTATCTCAATAGTAGGAAGATCATACACAGAGGTAAGCCACAGAAATGCAGCCCCTGGACCTCCTATCGAGATTTACTGACATGATGCAACATAGATATTAAGCCCTCTAACATCCTCCTCTGCCGCAACGGCCAAGTCAAGCTCTGCGACTTTGGCGTTTCCGGCGAATTTGGCACAAAAGGCGACGCCAACACCTTCATAGGCACTTCCTATTACATGGCTCCCGAAAGAATACAGGGCCAATCCTACACTATCACCTCCGATGTGTGGTCTTTAGGTGTGACGTTACTTGAAGTCGCCCAGCATCGCTTCCCCTTTCCGGCAGACGGAACAGAAATGCAGCCACGTGCCGGTCTAATTGATCTGCTCACGTACATTGTCGCCCAGCCCATTCCGAAGTTAAAAGACGAGCCCGAGAACGGCATCAAGTGGAGTGACATGTTCAAGTACTTCATCGAGTGTTGCTTGGAGAAGGAACCCCCCAGGCGCGCCACGCCCTGGCGAATGCTCGAGCATCCGTGGATGGTCGAGATGAAGGCTAAGAAGGTCAGTATGAGTTCCTTCTTGAAGCAAGTGTGGGATTGGAAAGATTGAGTGAACGAGGGATGGTATGGGTCAGAATGGCACATGAGATGTTGATTTGGACACGGCTGCCTCTGGAAGTGGTTCTTGGATTTTGTGACACAATCCCTTGGAGGAAAATATGACTTTTAATGCTGGAATGAAGGAAAGAAAGGACTGGTAATGGCTGGCCCGACAGCTTCTCCTCTGGCTAAACCGTTGCTGAGGAGCGGCCCAGCTCAAGGACAAATACCAGCACGTCGAAATGGCATTGAAATATGCTTCGAACGAGAAACCTTGGGCTGCGGGCTTGCGAAGCAGAGCTTTTGTCTCGGTAGCGCGGATACTGGTGCATTGGCGATCACGGTGGTCGAGGGTAGAATGTGCTGTTCCAATGGCCTGAAGAATGCATCCCACAACGATGCAAGCAGCCCGGTGCCCATAGGCATCTAGAATCGTTGTACAGTTGGGCAGAGATATAGCGAGGACAATGAGTTCAATGCTGGAGCGAGAAGGGAAAGACCATTAGATCAACCACCTAAGAAATGACATCAGGCGATCCTGCTCTATTTCGTTGACTCCAACAAGTCTCGCTCATGAACGTACGACTTTCATTGCGTTCAAAGCTTGACCTTCTCTGCAATCAGCGTATATCCCTTGGGATAGCTTTCCAGCCGGTCCTTTTGCATCTCGCCAACATTCCGTATTCCAGCCGTGAGCATGGAGATGTCAAATTTGGCGAGCAGGCACTTCATGACACGGCGGACGCCCTCTTCGCCCATAATACTGTGGTTCGGAAAAGTGAGTAGGGTTTGGAATACAATGGGATCTTGCATGACAAATGGATAACACACCTCAACCCATATATCCACATCCGACCGACCCATACGAACTTAGCGCCCAAACACAACGCCTTTATAACGTCCGAAGCACCTCTTACGCCCGAATCAAACATGACGGTCAGTTTCTCGCCGATCCCTGCGTTGACAATGTTCTCAAGAGCGTCAAGACTGGCAATTGCGCCGTCGACTTGGCGGCCCGCGTGGTTCGAGACAACGATGCCGTCCACACCCAAGTCCACACAATGTTGGGCGTTGGCGACGGACTGAATTCTGAGAACGGCAATGAAGTCAGTTTAACCATGGGTCAATTTGAAGCAACACCAGTCGCACAGACTCACCCTTTGATACAGAACGGCTTCCCACCACTCAACTCCTTCCACGTCTTGATTAACCAAGGGATCTTCTCCCAGCTAAATGCCCGTCCGTGCCAATCTTTATCAATCCACATCGCACCTGCCTCCTCGGGTTGCTTCTTCGGATCGATCCCCGCCTTTTCCATGCGTCTCTGGAATATCGGGTCCGCGAGGCCTAAATCCGCGCCAATCCCGCGGTAGAACGCGTAATTGGAGGTTGCGACGTCGTCATGTCGCCAGCCAAGCTGCCAGGTATCGGTCGTGAGGATACATGCTGTAAAGCCATTGGCAACTGCTCTCCTTAGCAGGGAGACGGCCAGCTCGTCGTCATGGGACAAATAGAGTTGGAAGAAGCGGACAGGGGAATCGTTATCCGTGCCTTGCACGTTGACGGCATCGGGCATTTGGCGACCTTCGTCGTTCGAGGCAGCAACGTCTTCGATCGTGCTCGATCCGGCAGTGCTAAGTGCATAGGGCAAGCGAAACTGGCCCGCAACTTTGGCAACGGGGAGCTCGCCCCTTGGATGGTAGATCTTGTTGATTCAAATGGGAGCAAATCCGATTGGGGCAGAGACCTTGTGGCCAAACAAGGTCGTGGTAGTATCTCGCTCGTTGACATCGACAAGTTGATGCGGAATTAGTCGGTGACGGAAAAAGGCCTGCCGGTTCGCCAAGTGAGTCCAGCTATTTCCAGCATTGCTCTGAGCATAATGTCGGCCATTGATGGAGAGCGACTCTTCAGCGTGGGCTTCGAGTTTGTCCGGCCGTGTGTTAAAAGGAGCCGATTTGCCCTCGTTCAGGGCCCAGAAGGAGTTACGCTGTTCTTGTTGCCAGTGAGGAGTGGTGCGATGGTAGAGCAGGGGGATCCGCGGATCACTCATTTTCGGATGGCAAAGAGATCTGGAATCAAAGGAAGAATCAAGGAATGGAGACTGCGAAGAAAAAGGGGCTAGTTGTGAGGATTGTTCACGATTCTCTGCAGAAGCTGTATGTGCTCGATACCCCATAAGTCCCGCCCCAGACTCACCTGCGGTTTCATATATAGACAACAACAGCCTCGTTGCCATCGAAGTCAGAGAGCCTCATGACATATCATGCCGAACGGTGTGCTTCCCGGCAGATCCATCATGATCGTCACCACTACGCAAAACATAGGAAGGATGACGTTGAGATGAGATGAAGATGGCACCCTGGAGTTCGAAGCTTGTGCTGCTTGGCTCTGAGGTCGTCAAAACACCAGGCCGGAGGATTTTCCGACCGATAGTGCTCCATAATACTTCAAGGACTTCACGCCTTGAGCCCTGAGAGCAGAAGGTTGTCGTAGTCGCCGAGTCGCGAAGATGCTGCTGTAACGAGGTGAAAAATACCCGAAGATGTCCCGTAACAACTGACAACTAAACTGACAGCAACGCCGACAAAACAGCAGTCACTTTGCAGCCTCCGTTCATCTTCATCCTGCCCTCTGCGCAGTCTCTAGCTCTGCCCACCACTTCTTAAAAGCTTCCTCTGCATTGTTGAGCGCGTCAAAGCCCAGCAGATCTGCCTGATACTGGCTATCTAACCATTTCCACTTCGTTTGACTGCTGCGGTACCAGTCGAGATTTGCCAGAGCTGCGTCCCGCTCCTCCTGCTCCGGTCCGTCGTGCAGATGGAAATAATTCCGGTTGGTGACGGCTCCTAGCACATTGACGGTGGTCCGCGACTTTCGCAGATTCTCATACAGCTGCAGGACGGCTGCGACCCGGTCGTTCGACTCCGCAGCTACGTGATTGCTAGCTGACTTGTGCGCAAACTGGCCCAGCAGAAGTCCAAGCACAGCGCCATCTTCCACCGCCATTGCTGCCCCTTGTGCCTGGTATGGCAGAGTCGGATGACAGGCATCGCCCAACAACGCAATGCGATCCTGCGCCCGATGCTATCAGTCGACGTTTCCGACCGTCGAATGGGACTCACCCTTGTCCATTTCTCGAGCTCTTGATGATGACAAAGCTTCCATTTCAACACCGAAGAAATGCACGAGATCAGTTTCAGCAAGCTACCAAGGTCAGCATGTGAACCTGGCAGCGGTACTCCGCAGCCTACATCTCATCCCACCCTTCGAATGTCATCCTCATCTCGTCAAGGTCCGCTTGGACGCTCCTGACACCCGCTGGAAGATTGTCCGGTCGAAGCAGGACGAGGTTGAATTCGGCGCCGCCACGGACAGGGTAGAACACACAATGCCTATCCGGCCCCATCCAAATCGTCACTTTCTTCTTGGTGCATAGGTCTTCCACGCGCGGATCATTTAATTCCAGTAATTGTTGGCGCGAGAAGGTCGCCCGATACGCAAGATCTCCGGTCTCACTTGGCGGCGAAGGGTATCCAAGAATGGCATCTCGTGTGGATGACCATAACCCTAGAAACATTAAGTAGAGCCACGAGCAGAGACATTGGGGGATATCGTTCACCATCGGCTCCAATGATCACATCCCCCCCAATAGCTTCTCCGCTAGACAGTATTACCTCCGTACGGTCAAATTCGATGGCTGTCACGTTGGCATCGAGTCTAATCTCCGCTCCCAGCCTTTTTGCCTCGTCCAACAATATGGCATGGTAATCCTGCCGATGGATGACCCTGTTCACAATCAGCACGTTCGATCACTGGTCCAAGGCAAAACCCACATCCATGGTGCACCAATCCGCTCGATAAATTCTTTGCCTACAGGTCTCGAAGCCAAGAGCTTCCCATCCTGGTATCTTCTCATATCATGCCATTCCAGCCGAACAGCAGGCTTTTCGAACAAGGGCAAGAGACCGTAACTTTGCAAGATCTTTCCCGCATTCGGCGGAATTTGGATGCCCGCACCAATCTTTCAACTCAGTCAATATGATCCGTTCCGATGTGTGATTACACCTACGGCGGTGATAGCTGGTGCCTTTTCCAAGACAAGGACGTAGAGTCCTTGACGTCGACATGCGATGCTGCAGGAGAGCCCGCCCAGACCAGCCCCTACAATGATGACTCTGAAAGGAAATGTGCTTCCCATCTTTTCTTGAGACAGGGTTTTGGGTTTGTTCTGCAAAAAGTCTGTCGGGGCCGGCGTTTTATATCAGGCCTTAGATAGCGATCCAAGCGGCTTCCCTCCTGATTCGCCTGTTCACGAATACAAGAGCTTGGTTCCAGCCGCGGGGTCTTCTAAGGTGACCATTTTCTTGTCAAGGCCTGGACACGGTGTTTAGGCTTTTTTGAGTTACGCCGGGCCGGGCAACGGTCTCCTCTGGCACCAGAATTCCTAGCCTTACCGCCAGCTGTGGAGGAATGTCCACGCGCAGCGGTTGAGATTCACGCGTCAGAGGAACGGTCGTTCTGGATACAGCCGTCTTTGATAGGGTCAAGAGCGTTGAGGCACGAGATTCTACTGAGCTGGTTGTGGGGCCCATCCCAACGGCAAGCTCAAAGGATTCAAACAGGACATCACATTCCAACACGGAGCTGGTCCTCTACCTCCACCCATCATCTCAAGTTTCCTAGGTGCAATACTCGGGACATTGAGCTACTCGCTGAGCCTTGCTAGCTCCCCAACTGAATTCCTGAGGGGAGGCTCGTGACCTGAAAGATGCCCTCTGCTCCGGGCGGAGTTCCTTCTTGCCCGAAGCAGATCTTTGAATTGTCGAATTCAACCCCGACGGAGACATCGCAATCAGCTTGCCGCGTTCCTTTATGCATCATTCTTAGCAACCAAAGCGATTCGGGAAATAAAGGACGAGGATCCGGCGTTGCAATTCCCGCATACCAAACAATTGGGTTCTTCCCAATGCCGTCATTTGAATCGTGTCTGCCTAAATTCATGGCCTGGAAACACAAGCACAGGCCGCAAATTGCTGTTTGAATTGTTCCGAAATACTATGCAGGTCAGTGTCGCAGGCACGGTCTTTGACATCGCCCTGCTTATGCCGATCCACGTGATGATCACCACCACACCTGGTTGACCTCCATCAATGCTGTTATGCCTCCGGCGAAGGCATATCGGCTTTTTTCGAAGAGCTCGGTGCGGATAGCATGCGTCTATTTGGGGATGCATACTTGCCGAAGACGTAATTTGATTGCGGCAAGGCTCGACGCTGCCTCTCGAGGGACAGCTTTTCTTTTTTGCATCGATTTATTAAAGCATCAACTTGAGCGCGGAGATGCACCGATTCTCCAGGATGACTACCTAAGGTGCCTGACAATGCACTAAGACATTTCTAATTTTACTCCTGCCTACCTAGGATGTCTGAGAGCAAGAGTTGCTCGGTTGTTGAAGAGACAGCGTGGTGGAAGTTCGTCACTGTCATTGATGGGCCCTCGGCCAGTTTTCATGCTTTCTTGGGCAACTCCATATTTATGACGATGGTCTTGGCTTGCAAATATCCTTTCAGCCCTTCATAGCCGCTTTCTCTCCCTTGCCCTGATTGCTTGTAACCACCAAAGGGCGTCTGTGGAGTTGTCTTATATGCTTGGTTAACTCCCACATTTCCGGCCTCGATCTTGGAGGCCACGCGCAATGCTCGAGCAATATCGGATGTGAAAACAGATGCTGCTGCTGTTAGCACGTCTTCATCTTTTCGAGGAAGCTTTCACCTACACCCAAGACCGTACGTGGTATCGTTAGCCATGGCGATGGCATCCTCCTCAGTCTTAAATGTCTTGACAGCAATTACAGGTCCAAATATCTCGTCGGTGAAGACGCGGCTCCTGACATCAGGATTAAGGAGTACGGTAGGTTGCACGAAGGTGCCCTTGTCGCCCATTCTCCCTCCTCCAGTCAAGACTTCAATGCCCTCGGCTTTGCCATCGATTAAGAATCCCATGACGCGGTCGAATTGTTTCTTGTCAGCCAGCGGGCCATATGCCGTTTCAGCCAAAGAAGGATCTCCCATTTTCTTGGCCGCATCTTCGAAAGCCTTCTTGATTCCTTCGATAAACTTGGGGGCAATACCTTCTTGCACGAAGACTCTTGACGATGCAAAGCAAACCTGTCCAGAGTTCCGCAGAAAACCTGCGGAATTGTGCAGGAGGGCATTGTCCAAATCGGCATCGTCGAAGATCAGAGCGGGAGATTTGCCTCCCAGCTCCAGGGAGACATGTTTCATATTGGATTTGGCCGCAGCGATTTGGACTGCTCGTCCACCGGCGGCAGAGCCAGTGAAGGCAATCTTGGCGATACTCATATGGGATGCCAGCATGGCACCAACTGGTGCGGCACCTATAACGATATTGATGACGCCGGGCGGGAAGCCGGCTTCCTTGATCAGTTCTCCATAGAGTGCTGCACCCAGTGGGGATTTCTCCGAGGGCTTGAAGACGAAGGTATTTCCAGCAGCTAGAGCGGCAGCCATTTTCCAGGCGGCAAGGGCATGGGTACCGTTCCAGGCAGCAATCCCAGCACAGACTCCAAGTGGCTCATAGGCGACGATTTTGTAGGAGCCATCACCCTCAGGAGGGTAGCTTTCCCCGGCGATCTTGCCAGCGAAACCAGCATAGTAGCGCCAGATTGCGGCTGGGCCGTGAACAAAACCCTTTGCGAGAGTGATGGGCTGGCCCATGCATACCGTCTCTAATTTTCCGAGGCGGTCGGCATTGGCATCCAGGAGATCGGCAAACTTGAGCATGATGGCGGCTCGCTTTGCACCCGGGGTGGATGACCAGGTTGGAAAGGCGGCTTTGGCGGCGGCGACAGCACGGTCAACGTCAGCCTCGGAGGCCACTTGGACTTTGTCCGTGACCAGTGTGTCATCGTTGGGGCTGTAGATGGACAGGGTCTCTCCCGACGAGGAGGGAACGTACTGGTTTGGATTGGTGAATGGGACTTGACGGCAGAAGCGGATGCGAGCGAAGACGACTTACCTCGTTGTTGATGAAGAGATTGGTTTGGTATGCCATGTTGACTGGTTGAGGGATGGAGATGTCGAGTTCAATGGGTTGAAGAGAAAAGTTGTCAATGTCAGCGACAAGGTGAAGCAGCAGTACTGGGTATGTAGTACATGGTCACCTAGTATGGAGTAGTTAGGGGTTATTTAGTATCGACTATTTACCCCGCAGCGAGAAGCGTCGACGCATGCGGGCTTCCGAGGAAGATGAAAGCTTGGCGTTGGTTTTCCCATTGCCATCTCCAACAATATCAAATAGCCAGCGAGCAGGTACGGACAATGGGACAGAAGGGAGTAGCACGTCCAGCACGTCGTGCCGCTTTTCCCCCTCCATTTCAAGCTAGCAACTACCCAGCACCTCCCCAGTACTGAGCGAGTACTCGGTATGCGGAGGACATTCTTGTAGTGCTAATGTCCGTGCTGAATGCCACCGGCGTCTCTCATTGCTCGCCCCTGTCACTGCCCGCCCTCGGTGCACGTTTCCCGCCTTATCGCTGCCAGCCAATCAACCATCAAATCGCCGCCATCGACCTCTTTCCTGCTCTTCCCATGGCATCCTGGGCATCCTCCGCGCCTCTAGAGCGCTTCAAAGCTGCTGCAACCTTGCTCTTTACCGACATGCCATACTGAGAATCCTCGCATACGCTGCCAATAATGCCGCAGTAAGCAAGGCAGGCGGGAGAGCGTCCACCCAGCAAGGTGGCGGATGCAAGCTCCAGCACCCAAATGGCAAAAAAACACCATGAGTCCATGAGTCCATGACCATGTCAGCTGTACCATGCCTCCCTCACAACCACCTGTTTCTGTCTTTACAGGCCTCGTCACCGACCTTTTGACCTCCTTCACCACCCTCACCTCCCAGCTCTATCAGAACGTCATGTTTGTGCGAGTCCGCGACCTGCTGCTTCTCGGCTCCGTGGGCCATCGGGTTGTCGCTCAGTCTAATTGCTCCTCTCTGTCGTCGACCTCAGTCGACTTGGAATGGTATCCTTCAAATACCACCCATATTAACAACTTGACCTTCGTCGTCAATGGCACCGGTGTCAAGGGATTCATCTTCAACTCGTCCATAACCCCGGCATCGACCGCGTACAGCACTTACAACTGGTGCAATATGCCTCATACGCGACGGCAGGAATACCCGCGCGCCGCCCAGGGATACACCTTGGAATATGTCGAGATTGTAGGTAGCCTTGGGGTCGTGGCTGACCTAATCAACGCCTTGGGACTGACCGAGTCATAGATCCATCGCCACCACAAGCGCACTCCTTACGCGTCTAATACCTTTCCCCGCGAATCCTACGCCTGGGATTGCGACGACGAGGCTTTATTCTTCTACGGTGCCCCTCGACCAGACGGCTCCTCCGCTCAAGTCCATTGGCAAGTCTACACCTCTCTTTCCAACCCCTTGGCTCCAGAGGGTTTCAATGGAACGTGCCAATTTCCCCAAATCTCTGGCTCAGGCCTCAACGACTCTCGCCAACATGGCCGCGACCTCTTCGGCGTGTATCACGACTTGCTCGGCTTTCTGCCTTCATCCTACAACTCCTCGATTGTCAAGTACCGCGTCACAAACAACGTTATCACGTCTCAGGTCGCAGGTCAAGTCGTGGAGGGCCAGTACGCCGGGCGCCGTAACGCTCTGGTATCTGTGCTCATCCAGCCCGACAGTGTCGATAGCCTTGAGCCGGCCTATACATGCTCCAGGGCTAATGATCTCTACTCCTCCTATGGCGTGGGCAGCGACGCCGCGAACTGGACCATGCACCTCAACGACTCTGTATCCCTGTTCGCCAAGCTTGATTCTGTGAGCGGCGTGAACAGCAGCGACCCAGACTGGCACAACTGGTTCGACCACTACTTCGACAACCTCTCGGCTCGCCTGTGTCACCAGAAACCCCTGCCGTGTCAGATCGGCAACTCGTCAAACTGCATTACCGGGACGGACGCCGATGCAGTATTCCGGAGAGGCCAATACGAGTACTCATTCATCTACCGCGACAGTCCCGCCTCACTGCCGGCGTCCGCCGCGAGCTATGGCATCTACATGGCTGAGCTAGCACAGAATCTTCGCGACGCAATCAACGGCACCTCCCCTGTCATCTACACCCACAACGTCGCTCACGACGGATCTCTGTCCCGCCTGCTCAGTATCCTGCAAGTCGACGTCATGGTCTGGCCCGGCATGGGTTCCGAAGTCGTTTTCGAACTCTACTCCAAGCAAGGGTGTTACTATCTACGCGTGCTCTGGGGTGGACAGGTGCTGAGGAGCTCGAACCCCAGTCTCGGCTTGATGAATTTGATTCCGGTCCAAATCTTCCTGTCGTACGTAGATGGCTTGGTCGGAGTAGGCGCGAGTATGGTGCCCGGTCTGTGCGGAGATTAATGAGCCCACCGACGCGATGGCCCCAGTCAAATGTTTTGTAGTAGTTTGCGCAAGGACAAGATAAAAGATATTGCTCAGAACCAAGTGGGATAGCTAGCGAGATCGCGAAAATAGTTGCACAGCCGGAATAGGTTGTTTATTCAATCGTATTTGCAAACCTCCGCGATGGGGATTGGGATGCGAGTTTTTAGGATCAGTGTTTCAAAACTCTCTCTCTCCCTTCCCCCTCCCTCTCGCCAGAGTAGGTTGTAAAAGATTGTCTGTGGTGTGAAATCAGATGCTCAAGAGCAACTCCCCCAATTCCCTTCTTGGCGGATTGTCTTGGAGCTTGGGTATATCTTGCGGCGGGGGCTTTTCGCGCGTGTTCGGTATCCCTCCCATCTTTCATACTTCCTTATGCTCCGCAAAGGGGACCTTTTCTTTCTCTTCCTCGTAGTGCTGGCCAGCCTCCTCAATGGTCTCGGCAATTCGGTCGCCAAAGATGGCTTCGATTTCTTCGAGCTGTGACAGGGGGATGCTTGTGTCAGTATCATTCACCCCTGATATACACGAGAAGTTTAGTGCGCACTTACTGTCTTGTTCTTTGTCTCCGGGTAGAAGAAGTAGAAGACGGTGATGAAGATGAAGTCGCATATGACGAAGATGAGGAAGTATTTCCACGAGATGTGCTCGAGGGCCAAGGGCGTGACCTGGACAAGGAGGATGACGATGCAGTTGAATGTTGCGTAGCCGCACGCCACCCCGGCAGCCCGAATGCAGGTAGGCATAATCTCCGAGGAGTACTGGTAGTCTTATTAGCCAAACCGGGGGAAGGAGCCCCTTAAAAAGGGAAGGACAGAGGACTCACGCATGGAGCAAAGGTGTTTAGAATGCCGCCATATCCCCAAACGAGGAAGAACATGCCGAAAATGATGCCCTTGGCCACGCCCAGATCCATACTACCGCCTGCTTCGAATCGAGCCCACATGATGACGATGAGCAAGGCACCTGGGATGATGAAGCTGTAGGCTAGAAAGACTGACGACCGGCGGCCAATGCGATCGAACCAAGGTGACATGCAGGCGACTGCGATGCAGACGACGGTGCCCCAGATACCAACCAGAACAAGGGACATGACTGCATCAAAGCCGCAGATCTGGTAGATGAAGACTTGATAGTTCTGAAGTGGAATGATTCCTGTGAGTTGTTGGAAGAGAAAGAAGTTCATGACAAGAAGAACTCTCTTGCGATAGGAAGGCTTGGTGAAGATGTCCTTGATGCCGAGCTTCTCTTCCTGATCAAGTTGGATTTGGGCTTTGATTTGGTGAAATTCACGTTCATAGAAGGTATCGTCATGGTGCAAGCCGCCGTGGATGCGCTTAAGGACAGATTTAGCCTCGTCGTAATGGCCTTTCATGACCAGCCACCGAGGTGAGCGTGGCATCCAGAATGAGAATGCACCCAAAATGAAGGTAGGCACCGCTTGGAGACCGAACAGGACCCTCCACGACGCGTTTCCTTTGATGAAATAGAACCCTAATCCAAGCCATTCCGTGACTGCGTAACCGAGAGAGACATTCATGGCATAGATCATGCCGATTCTGCCTCGGATATGTGGTGGAGCGACCTCGCTGGCATAGACTGGTGTTGAGATTAGACCAGGTGGCTACGAAAGAAGCGAAGCTGCACCTACCTGGACACAACGCAAACACAATGCCGCAAGCAAGGCCGCCAATGACTCTCCCGGCCACAAACATCCCATAATTCACTGCAGCGGTTTGCAAGATGATAGCAGGGACGTTCAGCAGACAGGCAAATTGTAACGTCCGTATCCGGCCGAATCTGTCAGGCAAGTACCAGTTGGAGAAGTTCCCAACAGCACATGCAGCATAGTATGCTGAGTTGAAGGCCCCGATAGTGTTTGCATTGAGCTTAAAATAGGTCAAGAAGCTGGAATATCCCAGGACAGAGGTGGTAATGCCTATGAAGTGGTCAGTAAAGCAGGTCTCGACGAGCATCGCAGCCTGCAAAACCCACCCGAATCGTAGCCATAGAAAGCAGAACCAAACGTGATATAGGCAAGACAAAACAGTTGAAACCTATTGAGGCCAAACATCTTTGCTGGCAGATATGATGATCCCTTCACAGAATAGGATGCCACGAAGCCTCAGAGACTTTGAAAGAGGTTGACAGGAGAGTGTTCGAGGCGGACGGCCTTTAATAGTTCAGTTTTTGAGGAATCCTCGTGCAGATCCACAGACTTCGTGCCGTCAAGGCCAACCGATCACGTACAGAGTCTGGGGTTCTCGCGGAGAGAGTTCGAGAATAGTGGAGAACTTGGTCAAAGTGCCGAAGGGACGACATCCCCCAGGTCAGTCTGTGTGATGCACTGGCCATCGATGGCTGGAAGTCATTGTCAAGCCCGTTAAGGGCCCCGCTCGTCGGTTCCGCTGATCCTGGTCCCAACTCTTGAGACTCGGCTTTTGACAAAGGCTGCTAAGTCGTATCATCAATATGCTTCGATCTAGGATAGTTCAAATGAGCAAGTCGGTTGAGGTGCGGGGGTTGTAATGCGGCCTAAATGTGCTCGCTTCTCCATCACGTCTGCTCTGTCGCAGTGATCTCTTTGGTCGATGGCGCCCCAAGGCGCTTTCATTGGCATGTCGCTAGACCTCGTGGTTCCGGAGCTGCGTTCACGGTGATCTCGTCTCGAAATTGGGCTGTTGTTGTGAGGAAGGATGCGAGAAACAAGTGACTGAGCATTTCGTGAGTAAGGCCCAGAGCTCCCTCGACAACCCAATCATATTTGAACCACTGGGTTCGGATCAACGCTCCAAGAGTCGAGAACCCTGATGGCTCAGTCTGGCTGGTTCGAAATAGTCTCTCGTTTGTACGAAAGGGAAAATGGAAGGGGAAAGGGGGGAGAATGCCGCAAACGACCCGCGGTACAAAGGGTGGAAGTTAAATACCTAGTAGTAATGATAGCTTGACTACGATGGAGTTTCTGGGAGAGCACCGCATTTGCATATGCACCAACGTATTACGTAGTGCAGAGCACTCGTGGTGCTACGCGCAATTTCTCCTCACATCGCTTACTACCAACTTACCATTCCACCTCTATCCATACGAAGTCTGGAGCCAAGAATCAATATTCGGAATGAAGTGCCGAATATTACACCACCCCAACCCACATCCATATCCACACACGTACACAAAAACGCGTCTTTCCTCCAAAAGAAAAAGTAAAAACAATCAACAGTCAGGATTCCCAAATGGTCACCCACTTTAGTACTAACTGGCCGGCATCAAGCTTGAGTATGGCTGAGCGAACGGGAAGCCCTGTTTTCCTGATCCTGTGGTCGATTGCGGCAAAAATTGCACAAATACCAGCTATCAGCTCCCCAGTTTCCCCTTTGGCGCACGCTCTACGCAGGGTTTCCACTGCTAAATGGGTAAAATAATGGCACTCGGCTTTTTGCCCCTCTATCAAAGTATGAATGACTGAAATCTTGTTCTTCTTTCGGAGGCGGTCAATATGTTTGTGATTTTCAGGTCAAACAAGGAGGAACGCCCGCGCATAACCAAACACCTCTCATACATCACGGAAAGAATCAAACAACCGATATGCCCAACGAGTGTGCAACTGTCAGAACCAATGCCACCGTCTTTATTAATACACCGCCTGGCTTTGCTGTGGGTAGTTGTGGTCATATTGGTATCCGCTGCCGTCGTCTTCTTGCTCTTGTGGATGACCTTCTTCCATGCCTTCCTCTCCTGGCTCTTCTCCATAATTTTCGTATCCTTCATCTTCTCCTGAGCCTCCCATGCCACCAGCGGCATATGCCATACTGTGAGGGTCATGTACCATGTTGTGGTCATATGCCATACTATGAGAGGCAGCAGTTCCTTGAGTTGCATGCAGATCGGAGTAGTTCCCTCCCACAGCAGAGGCCCCCTGTTCGCTGTGCGGATCGAATGAGTCTTGTTCTCCCATGGAATAGTTCTGCATTCCTTGCATATCGGGGTGCGCTCCCATCATAGAGGAGGCACTGGCCTGTGTGCCTTGCATACCGGGATAGCTCCCATGCATGGAAGAATGGCCCATTTGTGATGGGTCTTCCTCCCCTTGGGGGTATTGCTCGTCGTACGGGTCATCGTCACCATACTGCTCTTGTCCTCCCATGCCGTGTCCGTGCATTTGTTGCATTTGCTCCTGCATTTGTCCGTGCATTTGCTGCATTTGTCCGTGCATTTGCTGCATTTGCCCGTGCTGATTGTGATGGCCATCGCCGCCGCCCTGATGATAATCTCCACAATCCTCCAGGCCTTGCAGATTGACCGTGAAAGTCGGGTTAAACTCAGGGTTGAATTCGTTGTCATTCTCAGGGTCGAAATCATTGTCGTTGTTGATAGGCCCGGTGCTTCCACCTGCGACATTCCCTATGCTTCCGCCAGAACCACCAGAGATGTTGCCGAGTGTGGTGTTTCCGCCTGTGCTGGTGCCGCCGCTGACGCCGCTGACACTGTTTCCACTGGCTGTTGTTTGTCAGGTCGCCGATCACTCAAACTTTTGGAGGACAAGTCCAGATAAATCTGTACTCATCTTCAGACCACTCACCTCCCACAGGCCCAACCGCGTTTCCGGTACTATCGCTCGTACCCCCTCCTGCAGTGGAAGTTCCTCCTCCTGAAGTTGAATTTCCCCCAGCTGCATTTCCACCTGCTCCGCCCGATCCGCCTTGAGTCGTGTTGGTGTTATCCCCGGTTGTGGCAGATTGCGAGTTCGATGATTCGGCGGTGGCAGTGGCGTCGGCCGTGTTGGTGTTTTCGTCACCGCCGCCGCCACCGCCGCCGCCACTGCCGCCACCCAGAATGCCTGGGATCAAAGCTCCTGCTAACTCTGGGATGAAACTCATTTGAATTGATAATGTCGAGAAAGCGGATGACTAATTGGACGTTCTACCGTGGTTTAAGTAAAAAGATAATTAGGATGAAGTAGTACTTGCTGAGGTGAGTATGGTAGGCAGGAAAGGACAAACACAACGACTTTGAGTCCTTATATCCAAAACACTTTCTAAAATCGTAGGTTATTTGAGAAGATGACTTTCTGCATCAAGGCTCCACACTCATCAGCCACCTTGGCTGTTAGTCGAACGCATTAAAAGAGAGGCTACCAATTTTAGCCCTTGGCGTAAGAATAGTTACTTCTCTGTAACGGTCCAAGCTGCAATGACTATTGGCTTGCTTTGAATACATCGCCGGATTCAGAATGGATGTTTCTACCACGAAGAAAGCAAGGCCTCTTCGGCCCCGGTGCTGAAGGGGTCGGATATTGTTTGTCAGAATATGACCCACTTTTACCGCACCCTCAAAGATAGCGTATTATTGTGGGTCGAAAGGTTGTTTCGTGCTAGCGGTCTGATGGCAGCTCAAATTCAGGCTATGCTGCCAGCTATTTTGAGGTGGAGGTGGGTGAGAAGTGCGACTATTGGGCGTCTATTTTCACTTATTCGATTACAGGCTTACTGATTTGGCTAGCTACCAGACTTGCCTTCTTTCATTCAAGGTATTAACTAGCTACCACCAAGGCGTTGGAAGGCCTAAAATCTCGTCTATCAACTGGAAGATTAGCTCTAGAGGCGATGTGAATTCCTGTTACCTGAGGCGGCAAAGTCTATTTCTTGCACTTTTTGGACGATTTGCATGACTGTCCATTTTCGTACAACCAAATTCGTGGTTTGAGTAGAAAATCCTCTACCCTGCAAACTTTCCAGTAAGAATGTCTCGTGCCTTTGTACAAGGCCGCAACCCGCTGATAGCTGTCTTAGGAAAATGCGCATATGAATTCAGGTTCAAGAAAATGAGCAATGCCAGACGAGGAGTGGCGTGATGAGATTCAGGAATATGCGCTCCTTCTAGACGCAGTTGCAAGCGGTGACAGATCTCGAGTCGTGAAACACTTGACAGATTACATTCTCGGCAAGAAGGAAGGGAGTCACGGTTCGCAGTCCAACAAAGAAGAACCAGAAGAGAAACGGGAGCAATACTACGAGCAAAACGAAAACGACTACGAATATTATGAAGAGCGTGAGGAAGAGTACAACGAGCCGCACGCGGAGGCGAACAACAGATTCGTGGATGAAGACGGAATATACAGGGAGGAGGACAAAACCCTTGGATATGAGGAAGAACAATATCAATATGACAATAGCTACGACGAACTTGCAGCTGCTGAGTACGATCTCTCAGCGGCGAATGAGGGCTATTATGAGGGCCCTTACATGTCTGGTGCATACAATGAACCAGATAATGGCGCTGACACGTACGAGGAAGAGCCGTATGGGGATTACACTGACCCCAACCCGGCGCTCTATGGAAACGAGGCGTATAGAGCTGGGGAGACCGAGATTGCAGACGAGAACTATGCAGTTGGAACTTATGCTGGATCCAGCAACAACAATTATGAGAGCCATGCCTATCCCGAAGAGCAACAATATGATGGAGAATATTACGACCAAGAAGCTGATGGGACATATAATGACTGGAATCAGGAGGCCGATAACTACCATTATCAGCAGGGAGCAGAGAGACAAGGAGGTGAGTGGCACGAAGAGCCGGGTTACGGACTTGTCTCAGATGACCAAATCCAGGAGGTCGTCGATGAAGTCAATCTTTACGAACGGGGTGAGGTATATCCCGAAGAAGATCAGATGCCCGCATTTGACGACCCTGCACACCCGGAAAAGCACCAACAACAGCCAGCGGAAGAGCAGCTATATGAAGACGACGATCATGTGTTTCCAAGTCACCACCAAGAATATGCGCAACAAAGGCAAACCTATCCAGATCCAGATGATATTGATGTGTTTCCAAATCACCGCCAAGAATATGCGCAACAGAACCAAACCGATCCAGAAGATGACCTGTCTTCTTACGACACGACAGAAGAAGCGCCCCCGAAGTACTCTGCGTTCCCACGCTACGCGATCAATCCCAACCCGCAGACACAGTATGTACCATATCGCCCGTATCTTACGACATCAGAGAAGCCGGCGGCAGTAGATGACCCGAACAGAAATACGGGGGTTTCCATCAACGGTTACACGGACGGATTTGGCTCCAGAACTGGCGTCAGTTTAGCTGACGATGAAGATGAGTGGGAAGACGAGACTTGCGAAGAGGAAGGCGACAGCATACAGCCTCCACCGTCGACCAACCCCTCTGGTTTCCAGTTCAATCCTCTCAGTCATCAACATGAGTGGCTTCTTTCCATGCCCACTAAGGAATCAAGCCAATTCAAAGTAACTTGAGGGAACTAAAGGCACTAGAGCTTAGTATGAGCATCTCTGTATTGAACAGCCAATTCAAATTTGTTCAGCAGCTAAAGCACTTCTTCACAAGAGCAGGGTCAAGGATGGCCTTGCTCGGCACCATCAGATCCTTCGAAATGGCCGCGGCTTGGCGCCGACCTGCATCAGTAATCTTATCCAATGTTTCTAGCACATGCTAGACTTTCGGAGGCCTCTTCCAGGAACGGCAACGCCGACTGCTCAAAAAGCTTTTGTATCGCCGTCAAATGGGCAGGTCCAGTAGGGCCGTAGTATGTTAGTGTAAGATGCCCTGGCTGCAGCATGGAGTAAGCCCGAACCTGCCATTTTGGAGGGTCCTGTCAAGGGAGCTAATGGCTAGGTACAATTGGTCTGAAAGGTGGATCTGTGAAACTCGGTGTAATGACTGAGCCACTCAAAATACCCAGTACTCGAGGTTTTGTCACTTTAAGTTTCAGGGGCCCGAGCCTTCCCAGTTATCAGCATCTCGGTGTCCGCGATAAGAAAGCAGAACTGGCCTCGAAGTGTTAGCTCGAGGCCACCATGGCAAAGCAAAAGCTTATCCATATTCTTAATTTTCTCCATTGTGGAGGTTGACCCGATTTATTTATGGACCCATCTCCACCCAATATCACTAATATTGGGGATGTCGGGATGTGGCCATTTGTAGCTAGGCTCAGCAAGCACAGCAGACAAGCCACAGTGGGCTTGCCATACATCGTAAATCCTTGGCTGCGACCTTTGCCTCAACGAGCTTGGTATTCTAATCCTGACGGTGTGAGCTGTGTTGTCAAGCAGAAAATAGGCTGTGTCCAATTAGGGGTTGAACAGCCCTGTAGTGATCTTTTCCTTTGCATAATAGGCTCTATTTTGTTGTCGAATAAAACTCCTAGGGAATGCACTTGTCAAATATGCGTCATTGAAGAGGCAAATCAACACACTCTCTGCTTCTAACAGCTTGTTTTCCTTCTCAAGGTCAAGTTGCGACTGATCAACCAGATCCATTGGTCTCCATTGCAATGGACTACGACTATTACCACCACGACTACTACTATGATGGCTACCATGACTATGACGGATGGGATGGCGAGTATGGGGGAGAGGATTACGACTACAACGAGCCCTACTGGGAAGACGATTACTGGTATCATGAAGAATCACCTGAATACTATCATCAACACTATGATGAAAGCCAGGATTATGGGAACGGCTACCACCATTATCATGCATCCGAGGAACAATATGGAGATCACTCTGGTGAATATTATGATCATGGCTATAATCAAGGATCCTCACAAGGCAGCAACTATCACTCCACAGAGGGAGCAACGTACAATCAGCATGATCAACACCAACATCACTACTACGGGAGCGACTCCTGGTAAGGTGGGGAATTGCGGTCATGATTCACAGGTTGTAGGCTAATGATGATCCCAGGAGTGCTTCTACAGTTCATCATTCTAGCAATCATGCCCATTTCAGCACTCATACCGCCGACCATCGTACGCCGAAGACTGCAATTCTAGAATTACCAGTCTCTCCTCCGCCTCCAGCATCTCCAGTCCCTCCCAATCTTTCAGCTCTTTCTATTCTTCGCACAGGCACACCTTCATTTTCGACCAGCTTCCCAAATGCATCTCGGGCTCTTGGTATCAACCGCGACCAGAGCCTGAGTGTGAAGCCAATAGATCCACAGTCCACACAATCAGCTCATTCTCCGACTCCGACTGAGTCCTTTTTCCATAATCTCTTTTGGAGAAGTCCGGTCAAGGCTAGAGCACGCACGAGGCCATCCTCGCCAATTGTCCAATCGAATTCGAGACAAATGCTACATAGGCCCAACTCACCTGCCAACAACTTGAACAGATCGTCCTCGGTGGCCAGAAACTCCCGTGTGACTGGGTACGACGCGACAAGAGAAGGAGATATAGGTTTTCTGGCTCCATCTCCTGTGCAGGGTTGATCTCATCAATAGAGCGGGGAGAGTAGGCGTATGGGATTTTATGTCCATGAAGTTTCACGTTAAAGGGGAGCAATGTTTTATATCTTGTCATGTTATTACAGAAAATAATATATAGTCTGCCAACAGCTCTGTATGCGGATGCTCTCGTTTATAGTCTGAGATATCAGAAAAATTGATACCATTCTGCATAGACACCTATCTATGAACTGAACTACAGTTTAATCACGAGAAAGAATGGTAGAAAGAAAGAAGCCTTCGAGCAACTCCCAGAGTCTTAACAGACCAAAATGACAGTGACGCTCTAAAACGACTGACTGCTACTACAGTCGATATGTTGAAGTGAATCGATTGAGTATAGTACATAGTTATTTCAATATGGCCCTTTACTAATAGGCCACTTTGCGAACCGAACTAGGACGAAAGAGTTGCCAGAAATCTCGAATGTCAGTTAACTTCACATGTAAGCCTCATGCTCAGAGAGAGACTACCGATAATTAGTGCCTGAGGCGTGTGAATAGCATTGAAAGGAATGGAGGCCGTATGTGGCGCAAGGCGCTGGAGTGTACTCAAGGCCCTTCAAAGTGTTGGTGGGGCTGCACCTCATTTAGAAACTGCTTCCATGTATGTTGAACCATCTGATTGGGTGAAAGGTGTAGGTTAAAATAAGGATATTACTATGCTTGATTACTCGGAGGAGTATTTTGGGGAGTTGAGAGAAGATCAACGCTCTATGTGGCAAGGGTACTCGGCCCCCCTCGGGCAAAAGCGAATGGGTCACTAGTTATACCGGGCGTTTACTGGACCGTGCAGCCGTCAAGGCTATACACATGTCATGCTCCTCTACCTTGTAGCATAGCCATGGGCATTCTAGGCATGATTCCACAATTCGTCCCTTAAGTTTAATCGCGCTCAGGTGCACTCTTGTCAATTTTCTCCCATTGCTCACACTCTCTTGCAGACCAGTCACTCTTTACGAGATTTGGCGGCGTTACCCTGCACTTTGGTCACTCTTTACAGATCTGCACCCGTTCGCTGTATTCCCGCTGTCATTCACAACTTCTCTACGCTTTCTCTGGGCTTATCATGAGAGTCTCCCCTTTGTTAACGCTGCTTTCGGCGCTCGCCGCCACTGCATTAATGTTTGTTTGTCTCCTAGGAGGATCCTCAACAACAACACTTTCGAATCTTGATATGTTTAACGTAAGCCAGAAATCACTCTCTTCTTGGGTGAAAGCTGGCTGACTTGGACAAGCTTAACATATCGCAAATAGCAAATACCAAATTTAATAACGGGACCGGCAACGGATGCAATTGTGTTGAGTTTGTAAATGGAACGCTCACAATCAACGGTACTGCCGTCGTTAACGGAACCCTCACTCTGGGATATGCGGAGCTAGATCTCTTCGAATACTACTCCGTTTACGCCATCAATTATTGCGAAGGCAATTATCTACCATCTTACCAAGATGATCATGCAAGCGCCGTTATTACTCACTGCGAGACTCCATCACTGTCGCGGCGGTTTGATCTCGTCAAGATCATGGAGACGGCCATGACACGCCTTGGTAACGCCCTCGGAGAAGACATTTCCTTCGAAGACCTAGACTGGCCAAACGGGATCACGAGCGCATTCATCTACGTGCAGTCTGCTGGTGCAGCTATGATCGTTTTCTTTCTCATCGGGCTTGCCTTCTTGGTCTTGGCTACTTTGGCGGCGCTCTGGGTTTTATTCACAACCAGCAAAGCCGCTGTGAAATTTATCCTCATCACTTCTGTGGTAAGTCGCTTGATTGGTCATGACCGTGGGCCTCTCGTAACAGAATGTTAACTGTCGCTCCAGCTTGCCTTGCTAAGTCTTACGATTTGTGCTGGTATCGCAACAGCAATCACGACAATCGTCGTCAACGGGATCAACGCCAATGGGGCGCAGATTGGTGTGTCCGCACAACAAGGGAATGTCTTCTTGGCCCTGATATGGATCGCCGTCGCGCTGCTCTTCATTTCAACTCTGACCACGGCTGCCACCCTCTGTGTTGGGCCCAGCCGGAGATCACATGTCCCTGTGAGACAATACGAGGCATTTGATATGCCACCGGTGGTAACCAAACGAAGGCCGATGATGATGCCGTATTACATGCAGCCTCCAGATTCGGGTTATTGGGATGCATTCTCGTCAAGAAGGATGCTGGTGGACCCACGCGACAATGAATATTACGGTTACGGCGAAGAATTCAGATAAGCTTGGCCGTCAGGATTTCATGTCTAATACTGGATAGATCGGCCAACATGGGTTGTTGGCCCTTGTATATTGGGAGAGGCCTGTTCATAGCGGAAAATCAATTTTGACTATTTGCGCATGTTAGACTCATGAAATTTCAGACTCTGAACAACGGAAAGGGCATTGACCGGAGAAAGCGCGGTACTGGGCAACACTGAAATGTAAGATGAGGGGCTGAGAGATTTAAGTGAAGCTCATCTATGTATCCCTTCAATCAGATACCAAGCCAATTGACGGATTTAACCAATCGGGGGATTCATTGCTGTGAGACGGCTGCTTTCTGCGCTGTTTGTGGTCGCATGCAGAGAACCTATGTCTGCAGGTTACTCCCGAGGTCCGTGCAGTGGTGGGACGTCCAAACATCAATGCAAGAAAGGGTGCGCAGGCACCTGATAGAGTTCTCCACGGCCCAGAACCGGCCAGTCTCCGGATGACAGCTAGAGAGCCCTTTCAACAAACCTGCTACTGTGGGGAAGTCGATCTGTGGTTTTGTACTGTAGCATAAGATCAGCAGGTTGAGGGGTTTGAAGACTTTGCTTCTTGCATCCAGAACGGAGTAGTCCGTTCAAGTGAGGTGAAATTAGGATTCTGTAGCAGCCCCAGGGCTGACAATGGCATCGCCAATTATGGGTGCAGCTGGCCTCATCTGGCCCCTCAATGCTAATAAGCATACTCAAGTAAGACCAAGCTCACCAAGCACTAGAAGGACCATCGTCGATCTAAACTAACCGCGGGCCTGAACCCTCATTAGTCGCAAATCAGAGCATTCTCCCGATTCGTCTAACCTTGATTTTAACCTTTTTTTCTTTCTGATTTTTTTGATTACCCGCATTAACTAATTGTACCAAGTATTGGTTCATTCCCACCCCATAATTACAAGATTAGATCCTTAATGTTTATGTACCTTGTAACTCCGATACAGACGGCCGCTGCTCAAGCCTCCGGTAGTCAGGGTCCACTAAAACAACCGACCCAGTTAGAAACAGGAAGGGGCTCAGTCTGCCGATGTTCACGTCTGACAGTCATAAGCAATGTCACTGCGGGGCTCTGTCAAGTTTTACTTGAAACGAGGTACTCTGTGCAGTAATAGCCTTATCGGGAGCTGGGCTACCCTGTTCATCGCCGTCGCTGCGAAGACTAGTTCACTTTCCCAACGGAGAGTTAAATCCCCTAACCAGATTCCAGAATGGTCAGGGCATTCTCGGACATGTATCGTAGGACAAGGGGACCAACTCCCTTTGAGCTTTAGGACGTGCAGGTAACACCAACCCCTGTTTTAACTGCAGAGCTGCGGATATTGCTATATCTCTTCGGGTGCCATGAGAGAAGTTAACTAAAGGCATCAACTGAGTTTGCAATTTTCCGCCGGGTGGAATGCCTAGCTGTTCTGAGCAAGCTATTGTACCAGACTATCGCTAGGTAGTGTAGGGTTGCAAACGAGACATACCACACGACAGGATTTTGCCCTCTTGCTTTTCCTTTGCATCCGGTACTTCGCAGCTGAAGTCTGTAACGAGAGAGGCTGAATTGATTGCGTAAAATGAGCTCGAATACGCCGTCTGTTACGGAACCCGTATAAGCTTCAATGCCTAGTTGAAGCTGGTTCTATCTACTGCCACTTTCCCAAACTGCCGGAAAGACAGACCTGGAATTACCCGCCTAATACGATTACAGAGTCGGTCCACGTACGTTTTCTTACATTCCTCGTCCTCGGGGCACAGCGCCTCCCCGACCTCGTGCTGCCATTCCTCCACGAGCACCCATCGCGCCGCCTCTCATTCCTCCCCGTGCCCCCATGCCTCCAGCCGGTCCACCCGGATTGCTCGTGTTTGGATTAGGAACCTGTGGGGCCAAGCCAGCTTGGTTCATTGCCATAGGCTCTGCATCCTTCAGGAGGGAAGCTCTCTCAATCGTGCTGCCGTTCGCCTGGAATTGGCTGCCGCCTGTCGTTCCCGCTGTATCGTCGGGGTTGACCTTGATCTTGACGGCGCTGATTTCGACGTGTGTCTGGATAATGCCGATAAGGAAGCCGAGAGTCGAAATCACCGCCAGCCAATGTAACGCTAGCGCGGCAGTCCCCTTTGTCACCTGGAATACCCCCGGCGCTTGGGTGTTGTGGCTCGTGGCGAGCTGGACGGCTGCGAACATTTGCGAATTCGACACAGCAGCAGCGAAAGCGAAGACGACTGAAAGACCGATAAGGGCGATCATTGCAATCCGCAGTATGTCGAGCCTGCGGTTCCTTTGCGACTGCCTCCAGGAGGATGCTGGGCCAACCCAAGGCTTGTTTAATGTGCCGTAGATGGCAAACATAATGACCCCGAGGGCCAAGAACATGCCAGGAATGGCGGGAAACACAATGAAGACATCATTTTGCAACGAGGCCCCCACCTCAAACAGCACAGAGTTAAGGGTTTGATTAGCAGGCAATGCTTCGAAATCGTATATGTTGTTTGATCCGATGGATAGGTATCGAATGCTTGACGCGTGATCTTTACCGACTGTAATGGCGCAGTGTTCAGGCCCGCTGGAAAGCGAACAACACATTGCTACACGAGAGTCAGCCGTCGTCTTCTTACTCTGTGCTCCTCACGATACGAACCTGTGTACCCGATCCGGAGTCGAGTTGTTGCTTCTCCATCAACGGAGTTGAATTGTAAAAGATAATATCCTGATGTACCACTACCTGCTCCTTGGGCACCTGGGACGTCACCCAGAATGACTAGACCTTTACAGAAACAGTCAGTAGGTACGACTGCAACACAGGTTGAAAGGTATAACTCACTCTGGAACAAAATAGCCAACGCGGCTAATAGATACACAAAAAGCCGCAGCCAGACACTGTCTGCCCAACCATCAGCAAGCCTTCAATCCACGGGGGAGCTTGGGACGTACCGGCTATATGCTTCTTCCAATACTGTGACATTCCAGCGCCCATACCGGCTCCCATGCTTGATACCGAATTCATTTTGAGAGAATGTGTAGTCTAGGCAAATCAAAAGAGAGTAGTCAAGTAGAGGTATGAAATGCAAGGATTGACACAAAACCGAGAATTGATATTCTAACGAGCGAATTTGATGGTGTCAAAGTTGCAGTAGAGATTGTGATGGGTGAATTTTATTCTTATTCCCATCTACTTGAGCTGACTTTGGCTTCTTGTAAGGGGGGCCTGGCGCTGGAGGCTGAGCCCAACCAATTTTAGTGCTGAAATGGCCCTACGGCTGTATATAGCGTTGCCCCTCTGCAGAAGTGACAATATTCTCAGATTCCAACCGGTAGCTACAAGAACCAGTACGCGAGGCTCCCCACATGCTAATTTAAGCTTCTGTTGCCCCTCTCTGCCAAGATTGCTTGAAATCGGGCTGCGCACGGATGCACCTCCGCAAGGCTGGCTGTCTCCTCATCCACAGGCCGTTCCCGCGATTGGATTACATTTCCAATCTATATCGGGAGCGTGCTTAGGTCAGGACATTTCTTATGTTGCAGGCTGGGAGGTAGTCAGACGCACAGCTGACCCGCAAACTACCATCCGGATTCTAGCTACTAGCAGACCGAATGGCAGAAGTGACGGCGCCCGAGGAATGGATTTCCATCTCACATTATTTTGCACAGTACGAAGTACACTCTCTGTGCCACTCATCATTGTTATGGATCTCATGTCGGTCTCCACGGCTAGTTCTCTTTAAGTGACGTAGTAAATACAGCAGCTTGCTGCCGGTGACTCTCGCCGCAAGGGAAGTTTCTGTAGAACCTCTGGTCAGTCGTGTTTCGAAGTCGAGGTGTTGTTGCCTTCAGGAGTCTGGACATCGGAAGCCTTCATTCTCAGCAACAAGCTAGAGGTTTCAGTCTAGATCAGCAACGTATTATGGACGATCTTGAGTCTTAATCACTTCGATTCCCAGTATCCTCAGCAACTTCCTTGATAAACACAAATTATACCGATCAGCTGCGTACTAATTCCCCCCATCAACGTCCATGTCTTTTCTAGTGAAATTGGGTAGTATGAGTGTACTATTTAGAGTGACAGGTTCTATTCCTATCGGGCTCCAATACAGAAGAAGTAGAGGGGGTTTTGAGGGTACAATAGAATTGCACGCAATATAGAAAACAACATGGGAATTAGGCATAGCAACCGAAGTGAATGCAAAACTACCAATGTTACAAAATGGCAACTAGTTTTCGGAAATCGAATGCAACAACCCATTGGCTTGTGCTCCAAACCTCCCAACGGAAGCAACAAAGTACATCCAAAAAAGATCGTGAAACATCCACTGCACCCGCACAACCTCGCTCTCCGGAACTGAGAAATTTACATATCGTGGTATTGGTCATCGTGATGTTGCTGTTGATGGCCATCCTCCTCAGGGTGGTGTTGCTGTTGATGACAACTATCATCATGATGACCAGATCCAGAGTGGGTATGATCTTCGTGCCCACCCATGTGATGGCCCAGATGATCATCGTGTCCCGAGCCTTCATGCGCTTCACCATGACTGCCGTCATGGTCTAAGAGAAATGGTTAGCCACTACAATGTTCCTGGGTATGGATGTGTCGGGTTGTTGGGAACTCACAATCTCCTTCATGCTTGTTGGAGCTTCCGTCGTGGGAGTGGCCCCAGCCAGCGTGCTCGTGGTGATGGTGGCCATCATGTTCATGACTCCACTGGCCATCGTCGCCTCCGTGTTCGTCGTAATGACCGCTCCCATCGTTCATGCCCGAGTCGTCGCAGTAGTCCTCGCCATCATGCCAAGCATCTTCAGTGGCGTCAGCAAGGTCATGAACACCATCGACGATATCTTCGAGTCCGTGCTCGGCAAGATGTTCCACGTGATCGAGAACCATTGTGTGGTGTATGGGTACTGTGGATGATGAACTGAGTGGGACAATTATAAGCGGCAAGTTATTCTCAATGGAGGCTTGAAAAATGTTGGATTTTGATGAATGGCACTGCTGATGTGCTCTGTTCTTTTGCCAAGGCGAACCTTGAGTTCTTATATCGTCTACTTCTGGATTTCCAACCACGATCAAAAATAGTAACTCGTCTGCACGTGTTGCTCAAGGAACGTTCAAGCTGAGTAATAACTTCAATCTTATCACAGAGCAACTGTAGGATTGGGGCTATTCCTTCATCAGGACCATATCTCGAGGGGCAAGCGATAGACCGAGGCAGTGCCACAGTGGTAAAAATGGACCACAATCCCTTCCATATTCATCAACCCTATGCTGCAAGAGGAGGTGAGTTTATTGTTAGATGTAGAAGTCAGTGCTTCGGTTACCGTAAGGCCAGGGTGTCATTGTCCCTGTCATCTCGTACATGCAGTTGAATGAAGGTGGTATAAGCACTATGCATACCTCGTACTAGATAGAGAAGATGTCGGCAGTCCAAGGAGCCATACACTAGCCCCGAGGTGGTAGCAAAGTGATAAAAGGGCTAGCTTGACAAGTGGATACCATTATAATGAACAGGGGTAGTAAGGGGGCCGCCCCCGCCTGGGCACTCGGTAAAAGACCACCAATGAGACTATAGAGTCTAGTTACCTACCTAGGTATGAAAATAACCTGTATTTTACATAACTTTTCTTCGCATTCTCTACCGATTACATGGCACCCCAACACGTGGGATCATGGCGACTTGCTTACGCCTCACCAGCCACACAAGTCGTTCTGCCAACTAACCAGCTATCATGTCCACAACCACCCACTGATAGTGTTTGATCGAGTCAAAAGTTGGAAAGCGCTTGCACCCGTAATCATCGGTAAGATAGATTGGCCATTGTTCTGACCATTTCGACGCGTCGCTTTTACACCGCCCGGAATAGGTACTCGGCTCGACCTAAATAGAACGAATCCTTGTACGTACATGCAGTATTCCAGCCTAACTAGGCTGCGCCTCTAAGCCCTCTACACATCATGCTGTGGGATGTCGCCAAAGAGAACCACCTTCACGGCTGTAAATACTGGGAGCTTGTACCGCAGCGGTATTTGAACTTGTATATAACTCATAGATTGCATATCTGGGATGCTTGGGAGGAAAAGTAACTCCCACCGATAGAGATTAGGTAGGCTTCCAGGTTCTCGGCCTTCGTTTTATCAACCTTGCCTATTATACTGCAATGGGAAAATTTAGTTTGAAAAAGGCTCCTAAGCCGTCAAGCTCTGCTCCTAAAGAACCACCACCACCTCCTCCTCCTCCTCCCAAACCAGCGGCTCCAGCGAAGCCACCATCACCGCCGCCACCACCACCTCCCAAACCTCCAGCGGCTCCAGCAGCGAGTCATCCAGCATCTCCACCAGAGCCGCCATCATTACCACCACATAATCCTCCAGTAACTCCAGAGAAGCAACCACCGCCGCCAGGAGAACCTCACGGGACAGAGCCGAACCAACCAACAGAAACGCCATTGCCAGGAGAACCTCACGGGACTGATCTCAAACATTCAACAGAAACACCATTGCCAGGAGAACCCCACGGGACAGAGCCGAACCATCCAACAGAAACACCACTGCCAGGAGAACCTCACGGGACTGGGCTCCAACATCCACCACCCCCCGGTCATCCAGACACCGAGCCGGGCCATCCAGAAGAGCCACCATTCGAAGTCCCGGGTGCTCAGCAGCCACATGAGTCGCAAGTCCCTACAAAGCCCCTACATCCAGGCACCATTCCGCCTGGTAATGAACATCAACCGACAAGTTCATACCCGCCAAACGAGAACTCTTTCCCCTTCGGCTCGGGAGCAACTGACCCAAACTCGTATTATGGCCAGCAGCCCAGCTACAATTGGCAAGATGACTTGAAAAGCCAGCTCACAGGCATCGGTGTGAATGCAGCGAATACTACAGTCACAGGTCTTATCCAAACTGGTCTACAAAAATGGCAAAATCAACAGTACCCGAATATGTACCCAGGGGGAGCCGTAGATCCCAACGCATACCCTTCGGATCCCAACGCATACCCGACAGATCCTAACGCGTACCCGACAGATCCTAACGAAGACCCTTTAGATCCTAACGCATACCCTTCAGATCCTAACGTATACCCTTCAGATCCTAACGCATACCCGACAGATCCTAACGCGTACCCGACAGATCCTAACGAAGACCCTTCAGATCCTAACGCGTACCCGACAGATCCCAACGAAGACCCTTTAGATCCCAACGCATACCCGACAGATTTTAACGCGTACCCGCCAGATCCCAACGAAGACCCTTCAGATCCCAACGCATACCCGACAGATCCTAACGAAGATCCTTTAGATCCTAACGCATACCCCACAGATCCTTATATGGGCGCGGATCCCAGTATGGGCGCGGGTTTCGATACCGGTGCGAGCGTCGATAGCGGCGCGAACGTCAATAACGGCGGGAACACCAGCACCCACAACACGAACTTCGCCAACAACACGAATCCCAGCAATGATATGGAACACGGTGGCGATATGGAGCACGGTGAGGATATGGGGCAGTATGACGGGTTGGAGACTGATGGCGGGACATATTGGCCTGGAGACCAATATCACGATGAAGACGATATACAGGGCGAGGATGAGGCTAATGGAGGGTATTTGGACCCCGCGGACGAACAAACTGCAGAGGGTGGTCATTCTGGAGGCGCCGGCATGTTGGGGAATGCGCCATACGGCACATCCATCCATCAACCCCCCGGCGCAAGGATTGGGGTAACCATCCGATAGAGGTGTGATGTTCTGCTCCCTCGAGCCCATACCAGGATCGAATGCTCTTCATTTGTTTGGAGTTAGGAGAGGGATTTGCCCTTCGTTTATATCAGCAGGAATGAGACTAGGGCATTTGCTTGAAGGAATCTGCGGAACAGGCTCTCCTTTTGCTTCACGTTGAAGTTTACTCTCGTGTCTTTGACAAGCGCCAGACTCACACAGCGAAAGATGACAATTTTCAGACCCAAGGTGTATAGTTTGTGTGTCTTACACACTAATGATCAATTTCAGACTCATTCAAACCAAGTGGACGACGAATTTCATAAACTTTCGATATCAGTCACGCTGTTAAAGTCAAATAAAGCCCCACCAATTCAGAAGACTGAGCTCAACTTTTCTGCGTTTTGTACAGAGTTGTCGGTCCTTGCTTAGTGCTCCACCGTGGAGTTGTTTCCTGCCTTGTCGCATCTTTGGATATGACTCTTGACGAGGTTCCATTGATGAAGAAGGTTCTCTGGCAAGCTGCATGTTGGCGAAGTGCGCTCGCCTAAATTGCCTCGTTGGATAACGGGGGAAATCTCTCTTCCTGACTAGTCCGCCTGCCCTCTTTCTCAATGTATTCGGTAGTAGAAGCGATATTCATGATGGAGACAGCCTTGGAAAATGCATTCACCATGCTCAACCGAGGAGCTTCGCCAGAAAACCCCGTGCTTGTCGTGGGAGGAGGTATATCCATCAATACGCCCAACGATCAGGCTCTAACTCGAATATGCGGCGGGTGATTGTGGGCTTGCTATTGCTTCTGGGCTGAAACAGGTGCGAACCTCAGAAGCAAATAGCCGTCCTCGGGTCAAAGTGGTCTGTCGAAACTGAGGCGTATTAGGCAAGAGTCTCGTACATCCTGTTCGAGCGAGATACAAGGGAAGAATTTCCGAATAAGACACGAGATTGGGGTGAGCGCCTCCCGGAAAGACGTCTCCGACCCTATGGATGCGCTGCTCAGGAAGAAAATCTAGGAATGCTCATTCACTGGGGCGAGGAGGACTTGAAGAAGGTCTTACCGGAAAGTCTTGGAGCGCGATTACATGAAGCAACAGTCGATCCTCACTACAACTGGAAACAAGATCAAACTTTCCACATCTCGACGCAGACACGGGGGAGGTTGTGCGGTATCTCCAGATGCCCGCCATCACGCGAGGGTCGCGGAAGAAACTTCGCAGGTTCTTGAGCGAGAACCAGAAGTTGAACATCAAAGTTGAGTCCCCCATCCAACGCTGTATACTTTACTACGCTCTCTCCTGCTGAATTCATAGAGCTTAGCTTAGTAAACGCCTCCTGGATGTCAGTATCGAATCGCCTAAGCAAGTCACCGCCGAGTTCGAGGACGGTTCTCAGGAGACTGGTGCGTGTCTCTTGGGTTGTGATGGCTCTAAATCTCGGGTACGGGAATTTCTCTGCGGCGATAAGGGCAAGCTGCTTGGGATGGACCTGACGATGATCAACCATGTCGCGAAATACACTGCAGAACAAGCTCTAGTCTTGCATATGCATCATCCTATTGTGAAGCTTGCATTTCCGGTGATGGATGCACTGCACTTCTTGCAGGTAACCATTACTACATCCCCTTTCCATCTCAAAGTAAATCCGAGACCATTTTCAGAGCCTAACCACCGCAAATTATTTACAGTATTTGATGCCTCGGGCAAAGATCATCCAGAGAACTGGATCCATCAAATCTACTTCTCATGGAGAGGTCCTTAGTACGCAGCCGACCTTGGAGATCCCCAAGAACGCCTGCGATACTTTAAAACCCGAGCATCGCGACTGTCTGAACCATTCAGAACGGCTGTGCTTGCGCTGCAGAATGATGAAATTATCCCGGTCGCCCCCAGAATGCAGTTTGCGCCATTCCCGGGGGACAATACGGATGGAAGAGTCACGCTGGCTGGCGACGCAGCCCATGTAATGCTTCCACGTGAGTCACCCAGTGATTTGCTGCTCACCGTTCACCCATTGACTTTTTGCTTTGCTTTGAACAGATAGGGGCCAAGGCCTCAACAACGCATTCAAAGACGCTAGCGAGATTGTTGCTGCATTTTCAGCAGTCTATACAGGCAGCGGATCCCTGAAAGATGCCATCGACGCATATGAGGCAGAGATGATCCCTCGTGGTGCTGCAGAGATTGGACTCATCCGACAGCTAGCAGATAAGAGAATCAATGCCCATTATGAGGATGACATTGTGCGAATGGGACTACACAGGCAGAGGTCCTGAGAATATGCTGAACTGCATCAGAAATTTCGAAATGTCCAGGGATTGCAGGTGGTTCAAATACCCTGTACAGAAGTTCCCAACTCATCGTGGAGGATGATATGACTGGCATGCTATATCTCTCAATACATTCTCCACTATCATATTCCAACGATCTAACCTTGTATATAAAAGGCGTTCGCAGTCCTCTCGAAGAGCTTTTGTCTTGGGTATCGTCTAATACTCAAACGGTGTCAACTTCACCGCCTCATCTGCTTCTCGATAAGCGTCGTAACCATAAAGCCACGGCTGTACCTCTGGACAGGTCCTACAATTAGTGTCAGCATCATCCCACATCAGCGAAGGAAAAATAAACACTTACCAACGACTAGGAAACTTGCCAGATATCTCTTTACCCAGTTGTGATTCGAAGAGCCTGTCCCTTTCCTGCTGTTCCAGGCCGTCGGGCATGTGAAATGCCTCCCTCTGATGGAAGGTTTCTCGGGCAATACTCTCGCTTCTGGGTTTACGGAGGCGTTCATAGAGCGTGATCGCCGATGGCAATTGTTCCTTGGATGTGACATACGACAGCAATCTTCTTAGGACCCCACCATCTTCGATGGATGAATTTGCACCTTGTGCAAGATAGGGAAGCATTGGGTGGCAGGAATCGCCGAGCAAGACGAAGTTCTTCTCCAGATTCGTCCATGATGCAACCTCTTCACGATGCATAAGTTTCCACTTGTCGACTTGATCAACTTGCTTGAGGAAACGGGTGAGTATGGGATCCCACCCAGCAAATAATGCCTGCATCTCGCTGACTGAGCCTGTCGTTCGTGAAAGTCCGTGCGGGAGGTCGTCTGGGCAAAGGAGGACTATATTGTACATTGTGCCGCCTCTGATTGAGTATGCCACTGCGTGGGAATAGGGGCCGATCCAGAAATGAACCTGAGGGTTAGCGATCCAATGCCTCAATTCAGGATCTGTGATCTTGTCAAGTTGTAGAACAATTCTGTAAGCCAAGTCTCCGGTCGGTAACGGCTCGTCGGCTTTCTTCAACATGCTCTCTCTACATTTTGACCACAGTCCGTCAGCCCCAACGACTAGGTCGCTTTGAACTTCTCGACCGGATTTGAAGACGACTTTCGGCCCTGCCGATGTGCTCACAACCAACGGCACGCGACAATCGAGCTGCACAATGACACCAAGCGAGATGGCTTTATTATACAAGATCTTCTGCAAATCAACCCGGTGAATGTCAAGGAAAGGGATGCCGTATTTTTGCTGAAGGTTCTTGTCAAAATCCCGTTCCTCTGCCAGAATCTTGCCGTCCCTGTATCTGTGCACAGCCAGGACCGTCGGTATTGCAGCTAGGGCCTTGATTGAATCTTCCAAGCCCCACTCTCGAAACAATTTCGAAGCATTTGGGGTGATTTGTAGTCCAGCACCGATCTCAGCCAGTTCTTTGGCGGCCTCGAAGACTGTGACCCTGTGTCCTGCAAGAGCACAGGAGATGGCGGCAGCCAGACCTGCTAACCCTGCTCCCACGATCACAATGTTCAACTTGTCTTCGCATCTGTGGACGTCGGCTTGATCAGATGCCGAGTCACTCTGAACACCTGTTGCCATTGAAGCCACAAGGTAGATACATCTGGATCCTTGCTTAATCTGATTCAAATAGAGCGGGAATGGTCGGCCCGGCCTTTCTTCAAAACGTGAGCGCGACGCCCTCTGCGGATATTCCAACCATTACCAGCGCAGAAGGAGGGGAGGGGAACAGCTGTGGCTTGGTGGGTACGGGTCGATCTCTCTCGGTAGTTGGTCTTCTTCAACTACCGATCGACCCTGGCATGCCTCACCAGCCTGAGGAAGCGACGAGCAAAGCCAAATCCGACATCAACAATTCATCTTCTCACCTTCGAGTGAGAATCATTCGGGTCGCGATGGATAATCTTCCGCAGCTTGGCAAAGCAATTGCTCAGGTCGTAGTGCCAACATACCAGCTATACAAGCCATTGTTGCTAATTCAAGCCGACACCATCAAATCGACATCCCGTCAGACCTTCAGCTATGGCAAGCATCCGCGCCAGCAGTTAGATCTCTACACTCCCACCAGTACAACACAATCAAAGATCAGTAATTCTGCTTTGATCTTCTTGTATGGCGGAGGATTTGTCAGAGGCGATAAAATCAACCCAGGTTTTCCCGAGGGTTTGGTGTATGCGAACGTAGGCCATTTTTTTGCGGAAAACCTGGGAGTCAAGGTCGTTATTCCTGACTACCGACTCATCTCTCACGGCGCAGCCTTCCCTTCCGGAGGCCAAGATCTGGAACTGGTCATCGATTGGGTCAACGGCCATATGGGCAACGATATGGCAAAACCGATGAACCTTTACATCATGGGTAACTCTGCCGGAGGTGTTCATTTAGCAACCTATCTCTTTGCGCCCGAATTTGGCCGAAGTCGCCAGAGAATGCTTATAGGAGATGCTCCAGATCTGAAATTGAAGGGGGTCATATTTCTTTCGGCCCCCTTCCATTTCGATTGTGCCGTTGCAGAGAGAGCACAAAACCTCCAAGCATATTTCGGGAATCACGTCGGCAACTTATGCCCCTTGGGTCTGCTGAGATCTTGCAAGGAAGACGGGTCCATTAGTGAATTCAAAAGAGTCCCGGTCATGGTTCTTTACGGAGGTCTTGATCCGGAAGACGAGATACTGAGGTCAAAAAATGAGTTTGTGAAAGAGTGGATTGAAACAGACGTTGTAGCCGACGAATTGACAGTCTTAAAAATGGAAGGTCACAATCATATCAGCCCGGTCTTAGGGCTGGGAACAGGGATCTCAAAAGAAGAAGCCTGGGGTCGGCAGGTGGTCGAGTTCATCATTGCAGCCGCCTCCAAGGGCTGATCAGGTGTTGTGGACAGGCGGCGACTTGGGCGAGGTGTTGTTTCCTCAATGTCGGTCGTCTCCAGAGGATCATTCTGAGCCGTGAATTCAAGGGCTTCTCCAAGTGAATTTAAGAATAATACATTTGCATGTAGAGCCTTACTTGCTTCAGAAGATATCGCAATGCATTTGATACATCCACTTGACAATACCATGGGAGAGCATTTATGGCAGAGTTTATCGGTATTGGAGCCAGCCGTACGCCAGGTTCTCCTCGTTGTTACGGGAGAAGCGGTAGGGTCCTCCAGCTTGATGTACCGAAGTAGTAGCCGGCGAAAGTCTGTCTTATCAAGACCATCACTAGTGATCTGTTTCAGAGTGTTGGGGGACAGGAGGTCGGCTGCAGTCGGTCGCTATGGTCAGACCGAACCATAGGCAACAGTGAGACGAAGCCCTGTTCTTGTCCGGGTACCCTAGCTTGAGGGATGAAATCCATTACTCGTGAATTGTGACCTTCCATTGCACAGACGATTTTGTCGTGTGTAATGACAGTACGTCGTGTGGTGGAAGCTCCAACTGGTTTGGATGGGGGAATGATAGAGGCCATTTGCTAAATCCTGAACGTCAAAGCATCTTCATGCAGCAAGAGTCACGGGCATATTGTTTGTCGATAAGAGCAAGGAAGTGCCTGAACTTCGTCGGTTTAGAAGGCCTTGAAGGAGACACCTTTCTGCCGACGCAAGAGACACAACGATACCACCTAGTCTAGAGATGATGTCAGCGACGCAGGCGTCGGGCGTGGTATATCGCTCAGCAGCTCTTGTAGAGGCTGTTGTCTAGGCCCTGAGGCTTTCCGTCATTTCAGTGCGAATTCCGATATCTTCGTGGGCTGCCTCCTTGTTGTTGTATATGCCCACAATTTCAAGGGAGCTGTCAATTGCGTCCAGAAGGCCTCGAGATGTAATGGGCATTTGGCGCTCCACCCTGCTCTCAATAACCAGGTTTCACTTCGGTTTTAGTCTGCACTGCTCATTGTAAAGATCAGCTATCGTGATTCACTCAAGCCAGTTGTTCATAACACGAAAAGCGTTAGCATCGTCGACTTCGAACCATTCTTGGTGTTGCTTGAAACATGACATGTTATGTTTGCATTGAATCTCTCTTCGCCAATACGAGAAATGGATGGATCCCTCGACGAGCTTTCTGTAAGGAACATCCTGGAGATGGTGCTTCAAGATCGACTGATAGCTGCAGGTCCCTCCCCAGCACCATAACCGGGAGATGACATCTTTTGAGAACCCTATCTCGATTATTGCTGGGCTGGATTCTCTAGAGAACGCGTAAATATCACCAATTTCAGATCGCTCTTTCCTTATTGGGCCTTTTGACAAATTATGACGCAAGGTTCTGCTAGGCTTTTTCATAGGTTCGAACTCGGAGACAGCGGACGCATGGTGGCGTCAGATGACGGAATGGACAATGAGGCATTTCGGGGAGCTGATCTCAGAGCATATCTTGCCGGAGGTCCTGGGCGATCGATATAATTTGCAGAGTTCTGCCTGACCACCAAAGACGAGCATCGGGCTCTTCCTCTACAACATCATGCTGTTGTGTAGGATCTTTGAGCTGGCTTTGCCACTGCGGACGGACTTCTCTCGCTGAAGCGGTGTCTTGATGGATCTTAGGCTTATGTTACCGCCAGCAGCAAAGCTCGGCAAGCCTCCCGATAAAAGAGGACATAGGTGTTTCGAAGGCCGACATGCTGACGAGCCTCTGTCGGAGCCTGATGGCCTCTTCACGATCAGTCTTTATCTCTGGAGCGCCGACGTCCTTTTTCTCGGAGGTAATAAACACATTTGGCGTCCTTGGCTGTAAGATCAAGGCCGAGTTTATGCGGGAAGTCCGTTTCCAACGGAATTAAGCCCACTCCGCGCTTTAGCTCGAGAGCCTTGGTGGTGATTACACCGCAGGAGAGTCAAACCTGCAAGTTGTAGTGTTGAGCTCGCCTCTGACAGAGCTCCTTTACGTAGGAAGTTGGGAGATATCAGATAACCAATCGAGATCACCGCTGGCTTCTGGTGGTCAATTCAGATTTGGGACAGAGCGAATCCAGGGATGAGAGCCTATTCGTTGATTGCGCCTTATTGGGGGTCACAAGGCCCAGGACTCAGAGCGACCGTTTGGATTCGCCGCCCAGACCAGCGTTAGCGCCGACTATGGTGCCTGCGCAAGGCTGAAAATCCACACACCTCTGGCCCACTGGCGCAATGCCGTCGACAGGATTTAGTCATGGAAGGATCCTCGGAAGTTGTACTAGCAAGTGGTCCAGAGTCGGCTGCATTTTGCACCGCATACGTTTTTGCACACAGATGTGCATTCAACAGCCATCCACAGTACCCACCATGACCAACATCGAAAACTCGGGCAGTGAAAGGGATCGCGGACAGCGGCCGAGATGTTGTATTTCACAGTCCTCTGTTAAAGGTCTGCCCCAAGCCGGCGCGTGGTCCAGTAAACGGCCACATCAAAGACATTGACCCGGAACGGGAGATGTGGTTGAAGGCTGGGCATCCGTTGGCCTAGGGGCTTCAGGGTTTCAGGCGACATGTGTGTGAGCGTCGTAGCCACGGTTCGTGAGCAAGAAGAATTGCCCGTCCTCAGAGACGTGGGTGGGATGATTGATTTCTCCTCTTTTCCGATTACCCGCAATTGGCCAAGGCAATCTGTTCAGTTAAGCGCACCCAATAACTTGGATGGTAGCTTTGCAGTCACTCTGGGCAAAGCCGAATATAATAGCCTGGAGCCGAACAGGACGGCTGGGAAAGATGGACTAGAATTGGACAGGGTGGAAAAGCAGTCGATCTCGGGGAATGACGCTGAAGCATCAGGATTGGGTATCTTATTGTATCTGTACACGTATACATGGTGTGAACCGACATGTCTTGTCCCATCTAATCTCCTTTGCAATATTCCATGTCGCATGGCTGAGGAGGGGCAACCATCCCGAATATACTGTAGTAAAAAAGGCACTGTTGTGCACCTTATCTGCCCAAATGCACCTGACCCCATCATGTTCAAGCATTAAATGTCGTATAGTCCGAAAATCGTCATCGTCAGAATCAAAAACTCAATGTCCATCATACTGTACATCGCCATCAAATCATATCATCTCGCCCCCAGCTTATCCCGGATGACGACGCTCTCTCGCAACTAGTGCGAAGTCGGCACAACCAGCATTTCTCGACTACCCGGCCTCTGCAAGCGGTCAATGCCAAGATGTTCTTTCCCGTCCCGGCCGACGAAGATACCGAAGGCATATCTCATCCCAGTATCCTGCGCCAGACGACGGACAGCACGCCGAGGACGACCACTTTTCTCGTCCACTTCGGCGTCACCGGTCAATGACGTTGGGGTCGCGGGGGACCCAGTCAATCTCTTGACCAACTCAACTTTCGTTCCGATGTTCTGTAAAGCGACATCACCAAGCAATGGGCTAGCATATAGCCAACTCAGCAGAGCGGCAATGGTGTCGATATTGTGCGGCAGATATCGCTTTCTGGTGGGCCAGATGAAAAGGTACGAAAATGCATAGATAGTGACCAGCACGCATAGTGCAATGTACCCAGGCATGCTGGCGACAATTCTGACTTGATTGTCTGAGGAGAAGAACACTGCAGTAAATACTCCACCAGCCAGGACAGGAATAGAGAGTGAGAGCAACGCGATAAAGGTGATGTATGCAACCTTGTAATCACGATTGATCAGAGCCCGGATAATGACTCGAACATGTCCATAGGCAGGATATGACAGTAGTAGCGAGTCTCCTGCCGTGGCCCCGGCTGGTTGAGACAGATTGCGGAACGGCTGGACTGCTCTGTAATACATGTCAATTGGCTGCCAAGCAAGGAACAGCACCATGCCGAGAAACGCTGGCAGAAAGCTGTAGAGGAAGTTGGCTGGTGAGAAGCCACTCGAATCTGTCAGAGATGGGAGGAGAGGGCGAAATCCGTCTTGCACCGCTTTTTTGACAAAGCTGACGACCAAAAAGGCGATGACCAGCAGAACAGCTGCGACAATCCAGGCCAAGACAAACGAGTCGCGGAGGAACCAAGGCGTCCACCGATATCGGACAAACGGCGAGTGGATATTACGAGAAAAAGCGGAGCCGTAAGAATGCCGTTGAGCCTCAATATCGCCCAGCTCATTTGAGGGATGGATAGCCTTTGGCTTCTCGGGCGGGAATGATAGGTTTTTGACAGGTGCGTATTCCTCTCCCACGCCATGAAATACTTCTGGTCTTTCAGACGTGGTGAAGAAACCTAGACGCAGATTCCTTGGAGGGATCTGCCCGTTTGGTTGTGGTGATATCTCGGATTGCTCGAAATCAGAACCCACGTTTGACCTCTGAAACAAGCAGATCAGATCAGCTAGAGAGCAAGGATCCCAAAGCAGATTGGAATTCCGTCGTCGAAACCGGAAAGCGCAATACAGAAGTCCGAGTCCCAGGAGGATGTAGAGAGCCAATAGGGTCCAGCCGACGCCTCGAACAGTTGTCCATCGAAAACGTGCTGGGCCATCATCTGTGATCCACTGGGTCTGGAACACGCATGCGAGAAGCGGGATAGTAAAGCTCGTCATCCAGAAGATCAAGAATGTCACGCCCAGCAAGAGCTCGCTGTTCCGGAAGAAAGTGAAGTCAGGCAGAAGATAGTTTGCCGGCAGAACCCGCATGTTCTGCAAGGCCCAGCGATTACGACGGCCAGGGCCCATGCAGTAGTAAGGTAGGGATCGGTACACTGCGGCTTCGATCACAAAAAGCCACAGGATCAAGAGAATGCCAACCAGTTGTGGTAGATACTGGAAGACAAAGTAGCGTGGCGTCGTGTTTCCATCATAGTCGAAAAGTGCGTGATTCGTGCCTGCATATACCAGGCTAAATATCAGGGCGGCGATCATTAAAAGGCATAAGAAGAAGTAGAGACCGAGAATTGGAAGTCGTAAAGGTAGTGGTACATAGCCGAGGCGCATACGAAGGTCTTTCGAAAGATCGACGGGGATCATGACCTCCTGCGGGCCTATGTCTGACGGAGCCCGAGAGGGCGGACGGGGTGAGACAGGCTGGGGGGGTGGAGTCGGAGGAGGAGGAGAGGGTGTTCGTGCTTGAGGGCTATCGTCAAATCCAGGCTCCACTGGAGGACGAGGCGCAGGAAGAGGCACATTCGGGGCAGGAAAGGTACTGTCCCTGCCTCGACCTATGACATCCTCGTCTCTGGTCAATTGCTCGATAGCAAATCGGATGTATGGTGTATCGTCAACCCCCGGAGTCGGAGGGCTCATCTCGTCGAAACTGGACAGCATCCGCACCGTTGTCTGTGCACCTATATTTTGGTTGTGTCGAATGTTCAGAGGTGCCGGCTGAATCGCGCCGGGTCTTGAAGGAAGCGTCATCTCGGAGTCGATAGGGTTGTGCTGTACAAGTGGAGTAGAGATCCTTGAGGGAGGGGTCTCATAGCTTGCTTTGGATGCGTCCGACTTTTGACTGGCGACTTCGGAGGCATAGTCAGAGAAGTATTCGTTTGTAGCCGAAGAGGACTTGAGGGAGTCGGACTTGATGTATTGAGGAGTGGTTCGCTTGACTGTTTGAATGTGAGCGTTGGGATCAGTGACCAAGTTCATTACTTTGAGGGAAAAGCTCGTGAGCAAGGATGCGCAAAAGCAGAAAGGAACGGAAAATCAAGAGACGCACGTTGACGACAGTGGAAGAGAGCAGGGGAGTAAGGTTTAATGAAGCAACCGGAGAATTAAGAAGGAAACGTGGAACGTGAGGCTGGGATTGAGCTGGTTCTGCTCGTGGACGATGGTGTGGTGGTGGTTGGGAGCGGGCGGAGACCGGTGAAGGTTCCCAGCCTCCCGCAACAAGATGGAGCAACCAGAGTGAAACACATCACGAAAGCAGAGGCGAAAACCCGGTTTGGGCAGAGCACATATATATGTGAGCTAGTAAGTGGCACTCCTTCCCAGCCATATGGAGTGAGTGTTGTCAAGCAATGCGTACGAGGTACCTCATCCGGAGTAGGTAGAACAGCTTACCCAGTACCGCGGTGGTGTTGACAGCAATGCTGGCGTCGTTGGCCTTGCCGTTGCCAAGACGAGTCAATCTGCTCCACCTCAGCCTAGTTAACTAGCGCCTTGGCATTAATGTGCCACGTCAATCCGGATTCCTGGTTGAAGTCAGCCTTGCCGCTTTATTTTGGAACGAGCTCAGCCTTGTCCATTGTTCCTTGTGCAAGTAGTTGTAAGAGAGGCAGCCGCCCACTTCATCTCGTACGCTCGTCACATCCTGCAACGAAAATGAGACTCCTGGCTTAATCGCAAAACCCTGAACTGATACAAATTCAACTCCTGCTGCCACGATGTTCATTAGCTGAATCTCCTTTCCACAGATTGTTGGGAAGGTGCCCTCGTGTCGCACTTACTCGGGATATTCGGCTGGCGATAGATTGCTTTCATTGTTGGCAATCTGTGATCAGGTAAGTGCAGTGCTGACATGATCTTGACCAGTGTACGAGGTCCGGCAGTTTCAATTCACGCCGTCCACTCAGTGAAAGGTCCTGTGTCTTCACACCCTGCATCTTCCATTCGCTCTCTATTCCTTATTGCTCACATTCCCCTGTTCAACCGTATCATTACCACATCCCTGATCTTTAAGGATTGCGATAAGCTGCAAAGTCTGCCGATGATGATTTTCACAGCTCTCGCTGCCGCAACATGGCTTGCAGGGCTGTCAGCAGCGGCACCAATAAAGATGGACAATGCGCTTAATGTCCTACACAACCGGGTGTCTGCTATTCTTGACCAACTATGCTCGTCCAAAAGTTGTCTCTTTGGAGAAGCAGTGTTTGACTTCTCATCTTTCTCTTGCTCCTGTTCAGCGTGGCCCGTGATTCCCGTGAGTCCAAATGCAAATACACCGCAACCCTGTTGCTTGTGATTCCTAACCAACCTGTTGCTCAGTTTCCCGATCCATGTCGAACCTTACAATGCCAAAATCGAAAGGAACCGTTCTACTCTGTGATAGCAGATTCGTGTTACTGTGGCACCATGGACGACTGGCACAGCAAGGCAAACGAAGTGTACAATTCACTCCAAGGGTCGGATCAAGAGCCGTTGAACGACCTGCACCGCCGCCAGACACCAACGAGTTCAGCACGGCCTATCGATACCGCAGTCCCCACGTTCATACCTCCGCCGAATCAAGACATCACCCCAGAATTAATTCAGCAATCACTGAGTGTGCAACCGCAGAATACGGCATTGGTTGGCTCCATAATCCCTTACTTTCGAGATGGCGTCATCCAAATCTTCTTGCAGCTGGATGGCCCAGTAGCTACCACACTTGTGGTCAACTGCAGCACTTCTTTGCCGTGCGGCACAATTGGATTGGTCAACCCTCAGCCTAACCTTGCCTTGGTACCTCTGGTTGTGAATCAAGGTCAAGGACAGCCTCAGACGGCGGTTGCCGATTGTCAGTGCATCGCAGTCAACATTTACAATCCTCATATCGTCACGTACTGGATCCAGAAACTCAGCGATGGCAGCGTCTATTCAATTCTCGGAAATAATGTAGTTATGGATATTGACAAAATGAATACGACCCAGAGTACGGCTTTGACTCTGACCGCTCTATCTCAGGGCGCCGCTAAACGCAGCTTTCATGATAATGTTGTGTACATTCCACCCGAAAAACGGCAACTCTGGAGCGTTCAATGTGACTGGCCTTGCCCTTTCTACCACATGAACAAGATCAAGGGCACCGATGGTTACTGCGGCTGCATGTTCAACGATGCAGGCAAGGAACTAGACGCCCGAGAACTGATTGAGCCAAACCTGTACAATTCAAAGATGACTGAGAAAGCTTGTGCCGCCATGACATGTTTCAACAACGGAGGCGATGCGACGCCGGCGCTCTTTCATCCCTTCCACTTGACATGTTGGTGTATCACTCAACCCTACATTGATTCCAACCCCAGTGCTTGGAGTCCCTCGTCGGGAACAACATCGTTCTGAATTAGCCAATTGTGGTGGGAATATGAGTGGATTAACGAATTGAGACTGTACAACCACGAGGCGGCGGGTTTTCTTTGGAATGAGGCAGTCAAGACCTATGAGTATCAAGTTGATGAGAACAGTCTTCTGTGCGAATTCGGCATACGATCAGCCATGATCAAGTGAGATGATGCAGAACATCAGCGCACCCCTGGATGAGCGAACAACGGTGAGACAGATCAAAAGAGTAGCCGGTACCAATAAGCATCCCAGATTGGATCGAATGAGAACACCGATAGACATAATAGTGAGAATGACATCGACTAAGCGAGAGTCAAATTGTGTGTTGGGGAAATGTGTCTCTGCATTCTCAAGTGCCTTGGACGAACCGTTTGTCCTAGGAGCTTCACAAAACTGACGACAAAGGCTAGACAGTATTGTATTGAGACCATGACAGAACTCGCCCATTGCGCCTTCGCTTGCTGTGAAAACATCCCGAACATGAGTTGTGAACCCAAAATAGAAAAGGACTTCAACTGATAGGAAGAAGAATTAGTCTCTTTGCCTTTTCCCGTTTAAGCCGGCTTGAATCCACGGCCTTGTTTTCTCCCTTTTAAAAGGGTTCTTTTTGTTCGACACCGTTAGTTTTATTCGCTGTGTGCCTCGGATATCCCCTCGCTCTCAATCGCGAACCAAGATGTTGTCTTATTCCCAGGGAGTCGTGGACCGTTGGGCTATCTCGACTCCCCCTTTTTTTGCTTCTCGCGGGCTTGTTTCCACGAATGATGTCCCGAAGATGGAAGGAGCCGAATGAGATCAGTTACAGCATCGCTAGAGGGTTAGATCGATTAACCCGCTCGTGAAGTCGAGCTTGCATATGTGCATTCATTAAATCCATATTGTACCTTGTGTTGTACATTGAGCGTAAGAGTAGGAAGCCGCCCATTGATTAGGTTATTGGAAGATTGTTTTTTCCTTTTCTTTTCTCTCTTTTCTTTTGCGGACCCGAGATGGTGATGAATTTCTTGCAAGTTTGCAAGGTGGCGGCCGTTGTTCACCTGAGTAACAAGGGGTCAAAGAAATATTCCGCCCGCCATAACAAAGGGCTGAGCGTTCGGGGATTGTGCCTGGTTTCTCTTCGTACTGTCTCAAAAGAGATTTGTTTCCCCTCACCGCCGGGTGGAAGAATTTCCACCATTCCCTGTCCCAGTTCCAGTCCCAGTTCCTTGTTCGCCAGGCAAAACACCCGAGCCACTAACGTAGCTCGTTCGGCTGGGAGTCGTCCTCGCAGTCTGCTCTTCAATAATATCGCTCAGCCTGGTCGGATGATGATGAGGGCGGGCTTGCAAGCTTTCCCAGGCTGTCATGGCTTGAGTTACCGCAGGGGGAACACCTGGTTCGTACACTTGGCCGTCATAGCCTGACGATGTAGGGTCTATTGTTCGGCCTTGAGGGATAGGTGGGAGGGCACCGGTCGTGGTACGAGGAATTCCTGCGGATGTGGTGGGTGGCTGTTGTGACGATTGAGGCTGTCGATACTGTGCAGCGTACATTCTCTCACGCTCGACGTCGGCGGCATGGTCATCATCATCTTCAGATATTTCTCCTGGTATTTCACCTTCGTCATCGCTAATCTCCCCAGCCAACCGGGATGTCCCTGCTGGTCCTATTGGTTGGCGATAAGGGATGCGGCGGCCCTGCGAGTCTCGCGTGTAGCTGCCATCGGGATTGATATGGTATTCTTCCTCGGATGGTGCCAGTGACGTGCTGGATGGGATGTACGACTGTTCTGTCCCTCCAGTACCCTGGCGAACTGGTGTAGGTAGTGCACCGGACATTTGAGCATCGCTGGTGGCAGTCTGATAGTAGCGTGACTCACCAGGCGTCCGGGCAGGCGACTGCCCTCCGGTCGCCGCAGCTCGAGCAGCGGCAGTTGCAGCACTGGTTACAGGTTGTGTAGGGCGCGGAGGGGTAGTATAGAATTCCGTATCTGGCTCACGGCGCAGTTGGGCTTGCTGTTCACGCTGGCGAGATGATTCTGTAAATGGGTCTGTCATGGCTGAGGGGCCGCCCGTGTCGGGTCGATATGTGAATTGTCGGTTTTCTTCGCCAGGTGAATCCAGAGATGTCGTTATCGTTTGACGAGAAGAAGGTCGTTGTTGTTGTTGCTGGCCAGACATCATGGTCGGCCCTGCACCAGCTGTCGGCCCATCTCTAGTTTGTGGTCGCTGAGCTGTGCTCACCTGCCGGCTCGGCAAACCCTGCATCGGCACGACTTGGACGCCGCCAATAAGGGTGGGCTCTCCGCTGCGCAAAGCAATGGTTCTCTCACGCTCCTCCTGTTCCCTTCGGCCCAATTCTTCCCAGGCACGGCGAGCTTCTTCCTTGCTGATTTGCAACTCGCGGCGCATCTCTTTTACCAGCTCCTCTGCTCTAGTCTTCTCTGCACGCACCTGTTCTATGGAAGTGGAACTGAGCGTCCGAGCTTCCTTCTCGGCGCGCAGTTGACGCTCAAGCTCTGCCTGTCTTTCTTGAGATTGTTCCTGCTCATGCCGAGTCTCGAAGAACCAGCGTTGGAACTTCCGCTCGGACGATGCTCGAAGACGCTGCAGTTCAACCACCGCGTGAAACAGGTTTGCACCTGCCCGAGACAGGTCATCAATCTGTCGAGCCATTTGCCGATCAAGGGGCTTCCCAGCTAATTCATCGGCATTGTTCTCCATGCGATGGATAAAAGATGATACGATACCCTCCCAACGAGCAGAAAGATCCTCCCAGCGTTCAAACGCGTTGGGGAAGCGACTTCGGCCTCCTGCACCTGAAGTCTGAGGAGGAGGTTGTTGAGCGGATTGGGTGCTAAATGGGGGGACGGCCTGAGCTCGGGCTTGCGGTTGCGGTTGCGGTTGTTGAATAGGTCGCTGCCCCTGTTCCGCCGGTTTCGCTGTTGCAGGAATGCTAAGCTGCTCGTAGGCTTCTGTCCGATTTCGCTGAGTGGCTGCAGAAACCCTAGGATCTCTTCCAGCAGGATCAGGAGCCCTGCCGGTTGTTCTCGAGGAACTGGGTTGGGTGGGTGGTATGTTCTCTTGCCGCCGCGTCGTCGAGGCGACAGGTTGAGAGATCGGTCCACCTATGTTGTAAGTTTGGGGGGGTTGAGCACCGGGTCTGGCAGCCGCTCTTCGTGCAGTGTCCTCCCCAACGCCAACAATTTGTTCTTCCTGTATTCTCCTGGCTTCCTCCTCTTGACGCAGTCTGGCCGCAGCTTCCTCGGCTCTACGAGCTTCCCGAGCCCGCCGGTCTCGCATGACATCTGTAGGAGTACGATATCGTGGGGGTTCGGTGGGAGTCGGGCCAATGCCAGCAGCCGCGGTTGCACGAGTTCCTCCGCCATTCTGAGTACGACTCGACGCAGCAACGGTACCGGGCGCGGTGCCCCTTACCAAATCTGACATTCGAGCCTCTTCTTCGAGTGGATCAGCAGTTAGTGGCTGCGCATTAACACCATCACCTCTTCTGATGGCTTCCAAGGCAAAGAGGATGGCGTCGTGGGTATGTCGAGAGATGTGAAGTGGCCTCCGAGGTCGATAGGTGTCGTCCGAGACCAGTCGCTGGAAAAGACTAGGGGTGGTAGAGCCGGACTCGTCGAAGCGGACTGGCGGTGTAGCAGAGAGAAGTTGTGACCTTCTCGCACGTAGAGGAGACCGAGTTGTCGCCCGCCGCTCTTGTAATCTTGGGGTTCTCCGGAGAGATCGAGCACCGCTAGATTGGGAGGATTGAGGACGTCTTTGCGAGATTGGAGTAGCTATTTGTTGCTGGCGTTGGGGTAAGGGATCTCGTTCCGGGTCGTAGTACTCGTAAAGGTCGTCAAAGGGCGGTTGATCGGGGAGCGACACGTCGACCGCTGGTTGTTGGACGAGGGAGGGATCTTGGGACAATTTGGGGACTGCGCCTGAAGCGCAAGGGTGACGGAGCTGGTGGTAAAGGTTCTGGGGGTGGTAGGGGAAGGACTAAACAGGATTGGAGCCAGGCAAGATGTGAGAGGGACTGAACAGTAACAGTGACAGAGGCATTGACGTGGTGAAGTGGAAGAAGAGCGCGTGGTGGTGTTGGTGGCTGGTCAATTTCTGAAATCATGGAGGTTGGGCCTTCAGCTTCCAGTGCAGAATCGCGCGCCCACAAGTGCGGCGAAGTCGCGTCTCGGAATCGGTGAGGGAATTGAGACAATTTAGCACTCGTTACAGACATCAAAAGTGTCGCCCCGTGGGTTTCGTTAACTAGCGAAATTTTGTTTTAATTGTGTAGGTGTTGAAGATATCGGATCACCATATGGTGGGTGCGGCCGCACTCAACGGGGGGCAGCTATGAGCGCAGTCAGTAACACCTCAGCTCCCTACTTCGCACGAGCGACTTTCTCGGAGCTCGATGGTATTGGAAGCTGCTGCTGCTGATATGGCCCAATGCTGCAATCAGATTTGGAGCTGAGGATATTTATTCCGGTATGGCATGCATCTGGCAAGTCGCAAGATGTCAATTGCGAACGGTAGGAGAACAAACACGGAGGGCAGATTGCTACCAGCAGTCCAGGACCAGATTTCTGGACGGGACGCTTGAAGAGCAGCCTGGAACAATCGCCGACAACGTGTTTGCCATGATCACCGTATTTTCCTTGCTCGGGCAGCCAGTACCTCGTATTTGTGGGATAATCGGTAGAGCGAGGCCGTGGTGCGATATTGGAGAGGCTGGGCGCAAGCTCGCAAAAGCATCGAGGCCCAGATGTGGAGCGATGAGCTGGCAGCATCGTCATCCATGCACCGCCAGAAACAAGCCAAAGCCACCTGGCTGCTCCAGCCCCTGCGCTTCCCGAGCCACAGTTTCACCTGCATCGTCGCCGGTCACCACCCTCGTCGCCGCCAGAGCCCATCTTCCGACAGATCTCCTCCGGTGTCGAGCCTCAGAGAGCGAGGTCCGCAGAGGAAAAGAGATGAAGATCAAGAGCTTGGTAACAATGCTGCATGGATTAGAAGACCTCGCTCTCTGCCCCACCATCCTTCTCAGTCCGAGTCATCCAGGAACCAGGGAATAAATGAATGCTCTGCCTGACCTGTCAACTGCTGCCGTGCGAAGCGGATTGGCTCAAAATCCCATGTCTCTGAACGAATCACCCACGCTACTGACGCATCCAAATGAGAGCCCCGAATCCCTCCTAGGATGCCCGCCTAGAAGCAAAAGCCCAGAAGGAGGTATCTCAAGTTGTTAGGTGTTTCTGCCCGGACACTTGTCGCCACGGAGGCTGAGTGGCCACCCTCCGTCCGTCGATCACCCGTCCTCCAGCTCGACCAGGGTTGGTTCAATGCTCAATGAAGCTGACCGGACCGGAAGAATATGGATTCCCAAACTGTGGGCGCCCACTGGCGCTGCATGGTTGTCGTCCAGTGATCTCCTGAGGGGTCTACTCCTCGTCAAGCTTCACTGTTTGTGAATGCCCATGTCAATGTCAAACTCGACCGTACAAACTATTTTTGCGACCCATCATCCCCCCCGTGGAATTGAGATTTGCTGCGGAAGGGTGCGCTGCCACTTCCCTGAAGGGAAACATGGTGGCAATTCTGCCATTCACAAGGTCAATCATATTGATTGGAGGTGTCGATTGGTCGATTTCCCGCCATGTTTGCTGTTGGTAAACAAAAGATTGGCATCGCGGCTTATGGTCTCTAGGATTCCCGCAAGCAGTTTGGAATCCCGTTGAGAAGCAAACACTGCGTTTCTAACTTCTCCTTTCAAACGCTACCAAGCTCACATATTTAGCAGACCCCGCTGTTGCCGTCCAGCTGAGGGGAATGTCACTTGGTGGAGTCGATGAGTATTGCATCCGACGATGCGGAACGGCATGCGTGTCTAGACTGATGAGGCTGTCACCCCTTGAGCTAACACGGCCCCTCTACTCCCCCATCCTCAGGTCTATGTTCTTGATGGCACAAACATTGATATTTCAGTTGCCAAGTGATCCATTCTGTGAGGTGGTTTGCCCAGCAGGGTCGAACAGATGCGATCGAAAGCGACTTATCTTATGCCGTCTTGTAAAACCAAGATTTTCCCCTTCTTAACCCTACCGCAGCTGTCATTTAGAGGGGCTACCTTCACAAGGACACATGAGCAGAGCTTTGGCCAACCCCTCGGATGAGTTCTACAGGAGGGTCTGTTCATTGTTGCTCCAGACCCATCTTCCTGCTTCCAGCTCGACTCCGATGTACCTGTGATCGAGGCAGGGCCACAATCCGTGTTGCTGCCGAAGGTCTGGGTATGCTTCTGGGCAGGGCATTGCCAAAGAAAGTCCGCTTCTTCTCCTACCCAACGTCGAGGTTCCACTCTTACTACTCGGACCGATTGTGCCTAAATCCCTGTGAGGTCCTGATCTCGATAGCTTGCATAGCGTCGTGACAGCCTGCACATTCAGGGCTGCGGTTTGTTCAAACTGCAGCTTGAGCCTCTTCACTTTCTCAGTATAAAGTCTATAAGTTCGCTCACTCGATCCAATCCGGATTACCATTGTCATTAAACCTACTACTTCTACATTTTATTTCAAAGGAGAGAATCGAATCCTTGATCTACTTTCTTTGTCACTGCGTGACAGCTTGGATCTTTGAAAGGAATGTCCGACACCTACCACTATATACCACAAAGAATTCTGGAATATGTCCCGACCGTTGGTTAAAGGCGAACCCCATACCAATCCACATTACACATGTGGAAAGGGCGACTCTCGAGAACAGCCCTTGTTTTCGGACCTCTATGACTTCTCAGTTCCTGGTCCTTTCAATTCACTTCTCGTACACCGTGTGCCATCTGCGTCACTATACCCCGAGGAGATGTTAGCGCAGTGGTCCCCCAGACCGCCCCAGCCGTCATCCATCCATGCACACACAGATGGCGACAATATCTGCACCAGGAGAGGTACAGAAAGCAGTTCCGTTTCTTCCCTGATTGAATATGATGATTGGCTCTCTGATCAGTCTTGTCATCGTCCTCCAAGTCTACTTCCACCAGCACCACAACTAAATCGGACCCCCTCAGACACTGTTAAGGTTGAGTGCCGATTATCATCTCCAGAGCCACCGCCCGGGTGTCGCGAAAGGAACACAGACTCGACACCAACAACGAAGCGAGAGCTGCAGCATCAATTGACTGCACAGCTTGGAGGAGTCTCTCTAGAACAGCAGACGCTATCGACCCCCCCAATAAGTCCAGTCACGCCGGTTCCATCTCTGACGAACTCACACCGTTCTGATTCATCCTTTGCTATATCTCAAAGCTCTCCTTGCACAGCTGTCGGCTCTTCCGAGGATTACTTTGAAAGTTTCCTGGTGGATAATTCTCACGGTGTCATCGCACTTCACAAGAGGACGGGCGAGGCAAACACCGGTTCTGGCATTCGTAGCATCACCTCACCGCTACCTAATTCTCTTCTATACCAAAACACCCAGCTCGGTCAGGTGCCCCGGGCCGCAAATCTCTTGAGTGGTTCCAAATTTGTCGCACCCCAACCTTTGCCAAATCCCGATTTTGGTGCTACAGCGATACATTTACCTCAAGGTTCCCAGGAACATCACGAAGTCTCCTATATCGACTGGGATGATGACGACAGTTCTAGACACCATAATTCACCACTCACGCGCATTAAAAAAAGCTTTACGGATCTTCGTGCCGCCGAACGCTTCATCTCGGAGGCCAACATACGCAAGAAAGAGAATTTGACTCCACAAAAAGAAACCATGGGCGGTATTTCCAAAGTGCAAGGTCGCGAGGTATGTCAAGCGTCTCAAGTGTCTAGACAACACCAGCAGCGGTCTCACAGTCCTCTGAGAACCACCCTGTCGTTGAAGGAGGAGAGCAGTCTGACAAGACTCTCATCGAAGCTCCGGAAAAAGCCCAGCATTAAGTTGCTCTCTCACAGCCTGTCTAAAGCGACACCTCGGACTCAAACATCAGAGCGAAAGACCACCCAAAGGGCTGAAAGCATAAAGCCGGATGGCTTGTTGTCGGCGCCGCCACGTAACACAACCATTCCCCCAGCACCACCGTCAATGGGCAACAGGAAACGCGCTGACACAATGACATCAAAGCGGTGGAGACAGGCGCAAAAGAAGAAAGTAAAGTTTGCCGTCCTTGGGAAGCTGGTAATGCGGCTTCTCGGGTCCAAGCAGGAGCATTGATTAGATGTGTTATTTCTACATAATATCCATCTTAACAAGGACGTCGGCACTGAGGAAGTGGGCACGGGCACCTTTTTCTTCTCCCCCCCTTTTTCCATTTCCTCCTTCGGAGTACCCGCAGAAGACTTTCGGTCCATTTTTCCTACAACCGAGTGGTATATGATGCTTCCGAGTGAACATTTGACAGATCAAGCTTTTGGGAGTTCGGTGGTCGAGTTATCCTTCGCATGAGACAGAGGACACGCCCTCGTCATGGAAATGAATCGACGGGCGTCTGGCATTTTATTACACGTGTGACGATTATGGCTGAATGAGTAGGTGACGACATTAGACCCTTCTCATGATATGTATGGGACATGGTTACTGGAATGACTGAGTGGTTTATGGATGATTCTTAGGCGCACGGCATGGTAGATGAGTAACAGTGAGGCAACGATGTTCTCGGCCAGTACCAGATTGCTACGCACGGTGAAACGGAACAACGGATCGTGAGACCGAACTGCCTTCGCAACATTTATGGTAGACTGGTTATGAGCAGGAACGACTGCGAGTATTAAATACTGATCAGGACAACGATACTTGGGAAGCGGGTAACGAAAACCATTCGTTCCGAACCGATTTCTCTAGCATGTACAGAAAGCTCTGGCAAATCCTGACAACTTGCTCGGAAACCTGACAAGGAAGAAACTTCAGCCGGCCGCCTGACAAATGGAGCAGTCTGGCCTTTTCCTACCTCATTCAACCCGTAGGCAGTGCGCATATTCAACCTCTCTCTCTAGGCATTTGAGGGGCATTTTCTCAGGCTTTGGCTGCTTTTTCATGACCCCTCCAACCAGAAAAAGTGCACTGTTGCAAAGATGAGCGACTTTGAACAGTAGCTAGACTGGGAGCGTCGTGCATATTTCCCATCTCTTATGTCTCCTGATGTGTCCAATAGATCATCTCGACATTCTTTCACTCTTTCACTCTTGTTGCACGACCAGCCGCACACATCGCGTCGGACACCGAGTCCAACTCCAGGCTTCCTTCGGTTGGGCATTCCAGGGTCCGGAGACAACCCGAGGAGGCATGGAGGGCCGCGCTCGAGACCGCGTAGCAGCCTTGTTCACCCTTGCATAGCATGTTTGTTGTTATACCCCAGCACTCGTGCGCTACTAGGCATCCTCGCCCTTGATTCGGCAAGGTCTCCAAAAGAGGCCAACGATTCTCGCGTCCCTTTGGCGTGCTCAGTCCGCCATGAGGTCCGGGCATGGTGATTTTGAAGGGAGAAAGCAGAACGCAAGTGGTCTGTTGACTTGGCGCGGACCCATCCACCCGTGCTATGTGCTCAAACTGTAGGACGACTCAACTTCCATTCGTCAGTGGCATTTGAGGAAGATGGCTCGGCTTTGGATCCATGCGGTGCAACAGAGAGAGCACCCGATCTGTATGAGCACGAGCGCATCCCTAGAAGACCAGAGCAGGAATCACAGGAAAGGGAGAGAATGCGCTTGACTCTGGAAGATGGCCAAGATGCCAACACTGATCGAACGGAATTGCGATGTTTGGGCGTAGGGGCAGGGAATGTTCACAAATAAAGGATCCTGGAGGAAGGCCGAATGGGCCAGTCTCCACATGACAGCAAATCCTGCTCTGACTTTTGCTCCTGCAACGGCAGCAGCCGCTGTCCTACTCAAATCGAGTTGTTGAGCCATTAGCGCCTTGGCATCCATTACACAGATAGATAGCTGTCAGACACTCTCCTTCATAGATACACGAATACCATACCGCCCGTTACTCTCATACAAGTCCTCTCCGTCCCACAGAGTCTTTGCTCCTTAATGTTGAGGGCTGGTTGTAGTGGAGAGAGGATGGAGCACAAGCTCTCGCTATGCCCACGGAGGGAGTCCACCCCTATCATCCAACAGGGAACGCTCGTCAAATACTCGGTGCCAGGAACGAACATGAAATGAAGAGCAGAGCCTCCATACGAGGTACGAAAGGGCGGAGATCACAACCTTTCCGACTCGTTCCTGGAGGATCAAGATAACAAAAGAGAAGGAACCCCGGAGGGCGAGAAGAGAGGCTCTTGGAGACTTACCTGATTCCTGCCTTCTCTTTGAGCAGAGTAGGCAATTACAGTGATCTGGGTGTTTTGCTGTTGTGACGACCGGTCTTCTTCGAAACCATCTAACCAACGACACTGGTGGAGGCATCTGGCGACCAGCAGTACTTAGCCCCAGCAGCAGGAAAACAAGCCAATCCTCCATCCTGCGGCCTTTGGAAGTCTTTTCCGAAATGGTTGGTCGTAGGTGTACCCAGTAGCTGGAGGGGAGTAGTCCTACAGCGTACTTAGGTACTTAGAGAGTACCGAGTATGGAACACAGTTTGAAATTGTTGACCCACCTGTCCTTTCTCACTTCATCTGAGTGATTGTCTTGCTAGGCAAGTGTCGTGTGCCTCTTCCAGTTTTGGAGAGCGCCTGGTGAAGGATCTTCAATCGCTCTGCATTTCCCTCCCGATTTCTGACCCGCAAGCTTATCAAAGCTTGAGACCAAGGTTTAGACTTCGAGCTTGTTGTGCAGAAGAAAAAGGAGTCAAGCGCGCAACAATCCGGATTTGCATCTGTCATTTCCCGCCCATTCCACAAAGCAACCGCAAACGATGTGGATAGTTCCAAGGCGGAGCAACAGAAGGCAATTTGGTAGTATGTCATCAGTACTCGGTAGCTACCTAGTATTGAGTGATTGATGACCTTCCTTCTTCGTACGGCTTTTCCCTATCGAGATTGCACACCAAGTCGAGTCGTTGAATATCCCTATACTTACTTGGGTATGAGAAGAAAGCGAAATAAAAGTTAAAAAAAACTCCCAACTTGCGCGAAGCAGTCCGCCGTTGTGCTAAGGTATATCAACGGAGGGCCACTAAAAGACCAGTCGAAATTGCTCTCGGCTAGCCTGCTTTCCCTGTGGGCAGCCGTCCAGCCACAGTTCAAGAAGCATCAAGCTTTGGCGGACAGGGGTCGACCGCCGAGCCCACTAGCTATTGTCATGGTTCATGGTTCATGGTTCCTGGCCTGGAAAAGGCCAAAGAAAATCCGGGGATGCAATCTTCGCCCCGCCAATTTCAGCCAGCATCCCTTTACCGCTAGCCACTGGAACGGTACGAGGTAGGTCGAGACGGTTGCGGTTTCAGAATTCGCAAGTACAAAATGAAGCGCGGGCGGGTCGGCGCGTTATTGCGCATGACGCATGAGTCGCCAGAGAGAAGATTGGACGCTCTAGTTGAGATTTTGGTCTGGAGACTACAGGCATTTGCCCACCAGCTTCTCGAACCCATAGCAATGTCTATCTCGCAGATCCCAAGGTGAGAGAACCCACAACAAACTCACTAGGTAAGTCGCCCCAAAGAGGAGATTTCTCTAATCCGCCTGCGAGGGGAGAAGAGAGAAGGAGCTTGTCGCGGGCATCAGGTCTCACTCTCATTCGCATACTGCAACGCTCCAATGAAGCCGAAAGCGCAATATTTCAGGCGACGTCGGACGTTGCGTTTGATGTGCGTTGCAGGGGGCAAACAACTCCTCGTCGTATACCTCGTACGAGGCCTTCTCCGGAAGTCGGGAAGCCCGAGTCATAAGCGAGATAGGCTTCCAGCCGATATCCGGTCGCTATCAACGACGAAACGTTGAGGGGGGAAAAAAAAAGACCGGGAAAAAGACTACTCTCGGGACGGATGGAGCGCCTGGTAAGTAACACTTTGAATTGCTGCTATGTATTGAAAAGCCATTAAAATTCCAATTTCTCGCGGGCCGAGGGTCAAAGGTCAAGCCGCTGCTGCGTAACGTTCCGCAAGATCCAATGCGCGGGATCTCCTATCGTGCCACCCATGACTTGTCTGCCAGACTGCTGAAAGTCTCAATAGCGGAAAAGTCCCATGCATGTATCGTTTCCCGGCGCCATCGCTATGCCCCTAACCAAATGTCAAAAGGGTATCAAAAATGAGGCCCCAGTGATTTAGTGGCTGGGGTAGGTCACGTTGCCACCAATATCCTCCAACCAAGCAATGCTGTTGAATTCGGTATAGATGGTGCTGATCTGCCATGTGTCCTTCTGGCCTTGGCTGTTGGAGGCTTTCAGGACCGTGATACCCTTCACTGGCTGAGGCTGGAGACCAGCAAGCCATCGGAAGGAGATGGTGTCACAGTTGAAGGCCTCGAGGGCAAGAAGTTGGAAAGGAACTGGAGGCTGAGAGCCCTGTCCCGCCATGAAAGCTGCCTTGCTTGGAAAGGTAGGTCCCCCAACTGGCTGGCCGATGAGGGAGTTGATGGAGTCAGAATAGTCGACGAGGTTGTCGGCCAACAGCTTCTGGGCGTCAGCGTCGGTGTAGGCGGAGATGAGTTTGCCAAAACCGTCAACCAGATACTGAGCAGTAGCTTGGTTCAAACACTTGGTTGGGTCGGATTTTCCTCCCCAGAGACCGCCCATAGCCCATGGAGAAGCATAGGCTGAGGAGATGAGGGCGGCAGCGGCGGCGATAGTGAACGAGCGCATGCTGATTGATTGATTAATTGTATCTTTGTAGTAAAGAGTGTAAATGAGCAGGATTTTGCAACGAATGTAGCGCAAATTGCTGTTAGCGAGGGTTCTGTGCTGTTGATCTGGATGAGAGACTTGATCAATTCGAGGGGAAAGGGTTTGTTATATAGACAACTGAGCCGTTAGCCAGCCAAGGAAGTGGTTGGCGCGGAGAGAACCTGGACCGGACCAGGTACCAGCCCAGCAAGCAAGCCATGCCGCTTGGGATCCTGCCATCAGCCTCGAGGACAGCAAGAGCAGAAGCACCAGAAGTGTCCCAGACTTTGGGAGAGACCCGTTACAGCTGGCCCACCTCCCGCCAACATGGTCCAGGGTGTCCTCGCCGCCCCGGTGTGGTCTAACTGATGATTCTGGAGCAAAGACTAAAAAAAATGCTTCTTGCTGTGGTGGCATTGGCCTCTATTCCCAGCTCTAGCTCGCGGAGAAAGGCCAGCTGACAGCATTTTTCGTATCGTGGATAGCGCCAAGATCAACCTCCTCCCCTGCAGTACAGCCGGCGTGCCGGCATTGGATTGGGGTTCGAGGATTTAGTTTGGGCGATAGCGCCTCCTCTTCGTTTATCTCAGCCACTGATGTTTGAGGCTAACAGAGGCGTCAGCCCACATCAAGGTTAGTCGAGGTATTTTTGGGCTAAACAATCCTGGCCCAGCTTGGGGAATGAGCTCTCCTCAGAGGATTAGCTTTCTCTCACAGCCACTGGTTGACTGGCGAGCTGGCTAGAAGGTCGCCGAATCAAGGCTGGGGGACGGTCTGGATCAAAACAGCCATGGTTTGAGACCACGGTTCATGCACCAGGCAGGGCCCAGCTTGAGGCCGGCTAAACCTCCTCGCTTGGGGAGCTCGATTCAGTGATCGTCTTGCAGCTTTCATTCTAGACCCATTTATCTCCCGTCAGGATCACTCCAGGCTTGCCAGGCCAGGCCGATTAATTTCACATCACAATCTGAAATTGCCACTGTGACAGAGCAAGAGGTAGTAGATCGACATGCGACAAGATTGAGCTGTCAGTCCCAGTCTGGAATAGAATATGAACAGGCCTAGTTTCTCCTTCGGGAAAACATACTATTGTTGCCAAGCGCTGACACGATGTCATCTGTCATTAATCCTTCAGCGCATGCTCGAGTTCCTCCGTAACTGATGCATCGAGGTTTTTTGCTTACTCCGAGCCAAGAAGCACACAAGACGGTCAGGCTATGCTGTCTCTCGGCGGAGTGCTATTGTCAGCGAGAGTGACTGAGTCAAGGCGATGCGGGTCGACTTCGCTCTGGATCCGTGTTGTGCCATAGGGCAGGCCTGCGCCGGACCTCAGAGAATTTTTGCCCTTGATGAGCTGCATGAGCATGAAGTTAAGAGCACACTTGATGCCTTGTTGCTCGCCCCGCTTAACGATATAGCCATTGATGTAGTCGATTTCTGGTTTCTTGCCATGGCGGATGTCCTCTCGCATACTACTCGAATTCCGCGCGGTCCGTTTAGTCACGCCCATAAATAGCTGCTCGAGTCGCTTGGCGGAGAACCGATGTTGGACGTTTGGAATACCTTCGAGCTCAGGTAGACCGCGGATGACGAGAGAAATCTCAGCAAGGAGAAGCCTTTGGACGGGCAACAGCTCCTTGTTGTTGAGCAGTGCGCCGTTGGGAACATCAAGGAGTGCAGTGAGAGGATTCAAGATGCAGTTTGCAGAGAGTTTCTCAAGCTGCAGTTGCAGTAGATCCAGGTATGGAAATGCCGCGCATGCCAAAACTGGTGATCTTGTCAAGGTGCGAAGAAGGTAACGTGAAGAGAGGTTCGCAAAGAGTTCTTTATCAGTTGGATGATGCTTCTTCCTCTCATCTTCTGACAACTCCCACAGGTGACGCACTGGTCCCTTTGGAGGAAGCGGGAAACGATCGGGATCTCGACATATACCCAGAGCTATTGCACCGTATCCCGCATGGACGACTGTACAAGGTGCATCCATGTAGGCACCGTGAGAAACAATCCCCAACATGTAGGTGGGACGCGTCTGAGGGTCGGTGAAGACCTCTTGATTGAGTTCATCTATTTGGCCAAGACCGTTTTGCATAAAACAGATCGTTGTCCTTGCATCGACACGGTGCTTGACGGAATGGAGGGCAGCAACGGTGGTGGGACCTTTGACGGCGACTATCAAGGTATAGATGTAAAGCTCGCCTGATGGCATCTTCTCTCCTTCTTCGACAGGGTTGGTCTGTGGTTGCTCCCGGCGTCTGTCAGGTATAAAGTCCCATCGGGCCTCGCCATCCTCTGCATTATTGTTGAATAGGTCAACGTCGTAACCGGTCTGCTCATCGTTGATACCGTTTTGCTTGTTTATCAGGTTGATAATTCGGCCCCCTCTCTTGAACGCATCATATTGCTCTTGTCGGTGGATCATCAGGGTGATCGGAGGAGGATTGGGTAAACATCTCAGAGAATGGGCGACCAAGGTGCCGATGCTTCCGAGGCCGAGAATATGTACACGCCTGGTGAGCAGCTGTTCGTTGTCTGGACTTGGTAGTGCGGACTCTTCCAATGGGTTCGACTCGAATGCGGGAACGTCTTGAGAGGGCTCAGGTGACGGGGGATCTCTCCACCAAGATCGAGCGTCTGCCATGGGTCTAAACCTGCGGGGTGCTTGGTCAAGACAAGAGGTGCTCTGTAGCCACAGGCCTGCGCTCGCAACTTTTGGCCATCTGCGCACTGCCCGGAGAAATGGGCGAAGAAAGAGTGGTTGCGACAGCTTGAGGGTCAATGTGAAGTTCACTGGAGGAACACTCAGGTTGGTGGGCAAATTGCGCAATTATACCCTCCACAGTGTGCTTTGCAAGGTCAAGATATCGTCACCATCCTGATAAGGCCACTGGAAATCGATCTATGTATATGGGGAGCAGAGAGATAAGGAACGATGATGAGAGGGATGGTAAACTAAGCTACCAGCTGGTAGAGTGAGTCGCGGTCGGAGAATGCATGCAATCGTTCCTGATGCGGGGAAGATTTTCCAATTTCTTTTTACTCCAAATTCACGGCCTGCGCTGCGACAAGTCAACATTTTCTCAACTTCTGGTTGTGCACTGCCTCACGAGACAACTCGCCCTTTGCATCGCTACCATGGACACCAAGGCGGTCATCGAGCTCGTTGATGAGCTGGAGGAAAATCTCGAGGATCTTGAAGATAATCTTGAGCCGGTCCTTAGCGGCGCTCTTTCAGCCACCACCAAAAAGCTGCCCTTGCTCGACCGCGCGAAACTCAATGTTCTCCTTGTGTACTCGATCGAGTCCTTGATTTTCTCCTACCTCAAGCTTCATGGTGTCCAAGCAAAGGAGCATTCTGTCTTCAAGGAGTTGACCAGAGTCAAGCAGTATTTTGAAAAGATCAAGCGAAGCGAAGCCACACCGCAGAATTCTCAGCCAAATCTCTCCCTGGATAAAGATGCTGCTGGGAGATTCGTCAAGCATGCTTTGGTATGTCGCTGTCGACATCACGCGATTTGGGTGGAGAGCTAAGTCATCCTAGGCTGGAAATGAAAAATATGATTTGCAACGCGCCGAGCGTGAGGCCCGTGAGAAAGTCCTCGCTAACAGAAAACTGAAAGCACTCGAGTCTGCTATGACGGCAAAAGCAGAGGCAGATACAACCCCAGATGCAGATGCCGGTGCGACTGATATACTTGCACAAGCTGCCCAATTAGCCTCGGTCCCATTGGATGATCCATCTTCATTCGAGAGCCTCGCAGACAGTAACTCTAACGGCGAAGGCGAGGGACCGAAATTACCCCAATCGCTACAGCCACAGCCGCAGCTGCAGCAGGATAAAAAGCGGAAAAACAGATCTAGAAGCAAATCTCAGAGAGCCAAAAGAAAGAGGGAAACTTAGCTCCAAGATGTTGGGAATGAGGACCAAGCACAGGAGCCTGCAGGACACAAAGCATCCAAAAAGTCGAGGAAGGCAATGCGAGGTCAGAATACTACCTCGACAGCCGACTAACTCTTCCTTATTGGCGACCACCGCGCATTACTTTGATGGCACGTCGATCTCCTTGGCCTGTATGCGACTTGACACATTTGCTCTTACTGAAGCCTGGCTAGACGAATGTACGATATCACTCCCGCATTTCCCTGTCGATACTTTATGGCTCAGGTATTCTACTACTCCGGCAGGGTGATATGCATGCTTGATTCGAAACCTTTTCCCTTGGTGTCCTTTGATCCCCCTTGTTTGTGTCCAGCCAATGCTCGTGCTTGTCCAGAAGCACGGTCCAACTGGCCGGTCTCATATGCCATTTGAGAAGTCGCTAGCGGGAAATGGGCAAAGAGGACAGGAAGGTGGCTGAGCCTAATAGAAGGTTGGCCGAGGAGGTTGAGCGAATTAAGGGTGGGCTGGGGTGGGGAGCCTCATCTGACCAGACGCCTCGAGCTGAGACCCTCGTTTCCAGTTAGGTAGATAACTTCACAGGGCGCACGGAGGCTCGAGATACGTCTTCTGATAAGGTCTCCCAACCTCCCCGCGCTATATCCAGTCTGTTGTACTCCTCCCAAGTCAGATGGCAGACTATTACTGTGCAGTCGTTGCGATTGGCCGACGAGGCGGCATGCAGACATACTCTATACCATCCAAAGGGTGAATGTTGAGCCGGAAGGATATGCCTCGTGAATATAAGAACAGGACGGTGCACGCACAAAGGGTTTCGGATTGCCTTTTCGAAGGAGGCTCCTGCTCGTGGGCTGGTGGCTTGGCTCTTGCATGTCCTGCAGAAAGCCGCCCTTCCCAACAAACGATGCTCATCTTGGTGCTTCGTCTGCTTGCCGTCGCGACCTGTGTTTTGGGGGTTGCGATATGTGCATCTATCAGCGAAGAGGTCTTCAGAGACCAACTTGAGAGGAGGAGCATCGACCCGGCCACGGGGAAATTGGGCATCATCGGACCATCCAGACCGGTCCCGTCAACGAGGGAGAGTTCGAGAGTCGGTGCCTCCTCACTAGTCTGCCAAAATCTCGACTGGAGGACCAAGCATACCTTCTCGGACACGTCGGTATTCCTTTCCCACTTTATCGGCATCTTCAGAAAGTCTGTGCGAACCATCATTGATCGTTGCTCGCACTTGCGGTCTGCGAAAGAGTCTCCTTCGCTGGCAACGACGAATTCGTTTTAAGCAGGCAGTGGAGAACGATATGGTGACCCAAAGACATTCAGCCATTCCATCCGTCGACGATTGAATCCTAAGGCAGGGGGCCGGCGATGATACCGACGCACCATATTCTCGAGCACTTCTACATGAGAACGGGGGTGTGGCCCCGAGCACTTCCAGTGTCCTGCATACGTTCTATCATGTCAAGGGAGTGGAGATAGCCTTCAACGCTCCTATGGAGATTGCAGACCGTCTTTCAAGGAAAAGGTCGATTTTATTCCTTTGTTGTCCCTGTCCTAACATCGATGCCGATCGCTATCAAATCGATGGACTCGGCGCATTTCTCGTTTGACATGCTGTTTTCTTCGTTGCCACGTCCGGGTGCAAACGGACAGATCAATCCAGGAGACGGACTAGACCCAGATCATCCGAAGCTAGCAGGATATCTTGGATGTCTTAGGTCTGGCCAAAGGACGGAACAGAAGGATGTGCAGAGGACCAATGTATCAGGTGTTCTGCTTAGAGCCCAACTTGGCTGGGAGATAGTCTGGGACCACGCAAGCCTACACCCCGTAGAATGTTGGGGAATAGGATTATCTTGAATGGAACGAATGCATTTTGCCTTGCTCACAGGAGATGTCTCCATGGATTATGTATCATATCACACTGGAGCCATCCATTTATCGATTGAGTTCCATTTCCAGCCGCCATCTCTCGCTTGCAACCAACCCCTCGCGCTGAATGATGCTAGCGTAAAGGAGCCAATATTACTGAAGTGCTTGAAGCTTGTAAGCGAAGCTCTCACCAGATTAAATCCAAAAGAAGACCGCTTGCTAACCGCTCAACACTCAAAAGACAAAACACTGGGAAGAGTAAGTACACCAAACAAGAGAGAGCACCATAGTCCAAGATCCGTCACAACTTTTCAACGTGCACATGAAAACATTCAGAATGAAAGCGCTCCCGCACATTTCAACAACTTCAATCGAGAAACCAGTCTTTCCTCCGCATATTTTTGCTGTGCAAATATTAGATCAAGGCAAGAGCACATCAATTTTGAGTTTCTTCTTGAGATCAGTCATCGCCTACAAACGCTGGCATCCACTCCTGTCCCGGATACGCGGTGGCACTCATTGGGATCTCTTCTTCCGATTCATATCCCTCTGCCTTTGACCCTGGTAATTCTGCAATGATTCCGGGCGTACTCTTGTCTCTGGCACTAGTGCGTCGCGCCTCTCGTGGCGAGGTTGGGTTATGGGATCCTTCCAGAACTGAAACGTTGCGTTCCAGTCCCTGACCTGTGTTGGTATTGATTTGCGCAGGTTGAGTAACAGATTCGACGCTGACGGGCGTCTCGCTTCTCGCTGTCCCACTTTCAATCCGCTCCCTAAGCAGCTGCTTCTTTCGCCGCTCGTTTGCGTCGTCTTCGAGCCCAGGCACTGTGATTGCAAAGGGCCTTTCCTGATCATCCTCGGGGCGTGCGATACCACCTACGGGACTGATTTTCTTGGAGCTGAATGTACCAAGCGTGTTGTTAACGCTAATATTCTGATGGCCTTGTTGCTGGTTGGAGTCTACGTCATCGGAGCCGGGGCGTCCGAGTCGTGGTGAGCGTGAACGTTTGTGGAGGTCGATAACATGGTGGCTAGGATCTCGTTGAGATGGGGGTGTGGGTTGCCCAAGAGGAGGCGAGGTAGGTCCAGCTGTGTTCGTCATCCTAGGATTGGGGTTTGGATGGTATGGAGCAGAAGCGAAGGAAATCGGCCGAGGATAACCTTCTGCTGGGGCAGTAGCAGGAGCGTAATACAGGTTACGGTTTCCACTACTTGTGTCAATGCGAAGATCGGATGGCCGATTCTGGGTGGGGTTCAAGTAGGGATATGTACTGGAGGGATATGATCCCCCAGGCTGGTGATGACCTTGTGGCAGGGATTGAGGAATTTGTCCTGGGTAGGGATAACTGGTTAGTCCTGACTGGTGCTGATATGGAGATGCTCCTCTCGGATATTGAGATGGTTGAGATGGAGTTTGACTTAGTGGATATGTAGAATGAAGATATTGTGACGGTCCAGGCCCTTGATGGAAGTAGCCACCAGGTCCAGCTGGGTACTGGCTATAGGGAGTTTGCGCAGAATATGGCTCCGGAGACATGACACGCTGTGTTTGTGCGGACTGTGGTTCAGGGGATATAACACGTTGAGTGGCAGGTTGTTGCTCAAGTGCTTTGGTCTGTGAAGAGGGAGTTGGTGCTGTGGCGGCTCGTGTGTTGTTGTTGTTGCTGTTGCTGCTGCTCTTGAAAAGTTTGCCTCCAAACCCCGAGAATCTCTTCTTCTTGCCCTCTGTGCTTTCTGGTGTGGGGGCTCGAAGAACGTCTTTGGACAGCCGCCTTGCAGAGTGAGATGGAATATTCGACGGAGGAAGTTGCCCAAGCTGATCCTGGCGGCTGTGTTGGCTACTTTGTTCTGACGAGATACTGTCATTCCGGCGCAGGAAGCTACCACGCTTCTCCTTCTGCATTATTTCTGCATTGTCAAGTGGACTTCCGACTCTACCTGATTTCTGGAGCTTCGAGCGTGACTGCGAGCCGACTCCGAAAAGCTTTCCAAGTGTACTCTTCTTTCGTTCTGTTTGCGCGCCCCAAAACGCCGGTTGTGAAGACACCGGCTGTACGGCGGGAACAGGAGATGGACTCATTGATTGGTGATATTGATGCATCGGCTGGCCACCAGGATGGTTCGGAAATTCTCTGGGCTTCATATCATACCCAGTATGAGCACTAGGGCCAGGCATATAAGGGGACTGCTCCTGGTAACTCTGACGATTTGGTCTTTCTACCGAGACGGTTGAGTTCGACCCAGGATGAGGCTGGGAAGGAGCCTGACCCGAATCTTGCTGAGACTTGAGTGCACTCGGTAGTGGCGTTCCGCTGGCTAGTACTTGAACATTACTTCGACCGTTCCTTGGTGCAGAGATTTGTTTTGGCGAACGATATTCCTGCACGTATGGGCCCGGAATACGATATTCCTCTTCCATGGATGGCTGGTGTTGATGTATTACCGTATTCTGTTGGTGTCCCTTTTGCTGACGTAGACGATCAAGCTCTTCTGGAGGCCGCCTTGCACTAGGTAAAGGGCTCTGAGAAGTGTACATCTGATCACGATCCATTGGAGGCTGCTCGGGCTCAGCTGCACGCAGAGCTGGGTGATTGCCGACATTCAGATCAACACCGAAAGGTCTGGAATATGACCTTGACTGTCTTTGACCTGGTAGGTTCGCCTGATCCGTAACCTCTTCGACACTGACTTGTGACATCTCCTTGCTTAAGCCCGCACTGCTTTGGCCCTGGCTTATGGGACTCATTGGCTGTGATGGAATCCTGTTGAGATCTGGCTCCTGGATCTGCTCTGATTGGTGGATTGCACCGATACCTTCAATACCCGCGAATGAGAAAGGCCGATGTTGGCCAGGATTGTATTTTTCGCGGCCTTGCTGCAGTGCGGGCTGCTGGGTTAGTGGTTCAACTATAGAATCTTGCTCTATTGCCTCAACACCTGGCTTTGAATCTTGTGCATGGAGAGGGTCATCTCGCGTTGGCAGCGGCGGGAAGTCCACTGTCGATGTCTCTTTTGGGTGGTCCTCAGCATGAAGAGTGGGTTGAGTCACTGCTGTTGCTGTTGCGGTTGACTGGAGTGGCTTTGCAGGCTGGGCTCCCTGTTCTTCATGAGGGCCAGGTATTGGATCGACTGGTCTCTCGTCGGCAGGTGATAGAGATACGCTTCTTCTGGCATATTGCTGTCCAGCACCAGGCCCGGGACTGGGACTAGCACTGGATACATCGGAGATGACTGACCGGCGTCGGTGTTGGGGGACTTGCAGGCTCCGATCACTGGAGTGAACATCGGATGCTGACCCATCATGGTGCTCCGTAAAAGGCTTCGGTGCGGCGAGAGCCTGCGCAACCAGACCATGAGGCTCAGCGGTAATTGCCTGAGGTTGGGTTGCAGGTCTTTCCCTCTGGCTGATACTTCGTTCCACAGCTCGATGCGGCGATTCAACAGGTGATTGATCGGTAGGTCTGGTCAACTGGCTGATTGAACGGCTGGGCAAGCCATCATCTTCGCGGTGCTCTTGCTCGCTGTCTAGGGCCGAGATCGCTGGGCTCGGAGCAAGTCTAGACACGTTAGGGGTAACAGGTGTGCCGCCGTCGGTTGGTATTGCCTTGACATGCTCCAGCTGTGGCCGGGAGCTATCTCGACTGCCTGGAGCAGCTGTGGACGAAGCTGATGTGTCTGGCTGCAGGGTCTGATCCAGATCACTAGTCCGTGACCTCTTAAGGTCCGGGTTTGAAAACCAATCAATGGGAGACGCGGGCGTGATGCTTAATGGAATTTGTGGTGGCCCGTCGAGGAATGTGGAATCTCGTGGCTGCGACGGGGAGACAACGTCTTCGGGCTCGTCCGGAAGGGGTTCAGTAGACTTTCGTCGGTTGGCCATTATACCCTAAAACAAACTGTCAACCAAGGGCTCATTCAGGGAAACCTGACAAAGTAAAAACGTGGTTTTCCATTCGTTACTATTTGAGGATGCCAGAGGAAAAAAGCCGTTAAAATATCCGAGCCAGGTTCTGGTATCCCTGAGAGGATGAAATCCCGCCATAGCATCACATGCATTTCATTTGGTGCGAAGAAAAATATTACAGGTGAGACAAGGAAAAGGGGAAGATCAATGAACTACCTTTTCGCCGGAGCTCGCGTGACGCATCTTCTCCTTTCCTTTCGCAAATAGACCTTTGGCGGCACTGCCCGCTTTGCCACCGAATCGTCCAGCAGCTGCCATTAGCCTCTTTCCATCCTCTTGCATGTGTCCAGCCGATTCTGTCAACATTCGTCGCGGCGATGGTTTATGCGCAGTGGTGCTCTCGGCCGCGTCCAGTGAAAGCCGCCCATTCGTAGCAAATAGTTCAGAATTTTCCGGGGTCCTCATAGACAACAGCCAGTTCTCCAGCTGCTCGTTCGGCGCGGCATAGAATTGCCTGCTGTTATCGAATGCTTTGATGCGTTCTACTGGCGAACCAAGATTCATAATCGTACGGAAAGTCGGCGGAGCGCTGAGGGGTTGTTGTGGAGACTGGAATGCTTCTGCATTAGTTATGGGTATTCTAGTGGCTTGTACCGTTTGGATTGGCTGGAGAGAGGGCAGAGTTGTTTGTCTAGCTATAGGTTGATTGACCTCAATGCTCATTCGAGCCGATTCGGGAGAGCTGGGCGCAGGTGGGATCTGAGCTGTAATCGTATCTGGAGAACTCGTAGATGGGGGGCTCAACTGTTTAGGTGTCGACGCAGAGGGCGGTTGGGAGCTGCCCGTCTCCCAAGAGAACCGCTGTTGGAGGAATGGTTTGCCAGCTGTTGGCAATCTTTGCTCAAGAGGAGACTCTGTTTGGCCGGTGGCCCTTATATCTGCGTTAACGATCGGTGGTATAGGCGCGTCCCGGGGAATTGAAGTGGAAGGTTGTGGAGGTGTTGCCGTGGATTCAACTCGTGATCGGTCAGGGCCCGTCAAATTTTTATCATTGCTCAACATTGTTCCTGTTGACTGAGGGGTGATGACTTGTAGGGGAGCGAGTCTCCTAGGCCCAGCTTCTGCATCAGTGACAGCCTGAGAAGTTGTTTCTTGGGATTGTCTGTCTCCTTCACCAGCTTGCCCTTCCAAATTTGATGATTTGGGGGTTAAACTCTTTACAATTTCCTGTTGTAATCGCTCATTGTCGCTCTCAGTTGGAGTATCTTGTGGCATTGAGACATTAGGGATCGGTGGACGAGGACCCGACGTATCAATCAGCCGACTGGTCCGCAAAGGGGCGGGTATGTAGTCAACGTCTGAACGGGATACCCCCGCCTCGGCAGAGGTTGTGGTTGATGATGTCCTTGAGCACAACACAGGCGGAGGCTGAATCGGGGTGGTTTCTGCCCCGGATTTGGTTCTTGTCACAGGGATCTCTTGTCCATGCTCGACACGGTGCTTGTTGCTCTGCTTCGCCGGCGCTGTGTCGGATGATGCTGGCTCTGCCTCCTCGCTTGACGAACTCGACGCGTCCCATTCATTTGCGCTCTCTTCTTCTGACGGTTCGTGAGACCCTTCCGCTTGTTCAGTCAGTCGGTGGCCAGCCAATGCGCCAGCTAGAGCACTCCCAGCAGACGCAGCCGCGGCGAAGGCTTTCTGGGTGACGCCGTCGCCATCAGAAGTGATACTTATCGGGGCACGGGCGGTTGGTATGCTCTCGGTGCTATCCACTCGGCTTTGAGTAAATGGAGGCAGGGGTAATGAAATATTTCTCTGAGCTTGTAAAGGCGTGCTTGTGCCAGGAGTTGCTGATCCTGCGGATGAGCCGTATGACTGCCACCCCCCAGGAATTACAGGACGAAAACTCTCTAGCCGCGTTTGGGGCAATGGGCGTCCTTGCCCGATATTTGACGGTGGCGCTTGGGCATCTAGAATGCCGGGACTTAACCTACCAGGACTCGATTCTGGTTTGGCTGCAGTATCGTTGGCCGCAGTTGTTGGCGGAGTGTTTGACCTCGACTTGAGTGGGGGGTCATCTGCCACTTCTTGTTTAGGTTCTGGAGGAAGCGGCTTGACTCCCAGTCCTCTACCACGAGCTGGTTCGTCCGGTACATCTTGTGTAGGTTTATCATCAACAACTGAGCCATGTTGTGGTTGTGGGAGTTTCTGAGGCCCAACTTCGAGGGGTTTCTTTGCAGGACTGTTGTCGCGACTTGGAGGATTGACGTCTCGCCGATACCCAGAACGGATAAAAGGTGGTTGAGAAAGGTCTTCGCCCTGAGACGGCTGTACCTCGCCAGGCTTCAACGTCGTGGTTGATGTCGGACGAGATTCTAAATGCGCCGACTCTTCGGGGATGGTGGCCTCTACGGTCTGGATGACGAAGGGAGCAGGGACCGGTTCATGTCTGCGACTTATTATGGGGCTGATATCTGTAGTTGAGGCACTATTTGATCGATCAACAGTCCCTGATGTAGAGGTGGGAGAAAAGGGTGACTGATTCCCGCTCTGATCGAAAGCCTGCTGGACAACAGATCTGTAACCGAGGGTTGGTTGGTGCTGCAAGCTCTGCCCTGCTGGTTCAGCACCACTCTTGTCAACGGCGTTTATCTGCGAGGACACTTGTACTGATCCATCGCTGGACGACTGCGCCATCTTGGGTATAGGTTCCGGCGCCGACTTCCCCATCACACCGAGGTCCACACCAAATCCAGACATTCTGTCGATTGAAGGCAGTCCGAAGGAGCCCTGCACATTCGACGATTGATCCGTCTGAGGAATGTCTTCGGTAATTGATACATTACGAGAGATGCTCGAAGCAGATACAGGGTCTGGTCGATCGGTATAAACTGATGACGCAGTAGTATCATGTCTAGATACCCCCACAGTGTTTTCGTCGGTCCTGGTTTCCTCCGGCTGTTGGCTGTCATCAGTTGGTGTTTTCACCAGATTGTCGAACCCATACTCGCTTTTGCGCTCCGGCACCGTGTCCAAGGTGGGTTTCAGGCGACGGGTAGAATCCGAGTCGTCCATTGCTGTCTGCATAGCGCCTGTAGATTCCTTGGGATCTGTGGAAGTCGAGCGACCACCAACAGAGCGATCTCTAGCCGGGTTCGACGCTGAATCAATGCTTGGGCGAGATGACTCTTGCGACTTGCGCACTTTCTCCATCTCTTCTGGCATACGCTTGTAAATATCTGATGGTCGGATGAAGACTGGTGGAGGACGATCATCAATGCTACTGCGAGGTCCTGAAGATGTAGAAGGCACTGGCGAATCGCTGGGTCGCATAAAATCTGGCTGAGATGGCTGTTGGCTTAAACTTGCTTTGCGCGGAGGGAATTGTCGGTGAGACGCATTGGAAGAACGGCTGTCTGGTCTCCTGGGACTTTCGTGACGCTGATACATGTCACTCAGAGGAGGTCGGTTGCCCGAGGCAGGGAGGCTTTGCTGCGGGAAGCTGCCTGGAGCTGAGAAAGGCACATCTTCATATGGCGGATATTGTCTCCCCCTTGAGCCTGGACGGAAGCCACCTGGAGGCATAGGACCCTGTCCCTGGGTATTCAAACGAAGAGAGGCCTGCATTCCATAATTTGTAGCAGGTGTTTCATAGTCATGATGAGACTCTGGGAAAGGCGAACGCTGGGTTGTGGGGTATGCTGATTCAAAGCCAGCAGAGGAAGAGAGCTGTCTCCTTTCATCGCCCCGATCGAATGAGGGTCGTTGGCCGGTCCGAGGAGGGGAAGGATTGGTAAAGCTTCGATTGGAGGGATAGATGCCGGACGGTGCGCCCCATGCAGGATGTCGAGGGTTGTCCGCGGACACAGGCTCAGGCTCATCATAATCATCATCGTCTCCCCAGTCCGAACCCTCATAGTTCACCTGGCGGAGATCTTTCCATTTCTTCGAGATTGCTCTTCCCACATTGGTCTTGTATTTCCCGGTGCCGTAAGGGTTGGATGTCGCCATTTGAGGATAAGCCTGCGGGGCGATTGACCTTGTTCAGCAATAGCAGGAGAAGAAACTGAGATTCGTCAAGGCATGAAGTAACACATTGCGCATACTATTCGGCCAAAGCAGATGCTTGGATTCCTTTCAAGGCTGCAAGAAGGGTCGAGATGCTGGAGTTATTGCGCCCAAGGGATGTGTGTCGAGCGCGACTGACGGAGGTGGAGGGACTATTTGCGCGAATTGGTAGACAGAGAAAGGCAGCAGCTGGCCAATTGAAATAAAGAAGGGTGGCGAGAGCATATGCAAACAAGAGGATGTGAAGGGGGAGACCAGGTATGAACGCTGGAGGAATAGCGGGCAACAAGAAATGAAAGGCCGCAGTGTTGCTCTCCTGCTCTCCTCACTCTGCCCTACGAACGGGACCAGAGGTCCCCAGAGACTGCGGCCTTGATTGGAGACGCCAGAAAGAGGGATCAACCATGCGTCACTTGGCCACCTAGAAGACTGGCTACTGGGCTGCGCCACACCTCGACGCGAACAGCTTTGATAATGAGTGTGCGAAACAGAGAGAGCTCTGGGAATTATGGGATATGGGTGTCATTTTGACAAACCAAGTTGGATACGGTTTGCAAGTTTCATGCAGTGCCGCATCATGCATCACCTGTTCGTGAAATCGTACTCCGTTTTGTTGCTTCTGGTGGAACGCGACACCCTCCAAGTTGCGATCTGACCTGTGGCTGGGACAAGGCAAGACGAGGCTCTTGGAGGTTTGTCGGTGTTCGTGGTCACTGGCTCAGTGGCTTGTGTGGCGGCAAAGACACCTGGACGTTTCCGGCTGCGCTCCTCCATCGAGGACCTGCAATTCACTTCGCTTCTTTCATTTCACTGTGCTTGTACATACTAACTTGAGACTTTACCTGGCCGCAAGATCTTCGAGCCGCTTGTAATATCATTTCGACTTCTCGCACCTCTCCCACCCTTTTCATGTCATAGACTACGGACCTAGAATGAACCCGCTGACACTTACTCCCTCGTAACTCCGGCGCTGTTCAATTTGCGAACATTCGGTCCCTTGGCTTTTACTTTTCTTCTACAATATTCCGCTCAAAAATAGACGATCATGGTTTCTACGAGCATTCAAGACCGGACGAATGAGTTCCGCACAATCCTTGCCCAGGCCCAGAAGCGGCAAACCGCAACCAAGGGCGGGCCTCAACGACAGTCCCTCCTCAACGATTCGCAGAAAAGAGAAGCAAATGGAGGGCCCAATGGCCTTTCAAGAGGCACGAGGTCGGAATTCGCTCGCAATGCAGCACAGATAGGGAGAGGGATCACCACCACCATGGGCAAGTTGGAGAGACTAGCGCAACGTACGTGAAGAAACCAGAATACGGTTGGCGCCAGATAGCCGCTGACAAGGAACAGTCGCGAAAAGAAAGGCCATCTTCGACGACCGACCTGTTGAGATTGCCGAGCTCACATATGTCATCAAGCAAGACTTGGCTGGTCTCAATGCACAAATATCCGCTCTGCAACAGCTCACGCAGTCACAACACCCAACTGCTTCCCAACCCCGATCGGCGGACCAGGAAGGGCAGCACAACAAGAATGTTGTATTGATGCTACAGAACAAGGTTACAGATGTCGCCGCAAATTTTAAAGATGTCCTAGAAGTGCGTACCAAAAACATTCAGGCGTCGAGATCGAGGACAGAGAACTTCGTGTCGTCGGTATCGGCAAGATCACAACCCCATCTGGATGATTCAAGGTCGCAGTCACCACTCTATCAGGGCTCAAGTAGTCGGCAAAAAACTCCCCAGGCATCGACGAACGACCTTCTCACCCTTGAACCTTCAAATACTTCCACTTTGATGAAGAATACTCCTCAGTCCGACCATCAGCTATTATTAATGGAAGAAGCGCAGCCGACCAACACCTACATTCAGGAACGTGGACAAGCCATCGAAGTCATTGAAAGGACGATAAACGAACTGGGCAGCATTTTCGGTCAACTTGCAACTATGGTATCGGAACAAGGCGAGATGTTGCAACGGATAGATGCCAACACCGAGGATGTGGTGGACAATGTCCAGGGTGCGCAGAGAGAGCTGCTGAAATATTGGAACCGGGTACAAGGGAACAGATGGCTGGTGGCTAAAATGTTTGGTGTACTCATGGTGAGCTGGAACAGTCCAAAAGTCGAGTTGTCTAGGCAGCTAACCATTTCCAGATATTCTTCTTACTTTGGGTGTTGATATCGGGTTGAATCGGTGACAGCAATGGTGTTTATGGTACAATCTATAAGCATGTGAAGTTCCAAGACTAAGTAATGATAGCCTGGCCACTGGGACAGCGAATCGTTTCAAGCAATTCTTCCTAGTTTGTATTTTTAGGAGTCCATACCGCGAGGTGAATTTTCCATGAAAGAAGGCTGGTGCCTGTTCTGCGATAACTGACGAAACGGGTGCCAAATGGATCTTACAGAACTCTCGAGGAAGCTATATGCCTGGCTGGTCCCATTGCAGCTGAAGCAATGGGCACCTATGGGCATCACGGGAGACCGAAAACGCTATTGGAAAAGGAGCAATACCAATTTATGTCAGTAGTGGATACCTGCAACGCCGACGCAAAATGAGATGCGCTGAACGATAGGAGGTCATCCGACGTTTGGAGGGAAAGTCTCAAGACAGCAAATGTAATTATTCATCTCAGTGTTGTTGGCAGAAACAGCGAACTATTGGTCTTCGCACTGTTGTTTCAGTTATGGGTATCTTTCATCCATGATCAATCAACTTTTCCAAGTTCAGTCCCTTCATGATGGGTATGTACAATGAGTCGTCGCAATGCTCTTTCTCATCTCTCCATTATTGCAGGTTGGATCATCGGGAGTTGATGGAAAATTGATCTCGTCGCGGATGAACAAGAGGTGGATATCGCGATCGCGCCCATACTGCCGATGCCATTTGAGGCGAATCTGTTCGAATGATGCTTCCGATGCCCATGAAGAGACTGTTGGGCCGAATGGTTAGCGACCATTTTTTTTTGGAACCAGAGGGCTTACTTGCCCAAACATAGCGCCCGAGCCCAGCATATATTTCCCTAGCGTTCTCATTACGCCGGCTTGACCTGCGCCGTACTGAAAGATGGTGACGGTACCTAACAACACCATTAGTGCACTGCTTTTTGACTGTCGCATCGTCCACGGCGAACCATAGATGAAGCCCATAATGCCTCCGACAGCTGTGAGTCAGTCAGCCTTATTGTACCGTTTCCTCTCTCTTTTTGTTATTATGTTTGACTGACTTCCGCCCATCAACATCCCCATTTTCACTGCGGGAGCCGTTAGCTTCACTAGAGCACCACAATGGAACGAGGAACCACATACTTTTATCAATCCACGTCGGTCCCCGCCGCTGTGCAGAAGGGGGGATGGGAGGCATGTTGCCGGTGCTGCTGCTGTCTTTCTTGGTGCTGGTGGTCCTTGGACGAAATAAATGGCTAACAAAAGGGCAAGTTGGAGAAGGTAATGTGAGGGTTGTATCGAGTAAGGTGCAGTGGATGTGACGATGGCACCCCCCATGCCAATCGGAGGTTGTACGATTGCCGCCGACCACGGTTGACCACGAGGGAGCACGTGATGATCCTTTTGCCGTCCCGTTCGGGGAGACTTTCCACAAGTTCCAAAGCGTCAATCTGAACCGCTACAGAACCACGAGTCGCATCCTCGTGAACATCAAAGAGACCCCTAAACAGACACCAGTCGACCTACACCAACCGCCTGATGGGCACGACGTCTTTTTGACATCCTGTCACGCTCCCCGGACTCTGGATTCGACTTTTTATTGCACTGCCGGAGCTCACTGGTCAGCCCCAAGTCGTTCCCGTCAGACCCCTCGCTGTCCATCTCCCTGCACGCGAGCAGCCTTTTTCCTTCCCGAACTCTGTCTAGGTCCCCTGTATGTCCTCGATACAATTGACATCATCCTCCTCTCCTCTCCGACTTGTCTGAACGTCGTGGCAGGGACAAGTTGATTGACGCAGTAACCCTTCCAGATCAGATTCACCTGTCGACTCCTCGAGATCCGACACATGACGGCCAGAAACAACTACAGATCTCTGTTTTTCTTAACTCCCGTCACGTATCCTTCCAGTTCATCGCCGATACCAAACCTCACAAGAGCATAGAACACCTTCCTCAGCGAGCAGGACTTCGCCCCCGTCCTCCTACCTCCCGATGACGACCGCAGTAGCATCGCCCCCTAGCTTTCCGAATATATCCAGGCTCAATTGGAATGGTCTAAGCGGCACAGGAGGAGGGTTTTCCGCAATGAGCACTGACGAAGTGTCTCGGATGTTTTTACCTCAGCAGCGCAAGACTGTGCAGAGGAGCAACTCGTCTTCATCCCTGTCATCCACCAATTCTTCTGGCTCAACAGTCACCCTTACACAGAATGATATCTCGTCAGAGCCGGCTCATGGGCCAAAGAAAAAGGCAAGGGGAGGATTCTGGCCTGTCTCAAAACCAGAATCTACAGCCAGCGTCTCCAATGCTCGAGCAAACGGGTCGCTTCAGACGGCTATTGGAAACTCCTTGGTCGGTAAGAGCCCGGTACAGCCAGCACTACCGAACCAAAGTCCTACCACTCAGATCAATGGGACAAGGATCGTAAATGGAGCGGCTCCTGGCGAACCAGCTGCGATTCTGGCCTTGCTGCCCATGAATGGGACATTCGAAAGGAAACAAATCAATCTCCCGTTTTATCCAGAAGTGCTTCGCATCGGCCGACAAACGAATGCGAAGACTGTTCCCACTCCGGTAAACGGATATTTTGACTCCAAGGTTCTGTCACGACAACATGCCGAAGTGTGGGCCGATCGGAGTGGGAAAGTGTTCATCAGAGACGTAAAATCATCAAACGGCACATTTGTCAACGGACAGCGACTCTCACCGGAAAATCGAGAATCTGAGCCTCATGAACTCCGCCAACACGACACGCTAGAATTGGGCATTGATATTGTGAGTGAAGATCAAAAGACCATTGTCCACCACAAAGTATCGGCCAAGGTTGAATATGTGGGCCTCCCTGGGTCGACCAACAATGTTCTCGATCTTACCTTTGGCGACCTGGATCCATCTCACGGCGGAGCTCTATTGCCATCACCTGTAAGTTCACCAATGCTTCACAGTCGAAGCCGACTGGGAGGACCGGCAACGAATGGACGAGCCTCGACACCTTCAAGCGTTGCCGGCAGCCAGATGAGTTCAATTGCGCAACAACGAATGAACATGTGGGGCGCCACGCCGTTGAACGTAGAACAACTGGTCAAGACACTCGCTGTAAGTTTTTTCCTGCAGCTATCGGAAATCCTAGGAATTGACTCGGAGTTACAGATGGAGATGCGGGCAGCAAGACAGCAGGCTGAGGAATTAGACCAGGCTGGCGCTTTTCTGAACTCATTGTTGACACCTGGAGCTGAGCCTCACAAGCTTCAGCCTGCGTCCAAAGAAGGGGTTCCTCAGCGACAATCCAACGGTCGTCCTAAAGCCCCCAAGATGGAGCATATTGCCCGCTTCGCTGACCCTCCAGCACCACCGCCACAACAACCGCTTCCAGAGAAGCCAGACACCTCGAAGCCAAGTCCCGTCGCGACGTCATTCACCAATCTCCTGAAGCGCGGCGAAACTGCCAAGCAACCCAACAATGCCTCGCACTCTCCGACAAATGCGCAAAACAGTCAAATGATGTCTCTAATCGAGGCACTGTCTATTGCGAAAAAGGAACTTGACTCCCAGGGAGCGAGAGTAAAGCAATTAGAAGATATGCTCAGGCAGGAACGGTCAGCCAGAGAGGATGCCGAAGAACGAGCTCGGAAGCTTGAACAACATGCGGCATCCCGACCAATCTTAGCGGTTGAAGAGGAATCAGAGACACCGATAAACCCCACTAATGACACAGAGCCTGTCCAAGAAGAGGCAGGACATGGCGCGGACGGCGAGCTCGATGCAAGAACGAAGAATCTTCAGCAGAATCTAGACCAAGTTCTTGGAGAGATGCAGAGGCTAAAAGCGGACGTGGACCAATTTCAGAGACGGGCAGAGACAGCCGAAGCTGACGCCGCCAGCGCTCGAAAAAGCCTCGCCGAGATGATCGACAAGATTCGAGAAGAGAACGAGCAGGCAGAGTCCACAGCTAGGAAATCTCACGAACGACGGTCACGTTTCCAGTCTGATGAATGCGCTGAGGTGGCTGAGGCGGACGAGGAGGAGCCAGGGTCGAAATCTATGGTTAAGTCAGTAGCACAAGCGAACGGCCATATTCGCACACCGAGGCTGCCTGAGCATCTTGAACGGGCCGTTGCCACAGTGCTACGCGACAAAAGCGGCAATCCAGATGCCATTGCTCAGTCAGCACCGTATGTGTCTATGCTGGGAGTGGTCCTCATCGGAGTCGGATTAATGGCCTATCTCAATTCCTGGCAGAAGTCAGAGAGATGACACGTCGACACCAGAACGCATGGGTTTTCATTTCGTTGGACATACTATCTCATTCATTTGTTTGGTTGGGCCATCCATCAGCGCCTGACGTCGCACTCATTTCTTTACAAGCATCGTATCAGGCATGGCGTTACAGTGGACAAGATGACTTGTGAAGGGCGGAGATACTGTCACAGTGCTTTTAAGGGGCCTTCCACCGCCCCGTGAAATTGTTGCGGAGCAAGGCGTCACAGGGATGTCAAAAGAGAGCTTTCACATTATCATGGCTTATGCCACAGCAACCAGTAACAGATTGTGGGCGAGGCGTTGGTCAGGGAATGCATGAGAAAAGATCTGGGCCGGATAGGCGTCATGTATATATGTACGTCGAGCTAGGATTGTTGTCAGCCTCGTTACTCTCTCAAGACAAGACAAGGGATGACCAGTCCAGTCCAGCAAGCTAACATGAAATGATGATATGAGCTTCAATAACAGCCATGGCAAGGTTCTGAGCGACTGGCGAAGGGGGCATGGTGTTGGATCTAGTGTCGGTGCTGTTAATCTCCAAGCGGTGCCAGTTATCAGACTGGCTAAAGGGGGTGGGATTGGTGTTCCGTATCTTGTCTAGTACCCAGTATCTACGAGGTATGTACCCATAAGGTGAGTTGCTGAGCCTCACCACCCTCACTCGTAGCTAGCCTTGCGGGTAACCCCATGCTACATATTCACCTAGGGAGGAGTCCCGTTTGAGGAAGTCCGTGCATATTATTCAGTGGACTGTCTGCTTTGGGGGCTGTTGAGGCCTGAGCGAGCCGTGTGCCTCCCCTTTTTCGGCGAACGGGAGACCCATGACTAAGTAGGTGGTGGAGCTTCGCCAGTCCCCACTGAGCCATCAATCAGCTTCGGCCTCCGGCTGCGGCGTAGGGATGTAATTATTTTTATTTCTCAACTCGTCTCGTTCAGTTTTGCGTTCGGTGACGCACCGTTATTACACCATGTCCTCGGTCACTCATTGGGCTTTCCTCGCTGTATGTGTATCATCTTGGAGAACTGGACGTCAAAATGACGTAAGGAAATACAAGTGATGCACACTCCGCAGTTCTTTTTCGGGGGCAAGCAATGGACCTGGTGTGCGGTTGCACCAGTCTGATGGGGCCTCAACGCAAGGGAACTTCCGCTCAACCAGGCTGGTTGATATCAACCTCTGGCGGCCCCAACACGCCTGATATGACAATTTTCTCCTTTCAGATGGCCGTTGCAATGCTTTGTTTCATGCCTATACGGTGATTTTGTGTCTTTGGAAGGCCAGCGAAGCTGATACCATGACAACTGTTCCTCTTCGTTCCTTAATCGTCCCAAAATGGCAGAGACAACTTGGAGCTGCCATTCACAGGTCAATAAAGTCTGAGCTGCGGACCGGTCGAAGTTCTGGGGGCTGTTTGCAAAAGCGCTGGTTTGCCACGCCTGTCGACGTCGCCAAGAATGCGAATGGAGATTCGAGTGACCCCAGGGTAAAGGTTGTCATTCTGGGAAGTGGTTGGGCAGGTATGACTCGACTCAGCTCCATCTGGGCTCCAAGAAGCATATTCACCCTGTGTGAACAGGTTACGTCCTGGGCCGCCAGCTGGACAAGAGGAAATACCGCGTCGTCATCGTTTCCCCTCGCTCCTACTTTGTCTTCACTCCTCTACTCAACGACACCACCGTTGGCACCCTCGAGTTCCGAAACGTCCTCGAGTCTGTGAGAAAGAAAAACAGTCGCTTGGAGTTCATTCAAGGTTGGGCGGACGACGTCAACTTTGCGGACGAGACTGTTACTATTGAACCCTCGGTGCTGGATCCGGATGTAGGCCACGCATTGACAGGACCGAGGAAACCGAATGAACAGCAGACAGCCAGTGGATATGCTGTGAAAGGAGTCTTCCCTCATGGGCCATGGGAAAAGGAGGTGCAGATGGGTGGGACTGGCTCCCATCAAGTCCCTACGTTTCCCATACACTACGATAAATTGATCATTGCCGTGGGCACCTATAGTCAGACGTTTGGTACCAAGGGCGTGAGAGAAAACGCATGGTTTCTGAAAGATGTGCGGGACGCCGTCGCCATACGTCGGCGCATTTTGGAATTATTCGAACTCGCCCGGCTACCCATCATCCCCGAAGAAACCAAGAAACACCTCTTGCACTTTGCCGTCGTCGGCGGTGGTCCCACAGGTATGGAATTCGCCGCCTGCCTCTCGGATCTGCTGAGAGACGACCTCTCCAAAATCCACCCTGAACTCATGAGATACGTTCGCATCAGCCTCTACGACGTCGCCCCTAAAGTCCTCCCTATGTTCGACGCCTCACTTGCTGATTATGCCGTAAAACAATACAGACGCCAAAACATTGAAATCAAAACGTCTCATCATGTCGAAGAACTCAGGAAGGGGTTCCCTGACGACGAAAAAGCTCGTCAGGATCAAGCCAGTCAGGTCAAGGGACGAGTCTACACGATCCATACGAAAGAAGAAGGGGACGTCGGCATCGGCATGTGCGTTTGGTCCACGGGAAACATGAACAACCCGTTTGTCGTAAAGGCGCTCGATCATGTGCATCGATTCCCGACCGAGTCCGCACAGATCACACAAGGGGAGGTGACCGATCCGATGCAACGACAATGGATCATCCAGCGGGACGCTAAAACCGGCGTCATCTTAGTAGATGACCACTTTCGAGTGCAGCTTACGACAAAATGCGCCAAGGGTATGAAGGAAGACGAAAAGCCCAAGGCGTACATGAAGAATGTTTTTGCCCTAGGCGACACCAGTAAATTAATATCTGGTGCCTTGCCGGCAACGGCGCAAGTTGCGAACCAGCAGGCCCTCTGGCTGGCAAAGACATTGAATAGGCACCCTTCCCCTGAAGAGTTCGGGAAGCAGAAAGGGTTCACATTCAGGAATATGGGTGTCTTAACGTATCTCGGAGGAGCCAAGGCTATTCTCCAGGGTGGAAACGGGAACGGTAACAGCGGCGGTGCCGCGAAGGGGATCAAAGGTTTGGCAGCGTACCTTGTTTGGAGAGGAGCTTATCTCACGATGACGCTGAGTTGGAGGAACAAGTTCCTTGTCGCGGTGCAATGGATCGCCGTCAAGATCTTTGGCAGGGATCTTAGTCGGTTCTAGTGGCGGGCGTTCGGAATGGCCAATTAGGCTCGAAGTTGCCGTTCTAGATATATGCTCTCCCGAATCTCCTCGGTTAGGTGAGGATAGTAATGCAGTTAGACAGCCGTATGAATAGACATTTCTGGATACTGAGTCTAGCCACAGTGAGCTGTGATATATACATAAGATAGAGGTTGGACGACAATCCAAAAGTGTTGCATAGTGAAAACTAGACAATCATTAACAAGCAAGTCGAGGCTTTGGCTTACGGGGCTGATTACGGCTCGTGCGTCGGGTTGGGCCCAGCCAAGGCCAAGACCATATTAATTGATCACGTCTCTCGACCGACAGGAGTAGGAGTTACACGGCCAGCCTTAGAAAGACATCTAAGATGTTAGAGGGCAAGGTGGCGCTCCGGCGTTATGAATGCCGTACTCCGCATGCTAGGCAGAGGGATGAACGTTGGTACATAATGGGCGATACTTGCCGATGCGATTGATTTTACCTGGCCTAATCACGAGTCCAGACTCGAAAAATCACATCGCCCACAGCTCCAAGAAAATAACACGCTGAGCCTAAAGCCATGGCGGAAATCATCCCCACTGAAGTCGCCCACAACCTGGCGTACGCCAACCTGCTCCGCGTCTTCAGCAACCGTGACCGGGCCTCACGCCTCAGCGCCATCCAAGAGACGTACCACGCGGACGTAAGCTTTTACGAACCGGACTGCGTCGTCACCGGCCACGACGGGGTCGACGCCAAGTCCGAAGAGCTCCTCAACTCGCGACCAGGATGGGGCTTTGTCCCCGTGGGAAACGTCCAGCGGAACCACAACATGGTCTATCTGGCGTGGGGTTTCGGCCCGCAGAACGAGGCCACGGGTGAGGTGGATGTGCAGGTCAACGGGGCCGATGTCTTGATCGTGGACCAGGGCAAGGTCAGGACTTTCTGGGTCATAATAGAGGGTATTTCCGATATCAAGAAAGCTTGATCTGTGGAATGGGAGAGTTGTCCCGGGCCAAATCAGATATGTACATAGGGCACGAACTACATAGCACGCGTATGGAAGCAAAAAGAGAAATAGCGAAGCATAAAACCAAGGACCAACGGATTCTGGAAGCAAGAATACTCTTTACGTTTTCTATGGGTTGATCTATCTGCTGGATCATATGGGGTTCGCTCATGACGTTGCTGTTGTTTGCATTTTTCCACCAGTCTGTCTGATAGCTATCCCCATTGCATGTTGTTACATGTCTGTTCAAGTAACCTTCGAGACCTCGGTCTTCGGCAACTCTCTGGCATCCTTTGGTGTCGGATGTGCCTGTCTCCTAAACCGATTTTTTGTTCTGATGTACTCTTTCGTACTGTGTTTTTGGCAATCATCCAAACTCCGGCAGACTGCAAATGATCACAAGGTGTCATAGCTGGGGTGTGAAAGGAAAGAGTTGTTGACGAGTATCCCGGCTCAACTTGCTAGAGACAGCCTCAGTATTGTTGCTCGCTCAAGCCTTAGCAGGCCAGCAGCTGCAGTACCAGTGGTTGTTGCCAGAGGCAGAGCAAGCAGCCGCCATCTCCTTGTCACTGCACCCAGACATGGCACTGCTGTCGCAAATGATCTGAGATTGTTCGTTACTGCACAACATGGTTAGTCTCAATTGACAGGTTCCAAGGTCGATTTGGAAGGCTTACCAGGTGCAGAAGCGAAGGCAGTTATCACCGTTGAGCAGGCCATCACAATCGGGCAGCTTGAATGTCATGGCAGTGTCAGGGTTGGCGGCATTTCCGGTTGGGTACTGCAAGTATTGGTAAGCTCTGACATATTGAGAAAAATGCAGACAGAAAGTCTGTCGAGGAGGAACAGGACTTACGCAGCCGATCTTCATGGGGATGTCTGGGTTGGGAGACTTTGGCATCAAGCCAGCGAGAGAGGCCGAGGAGAAAGCGAGAACAGCGGCAACAGTGAGAAACATTTTAGACCGCATAGTGAAGCACATCTGCAATGTTGTCAATGTTGTTGGTGTTGTTGGTGTTGTTGGTGTTGGTGTTGATTGTATTGCAATTGTTCTGAGGAGGTCGAAACTGTGAATTGTTGTAAGCGAAAGCGAGGTTGTTGAGATGTTGTCAGAGAGAAGAAGAGAGAAGGTCCAGAATGGTAGAAGAGGTAGATATTTATACCATGGGAGGAAGGCAGAACGCAGAACGCAGAAGCGAGATGTGAATATTGAGCGTGAATGTTTCTATACGCGATCAGCAACATGCCGGCAGTTTGATCCATTCACCCAGCAGAACAAAGCAGAACGGCAACATACCTATGGTGGGTATGCACAGATGAGAGCAAAAAGAGGTGATATTGACCTGCTTGTGAAATGCCAGTGAGATGTGAAATGTAGTCGATGAAGCTGGAGTGACTTTTGTCACGATCTTCACACTGGCTATAGCCTCATTCTGTATTGGGACCGGTTCTGATACCCGAGAGCCACCCATGGCAGTCAGTAACAAGAAACTCAGGCATTGTTTTTCCCAATTTCACTTCTGCTTGATATCCGATCAATCCACTTCCCGCTCTGAGACAATCGCTTCAGTATTTGTCTCGAATTCCAGAGACATGCTCACGGTAAGACTGTTGTGTTTTCTTTTGAATGGGAGACAGCAGATGTTCAACGGGGGCCAAGCAACAGCATACGCTTTGCAAACCATCTGTGTTGACAAAGGACTTTCTTCCAAAAGCTGCTGCTAAACCATCCACGTTGCCCCCAGTTTTCACCCTGGTCATTGCCATTTGCACCTTGAGAAGGTGGCACTAATTTGAACATTTCTCGGCCGTCTTCATCAACTTTGCTCCATAGCAGCTTTTCAAAACCCCTCACCTTAAGTTTGGAATGTGTGTCTTCATATCTTATTCCTGACTGCTCCGTAACGTAGGCGCTGCTCCTGGTCCGGCGAGATACCTCCACCTTCATATGCTCTTTCTCCCATCGGAGTAGGCTATTTCACTGGACGACGCTTGCACTTACATGTGTGAGCTGAGTATCATCCATATCTTGTGACCGTACTTGATAGAGACCAAGGACTGATCTGGTACCGAGTTCTCAACTCGGTATATCTCGCACACTGGGGGATCCAAAGGAAGTCCGCCGACAGTTCACATGGGGATTGGGGATTGCACAGCGGGTCTGGAGATTTTGCAAGATACCAAACGTAAGTAGGTTGCGGTGGCATAAGTCGTCCCCAGAGGTTGCACAACACCACGTGCGAAAGGGTGATTATGCAGAGGCGGGATTGGATCATCCGTGGGGAAGAGCATTCTGGGAATGGACGAGCATGATGGTCTCTCGATGATGGTCCGGTATGGTCCATGAGCAGATTGCGCCCGCGGACCAAACACGGGGCTGTGGCTCGCAACGCCTTCCCTGGCTAGGCTTCCTTGGCCTCTCTGGCCGCGCTCGGGGAAACCTCGTCGTCATCCTGCAGAAGATTTCCCTTCACTTTTCGCATGGACACGCTGCCTCCGTGTTCACCTCCGGGTCTCATCATGATGCTCCTGCAAAGTCCAACCCACTGTTCGATTATCATGCTACGCGACCATATCCGGTGACAACCTCGCCCAAACGCTCCACCCCATGACATCTCAGTCAATCCTCTAGGCCAACGTTCGCCACCGTCGCCATGAGCTCTCTACTCAACCCCATCCACAGCGCGAAGCAAAAATGCCGCCCCAAGCACCAAGTCCTTGTCCTCAAATGCTATCCCAAATACCAGAAGAATGTCCAGGAGGTCAAGCCCATGTCTTCCGAGCTCAGCTACCTGCTCTATTATGCATCTACTCGTCGCAACAAGCTGCAGAAGGTCGGCGCATTCCTCGAAAAGAAGAACGCCGGCGATGTCTGGAAAGGAAGGCTCGGGTGCGCATAATAATGACTCTGCCGCTATCCTTGCTAATTGAGCTTCAGCAATGTCCAGGTCACCCTCCAGATCCTTGCGGCCGTCATTGAGAAAGCGCCACGAGATCTCTCTCTCTATTCCAAATCCGTTCTCACCATCCTCGATTCCGTTCTACGCTCGAAAGACGTGAACATGGTCGAAGATTCCATTCCTACATTTGAGGCCTATTGCAAATACGTGGACGTGGCCTCTCTCACGGCCGATCAGCAGCGTGCCCAGCAATATATCTCCCTCGTCCAGCACTACGCTGGGTTCGCCTTTAAAACAAAACCCTTAGACAAAAAGCAAGGCGATTCCATCCCACTCTCTCTTCGATGGCGGAAAATCGGCCTCCGTGCCATCCGGGCTATCGTGGCGTCTGACGCTTTGGCTGTGGATTCCAATCGACAACTGAACCTCGTCATGCCGGTGATCCTGGAGAACATGTCATTGGAAGAAGAGAATATCCTGTCCACATTACAGCAGAGAGCAAAGACAAGTGAGAAGATGGACGACGAATCCGCCAGGAGGAGGCGCATGAGTATAGCGACCGTCACAACAGTCGATACCATTGACGGTGATCCTGCTGCAGCGGTTGAGACCACGGCAGGAGCGGATAAGGTCGCCGAAGAGGAGGTCAGAGCATTGGCATTGAGGTGCTTGAAACAAATCTTCTCGGTTGGTATTGGGAGTACAAGAGGTCAAACGAGGTTGGCAACAGCCTTGACGTTGAAGTTTATTGCTTCGAAAAATCCGCCCAAAGTTACCCCGGAAACATCAAAAACCGGCAATTGGGCGACATCCCTGTTTGAAGCAATCGCGCGATGGACGCCCGTGCAAGATCGTTTCATTATCGTTGTCACTGCCATGGAAACACTGGTTAGGAGCCCCATGGCGGAAGGGGTCCTAGAAAAACAGCTGGTCCTCACAACCATGATCGACTGGCTTCTTAGTTCCCCCGTCAATCTCATCGGATTGAGCGTCATGGATGTCCTACTTGGGTTCCTCCAGCACATGCTAGTTCTCCTCCAGCTTGGTGGACCTAACGCTCGCATCACACAGCCACACCGAGAGGATACTCTTGGTTTCTATCGGGACGTCAAGGAGGCTTTCGACCCAAGTTCAGTCTTGGCAGAAAACAAGATGTCCAGGACGCCGTCCAAAGAACTGACAGCATCACCTGTCCGGCAAGAATTGCTTGAGAGGCTACAGAAATGCATCGCCTCTCTTTCCAATCACATCTACTACACAGACCAGATCAGCGACATGCTGACAGCAATCCTAGCACGCCTGAAACCGTCGTCTCTGTCTGAAGTCCCGACATCGGCGGCCGCCATCAATGACCCAGCAGCCGCAACAAAAGCAATCGCCGAGTCCGCGAACATTCATGAAGACGCCAACACTTCTACATTCTTCTCGTTCGCGACTGCGCGAGTCACAGCTTGCCGAGTCATCAAGGACATCTTGGTTCGTGCCAACAGCAGACGAAGCGCCGCAGGGGCACCTATCGAAGCTCGTGCACGAGTCGGGGTGCAAGTGTGGGAAGGCACGCAATGGCTCCTCAAAGACGAAGACCAAGAAGTTAGATTTGCGTACATCGATGCTCTGTTAACCTGGCTCAAGCTTGAAACCAACAAGAGTGACATGCTCCTGCCGCGAGATGGCAATCGGAAGCAGCCACAATCCAGAAAATATCACGGCGAGAACGGCGTAGCTAAGAGGGCTGTCTCCAACGCATCCCGCAAAGAAAACAAACCTACCAGATCGAATTTTCTTGCGCTACTGCATCTCGCTATTTACGACAGCATCCTTGACGACGCCGAGAATGAGACAAATCTCCTTCTCCTGTACCTTCTTCTAACCAAATTGGTCGAACGACTCGGCGTCAATGCGGTCCGAAGTGGCATGCCCATGGTCCTCAGACTCCAGGAAACGGCTCTTAATGGAGAAGTTGTCTCCACCTTCGGAAGAGTCAATGTCGGAAGTGTCGTGCATGGCTATCTGTGGAATATTACGGACAATTTTGACTTTGAAACAAGTCTAGTCGGGCATGAGATCAACGCAGAGATTTCTAGGAGGAAACGCTTTGGAATCTGGTTCGACAAGGTCAAATTTCCAGCTCTGCCCATCGAGGACATCAGACAGCTTCCGAAAGAGACCGAGAAGACCCCGGGTTATAATGAAGAAGCGGTCCAAACTATCAAGCCGTTCTTGTCAGTTGCAAACATGGTGGAGGAAATTGCGATTGCATATGACAACGCTCTGCTGACTCCGCCAACTTCTCCCCCATCTTCACCTGGGAGAGTCTTTTCTGTGCCGACACTTGGATTCGGCTACGGCTACGGAGCTGCACCCCAGCCGAAGGCCTCGAGAGAGGATCAGCTTCCACAAAAGGTCAAAGACGAGATGGCCGCGGGGTGGAGCAGAGAAGCATGCATTGCCGCAGTCGAGAAAGAAAGCGCAGGATCGGTGACGGGATCTCGAACAGGGGCGTCTTCTATCCCGAACCAGCATCTCGGCGTCAATGGTGTTGGTCGGCCATATGGCTCTGTGAACGGGAAAGATTCACCAGCCACGGCCAACGGCAACACAACTCCAACTTATGGCCTTACCGGCGGATTAGGAAGCCTTACTCAAGTCCGGAGGGCAAGCGTCACTGGTTCACCTGCAAGGGTTCCGACCACGTCCAGTCGAGAATCGACAGTAAGAGTCACTGATTTGAAAAGAGCGCTGTCCGGATACGCCGTTGCTGAAAGGCGACAAAGTCCGCTGCGAAGACCACAGGCAAGTTCGAGGAGGAGTACAGGTAGCAGCGGAAGCAGCAGCATGCTTAGTTGGGACGATGCTGATGATCGTAACCCATCGTTCCTCGATGTGGCTGCCACCAGTAACTCAACCGAGCACGCCCTAGACAGGAGCCCGTCCCGGCCACAGACGTCGTCTTCGAACAGACCTAAGACGGCAGATCAGAAAGATGCCACATATCATGATCAAACTACGCTACCAAGTGTTACGGTCGACCCTCGTACGGATGCGAATGTTCCCCCGGTGCCAAAGATCCCATCAACACTCAACCTTCCGGGGACGTGGCCCCGTGACGCCTCGCCAGCGCGACCCGAAGAGATATCGCAGGACGCTCCTGTTTCTGGCCTGCCAGAAAGTCCTCAATCACGGAAAATTACGGGGGCAACGTATTCACCGTCACCAGGGCGAGAAAAACAAAGCCTTCGAAAGACATCCCGACCAGCTAGCCGCAAAGGGGCGGCGCCTCTATCTTCATCTCCAAATGAAAAGTTCGATCTAGGTTCACTGTTGGCGGCTATTCCTATTCCTATTGCGGAGGCAGCAGGGGATTTGCAGAAGGAAAACCGAACCGGGCGGCTCATAAGGCCTCCTTATTGATGAATTGTCCCTAGGTAGTATTATGCAAAAAACCTGTTGTCTATCTTCCTCTTGTGATTAGCCACTCGACGCTTTGCTCACCTTGGGCTTACCTGCTGCTTCCTGAGCGCTCAGGGAACACTCCCGGAATCTGCCCAAGTCTTTTAGTCTCCCCTCTCCCGGAGGTTTATTCACAACATCAACTTTCGGTACCATTAGAAGATAGAACCCAGTCAGTGTGAGCAATGCTATGACGGGTGAGCTGATCCACCAGTGCCAGGCTGCAGCGCGGCCTCCAGGCCTTTATCTGGTCATCACCTGGTTGTCACCAGTCATTTTTGTCGCGCACTTGTCGAAGCAAGAAAAGTTTCAATGAATCGCCATCCTTGCGGGGTGAAACATCCCACGTAATTAGATAATGTACAGGTACTTTTGACCGTTACTCTTCAGTGTCGGGTCTGCGACGATGGGAGATTCCTGTTTGATGAAACGTCCGCTGTGCTTCTAATTAATTATATGTAGGAGACGGGAGGCCACCAGGCTTTGTTTGGCGATCACCGGTGCAGCGTGCCCTGTATCGTATGGACGAGTATCGGACTTCCTCTGTCCAATCCCCCCTCCGAAACGACAGCTCCGCTCGTCCTTTCCTGCTCGTCATGAGCACAATATCCTTCAGAATGCTTACGTTTTCATCTCGATCCTGGCGCTCCACCCCTTGTCCTTCTCCCTCTCCAAGCTCCCTCTTCAGCACTGCAGGTCTAAACCTCGACCGCAGGCACGTCACGAGCACGTCCCTCTCCTCACGCCACGACACAACATATGGATCCTTGGAAACGTACAACCACACTAGGTGCACCATGGCGAAGACCGAGTACAGGCATAGCAGGACGATAGAGATCAGGGTGGACATCGACAGCCCGGACATTGTGTACAGCCCGTAGCCGTAGCCGGTCATGGACGTCTTCAGGATGAAATCTGTCCGATTTGCTGCCGATGCCGTTGCCGGCGCCACCCGACCTTGCTGGACCAAACTTCCATGTATTTTGAGAAAGAGGTCATTGCTCGTGATGGATAAAGGCACCGTCCCTGAGCCTGTGTGGGCCATGCTCTCTGCAAAAAGTACAGATAAAATTACTTCCAATTTTGTAGACAGATTGCGAGATGTGCCTCCGAGAGACATGAAATTTTCGAATGCGGTGGTGTTTGTCTGGGGTCGGGCTGGGCTCTCGACAAACTGTTGCGCCCATCGAGAGTCGATTTTTACGGTCTGGCTTTTGTACTTTTTGTCAATAGGCATCGCATAATCCAATCCCGGAACAGCGCCACCGACAACGTAATCGGTACTGGCGTAGCTCGTTGAGGCAGTTGAGTTCGCCCACTGTGCTTGGATCGAGCAGGCAAAATCGCTGGCACCTGTTGAAGTTCTGAGCCTCACAACGGCGCCAATAGAAGCATTCAGTAACTGTGAATCACCAAGGGTGACCCAGTGAAATTGTGGCTGCATCTGGTCTCCAAAACTTGCATTCAAAATTATGGGCGTGGTCTCCAACGGACTCAGAGCATGGCTGATGATAGGAAATCTGACCAAGGAAGTGTTGAGTGGAGTCTCCAAACACCCTGTAATGACGACTGGCTGCATAGCGCTCACGAACCAAGAAACGTCTTGGTACGAGCACATGGCCGGACTCCACGTTTTTTGGCATTTAGCAGAGCGGGAGGGGAAAGTCAAGAATCGGAAGCTGTTGACCATGTCGCCTATGACGGCATGCTGAATCGATACCAGAGTGAAATCTGGTATTGAGGCACCTAAAGAGCCTTTGAGTCGGATGTCCATAGTTCGCAACGACGAGATGCTCGGTACGCTGATACGTTGAGGGGATGCCGTGCCTCCGCCTGTTGTGGTGCGCGCCCAGTAGGAGAAAAAATTGGCTGCAATTGAATCCCAGGTCAGAGGGTTGAAGCACCCCAGGGTGGAATCATCACAAATTGCAGGACCAGTGGCGCTTGCTTCAAGAGTCGAAGGCCATAGCAGATCGCTGGAGGTGTTCAGTGTCATGATTGCCTCCCCAGCAGGCCAGATGTCGAGCCTTGGAATCAGAGCCGTCGCCGAGGACGGCCCGATGGCGAGGCCAAGCATGGTACACATCAATATCAGCGGCACCAGCAGCGATTTCCGAGCGTAGTTGGTGGCACACATTGCCCAAAAGTCTCGAGACCAGACGTAGGACAGATCTTTGAATTTGGTGAAAACCGTGAGAGATCCAAACGGCAGCCCATGTCCGATGGCCAAGCTCTTCAGCACATGAGTTAGCAGTGCTTCGCTAAGAGATGCCAGGATGAGCAACTCGTGGAGCTTTGCCGTCAACTGCAGCGCCAGTTCCTTTGGGGCATTCTCATTATTGATCCCTGAAAGCTCTTTCCCAACCCAGTACCCATACAGATTGAATGACGTGATAACAGCAGCCCCTCCAACCGGCACCAAATGCAGGAGAAAGGTGTAGCATGACGCCCTCTCGGTGGCTTTGAAGGGCAGATCATCCCGGAGAGCGCTGCGGCTGAATACCCTCGTCAGCGCTTGCCAAAGTTTGTGCAATGCGCCAACAATGAACGAGACAATGAGGTGTGAAGTAGAAGAGCGTGTTGTGGCTATCGGGATCAATGTCTGTGAGCTTTCGGCTTTCGGCTCACGAGCGATTCTGTCGTATGAAAGCCCAAACCTCATCTCTTCCCTTCCGGCGGCGAGAAATGTACCGGCTGCGTCGTATTGAGCACTCGAGAGAAGTTAGCTTAGCTTTTCAGGGTAGAAAATAATGAACATTTCATGGCAGGTACTCGGTACTCGGTACCTCGTGGAATGGCACCCCATTTAGGCTGCAGCGGCACGCTAAACGAGACCGCCAGCACGACGCAACAGTTGACTAGGGGCTAGATGGGGGTTGGGTTTTCAGCTAAGCCGTACATGGCATCAGTTTCACATCGAGATGCTGCACCAGCTCAACCTCTTCGACAAGTGGTTGGTCGCTGTTATAAGGATTATGGTCATTAGGCGCCGGGCTCGAGCTGAAAATGGAACACCTCGTACGAGGTACATCAGGTTTGGACTGGTGGCCGATCATGCGGTACGTCCCGCTCCTTGATTTTCTAGCCTGCCACCCGCTTAGCTTCAAGTCTGTGTTGTCTGTGAAATTGCTGAAAGCTGGTCCCCTGCGTGGCAGTTGCAACGCTCTAGTTTCCGAAATTACCTTCACCATACTCAGGAACATTCTTGGTTCCCTGCAGTATTTCACGCTCGTTGTTATAGTCATTTATGAAGTTACGAGATTGTACAAGGGCCCCGACGACGGGGATGACAGAACCGTGGTTTGGGGAGCGTCGTGTTTTAGAAGAGGGAAATTACAGCCCGAGAGGGCTGAATGGGGGTTGTTGGTACTTCATGGTGAGGGAGGTAGAAGTTGAGGGGTCGGTCGTACCTCGTAGGCGTAAAAGAGGGGACAGTTGACACGCTGCTAATTTAGGGTCCTTGTTGGCGCTGCATTTGGAGGAGCAGATCGGGATGAAGTGGAAGTGCGAAGGTTATAAGAGGTTATAAAAGCGGCATGGCCGGGCTGAGTCGCACATGAATTCCGGGCCGGTTTTTTTACACATCTTTATCTGCCGTGATCATGGCGACTTTTGTTACTGACCAACGTGTGGATGAGTAAATGCTAGTGCTAATCAGCACGGGCAACGGTTTCGCTAGATAGCGAGCAGACAGATCGGTGCAATCAACGGGGCTTAAAATTAGTAGAACACAGAGAAGACATCATCCAGCATCCAGGTCGTGATAGCAGAATCCGCAAATACTTCGCCCCAGAGATAAAACTCAGGCAGCGGTTAGGTGTTCTACTAGCTAAGTGTCGTACCGAGTTAGACGTGACGATAACCGCCGCCTTCTCCTAGGGTCAAAGCCGCTCGCCGGAGCATCATGGTCTCTTGAGTCACTCCTATGCCAGTACTGGGTAGACTGATCATTCATCATTACTCTGGATTTACGATTCTGCCAACGGTGGCGAGGCTTCAGGCTATCCCTCTGCCTGAAATCGAATCCTTCCCCACCCAACACCTTCCAACCCTGTTTTTCTTTCTCACCTCACTCGCCCTAATGCAGCTGTCGGGCGGCACACGCTATACACCCAAGGGTGGCGATCAAAGCGTCTAACAGGCTCTCTGCCGAGTATTCAGTCCCCCTTATTTTGTGCCATTGACGATTGATTCTACCAGGGCAGCTGTGTTGGCTAACGCTTCATCCGCATATCGGTACCCAATCAGCTGCACACATATAGGCGCGTCTTTATAGTCTTCGGGTCCCGTGTCTGGAAGGTAAGAGAGATCAGAAGTTTGTCAATCTTCATCTTGGTAGGGGACTCGAGGGGGGTGATTTGCATACAAAGACTATACACGTGAGCATCCTCGGCGCCATATTTGGCACTGCTGGGGTCATCCACCACGTCGGACTCGCACACCGTGTCAACGGGAATGACGATGGCCGGGTAGTCAAGATAATTCCACAGGCCAGTGTATGTGGCGGTCGTCCATTTGTCCAGGGGCAGGGCGGTGTGCTGCGCCGGCGGCATCAAGATGGCATCGATGCAATTGTCACGGAAGAGCTTGAGATAGCTGCGTGCTGCTGCTTGACGACGCACGTTGAGGTCGAAGAACCCGCGCAGGTCGGTGGCTGGGAAGGAATTGAGGCCAATGGCTTTAACAGAAGGGATTTCGGGCTCCCCCGTCCGGGCGAAGAGCTCAAGGTAGTTCTTGAGACGGAAGAATTTTTTATGTCAGATTTATCTCGAAGTCTGCTTTCGGGGGGGGGAGCGCATTGCAACTTACTTCGCTTCCCAACAATGTCCAGTACTTGATTAGGTCGCCATAATGGTCTTTGACGTCAGGCAAGGTTAGAGGAATGAGCTCAATATTGTCGCTTCTTTGGAGAAGATCCGCTGTCTTTTTGAGGCCACGTCGAACCGGTGGCGAAGGAGTGTAGACGCCGTCGTCCAGGACGAGGCCAATCCGAAGCTTTTGCTTGGGTTCGAGATTCACCCATGGCACAGAAATCACGGTGCTGTCATAGCGCCAAGTTTCTGCCAGCATAATGGTTTTGAGGAAAAGAGCAACATCCCGAAGCGACGTCGCCATGGGGCCGGCCGACGAGCGCACCCCATCCGTCCCAGGCGTGGTGAGGTCCCTCACGCCCCCGTGCGGGACCAGTCCGACACTGGGTCGAAATCCATAGAGGCCGTTGCAAACGGAGGGGACACGAATGCTCCCGCCAATATCTGTCCCGACACCGAGCACGCTTCCTCGAAGGGCAAGAAGGGCGCCTTCGCCACCGGTGCTTCCTCCAGCCGTCAATGCCGTATTGCGAGGGTTTAAGGTCCTGCCGAAGACATTGTTATGGCTATCACCGGTCATGATTGTTTGTGGAAGATTGGTCTTGCAGTAGAGCACTGCGCCCAATTCCAGCAGCATGGCTGCGGTTCCACTGTCTTCGTCTGCTGGTTCGTTGACAAAGCATGCCAATCCGGTCGACGTATCATATCCCGCAACTTGGAAGCTGTCTTTGAGCGAGATTGGAAGGCCGTGAAACGGACGGAGCGGCTTTTCAGGATTTTCTTGCCGTTCGCGATCCAGTGCACGCGCTCGCTCGATGGCTGTGTCGAAGAAAATCTCGGTTAAACAGTTGGTCTGTCGCCCCGGTGAGCTTATGTATTATTATATATGAAAGAGCAATGCTGCGAGACGAAGTTGGGGAGTCAGGGGTTGACAAACCAACTGCTGAGCAATGGCTGCCCTCTTGCAAAAGGCGACCGTGACCTGTTCGGCCGACCACACTCCATCCTTGAGCTTCTCCAGGAGCGCAGTGGCGTCATAGTCGGAGGTGATTTGGCACTCGATGTCGCTCAAGATGCCACATGTCGGCGGCATTGGCATGACATTTGTGGCCCCGAGATATTGGTCGGAAGGAAGCAGCCACTCTTTGGGGATCTTACTCTGACGTTCCAACTGCTTCTCGGCCGCGACGATTTTGTAGTCTCTGTAGACTTTCGACATGATGCTCGTTTCCTACGGTACTTTCGAAAGGGCGAAGGACCAATGGGTTGAGTGCTTCTGCTGTGAAAAGGGATGTCCAGGTCCTCTGGGGCATACTTATACTCCGAAGCCTCGACTCTTCGTTTGAATGGTAGACCAAGCATCTTGCAAGGAGGAACTCAGGTAGAGGCGCATACCCTGATAGCTGGGCACTCGAGTCCCTTGAGATTTCACCGGTTCCGGTTCTAAAATGGTCGAGACATTCGAATTGCAAGCTTCAGCTTCAACACTCTGTGGGGAAAATCCTCCGGTCATCGTTCCGGTCCATGTGTCTCGCATCACCGGCCTATCAGTAGCTTAGGCCTACGACCTCCGAAAGGCTATTCTTCAGTTTTCCAACCCACTTGCTTACCTCCTTCCTAGCTGGTCGTTGGGGTGAGTACCGAGTATGCTGTTGGTCATCCAAGGTTCTTTCTGAGAAGACCCATACCTGTTAGCTTCTCAGAAGTCTCTGGTGTTCTCCTTGACCCTTTCTTTGCTGGCAACCTGAATCCATCCGAGTGACTGGAATGGCATCGGTCTCTCTCACGCCCCGGCCCCGTGGAGTGCGGGCTGCATGTGACCGATGCTACGAGCTCAAAGAACGGTGCGAGCGTGCGTCGATAGCTTCGACCTGTGTCAGATGCGACAGGCTGGCTCAGGTTTGCCTGACTGTGCGTCCACTGCGACCGGCCGGTCGAAGACCACGACCACGACATCGAGAGCACTCGGCCTCTCAAACAACATCAAGTCAATCCAGCACCGACGCTCAGTCTCAATTCCATGTTGGCGCCTGGCTACGGGATGTCCCTGACCTGTGCCAGGAGGAGAGGGAATTGATCATGTTTCTCCTATACCAACCCCAAACCCTGCAGTTCTATGTGGTTAGCCCCAGTTTCGAAGATGCCGCACGGCGGTCGTTTGAAGCCCCGTTCAAGTTGCCGGCGGCTTGGCCAGTACTCAAAGATGCCTATCTTGCCTATGCGGGCGGTTTGAAAGCATTTCACGCTGAAAGGCCGATTGATGCGGATGTGGATGCGAATCTCTGCCATGCATCCTCCGCCATGAGAACGCTGCGCACGCTGTCGGTTGCAAGTTCAGAGGATGCGGCGTTATGTCTTACGCTGGGGATCGTATTGGCACTGTATATCTATGGAGCCGTTGGCGTTGGTGTACCCGACATCTGCTGTTACTGTCTCAGTGCTGCCAGGCCTTTTATTGAGCCCGCCGCGTCCATCCCGGAAACAGAGCCTCAGCTCATCTTTCTTGTCTTGTTGGAGACCATGGACTGCACGGTCCACCGCCGAAAGCCGACATTGAGGATCCGGTCCCCAGCACCGGGACGTGTGGATCGCCACTTGGGGCTCTGCCTCCCATTACTCCCCTACTATTACGATCTCTGTGTCATCAGCCACTCGCTGATCGACGCTAGCAACGCCAGTTTCATATTCACCCTGCACCAACATCTCGAGAGGATTCATGGTGCCGTGAATGCATGGCAGCCATGCCCACCGGAGCGTTTCGTCCACGACTTCTCATCGGCCGAAGTGGTCCACCTCCTGGCTCAAGCTAGGGTATACCGATTGGCAGCCCTGCTGATGGCTCACCGACTGCAACATAAATTTGGACAGGAGGACATTCAAGCGGATATCTGGTCGCGCGAGGTGATTATGGAACTCGAGCTGGCTCGACGGACGACACAACGACCCTTCCGATTTGTGACGCTCCCATTCATTATTGCTGCGATCGAGATTCGAGACCCGGTCGCGCGGACCAAGGCAGTCCAGGACGTGGACGAGTACGTTGATCGATTTATGCCAGTCGTACAAGAAGCAACCAAGACGTTTTTGTGGCGGATCTGGCGCGAGCGGGATACTAAGGCAATATGCTCTTGGTTTGATTCGGTTTACAAGCCATGCGTCATATTGAATTCTCTCAGAGTTTCTAGCTGAGTGTGGCCACATTGCCCAGTACTTCTAGGCATCTTTGAGGTGATCTGATCCAGTTGGTGCTCCGTCCCCTTTGGAATACAATGAGAGGAATTCAAGGTGTTTGAATGACAGCCTGGTGTCATTTGAAATATGTAGTGACAATCCGTTCATTTCCCCTTCCGCTCTCCGTCTACTAGGGACTTGCCATCCTAGGGCTATCAGCCAGGGTAGATTCCCAGTCATATAAAAGAGTCGCCCTCTCCATTGATCAACGCTCCCGATCACTGTCTCTCTTCTCATCCGTTCACCTAGAGCTTCCACGATGGATGCGCTGGCTTCAACCCTGGTCGAGCCGATCCGAGCATCTATGCTCCTTGATATGGAGAGACCTAGCGCCCGTCGAAGGGAGATGAAGCCGGAGGAAAGACCGCCCGCAAGCGAGATGGGCGACATCCAAATTGAAGGCCTCGACCGGTCATTCGCTGCTCTCTGGAGCGGCGGAAGAGTCGTCGGAGTTGGGTCGGCAGGTAAAGAGGAGGATAATTCACCAAAGAGAAAGGTAGGTGAGTGCTCCAGTCTCGTCTCCGTCGACAACTGACCGCTTCATGGCGATTCTAGAGACCACTCGCTTTGCAAACGCTCGCCGCAGCACTCCTCAACTCTCAGGTCCAAACCCGCTCATCCCCAATAGTGTTGCCGTCGAGTCCAGCTACATTGCTGAATGTATATCTTGTGACGCCTCATACCTCTCAAGCCATCCCGATGCTTCATGTGCTTCTGGCAAACACCATGTCCAATTCTCAAGCCGCGATTGAACTTCTCAAACCTGTTCGACTGCTGCAGTATTTTGACCTCGAGGGACTGGCAGAAAGCTTAGCGGAGGTCAGCCAAGATTTGTATAGAAGGACGCAAGCGAATAATGAGCCGGTTGGTGCAGACTGTGGCAACCGCACCGGGCTCGAAGATATCGTCCTGGTTCAAGGATTAGGACAGACGGTGTCAGCCACGCATCGTCGGAGTGGCCTCATCCAAAGCAATGCGTTGCTGGGAGATTTGACGAGAAACATTACGCAGATTTCACGGATATCAAGACATATCCTCGTCCTTGTAGAGGTCGCTCTCGAGATTGGTGCAGCCCACGAAGCTCAGTTGAATCAAGCGGCACCAAGGTCTAGGAGGGCTCATGCAGCCATTGGATTGGAATCTGCCTTCGCTGGCTCTGGCGGTAAGTCTTTGAGGCTTTACTCGGGACATGAATTATTATCCAGGACGCTGGAGGCGGCTCTTGACTGTATCGTTGTAGAGCATGACGGCTTCGGCCGAGTCAATGAAAGCAGGAGATGCAACGAGTCCCGGGAGCAGGTGGTTGAGGTGGTCAAGGATCGAGTGGGCGACCTGATGGGTCTTTGGGATGTTTGGAAGGGAGGATGATGGTATTTGGGAATTGGAAGCATCTCGAAGGTACGTAACATGTATGGGCGCGCCTTCTCATCCCTCGACAAATCCATTCTATATACATGGCTTGCGACCTGTCTTCCTACCGAACTCCTCCACCGAACTCTTACATATCCCGTCAACCGGGTTACGATACACAAATATCTTAGCAATGGATATCGCTTACGGCCCTTTCAGCGTTATCGCGCGCTCCGGAGTGCCTGTCATGCACGCTGCTGTCTTACCTCCCGCGGGCAAGGTGGTGTTTCTGGACAAAGTTGAAGACTACTCAGAACTGCGCTTACCGAACAATCGCTGGGCATACTCCTCGCTGTACGATCCAGATACCCACCATCTGGCTCCCTTGTCTGTCATGACAAACCCTTTTTGCTGCGGTGGAACCTTTCTGGCGGATGGACGGCTTGTCACCGTCGGCGGGAACGCCCCCTTGCTCTGGCTCGATCCCACCGTCGAGGACGGCTTTGACGCGATTCGTTACATCGGAGACGAAGGTGGCAATTATTCATGGAAAGAGCCTGGGAATAAATTGGCCTCCAACAGATGGTACGCATCAGCACAGACCCTAGCGGATGGCAGGATCTTTGTTGCAGCAGGCAGTTTGAACGGACAAAGTCAATTCAACTTCAGCAACAATAACCCCACCTACGAGATCCTCGATGCGAACGGTGTTAGTGAAGGCGACAATATCCCGATGAACATCCTGGTTAACACCATGCCGTACTAGATGTACCCTTTCCTGCACCTTATGCCCGACGGCTTGCTCTTCATTTTTTCAGATACTTCTTCAGAGATCTTTGATGTGGCTGCCAACGAAACTGTCAAGAAGATGCCCGGAATGCCCGGAATGCACAGGACCTATCCAAACACAGGTGGGAGCGTCATGTTACCATTACAAGCAGCGAACAACTATGAGCCTGAAATCATGATTTGTGGTGGAGGACAAACACAAGCAATTGACAGCATGTGTGAATCAAGCTGCGGAAGGTTGAAACCGATGAGTCAGGATCCAGTGTGGCAAATGACCGGGATGCTAGGGGCCCGAGGTATGGTAGAAGGGGTCTTACTTCTTGATGGTACTGTGCTCTGGATCAACGGCTGCCACACAGGTGCCCAAGGGTTTGGACTGGCCACGAATCCGGCCTTGGAAGCCCTAGTCTATGATCCGAGATCGAATACGTGGACCGTATCTGGAAGGACAACAATTGCCAGGCTGTATCACTCTGTCGCCTTACTACTCCTGGATGGAACAGTCCTCATTGCGGGAAGTAATCCAAATGAAATGCCGGTCACTCTGCAACATGTCGAGATCCACAATCAATATAGAGCCTTTCCCACCGAATTTAGGATTGAGATTTGGACCCCGCCATATTTGCGTGGCATCAAGGCATCTCGAAGGCCCAGAGACATCGGCCTTTCAACCTACACCCTGGCGGCTGGGACAAGATTCAACGTCGAATTCAACATTGACGAACAAGTTAGGACCCTGGACCTTGTTCTCTACAGTGGGGGATTCGTCACGCACTCGGTTCACATGGGTCAGGTGATGTTGATCCTCGAGAAGAATGGTTGTGAAACTCTGAGTAACGGTCGAAGAAGGGTTGAGGCATCCATGCCAGAAGGGATCCAACTCGCCCCTGGACCGTACGTGGTGTATGTGCTTGCCAATGGCATTCCCGGAGTCGGGCAATTTGTCACTTTGCGCGTTTGACGTGCGAACAGTCGTTTATATTGAGCATATCGCTTTGATTGAGCGGCAGTCGTGGAAAGTATTGGGATCGGCGACTCCTGGTATTCCATCAGCACAATTCCAGACGAAAGTCAGCAACTGAAATTCTAAATAATGTTCTTCGGTTTCCGCTTAATGTTTCACCGTATCTCTAGTACGTCAAAGTAAGCGGCCAATTCGCCGCAGCTTCAAGAATCCTTCGAATCACTCAACAATTTCTCTTCGCACTCGAGCACCAGCCGAGTGCTAGGTTCTGAATGGCCGAAGACCTGTCGAAAGCGCTGTCGCCAGTTTCGGCGCAGGCGAGCATTCCTGCTTTATATGGAAGCACAGATCAGCCCTCCAATGCGACGGCTGGACTCGCATCAGGTCCAACCTCAAAGCCTGCACAAGATGGCGAAGGTGACCTGATAATGACTTCGCCCACTGCCCCTACAATGGCAGCAGCGGCATCAGTCTCAACTCCTTCAAATTCTGCGACTGCCTTTACAACTACCTTTCCAACCACCGGGCCTGTCCCCCTCGACTCACCTTTCCGCACTACGCCAATCCATCCGTCTCTGCCATCGGTGAAAGTCCCCGCCGAGGCACTGACCAGCGCTCCAAACATGAGCCCGATAACCTTGCAACCGTTCACGGGAGCCGAACTCAACAAGTACGGGTTCGAAAAGTTATGGGCGCAGGTCCTCGCGGCGGCAGAGAAGAACAACAACGCGAGCCACCTCCCGGCCGCGAACGGTGAGGTGGGACTGAGCGAGCCAGAAAGGGAGGAAATATCGCGCGTTCGTGAGGAGACGGCGGCGCTGTTGAAGCAGAAACTCGACGAGAGGGAGGCAAGGCTCCGCGAAGTCGAGAGGGAGATGGAAGAGAAGGAGAAGATCCGCGAAGTGGAGCGCAAAGTGTTCAGGAAGAAACTAGGCGGTGGGAAGGAGGTGTGAAAATGCGCCGAAGCTTCCGTCGGAGAGTGTGTCGATCTGATTCTTGAGCGGGAATGAATGCCTTTGAATTGCTCTGGGGCAATGTTTGCTGCGGCGATCACAATCAGGCACTTGGAGGAAAATCAAGCACGTGTGATTCCATGGATGATGCTCTAATACGATTGAAGTCTATGGGGTTCAGCAAACCAAAACCATCTGAGCAACTCCCAACTCCATCATCTATGCGGCCGCCCTCTATGAAGCAGGCGTCGTCTGTGCTTGGATCCCACAACGGCAAAGCAAGGAGATTCAGAAACGCTGTCAACTCAAAAACCAACCAGGAAGCAAAGCCAAAAGAGCATTTGAGCGCCAATCCTCCAGGCTTGCTCCAAATCTGTTCGGTAATACCAGATGAAATATGCTTGTACGGGCGTGTATTTCTTGCACGGTGAGCGAGGGCGTCTGCGCCTTCGTTCTCTCATCATTCGACTCCGATTAATGGAGCGTCGATCAATGGAGCTTCTGGATGTGGCTTCGCTATTGCTATCCTCAGTGAAGTCTCCAGTGTCCGAGCCCTCCTCTCTAGACTGGACGTCGTCGGCTTGGTTTGTCTCGCATTCCATCCTTTCGTCGTGGTCTTGATCATCGTCGTTCAAGTCTGACGCGGATATTCGTTCTGTCAACGGCGGCGCTGAGTGGCTGCGCCTCATTCTCGTTCTTGTCGGAGGCGCCCTCGTCTCCACTGGTCATCCACTCAACCATTTCCCTTCCTCCCCCCCTTCCTCAACCACACAGCGTCAACTTCAAGTCGACCCCCTCCCTGCAGTCATGCTGCTGGCCCCAGTCGTTGTGGGCATTGTACGAAGCGGTACAATACTCCTCGCCAGGCGCACACTGTAGTGGGACACAGTTGCCCTCAGTGCGGTCTGGGACCAAGGTCATGCCCTCGTCCTTGAAGGCATGCCTGATACCGACCTTTCCAACGTAAGCGCCCAGCCCGTCCTCGTCGCTGACGATGGCTTCCCCCTCGTGGGCGTCCTCGTTGAGCCACCCGGCATCTCCGGCATTAATCATGCTGAGATCGTACCAGGTCCTCTGGAAGGTGTTGTCCCACGTCCACTCGAACTGGACCGGCGCCGTGTTCTCGACGTCGGTGCGCCACAGTTTCCAGCTGATGCCCATGCGAGGGTCGTGGGCGAAGGGGTGCGAGAGCTCCGCACCTGGGTGGAGGATGGAGTACATCTCCTCCGGCGGGGCATCGACCCCAGGACGCGGTGCGTGCACAATGTTGTTGTGCACGGCAAAGGGGCAGTTGTTGTACACGATCGACTGGCCTATGTAGCCGTCGCCGCGATCCTGTATCTCAGCCAGCGCGCTGGGATTGGCGTTGACGATCTCCTTGAGCGCTTCAGCTTTTGCCTTGAAGGCCTCTGTTGCGGTTGTTTCGGCGCCCTCTTCTGGCGCAGCCCATTCTGCTTCCCCCTGCTTGTTTGCGACAGGGGTGTACTCCGCGGCGCCGTAGCACGCAATGGGAGGGATGGCTCCCGACTTCGGAGAGGGCCTCTTGGCGATCGTTTTGATGCCCGCGTTGTTGATGTAGGTGGGCAGGGCAGAGACAAGGATGCTCATCACGGCAACGATGAGCGCAACCGAGGCGGCAACTGAGAACCGCATGGTGGAGCTGTGTGGATGATGTCTTCAAATGATATTGACTGTCAAAGCTGCGTTAGTTCTTCGGTCGTCCGTCGCGGCTAAGTTGGTGTTCTCTTCAACTTACAGGCGTGCAACGAGCTCACAACAGTGCCAGCTGCGGCGATGAGGGACCCGGAGATGTACGCTGTGCTCGTAAAGGGCATCAAAATCCACTGCATAAGTTGCGTGAACATGAATCCTCTCCGTTGATGTTGTCCAGGCAAAGAGAGAAGGTTGAGGTTGCTGGAGATTTGGCGATAGCGAGGCTAAGGCTGAAGCAAGTTTTTCAAGACGATGAAGAGCAAGATGCCAGACTATCTGCACCAAAAGATGTCCCAGTATGAAGAGGCAAGAAGGTAGAAGATGCTGGAGGATAGAAGATGCAAATTCGAGGAAAGCAGGGTGTAGACTGCTTTCTTATAGTTGTGCAGCTCTCCATGGACGGCCATTGAGTTTGGTCTACCCATCCTTCATTGACATTGCGTGATCAGACATGTCTGGCTCAACCCTCGCTCGCTCGCGATCTATTGACAAACAACCCAATGGATGGGGTGGAGTAGGGAGTAAAGATGGATGGTGGAGACCGGAGATCTGCCTGCCTTTGCGCTGAACCACGACCAAGTATCGCGTACTATCAGAGGTTCGTCGCCAAAATTCTCCACGACCAGACCAGAATAGATCACGTTTCGCTTGGCGATCTTCGGCCTCGCCTCGACAATTAAGTTGTGTAATATTCGTCGTGGTTGAGTGGAGGAGGATGGAGCGAGCGGCTCATCCAACTGCTTAGACGGCAAGGCTGTGGAGAAAAAGGGGAGGAATTCTTGTCTAACTTTGCACAGACTCCCACCACCTACACGGTATTGAAATTAATGTATCAATCAGTCCATCTCATTACCTGTTCGGGTTAGTATGATTTTGCGTGCGTGGGCATCTCTCTCTAAATCTGACAGAGGCATTGCTCGCGGCGAGTTGGCGTTATGTTATGTAACTCTCATCCGGTACATACATAGTGTAGACAAAAGCAGTCCGGAGCCGAGCAGCAGAGGCTATCGTTGTTTTGCTTGTATTTGGAGGTCCATACAGGTCAGGAAGCGATCCAGACAAGAGGCAAACCTTTTCGAAGATAGAGATACCCATGATATCCACCATCTAATTTCAGGAAATGGTGCGTGCCTGATACTTTGTGGTGTCGCAAAAAAAACCGAAAGTGCTGGGCAGGCAGCATTTGTGCTATTTTTTATGCAAACTTGACAGTCGGTATATGCTTCATTTTTTGTCGTGCTGGAATGGGAAAGGGCCACGGAGAGCGTAGGAGCGGTTCCTGGAGGCCGCACATGTGCTGAGATGTTCCTTCTGTTGTGTCCCATGCGTCGCTCGAGGCAGAACATAACAGGCACTGTGGCTTCAGAACTCGACCGACTTACTGTATGGGGCAAATGGAAATTGGAACCAATACGTCCACACAGTTTTTACATGGGTACGAGTGCAGTATGTAGGGTTTGCGTTATTAAACAGAAATATATGCTGCCGGGACCACTGGTATAGATGGGAACCAAACAACGATGCCCACCAGCTTCATCCTAGTCGGCCTTCCCATAATATCCTAGACTGATTTTCCGTACAAACGAGAGACAGCTCCTTAGTTACCACTTTTCCTCGCCCTGGCACAAACCCTAGAATTAGGCAATAACATCAGAATTCACAGTTCGATCTCGCAGGTCGCCCTTCTTCTCGTCCTGCTCGACTGCAGAGCTAGAGCTGTCCACTTCCTCGTCGTGGATCTCCGCCTCAATAATTGGACCGTGATAGAACGTCTTGCCGCGGAGGTACCAGTAGACAATGGCACAGAGCAGGATGAATGCCAAGAAGACTATTGCGTAGTTCATATTATCAGCCGTGACCGGTCTGATGGTTGGCATGAGGAAGATGATGGTGACGAAGAAGGTCCACACACAAGCCCACACATTGACGGCGAAGGAAAATTTACCCAAATGCCATGGACCGGGTTCGAATTTGCCGAAGACGAGCTTGCAGACAATGGGAATGACGTAGGACCAGTCCAGAGCAATGGCGCACACATTAAATACGCCCGCAATCGCGATGTACGAGCCCAGAGCAATCAGGTTGATGGCGATGCACCAGAAGATGCTGATCCATACCGCGTAAAGTGGTGTCCCCGTCCATCGGTTGATGATGGTCCAAACCTTGGAGAAGGGAATTAGCCGATCACGGGAGAAAGCAAACACGGTGCGTGCCAACGCCTGCGTTGCCGTCCAGCAGACAAACTGTAGGATGAGGAAGGCGGAAACGGTGAAGAAAATGCTGGCCCCCTTCCCCAAAGAATTGTAGAAGATCTGGGCAACTGGTTGATAGATCGGGGAGGCAAGAATCTCGGCCGCATCTCCCATGCAGAAGCAGAGGACAATATTGAAGAGCCATCCGAGGACATAGGTGCAAATCATCGCAAGAGAGATGGCCCACGGAGCTTTGATCTCGGGCTCGTTGATTCTACACAGATTAGCCAATGGATGCCTGAGCCACAAGGTATGCAACACTTACTCCTCGGTAATGTGGGCTGTAGCATCATAATCTGTCATCGTCCACGAAACTGACAAAAAGCCGAACAAGAAGGACCACCCGATCGGTGTCCACCCGGCACTTCCCTCGACATGAGTGAAAACGTAACTTGCGTCATGTTTGTTGTCTGTCACAGCGAGGAGGGCGATCGAACAAGCAATCAGGACTCCAAAATGGTAAATAACATAGGTCTTTGTCATTTTCTCCATCCAATAGGTCGAAAGAGAGTTGACAAAGCCGCATAGCACAGTCAAGGCTGCCATGACTCCAACCGTCTGGTTGGTGGTGGGGAACCATTGAAAGTCGCGACCGATGGAAACTGCAGCCAGAAGAAGCTGAGCGGAGCCATACTCCGAGGAGGCTATACCGGCAACCTGTCCAAGGAGATTGATCCATCCAACAATCCAACTAATGGAGGGGACCCATTGCTTCGGAGCCAGTCGAGAAACGGTGTAGTACAAGCCACCACAGGTCGGGTAGGCAGAGACCAGCTCGGCAACGGAAAAGGCAATGCATAAACATCCAGCACCTGAGATTAGCCAGCACCACACGACAGAGGCAGATCCTCCAGCCTCGAGCGGATAGATGAAGGTGGTCGCGGTGGTCGCAAACAGCCCGGAAATGCTGACGGCGAAGGAAAAGGTGGAGAGGTAGCCAAACTCGCGCTTGAAAACCTGTTGCGCGGTTAGGACAGCCTTGTTCTTGTGACTCAGTAGCGGCAATCCGCATTCCACATACCGGCTTGTATCCGAACTGCTCGGCGAGGGCTCTGTCGGCCGCACTCAACTCGTCCAATTGGACAGTCCTGCGCCGGCCTTGCGCATCTTGAATCTCAACTGTGCCAATGCTATGCCTGCGCAAATCGCCCGCGTCGATGGGGCCTAGGGTTATTTCTTTGTTGGCCATGGTGGCAAGTAATGCTCGAGAATTTTCTTCTGCTTTTCAGTCCTTCGCTGGAGGCCAGTGGAGGTCTGAGTATTTGTAGAGCAGGTGGTTGGCGTATGTTTGCAGCGACTGATTTCAGATCAGCGCCACTTGCGGTAGCGAACAACTCGTTTGACGCAGGAGCAGTCGAAGGTCACTCTTCATCCACGGCGGAAATCGATTGCATGTGCCGGCTGTTGGTAATGCGGTTGAAATGGAGTGACAACCCGAGCTGGATGGGATCGCAAAAAGGCTCAGCGCACACCGTGTCGATGGGTTTATTGAGGTCAAGCTGGAGAAAATCAAGAAACAGAGAGTTTCTGGCCAGGTCTGGGGAACAAGAAGGAGGAGCGAAGGAGGCTAGCTGTCTGCGATCCTGAGGACGCTGGTGAGGCTTGATCTACCCATCGTTGCATTGGTGCAGGGACTCTCTCGGCGATGGCGGTGGAGGTGGAGGTGTGATGAGGTAGCCATGATGCCAACTGGGCCCGCTTGATGGAGGAGACAGAATCTTCGATAGACAGGCCTGGGGGCCATAGTGGATTGGGCAGATTCAACAGAACGAAGTTTGCCAAACACGATGGCGTGGGATGGTGGGTGGTCGCAGTCGAGGCAGACGGATCGAGCAGCCTACCAGCCCGTCCCGAGCAGAGTGTCACTCTACGTAAATAGGGCCCGCAGGCTTGCTGCATGGCGACTCGACAGCGATTGAGCAAGGGACAAGGGAGGAACCGCCCTTTTGCATGTATTGCCGGGCGTGGCAATGGACCGACAAGACCCATCAGGCGGGCTACTTCGGCTGAGGCTTGAACCAAAGATGCCACTTGGTGCCACCTAAAATCCTTCGATTAGCCTGACCTGGAGAAAGCATGGAGACATCTTCCAGGCACGAGACTATCGGATGATTCGATAGAGGCGCCCCCAAAGCCACCAGAGCCACCCAGAGCCCGCCTAGAGCCCACTTGCAGCCCGCCGAGGCCGCCAAAAGCCCACCCAGAAACAGACTTCGACGACCCCTCAAAAATCTCCAGCCATCGCTTGAACTTGCAAAGTCTCCACCCCTGACGTTTGCCCCCGCAGGCAAGATTGCTTGGAGTCTTGGACATCGAAAAGAAAGAAGAAAAGAGAGAAAAAAAAGAGGACGGAGAATGAAAAAGGGAAAAGAGAATGAGTGTAAATGGCTCAAACAGAATGGATCATGCTGTCAATCTCTGCAGCCCCCATGTGCACAATACTGTCATGGATTAATCAATTTCTGATAACAGCTCCGGTGCTATGGCTACTTAGTGGCCACCTGCTGATAAGCCATGGGCAGCCGTTGAATTCTAGATTCTCATAAGCCTACTTACCAAGAAGGTACAGAGTAGTAATGCAGAATACTGTAGATGGGTGGCATTTCCCTGCCTGGTGGCTAGAGTAACGACTTGTTTTAACCCTAAAGAGCTATCATTTGCGGGCTGCCTCTCTCCTCTCGCGACAGTCGCAAAAAAGCTCCTGTGATAAAATGCAAGCCTTGCCGGCCCGTTCGATGCCGGCTGACACCAATACGAGATACCCGTCGCCTCAAAGTACCCAGTTTGTGTTAGTTGCAAGATACGGCATGCCTCAAGACGGCTACCTCTCGCGTGGCCGCCATGCCGAGTTGGGCGCCCTGTGGTCACTCAGGCAATTCGACCAAGAACCGTTGTGTCGAAATCATTGGGATTCCATTCAGCTATCTGTTTCTGTCTGCATTCATTCCTGGGATATTTAGTTTCTGAAAGAGCCAAGGCGGAGCCTGCCACAGCCAGACTTGCTGCCATCTCGTCTGGGAAAGCATCAAGTGGACAGGCTGTGCCGACAACGCTCCACACCATTCCCTCGTCCCCTGCCCTCTGACACAGTTTTCAGAAAACCCATGTGAACTTTGTTCTTGTCTCTCGAGTCACCCAATTCCAGTCACGACAAAGGCGAGCGTAGTCGATCCTGTCAGTCGGTGGTGATGTTCACCACGAATCCAGCTTACCAACCGCCACCACCAACCTCGGCGTTGCTGGAGCCCCAATTATCGTTGGTTGGTGCAGCAGCCCCGCCAGACGCGCCCCAGGCACTGCTGGCGGCATTGGTGTCACCACCTGCGCCCAATACATTTCCAGCACCAGCAGCGTTGCCTCCATTACCCCATGTATCACCAGCAGCATCGCCCTCAAACTCGGGCTCCTCCTCTTCGTCAAAATTCAGATCGGCGCCTTCAGGCTTGAAATGTGCGAGGAACTCGGGCACATCCTGGTTGGTTTCGAGTAAGATCTTGGTGAGGAATGGACCCAAAGCCTCGTCCTTTTCATTGTAGAAGGAAGTAGCAAGGCCTTCGTTACCGATACGAGCAGTGCGACCTACTTATAGTTAGCGATAAGGAAAGAGACGTTGTTCAATCTGACGTACCAATGCGATGAACATACTCGTTCTTCCCGTCGTGATCGGCAGACGGAAGATCGAAGTTGATGACATGCATAACATTACTAAACAGTGACAATGAGATACCGCGCTGCTTTTTTTTTTTTGCAATAACTTAAGCTTACCGAACATCGAGGCCACGGGCAGTGACACCAGTTGCAACGAGAATAGGAGTCTGGCCACCTTTAAACGAACGCAACGCATCCTCACGCTCGCTCTGGGTTCGATCAGAGTGGATGGACGTAGAGGGAAGACCCAGGTTGAAGAGGTAATCGTCAACGAAGTCGGCGGTCTTCTTGAATTTGACGAAGATCAAGGTACGCGAGGGCGGCATCGAGATCAACAAGTCGTACAGAGCCTTCATCTTTTTGTCACCATCACACCACATGATCTAAATTAGGTTAGTTGAGAGCTGATACGAGTTGTGAGATTGAAACATACGTGTTGCTTGACGTTAACATGGACGCTGCCAGTGCGGCCAACACTGACATGGACATAGTCGGACGCAAGATATTTGGCGGCCAGACTGCGAACACGCTTGGGGAAAGTCGCGCTGAACAGGAGATAACGATGATCACCATCAGTATTGGCATCTACTTCAGGTCAGCACACCAAGCAGCACATGAATAGTGGGAAGGAACTCACCGCCGCCACCCATGATCTTCGACATCTCTTCCCCCCAATCATCGTGAAGCATTTCATCAGCCTCGTCAATGATTGTGTAGCGGACACGGGCAAGAGACAGAAGCTCAGGACGACTCATGAAGTCGAGGAGACGACCTGGGGAGGCGACAAGCAGATCACAGCCACGCTGAAGCTGAGCGGCTTGGTCTCGAATAGGAGCACCACCATATGCCACGCAGGGACGAAGCATAGAGCGATAGCAGAGGCGACGAGCTTCATCGAAGATTTGACAGCAGAGTTCACGAGTCGGTGCGACGATAAGGATCAATGGCTCTGCGCGGACTCGATCGCGAGAAGGATCGAAACCCTGACCAATATTGGGTCGAGGCGCAGCAAGCTTCTTGACCTTACCCATCAATTTGGAGATGGTTGGGATCAGAAAAGCTGCAGTTTTACCGGATCCTATAACGCTGTTAATCAGGAGACGAAACATATTTGGGACAGACTTACCGGTCTGAGCAATGCCAATCATATCATGACCAGTCAACACCGCTGGAATGGTGTAAGCCTGGATGGGGGTCGTGGCACGGTAACCACAGAGCTCGATGTTTTCGAGAATGACTGGGTGTAAGCCAGCATCCTTAAACTAGACAAGGTGAGACTGAGGGACTCATGGTGAATAGAGAGCACTTACGCTAGACACGGGGTTGACGCGAGTCTCGGATTCGACCGTGACCTCGACAGTGGTAAGACTGGAAACAATCAGCAGGACTTCATCGTGGTATCAGAGCTTTGCTTACTTCTCGAACTTGATGCCAGCCCGATTGATGTGTTCGCCACGGAAGAGATCTCTCTCAAGCTTCTCGTCGCGTGGCCCGACATCACCGTATTCTTCCTTCCATTCGTACTTGGCTGCGTCGTGAGACCAACTACTGGTGGCATATCTACTAACGGCCGCTTCTTCAACGCCAGCTTCGTCTTCAGCCGCAGCTTCAGACTCGCCGTCATCGCCGTTGAGCAGGGTGGTTGGGGCACGGGAGGTGTAGTTGTTCGCTTTCGGCTCGACCCAGCCAGATTGGCGAGCTAGTTTGATGGCCTCCTCGTTCTTGGGAGGACCAGCAGTGGGCTCAACACCGTTGGAGGGCGTGATGTCAGCAAGAGCTGACGCTACATCAGTGGTGTCAAAAGAGGAAGCCATGTTTACTGAAGGACGTAAACACGACTCGAAGAGATGAAGGAACGAAAGGACAAGGTGAGGTGATGGTGATGGTGGTGGAAGAGAAAGAGAAGAGTTTTGAGAACGCAAGACGCGGAGATATTTAAACGGCTGCCACCCAGAGTCAATTTGGCAAAATAAACTGGAAATCAACCGTACCCTAGCAGAATCACTCGGACTCTGTAATCCAGGTGGATAATTGGCGATGGAGCAACAGGAAACGATGTCGCCGATGATGTCGTCGATGACCCCTTAGCAGTTTAATTCCAGACGGAAGAGCAGGAGAAGGCGGCCGCAGTCTAGAGATGGTCTCAATCAGAGACTTCTTGCTCGGATCAGTACAATTTCCAGTTGTGCTTCATTTCATCGCCTTCTATGTCTCGTAGTTCCCTTCCAGCCTTGCAAAACCTGGACAGGTTGACCAGAATCCACGACACCTTTGCCCCCTCAGTTTCCCCTGTGCGGCGAGAACGGGCACACACTTCTGCTCACTCATGACGACGCTCAGCCCATGTTTGCTTTCCTGAGTGTTCGTCCAAATGCCATTTCCTGCAAGACCTTCCGTTCCGCCATCTTTGATCAGACAACATAGTATATGCTCCTTTCCGAGGCCACTTGCAGAAACACAAAGATTTGGAGCCGCTCAATTCGCGTTTTTCTATCACCAGACCAGCATAAAGATTTCTAAAAGCCAGCGAAACCAGGCAGTCGAAAAAGAAAGAGTTGGGTTCAGTGAATCCGGCAAGAGGGGAGAGGCGGCGGGAAGACTGCAGCTTCCCGCACGGCGATGAGACCATACCTAAGGGAAGAATATGGGTCACCCCAGATGAGCGACCTGATTTCAGTGCAATGATTACATCTCAAGAACGTCCAAAGACAAAGGCCACCATAGGGAGGGCAAAGAAGGTCCACGTCGAGCAATTCCATTGCACCCAGCTCTTCCATACAGACCTATCCACCTGACTGCCCTCTAAGCGGCGACATGGGGTTACGAGCAACCTCCAGAGGTGTGAGACCACCGACGGACTTTAGAAATTCTAAATTGGCTCTTTTCCGTTGGGCGTGAGCAGGAGAGAGTCTTCGACTGTTGCTGAATTAAGCTCCGTGAATGGACGATGGCGTCCAGAGGGCTAATGGTTGTCCGTAGTCCAACAAGGCTATGGCAGAAATGAGGCGAGTCGAACATGCTATTGGGTAGTTGAAGGCTGACACAAATATGGGACGAGTTGAAGGTGCCCTAGGGCGAAATGGTAAGGCCTTCCAAGGGTGATATCATCATCACCTCCGATACAATTTGGACTGTGGGTTCTAACAACGTGGAGTGACTATCGACACGGAGGGCTGCCGACTCTGCACCACATAGAAAGAACTGGACAAATCCGGCTGTATGCCCTCACCATTTATGATTCTAAGCTGTTATCTAGTCTTCCAGCAAACCCAGTTGTTTTGAAGTTCTGTCTTGGGAACCAACAGTGACAACGCAGCAAGACAGCAATCGAATGGTCCTGGAGATCTGGATCTCTTTGAACCTCATCTATGATCAAGAACACTATATAGCCTTTGCAACCCGACCCGGTGAACCGGCACTGTTTTAGTGATGCACGCGTACTGCTCCTGTTCACTGACGCTCTCCTTCCGCTCGTCATTCAACATAGAGCATGGGATAGGACCTCTTCCAGGCATCTGCACTAATATGTAGCACGCAAGCTAAGCGTGTAAGTTGGAAGAGGATCTCACGGCCTGGCAGCGCTCAGAAAAAGAAGACAATGCTGCGAGTTAAACTTCCATAGGATCTTGTCGAGTAGGTGGGAATGATGGCAGCTGTACTGCTCGGGTCCGAATGTCAGGATGATGTGAATTGGCTGCTGTCCTGATCATCGCAAAAAATAGAAGACGCATACAGCCCTATGCGACGGGGGTCCACACAGAAGGGTCCGCGAAGAGTAATCCCACCGTATCATTAGAATGTGAGGTACTCAATCGAGAACTGGCTGCCTTTTTTTTGGTGTTGGAGGTCAGCCGTGCTATTTCATCAAGGTGAGCACAGTAATTCGACTCTACCACCTCGTGTGACTGGTATACATGTCTATGCGGAAGTGGACTGCCCTTGCTGGTGCAGTTTCATGTCTAATGAGTTAAATTTCCCTGGAACTGCTGAAGAGCTTTTCGATGGCAATGCTGAAGTATTGGTGACAGTGAATCAATCGCCATATCTTGTTTAGAATGAGATAGAGTGTTTATTCGCTGGATAATCCTTGACTGCATGGAAAGTCGATATCGAGACGTCAGGTACCTTCACATTTGGTTTCTGTGCTCCATAGTACTCGTGCGGAGTATACAGCCTTAACACGTAGCGCACTTCCTCAACTGCAAAATTCTGTCTTGGCATGAAATTGAGGTCCTCCCCCACATTGAATTTCAGAGGCTTTGGGACTGCGAACTTGACAGCATCAATTCTTTCTCGCTGAGATCAGAACGCCAACATGACTACCCAACAAGGCGCTATCAGCAAGCGCCGCAAGTTCGTTGCCGACGGTGTATTCTATGCCGAATTGAACGAATTCTTCCAGCGCGAGCTGGCCGAGGAAGGTTATTCTGGTGTCGAGGTCCGAGTCACCCCAACTGTTACCGATATCAGTACGTCCCCCTCTACGCCGATCCCATAGGGAAATTTATCAGACAGTGAATATCCCAATCAGGCATGGAAACTAACTTGCGATTTCTCTTCAGTCATCCGTGCAACCCACACCCAAGAAGTCCTGGGCGAACAAGGCCGACGCATTCGCGAACTCACCTCTCTGATCCAGAAACGCTTCAAGTTCCCCGAGAACAGCGTCTCCCTCTATGCTGCCAAGGTGCAAAATCGTGGTCTCTCCGCCGTCGCACAATGCGAGTCTCTCAGATACAAGTTGCTGAACGGCCTGGCCGTGAGACGTGCTTGCTACGGTGTTTTGCGGTTCATTATGGAGAGCGGAGCAAAGGGATGTGAGGTCGTGGTTAGTGGAAAATTGAGAGCCGCTCGGGCAAAGAGTATGAAGTTCACGGTATGAAATTCCCTCCCATGTCACATCATGCCTCACAGAGTTCACTGGGACATAACTGATCATTGATAAAAAAAAATTATAGGACGGTTTCATGATCCACTCCGGTCAACCCGTCAACGATTTCATCGACTCCGCAACCCGACACGTCCTCCTCCGCCAGGGAGTTCTGGGCATCAAAGTAAAGATCATGCGCGGCTCTGACCCCGAAGGAAAAGCCGGCCCACAGAAATCGCTTCCCGACAGCGTTACCATCATCGAGCCTAAGGAAGAACAGCCTGTCATGCAGCCCATGAGCCAGGACTACGGTGCAAAGGCATTGGCCGCTCAGCAGGCAGCACAAGATGCCAGGGCGGCGGCGGAGGCGGAGCAGGAAGGTGGTGCTGCCGAGGAGCAATACACCCAGGAGTAGGAATCCCGTGATGTGGGTGCTTCTTCTACAGTTGCGACTGTTGGGACAGCTGGTCAGGCCGTTTATGATGGTGCCGGTGAAGAGACACTGGCTTCCCCTCTGGGCCCGCCCCAGCCTGTCTACGATTCTGCTGGAGTGGATGTTTGGAGTATGGACAATTCTGGAGCTGCAGGTTGGTGATTCCGGTGATCCAAATCTCACATAGCACATCTCCGGCAAGCAAAACGATTGTGCAAAGAGAAAATGTGCCCCAAGATGCTTATTTTAGAGAATAGGCTCGCACGCATAGTCCTTGAATGCATGTAAAGGAACAGAGGAACATGTCACGGGCTTTTATCTAAAGAGCATCGGGCAGACACCGAATTCTCGCTTCCAAATTACAAGAACACCTCAACATTGAACTCCAACGCACTGACTGGATATCTCAACTCGAACTTCTCCAACACCGTCGGATGCAAAATCCCAAAGTTCCCGATAACGACATCTCTCCCGGCAATTCTTGCGTGGATACTCGCTCCGTGACCAGGGAAATACGTCGCGTTGTCGAATTCTTGGATCCAGTATTCCATTTTCTTTCCGTTCCCTGCTCCATCTCCACGTATCTCGAGCCCTTCCTCGTGTGTGATGAAGGCCGTCTTCAGCATGGCCATGAGGCGGTCGAGGAGGCCGTGAACGACTTCGAAGCCTGATGTTTTGCCGTACCATGCAGCAGCGAAGTGTCGCTCATTCCGGGCCTTGCGTTCCAAACTAGCATCCTTGAAGGCGACGTCACTGACCTCGAAGATCTTGATGGGGATGGAGTGATGCTTGTTCTCACGGATAGTCTTTAGCAATCCTGGCAGCAACGTCGAGCGCACGACCTGATATTCCGCCGTCTTTGGATTCGCCAACCGCACCGCAGTGTTGCCGTCATCCTTGCGATTCAACCACGCGAAATTCTCATCGTGCGAACAGAGGATGAGCGGAAGGACCTCTGCCCAGCCCGCCATGGCGGCTTCGAGACGCAGAATGTCGGAGAGTTTGTTAATTGCCAGTGGTGCCGCGATGGTAGCGCCAACTTTGGGAAACGCGCGCGGCAGCTTGTTGAAGCCATAGGCGATGCAAACATCTTCCATGATATCTGCTTGATGGAGAATATCTGCACGTGTAGGAGGAATATCCACGTCGATGAGATTCGCATCGGACTTTGACGGACGCGCTGCGTAGGACATACGTGTCAAGAGATCGCAAATTTCCTGCGGTGATAGCGAGAGACCGCAGCAGGCATTGATATAGTCCACTTCAGCCACTGTGGAGCGAGGTGTAAGATCAGGGACTTGTCTCGATTGACCGTTGTGTTCAGAGATGATCTGGATTGGTTCGACTGTGAACTGATCTGAGGTGTATTGAGAAAACATGGTAACCATCATGTTGACGACGATTTCTAACTTGGTTTTGTCCGTGGCCGTGACTTCCATAAAGACGTTTTTGGTGTTGAGAGTGATTTTACTGAGATCACCGTTGATGATTGGAGGCAAGGAGCAGACATTACGGTTGGAGTCATAGATAACCGGGTAGACGGGGGAGTCTCTGATAATGTGGAGGAAGCGGCCTAAATGCTTGTCCTTTTCGTAGAACTGCATGAGTTCCTCGCCATCTAACTCCTTGTTCTGGTTCAATGGCACGAATTTGATGTCCTTGGGAGGAAGCGCTTCGTAGGTGAACGGACCCTGGATCGAGTCAAGATCATGGGTTCCGATTGAGACCAGAGTCCGCTGTCGAGCCAGGTTCTGGTGCAATTTGTCTTGCAGATCAATGAAAGACTCGTATCTGGCCTGGTCGAACTTGATGTTTCGCAAAATGGCCCCAGAAACGTAGGGCCGTATCCTCTCGCAGTCCTTTGAGACTGTGATGGTCTGAATTCCCCCTTTGGATGGCGCTTTTAGGACATATTTGGGAGCGGCCACTCTGCGATTGAAGATGTTCAGCATGAGTTGAATACCCTCGAAGCACAACATGTCATATCGATTGGCAGGGATTTCGATTTTCAACTGAGGGGGCTCCTGTTTGCCGTTGACAATCGGTCGGTCTGTCAGCGAGGTGTCCTCATCGAGCTCAATTCCGAAATCAAAGCAGAGTTCGTCGAATTCTTCGGTCGTGTAGTCCCTCCCCAGAGCCTGGAAGAGGGCAGCCTTGTCCACAGTGATGGTAGGCATGGTGAGAAGCCTCTGCGGGGGATATCTCTACACGCTATTTGGTCGGCCAAAGCTCTCCGGACAAAGTTCCAGAGATACAGAGAGTGGAATGGCTGTCTGGGGACGGTGATGCCCACAACTGGAAAAGATCTCTTTGCCCAGCAGAGTTGAAATGAATATTCACACCAGAAAAGATTGTAGGGGAAGAGTCACCTGCGGTCTTGGCGGGGCCATTGCGATGCCAGTGGGAATTTGGCTACGCAACCCAACTGTGCCACAACTTCTGCATCAAATCGGCCCCTTCAGCCACACGCCCCGACTCTTCACCTTGAATGACGGAGCTCGTTAGAGGAACCTGAGGAACCTGATTATCCCACCTTTTCAAAAGCAACAATAACTTTACCTAGCCTTCAAAGGGCTCTCTCTTCTTCCACTTTGACTCTTTAGTGGCTAGGAAGGCCTGGTGAAGAATTCAACCGGTTCAGCGACACCTGCATTGACCCCGTTTCTTGGTTTGTTGTGAGTCGAGCCTCTGCCCTCCACGCCGCATAAATCTCCGTCAAACGCGCAGCCTGCCCATGTCAGTCCACGAGACACACCCTTTAACGTATCGCGAACCGGCTGAAGCTGACTGCCTTTACCCAGCCAGCTATGTATTAGGATGTGACCTGGCCCTCCTGCTACAAAAACGACTCGTTGACGCTGCTCTGCATCGATCTCTGAGCAGAAGTGACTGCTTGATTTTCCTCCCCAAAGCCCCTGGCTCTCGGGCGATCTCAATATTGGAATCCTCGTTAGACTACCCAAGATACCGCCGAAATGGAGGGTCAAGATAATGGAGATGAGCTCTATCCCATCGCCGTGCTGATCGACGAACTCAAGGTATGTCTCCGCTGGGGCGCTCGCCATGTCTCGGGTTCTGACTGACCCATAAACAGCACGACGATGTTCTTCTCCGACTCAACGCTATCCACAGACTTTCTACCATTGCACTTGCTCTCGGCCCTGAGCGAACACGAGACGAACTGATACCCTTTTTGGACGGTGCGGCCTTTGTATTGCAAAAGAGCGGGAATAATACTGACACTTTTGTTCAGACTCCGTGGAAGATGAAGACGAAGTCCTCACTGCACTCGCTGAAGAACTAGGAAACTTCATCGAGTACGTCGGAGGCCCCGAATATGGTCACGTGCTCCTTGCGCCGCTGGAGAATCTGGCTGCAATCGAGGAGCCTTTGGTGCGGGATAAGGTATGTAAGACGTTCCAAACTGACATGGGCAAAGGTCACCTAACGCCAGTAGGCCGTTGAATCTCTGAATAAGATCTGCAATGAGCTATCAGAGCGGCAAGTTGAAGAGTACTTCATTCCCCTCACGATTCGCCTGTCGAAGGCCGACTGGTTCACCTCCAAAATATCCGCAACCGGCTTGTACACAACTCCCTACCGAAAAGCGTCCCAATCCTCCCAGCAAGTCCTTCGGACTCAATTTGGCCATCTTGTTCACGATGAGACACCCATGGTACGACGACAAGCCGCAAACAACCTGGCCAAGTTTGTGAAAGAAGTCCCAGTTTCAGTTGTGATCGATGAGATGATTCCTCTATTTCAACATCTGGCCGGTGATGATCAAGATAGTGTCCGATTGCTCACGGTTGAAGTCCTCATCTCTATTGCAGAAGTCATTCCCAAGGAACAGCAACCGAGCCATGGCGTTCTCTTGACCGCGTTGAGGAGCCTATTCGAGGACAAGAGCTGGAGGGTACGATACATGGTGGCAGAGAAATTCGAAAAGATAGCGAAAGCTGTCAATGAAGAGGTTGTCACCCGAGACCTGGTCCCAGCATTCGTCAAGCTGCTGAAGGATAGTGAAGCCGAAGTCAGAACGGCCATCGCAAGCCAAATTCCGGGCTTCTGTGGTCTGCTTGACCGAGAAACCCTCCTCAACGAAATCATGACATCAATCGAAGACCTTGTCTCTGACCCCAATCAACACGTTCGAGCCGCCCTTGGAACCCAACTCAGCGGACTGGCCCCAATTCTGGGTAAAGAAGAGACCATCTCTCATCTCCTCCCCATGTTTCTCCAAATGCTCAAGGACGAGTTTCCTGACGTGAGACTGCACATCATCTCCAAACTTGAGCTCGTCAACAACGTTATCGGCATTGACTTGCTTTCTCAATCGCTCCTGCCAGCTATCGTTCAGCTTGCGGAAGACAAGCAATGGCGTGTGCGCCTTGCCATCATTGAGTACATCCCCTTGCTGGCAAAGCAACTGGGCATGAAGTTCTTCGACGATCAATTGAGTTCGCTGTGCATGGGCTGGTTGGGCGACACGGTGTTTTCCATTCGTGACGCTGCAACGCAGAACCTGAAGAAGCTCACAGAAGTGTTTGGCGTGGAATGGGCAAATCGATCCATCATTCCCAAGGTCACAGCCATGAGTCAACAACCGAATTATCTTTACAGGATGACGACATGCTTTGCCATCACGGTGAGCCCTCCCAGGTGCATCTTCTCTATTTCTGACAAGCTTGCTGACGGCCGAATGCTAGACCCTCGCACCAGTGATAACCCTCGACATCATAGCTGATAGCGTCCTCCCCATGATGGACCGTCTCGTCTCCGACCCAATACCAAACATTCGCTTCAACGTTGCCAAATCCTACGCCGTTCTTATCGACACGCTCCGCCGCCTACCCGCTGAAGGAACACTACAACAACTCGAACAACAATCGAATTCATCAGCGCAGCCGAGTCCCCGAGGGCAAGAGCTGATTGGGCAGATCATGTCAAATTTGGAGAAACTACAGCACGACGAAGATGTGGACGTGAGGTATTTCGCAACTGTAGCGGCGGGCGGAACGGCCAACGTATATGCGCAGCAGTCAGGGGAGAGGATGGATACCGGACAGTAGTGCTGCCGCCGGCAGGAAGATGCGAGGAAGGTAGAGGTGAGGGAGCGGGAGATTAATGGCGATGAGGATGGAGATGAGCCCGTCGGGCAGGTCGAGCATGTTGAGCATGTTGAGCGCGAGACGGAGCGAGAGGGCGACATGGGGCATGAGCTGGGCAGGAGGCATTCGCAGTGGACTTTTCCCATCTTTGGAGGAAGGCGAGATGCATGACTGGTGCAAAGGAAGGGCACGGCCGGGCCAGCTGGAGGTAGGAGGCATCCAGAGAGATCGATCCTGCGGGGCAGGATGGCAAAACGAATTGGCATGGCTGTGATATGGTGCATTTGTACGAAGACCAGCGAAGTCGTGTGAAATGAAATATTGGTAGGGGAGGAGAGACCAACAGATGGACACGCGGACGCGGACGCGGACGGCATGGGAACGAACGAACGCATTTCAGATATCTGACATCAGATATCTGGAATCGCAGATCCCGATTGTTGTTCTCCTTCCTACCATGCGCGGCGGAAGAGTATTAGATAGAATTTCCAAAGACCACTGAAGAGCAGAACGCATTCCTCGTCCTTATCCTCTTCCTCATCTCTACTGTCCTGGATGCCATCAAGAGGGATTACAATAGAACTAGCTGGACAAGTGCGTTGCCCAAACTGCTACCAGCGTTGCCAGCAGTAGTGGCAGTGCCCAGACAGCCAGAGCGCCTTCAGCACAGAAGACTGGTGGCACTATATCAAGGAGTGTGCACAAATCCTCATGAGGATCAAGGTATTCCAATTCCTTGGTGCATGCATCTCGTCTCGTCTCCTGTCCCCTTGACTTCCCTCCTGTTCGCTTTCTCCAGATGTTCCATGCCAGATGTTTTACTGACTACCTCCTCTGTGCCTCTTAACTCGTCCTCGGTCCTTAACCATGTAGGTAGGTACCTAGTAGTATGCTCAAACCTCGTAACAATCATAAATTATACAAGAAGGAGGAATGAATGTGCAGAACGCCTTCAATTCTATTCAAAGCCAGGCGAGCCTTCCTTTTCAGCGCTTTGACAGAAGTGATTTTCTACAACTGTTCTAACTTCTTCGGGGCGCGGTGCCAGATCGATCAGAGACTAAAGCCGATATTATGTCGATTGTCATCGATTAAGCGACCATACCTGTGGATTGTCAGTCAGTCAGCATTGCTCGGGATCAAGATCCATCCGAACCCCAAGAGAACAGAAAAAAAAAAGAAAGAAAAAAAAAAAACAATCTAGGAATGAGGAAATGAAGGAGAAACTCACTCTAACAGCAGCCGAAAATACCACACCTCGAGATCCTCGTTTCTGAGCACATTTTGCGCCCAACTTCTTCCCTGCTCCGCTATCCTCTTCCCTTCCACCTTGCCAGCCTCCTCTTGATCAAAGTATCTCACGCTCTCGGCGTATTCGTCACCAATCAAACCGAGTGGGATGTAATGCACCCATGGCCTCAGCCATTCGTCGTGCCATTCGCGGAACACCGCGAGCTTGTACACAAGGGACTTGCTCAATAGCCAGGCGTAATAGCGGCCGGAAAAGGCATTGCCATCAATATCGAGTAAAAAGCGAGACGCAAGTGCGTCAAACATATCCACAGGTTCCACTGTGCCGAAATACTCACGTTGAGCGTCGCAGTCGCCAGGATCACACTGTCCAATGTATGTGAATTTGACGTCGAAGTAATGGGCCATATCGGCTGCGGAAATGGTCTTCTCGCGCCATAGCGAGTCCTCCGCCGAAGAGTTAGTGTCTAATTCGAGAACCTTGGCCGTGTTCAGTGGCTGGATCTTTGTGAGGAAGCGCTGGCGGTGTTGCCTCCTCCATCCCCCGTCGCGGGAGAAACCACCTGTTGTGCTGCCCCGCCAATACATCGTGGGGACCTTTTCTTCCCAAGACATGTCCCGTTCAGGTTGGTACTTTACGCGGCCCACAAAATACCAGGGCGATGGGTAGAGGATGTCCTGGAAAGAAGAGATCTTTGATTGCGAAAAGATTGGGAATAGGTCATGTGTGACGTCGAATGCGTTGGGGCGGTCGAAAAAGCCGAATGATTTCTCCATGCTGGGAGAGTTGCAGATGTCGGAGAACGCGGTAGTGTTACGGATGAAGCCCAGCGGCAGGTCAGAGTAGGCAGTAACATTGTCTGGACAGGAGTCGTTGAGACAGATACGGGCGGCACTTTCGGGGGAGCAGGAGATTCTGGAGTTGCTCCATGTCGGCTGATGCGCAAACCGGTTGAAGCGGGTGGTTTTGTATTCTTTGATGCGGATCCCTTCTCCCAGGTCTTCGGCGCGCGGTGACCATTCATTCTTCAGTGTCTGGGCGTTGTAGGCTTTAGGCATGTTCTCATTCTGGGCGACCTGAACGTGATGCAGGAGGTCATCGTGTTGCATCACCACGCGAGGCTCGTCATGGATGTTGAATGCCAAATCCATATCCGGCAGGTATTTGATGAAATCCTTCAACATGATGGGTGTCGCATCTCTGTGCCACTCATACATATCTCCACCTCCTTCGATTTTCGTAACCTTGCCGCTGCGGATCATGACGGCGATCAAGGCATTGTCGAATCCAATTGCTTCTCTTGTCCTCTCTCTTATGACCGCGGGCTCCAATGCCCAGAACGGCAGCAATTGGTGATATATCGTGTCATATTCGTCAATCAGCTCGACGCCCCGCTTCTTCGCAAAGTTGTACCATTTGTCGAAATGGGGAGGAGGAGGCAGCTTGTACCGCCTGCGGTACTCGGCTACGGCATCGCTAAGGGATCGGGACTGGCGGGCCCGAAGAGTCTGAAGGTCGCTCTCGCTCTGGGCGACTAGTTGGTGAATAGGGTGCAACAGGGAGCTTGCCGGTAGAAGCGGCTGGTTCTCCTCGTGAGCATGGTGGCCTTGGAGGAGGGAGGCGGTCGACTCCTCGAGTGTCTGGATCTGTCCAGGGCTTTGGAGCAAATATAGAGTCAATGCAGCAGTCCCGACGAGAAGGATCAGAGCGAGTAGCTTCCGCGACCTTATCATGCCTCGGGCATGGCTCGGGTGCCGCTGCGGATTTTTCAAATTCATGCACAACCTGAAGACGCCCAGTGCTGGCACATTGACGTGCTATTCCTGCGTCGGTTGATTTATGTTGTGTCGCACACCCCGCGGTGATATTCGAAACTGGCGCTGAAGGAAAGGGACTGAGTCCGTCTGGAAGCACGGGGTTGCACAGCAGCTGGGGAGAGCGTATAGTACGACGAGGGGCCCTTTGGCGAAATCCAACTTGGATTAATTGTCGCCATCTCCAAATGCTTGGAAAAGGAGAAACTTGGGTTGCTCGAGGCACCGAAGAGTGGGTCTAGCTGACATAATACTCTACGGTGAGTCGAAATGCTTCTGGTGCGCAATTCCGTTCGCAATGCTGTGAGGCTGAAGGTCTGCCCAAAGGCTGCCATACGAGATGTTTCCCCCCCCCTGCCCCCCCCCCCCCAGATGCGCCCCGTCGTGTTCAGTATCCCATAGACTTCCACAGTTTCCTGGACAGATTTTTCCTAATATCCGACCATATTCCGACCCATCCTCTCGCCTGCGTCACCAGATTCGTGACCCCAACGATCCTTCTCGTAAACAGGTCTGTCTGCTCGAAGTCATGCGCATAGCAGTCCCAAACTGCCTGATCTTCTATCGCTCGCTCGAGACCCATCGCCTTGGCGTCCTCCTCGGAAGTATTAGGGCCTATCACGAGTGCTCGGCCGATGATGCCTTGATCTGCAACAAGACGTGAGGTGGCCTCGACCACTGATTTAACGGTGGCCATTCCTCCTCCTGCCATGACGAAGGCACCTAAGGGTCCGAGGATAGGCGTGTCGACGAAATCTATCCAATCTATTAGTAGCTGTGGATGCTTGCCGAAAACAAAAAAGAAATGAGGCAAGCGGCGCCGAGATTGAGACTTACATGGATTGATCATGTTCACCCTAATCCCACTCTTTAGCGGCGTTGTGAGCCTCAGTGTCCGAAACAACCCAACAACACCATGTTTCGCTGCTGCATAGAGAGGCTGACCCGCCAGACCCGCCAGACCAGCAATGGAGGCAACAAGGATGAGGTGTCGGTCTCGCGTCCCCGAGTGCTTGCCAACTTGACATTTCTCGCTCCCGGGATTCCGCGACAAGTATGATATTGCCAGGTGTGTGGTATACATGACTCCGTTGAGATTAATGTCTAGCGTTCGCATTGCTGGCTTAGGCGGAGGGCCATCATCCATCCTTGCATAATCAGGCGGGTCCTCAAACACTAGCTGCTCTGGGGCGTCCGCTATCCCGGCATTGGCCATGACATGATCGATCCCACCATGCGGACTTAGTCTTGCTGCTTGTTTGAAGAAGGCGGCTTGACTCGGCCAACTCGTTACGTCGAGCGGAATGAAATGGTGGTTTTGGTTCCCTGTGGACTGGCGGATTCGGGCAACCAGTTCGGTGCCAGCTTTCTCATTGATGTCGCCGATGATCACGTTGGCGCCGTGGGAGGCCCATTCTTGAAGGCAGGCTGCACCGAATCCTGAAGCGCCTCCCGTGATGACGATAGTTTTGCCTCTGATGTTATCGTGATTAATGGGTCGAGCTATGTCGACGGGGCCAGAGTAGATAACGCTCGAGCCATAAGGGATCACTCCAGGTTGTGGCTGCGACATGTTCTCAATCTGCAACCGAGCCAAGTATCAAGTCGTCGATAGGTGCCGAATCAAGGGCTCTTTGCTTCTTCTTTTGTCTTCGTGGCCGTAGCTGCTGTAATCCAACGGCGCCCAGGTCTTTGGCTACAGTGGGTCGCTGACAACACCACGTCAGGACATTCAAATGGGGCAGAGGCGTGCAAGACCACGACTTTATGTTTTTATTCGATCGAAGGTCAGAAGAACGTCTGGAAGGAGCTTTGTTATGCTTATGGAGGCGTGATAAGTACCATCGAACCGTGCACCGAAGTACCAAAAAGAGGAAAAGGATAAACTTCGGCCAATGCTATTTAGACCAACCCCGGATTTTCTTAAATTTACTCCGTAGTATGTATTCGGATTAAACAGGTTGAACAATACCGAGTAGTCTGTAGACATTGCAGATACGAAGGTATGTGCTTTACTGCTCAAGATGCCAAATCACGGCAAATCAACCAGACATCACAATCTGCCATGTGAGACCTATATCTAGATGTTACCTTTTTCTAGTAGATCATTTAAACTTTTATAGTGATCAAAAGATTTCCCGGGTGATTCGTGAACCATGTAATCCAAAGACGCCCGAGTTCTGTCAAGTCGTTATCCCAGGATGCGGCTCTCCATTTGCTTTGGGCCGCTCCTTGATCTCCTTCGACGACACATTTTCTACCTCTTTTAGTATATCAAGCTCCGAAGCAGCTGATCCGGCGGCGCCGAGACCTCTGAAGCCCTCTTCAACGGTCCATCTCTTGTCTTGGTCAGCCTTGTACAGCACTTCGCAAGAATTGCCAACGACAAGTAAGCCGGGCGGTCTGGACCCTTCCTCTTCCACCGCCTGACAGACGTACTCAAGAGTCGATCGGATCACCCTCTGATCCGGACAGCTGGCTCTTTCGATCACAGCGCATGGTGTACTTGAGGGCCAGAGTGCCCGTCTTTTCGCTTCCGGGTTCTGAGCCTCCGAGTCCTGTGTCAGACTTTTGACCAAACTCTCTAACCTATGCAACGCCATCAAGAATACCACGGTCTTGCTCTTCCGATAAGACGGCGGTTCAGGCGATGCTCCTTTTCTCCCAGTCCCGGTGCAAATGACGACTTGGTCAGCAACAGCCCGATGAGTTACCGGGACATCGGCGAACATGGGTGCTGACAGAGCGCTGGTAATGCCAGGTATCACTCTGACCTCGAAACCTCGTTCCCGGAAGAAGGTCACTTCTTCGGCTCCACGGCCGTATAGATATGGATCACCTTGCTTCAGCCGGAGGACGTCCTTGCCTTCTTCCATGGCCTCCAGCCCCATTTGAAGCATTTCTTCTTGCGCAGCGTCCGCATTGCCAGGAAATTTTCGTGCGATATGGATAGGAGTTCTACGAGGGATGAGGGCTAGGATTTCGGCAGGAACAAGCTTGTCAGCCAAAATGACATGGGCTGTTTCAATGGCTGTTCGGGCGGCGATTGTCAGTAGAGAAGGATGCCCTGGGCCTGAGCCAGCCAAAGTGATCGTGCCTTTGCGGGGAGCCGGAGCCGGAAGCAGACCGGAGGTGTTATCCAGGCGTGGAGCAGGCGTTTGAGCAGTGGTCCTGTATGCCTCGAGTATGGTTGCCACATCTGCGTCTGTGATTGCTGCAAGTCGACTTAGCGGCCAGTACTCGCATATCTGCGAAAGCCACCTCATGCGACGCGTGCGCAAAACGGCTGGATCCCGATCGTCTTCCTTGACCAATGAGTTGAACGTATATTTCTGCGCCGCGGCCTCTTCGTCTTCGGCTTCAACGTCGGGCGCTTCGGCGGGATTTGAGGTGTGAGACTTAAAATCCTCTGCCCATATCCGCCTTCGCACTGTTCCAAGTCTCTCTACAGCAGAGCCGAATTTGGGAGGTAGGGTCGACGCAATCTCACGCCGAATGCGCGATGATAGCTTGCAGCCATTGCCTGATGTGGTTATTCCGATTTGAAGTGGGCCATCTGAATAAGTCGACAGAAGCGTGAACGTGCAAAGGTTCGGTGCATCCACCACATTGACAGGTATCCGCATGCGCTTGCACAGGTTGGATACCTGAATGGTTCGAGGGTCTTTGACAGGAAGAGTGACAAACAGCGCGTCCACATAGCCACCTACTTCCTCTCTTCCCAATGTCTTCAGGTCCTGCTCTTCAAACTCCCGCCGTATCCAACGCACTCTGCCCTGGTCAATGGCTGCGGCAAGGGTGAAGTAGGGTTTCTCGGTTTCGGAAAACATGACGGCAGGGAGGGCGCCAACCTCGAGAGACTTTGCGCACCTCGCGGCAGCGAGAGGCCCAGAACCGAGGACCAGGTGGACGTGTCCGACACAGCTATGCGCTGTTAGCAAAGCAGGGATAAACATGGCGGGACCTGTGCGGCCGTAGAGACAGATTGGATAAACAATCTTGTAGGAAGTCAAGCAATATGATGCCCAGACGCCACGGCCATGCAAAATGACAGAGAAATATAGGAAACACGGAAACTGGAAAAGCGTCACCTCATCACCATCTCTGTGGCAGCCATGAGGTGCTCGGAAAAAAAGACCAAAAGACTGCGAGTTGGAAAATGCGAAAAAAGTTTGAATGACGTGATTTGTCGCGTTGTGCTTATCGCTTATCGGGCGAGCGCTCCTCGGGCTGTTGTGGGCCGTGTGTGGTGGGGCCGCGGAGCCTCGTTTGCCTCTTCCATTCCAATACGAGGTACCATCCCAACGGTCCTCTCATCCTCGGAGACGATAGTCTCCTGTTGCTCTCCGCGGGATTGCGGTTGCCTTCAATCGGTCCAGAGATGGCCTCTCCTCCCAGTCGAGTCGTTCAAGCAGCATCATCATGGTGCAAAGGAAGCGGAGATGCGCAACTTCCACCGTTTGCCTGGTTGCCCGTCTGTTCGCACACGCGCCGCACTTCAACTTGCTTCTGACGACTTCTTGTTGATGGAGCTATAGGGCCTTCAACATACTGCGTAGCATCAGCCCCAGATCCCCAGGGTGAGCAGAGCCGCCCAACGACCTGGGCAGAACGCAGAAGCGTTGTGTAGCAACCACAAGGATGACCTGTGTATTGTCATAATGTGCGTTGAGAATGGCTAGCTCGGGTCTCCGCCGGAAGTCCCTCAGACAGACACGGCTGGGCGACCTGCAAATGGGAAGCAGTATTGCCAGCGGACTGGGTTGTGGAAATTTGTAGTAGCGAACAAATGTTGTTGGCCGCTCAGTCTTCGGGTTCATCGTCGTCGAAACCGAGCATCTTGCTCATGTATGGGCCATCGAGTGAATATCCAAGACGTTCATAGTAGCTTCTCACGCCAACGCCGCTGATGACGCTCATTTTCTCGCTGCCATGCTCATCCCGAGCAATTTTCTCGGCTTCTTTCATCAACAGGGTTCCATAGCCTTGGTGTTGGAATCTGCTCTTTTCGCGACCGTGGATCGGAACTGCTAAACCGTACACATGAAGCTCGCGGACGATGCTTGTCGGTTGGTATGTAAGTTCTGGTCGGAATGTGTGCGTATCTGAGCATTTCCGCAACCTCAGCAGGCCAATAAGTATATCTTGCTTGGGATCTTCATACGCGAGAAACGTTTCCCAGCCACCGTTTGCCATGTAATCCCTCCGCACAAGTTCCACTTGGGAGGGGCGAATCTTGTTCTTCACCTCGTTGATGCCGACTTCCCGTGTTCGAACATCTCGACATGTAGTACCGAAATCCTTCATTCGCGACAATGCAAGCTCCCGGAGATTGCCATTTTCGACTCCAGACGTGACCAAGGGCATGGGGATGTCCCGTTGTACACGATATATTCTTGTCCAAGGAGGTACCAAAGCAAGAATTCTAGCCACCAGATCCACAAGTGCATTGGGGGTGTAGTTCTTGAAGCGACCGGTCCGCCACAGTTCGTAAAGTCCCGTGCCACGGATCACAAGTGTCGGGTAGATCTTCAGGCCATCTGTCCGGAAGTCTGGGTTCTCAAAATATTCCTGAAATTGGAATATATCGCGTTCCATACCAACGTTGGGCAAATCGGGCATCATGTGCGAAACAACCTTGAATCCGGCATCTTTGCAGAATTTGAAAGCTTCCACAACTGCTGCAACGGTATGACCTCTGTTCGTATCTCGAGCCACGTCCTCATACAAAGACTGGACACCAAGCTCCAACCGGGTACATCCATATCTCAGCATGTCAGAAAGGTGGTCGATTTGTCCAAAGTCAGGCCTCGTTTCGATCGTGATGCCAACGCACTTGATACTCGACATCTCTCCTGCCATGACTGCCTCGTCAACATTTTCGGTCTGGTAGCCCGATAACGCATTATGTAGCTGAGCGACAAAGTTATCACGGTAGTCCTGTGGCAGGGACATAAATGTCCCGCCCATGATGATGAACTCGACTTTATCCACGCTATGTCCGAGAGACTTGATTTGATCGACTCTTCCACGCGCCTGTTCAAAAGGATCGTAGCGCGCTCGAATAGCTCGCATGGAAGTCGGCTCGTATCCTGTATAAGATTGTGTCGAGTATTCGAAATCGGAGTCAGGACCGCCCGGACAGTAGACACAAGCGTGGCCCGTCCACGCAATGTGTGGGCATCGATGTGGCTTTGACATGACAGCAACCACAGCAATACCTGAGGCTGTTCTTACCGGTTTCGCAATCAGCTTTGGCATCAGGTGTTTCTTGAACTCGGGCGGAACTGCAGCCAGAATAGCGGTCAGAGGGGGCAAGTTGCTGAGCCTGTGCTTTTTGGCGACATCACCCCTCAGTCTGTTGAGGTTGACATCTTTCTTGGGTTTCGTCTCATCCAGGCTGGCTTCATATTCTTGGACGAGAGCGCGCGCAATGTCATTGCATGCTTGCATGAATCGAACATTTTCTGGAGGCAGCTTTTCGTTCTTGCCGACCTTGACTTTGGCCCTGATCACCGTCTCAGTCGCCATCTGGGGGCGAAGACTACAGCACCGTCAAATGGGAGAAGTCGAGGACCTTGAAACTGAAAAACATTAGCGAAGGTCATCACGGTCAAAAATTCGATATCACGTGGAGGTGCATTCAGGCTTGGCTCCCGGGAGAATATTGTTCCGTAAGGTTGCAAAAAGGTTATGTTCGGCTGAGCAGGTCTTGGGCAGGTCAAGCAGGTTCAAGCGCGTCGCAGACACTTCCAATAAGCTACTTTCAGGAGGACAGACGCCTGCCATGGTCCAGCCAGTACAAGGGGAAGTCTATCTTTCTACTGCTGCTTCTCTCGCTTCCTCCTCCAAACCTTGACTGGCATCTCGCCCAAGATCCAATTGAGGGTTTCCAGCCTCTCTATCTCCCATTCCGGGCTTTTCAATGCAAAGTCGTATCTCCTCAACAGCGTTCCCATCGCCACTGTCTGCTCCAGATAGCTGATATTGCGCCCAATACAACCTCTTGCACCTGCGCTGAATGCCAGGAAATATGACCGCAACGATTTGCCAGATTCCCCCAGCCATCGATCAGGGATGTATTTATCTGGGCTGGGAAAGATGGTCGGATCACGGTGCGCCGTCAATGCGGACATCATCACTGATACTCCACCTGCAATGAAATCATCGGCAATCCTCATGCCCTCCGGGGGCGTAAGTCGCAGCAGTCCGTGAACTGTTGGAGGGAAGAGGCGAAGAGATTCGTCAAGACAGGCACGGAGGTAGGGGAGATGTTTGAGACGGTCATAAGCAATAACCCCATCTTCGTAGCAGCCGCCCGTAGACTCGCAGTCTTCATCCTCTTCGGCATCTAGGGCGGCATCAATCTCGTTTCTAACTTTGCGCAGGCATTCTGGGTTCTTGAGCAGTTGGAACATCGCGTTGGCTATAGCGATGGCTGTTGTTACGGACCCCGCATTCAACATGATGCTGACCTCTGCCACTATCTCACCCCATTCGAGATTGTTTGGAACGGAGCTCTTATCTTCCATAAGTGCTTGGAAGAAGTCGTCAAGCTTCTCACCGCGTTGATAACGCTCTAGACGACGAGATGCGAGCTCCAGCGGGATCCCTTCCCATTGTCGGTGTAGCGTACCCATTCGACCATAGAACGGGATGATATCGGCAATTTTGTTGAGAAACGGGTACCAGGCATATGGCCAGATAAGGAGAGATTGTTTATGAGCCATTTTATACAGGCAGTCCCGCATGTCCGCCTCGTACTGCGTTCCATCCGTCCGACGCGCGATTGTGCGCGAATGGCCTTGATCGAGAAAGCCTAGCGGGTCCGAGAGACCTATATCAGAAATGGCGTCAAGGCTGAAGAAGTTCATCCAAGCGCGAAAATCCAGATTGACGTCTTTCGGCACAGGCTCCTTCTCACCAGGCAGAAGGGGCGCGGTACAACATTGGTCGAAATGCTTGACGATCCGACTCATCTTGTCGGCCACTTTGTGCTCCCATTGCTCGAGATTTTTGATTGCATAAGCTGATGAGAGGACTTTGCGTTTGCGGCCGTGGTCTGTGCGGTCTATCACATCCGCAAGGTGAAAATGACTGCCCGAAAAGAGGACATAGGAAGGATCCTTGATGCAAGGTGTGTTGTGGCCATATATATCTTTGATGGCTCTAACGTCCCCGTATGAAAGGGTATTGGGAGCAACACGGATCACAGGATATTTTTTGTGCATCTCCGTCAAGTACGGCGATCTCGCACCAGTATGAGCCAGAATCATCATTGGGATGGAGCTGATTCCAGAGAATATCGACATGTTAGGGAACTTGCGCAGTCCTACATGTTATTATTAGCGTCCACTCTCAACATACACAGCGGAATTCAGGCTCAACGCCACACCTTTCAGGTCACGGAAATATCCTACCAAAGGCCATGCAATAAAATAAACAAATAGGGACGCTACCAGAAGGACAGCGTGCGAAAGGGAAGAGAACCACATTCTGGCCGTACGCAAACAAAACACACAGTGGACAGCTGAAGCTGTTGAACGAACCAGGACTTGAACAATATCACTCTCTTACAAAATACAACGCTCCTCTGTGGTGCGGCATCAGCAACGCCGAGTATGATATATGACATTTATCTTCCCCAGGAGCCAAGGCAGCCTCCATCAGAGCGACTAAATGGCTGCTGATGCCAGTTGTCGCACGGAAAGGAGGGGCAACTCATTCCATGTGGGTTGGACTAGCAAGAATGGGATCAATGGAGGGGAAGAGCTGGACACCTGAACGGCTGGGCAGCATCACTATCCCTTTGCAGTTCGCTGCCCTCGTCGTCGTGGCTCCGTTGAGTTCCCTGGAATGGAAACAAGAAGACGTCGAGAAGTGGGACCGCCCAGTTCTTTTCTCATCCGAATGAGGAAAGGAATGGAAAAGGGGGAAACGGCGGAGAAATCTTTCCTCAAACAGGGTCTCGGGACGCGACACCCGTTGCACTCACCAAAGCAACTCATTCAATTCCTTCTAGCTTCCATGTTTAGCCATAGAATTCGTCGTCCTCAATCATGACATCTTTGCCGTCAAGAGTCTGCTTGAAACAAGATTATACTACACGAGAGGCACTTTCCACCATACAAGGATGCGATAGAGGTCCAATTTTTCTAGTAAAAATACCTGAGATTTGCAGGTAAACAGAAGGCCTCTCAAGCGAATTTGACAGTTTCCTGACTACATCTCGGCCCAATGTCTCTCTAGGTGCTCGATGATATGATCAATGCCCCAGCCTAACTTGACCCTGACGCCGCGGAGAAAGTCGACAGCCGCTTCTCTCTCCCCAGGAGAGTTGAGACAATGTCCGCATGCGTATAGGATGTGTGATGCCTCGAAGTTGGCTGCCACAACATGAGGATTGCTGATGGCCAGACCAATGCAGCGTTTAAGGTCAATTCTGACCTTCTGTTCCAGTTCCCGCCACATGCGTATGCTCTCAAGACCTCTACGACGGGCGGTGTGAACTGGGTCGCTCAGGGCGAGGAGTATGAGGGTCAGGTGGTAGTACATGAGCCCAATGACATGAGGGGCCTGGAGCATCGATATCGTCGGGAAAGGATTTCGGCACCCCGGCCCAGCAAGTCTATTTGGAGCGCTCTCTTCACTTGAAGCCTCAAAGACTGGCAGAAACGTGTCCGGCTTGTCGTGATACCACTGGGTCGCGGCGTGCTGCAAGGTACGCCAATCCTCGACGTCGGCTCCCGCATGTTCACTGCTTTTGGCAGAGTATACCAGAGTCTCTGCGAAAATGAAGACAATTTTGTTGGCCCAAGCGTGATCTGTGAGACCGAGGAAGACCACAGACCTTTTATAGCAGCCAAGATCCACATTCAAGGGGGCATTGCTTGTCAATGAAACGTATACACCTTGTCTCAAGACAATCCACGCTGCTGATTCTCCCAATCCGCCATTTGCGGCGACCTCTCCAACCGAATTAATGACCCGAGAGGAGCCAAGCAGATGGCACATACGATCTTCATCTGCATTTCCTGGTCAACGTCCTGTTACGGGCGTAAATGAAGGCGGATACCTACCTGACATCTCTTCTCCTTTACGCAAGACGACAATAGCCGCCAAGAAGTTCTCATCTGGAGAATACTCAGGATCATCCAAGAATCGAATCAAGATCCGGATGCACCTAGCCTGGTATTCTTCATAAAATTGGTCCGGAACACCCTGAACACGACTGCGATGAATGGAAGCGGCGGCAATGATAGCGTAAAATAGCAAAGGGCAATGCGCTGCTCTCTGGGGAACAGTTGTGGTGAAATGAGAAACATGGTCCGTGACATCTAGTTGAGGCCCGATATTGTCGATGAAATGTCGAAGGAGTTCAGCCTCTGCTAAGTCGTTCAACGGCCAAAGAGGTTTGGATTCATAGAGGACGGTACTTGTAGATGGCGAGAGTATCTGGATCTGGTTTGATGGGGTACGGTGTTGCTGTAATGGAGAAACTAAATATGTGGGAGATGAAGCGAAATGGGACGCGCCTGAAGCGCTGTCTCTCCCAAATGATAGCGATCTCTTTGCCGCATCAGATTCAGCTGCCAAAACAATACTAGGTTCTGCAACCGCATCTGCACAGTCGAGACGCACATTCATGGAATTTGGAAAAGCTCCCTCATCCTCATCAATGACGATAGAAGACTGTAAGTCACTCGAATCTTCGTCGTGATCGTTACCATGAACGAATTGGACTTGGAACACCCAGATCAGCTCAAATACTGATGCCAAGCAGTAAGACGACAATCAACAGGGAACTCACCGGGAGTGTGGAAGTCGACCCAGACATGATCACCACCGTAGACAAAGGATATCTCCCGGCCACTCTGTCCGGAAGAGCGGGATTGTTCGATCACAGAATGAACAGCTTTCAGCCGAATTCGTTTTCGTGGAGGCGGCAGGCAGGGCTCGCCTGCGGTCTCACAGTTTTCGCACCTGCGCACACCATGCTCAATGATACCTCGAATTTTGGTTAGGACATAGTGGCCATTCAGCGGACTACCGCTCACATTTACTATGCTTTTCACGGCATCGTTGGCTAGCATATTGTTAGCTGCAGTTTCATAAATCAGAGAGGATTACCACCATCCTGGTGAGCGCATAGCTCATCATATCGCTGGGGTTTGATCTCGTCCACCTTCGAGGGCAGACATCAACAATCAGAAGTAGTCCACTTCGGCGAAGACTTACTTCAAATAATCGAGCACTGTTAAAGAATAACCACGTATTTTGGCCACCAGACCGTCACCTGTTGAAGTAGCCTAGTAAGTGTGCGGAAGATGAATAGGCTGCCCGCAACAACCATGATTTTCTTTCGTGTTGAAGTATCATTACGGCGAGTCTCCGGTGCGGAGTTTGGTTCGGTAACCTCTTTAAGGTTGAGAGCATCGGTACCGGCAAAGTATTAGTCGTATTCATATATGCTAACACTTGACAACCCACAATTTGAGTGGGCACGATTGTCCGAGGTCCAAGTATCCTGAGACCCGTCTCTTGGATATTCTCTTGATGGATATGGGGTTCAATTGTCCATCACCAGTAGCATCTGCTATCATTTCAGCCACCTCGCCAGGTACAAGATAAGGCTTAGCTACTGGTCATGCAGCCGGACCCTTGAATCAGGTGAGGTATGGTGCTGTATGAGGAATCTTTCTTCCGAATCAAGCTTCGTAGATTCACCCGTGGGTCTGGCGGAATATGTCCCCGCCAATGATATTGCGCTAATCGTGAGCCATAAATGTCGATTGTCGAAGTCGGATGCCAACAAGTGCTGGGTTGAGATGTGGGTAATACATGCTCCAACGACAAGCCCGGTTTTGAGCCCCCGTGGGGAACGCCACACGAGATGTAGTAGATGTTCGACAATGATATAAAGGAGTGATTGTCGCAGAGCCATTGCCTTTTCTTGCCCGCATCGACTTCCCGGGCGGCTTTGGTCTCAGTATTAGAGGATTCTAGAGATCTGTGCCGGCTTCGGAATTATCGTTGCTTGTCGATTTCTTCAAGTCCAAAAACATGTTCCCACACGAGAAGGAGATGATCGAGAAGGGCGCCGAAACCATCCTCCACGAAGAGGATGTGCTCGACAAGGAGATCGCAGCTCTCAACACGATCGAAGACACACAAACCTCCAAGGTTGTTTGGCTGATTGCCATCTGCGTCTCTGTTGGCGGCTTCTTGTTCGGTAGGATATATTCGCACAGCCCTCGGGCATAAAGACTCCTGTTCATTGACTTTCTTCAGGATATGATACCGGTTATATTTCTAGCGTGCTTGTTACAATTGGCGATGACTTGGGGCACGATTTATCATCGAGCGAGCAGGAACTCATCACCTCAATAACCAGCGGAGGAGCATTTATTGGTGCAATATTCGCCGGTTTGACCGCAGACCGCTATGGCCGCAAGATCTCCATTTATTGTGGCTGCGGAGTCTTTGTCGTCGGCGCCATTCTCCAAGCTGCAGCTTTTGGCGTCGCTCAAATGACTGTAGGAAGATTCATCGTTGGGCTAGGCGTTGGTGAGTTTCTCGAAGACCCGTATTCGTATTGACAGTGCTCTGGTCCAAAGCTTCTGTCTCTCCTCGTCCATGATTTGATGCTGACGACAAATCAGGGAGTGCGGCAATGGTTGTACCTCTGTAGGTTCTTCATCCTTTTCAGCAATTTTTTCCTGGTTGGCGAAGGCCTCCCAGTGCACGTCTCTCAACCGTAGAACGGGCTAACAGATACGAACAGGTACATTTCCGAAATTGCTCCAGCGAAGTATCGCGGTCGTATGATCACTATGCAAACCTGCAACATCACAGGCGGACAATTCATTGCGTATTGCATTGGAGCTGGGTTCGCCGAGGTCAAATCTTCCGGCTGGCGATACGTTGTTGCTATTGGAGCAATTCCTGCCATCGCGCTGGCTTTGTTCCTCCCCTGGTGTCCGGAAAGCACTCGGCAGCTGGTAGCGCACGGAGAACTTGGGCAGGCCGATACCGTGCTGGCTAGATTGTATCCAAATTCGACCACAGAACAGCGTCAGGACAAGATTCGAGCTATCCAGCAAGATCTGCATCAGGCCACTGAGCTGATGGCTCACAAGTCGCTCTGGTGGTCATACAGACAGCTGCACATAGTTCCCGCCAATTTTCGTGCCATGCTGACAGCGTGCTGCGTGATGGGAGTAAGCCAACTTTGCGGGTTCAATACACTGATGTGAGTTTTTCAGGCCCTTCCCATATCTTGTTGTGCAAGAATCTCATATAACCGTCCTGCAGGTACTACAGCGGCACGCTGTTTGCCCTTGTCGGCTTCAACAAGCCGGTTGCTGTCTCAATTGTGGTCGGGGCTTGCAACTTTTTGGGATGTTGCATCAACCTGATCATTGTCGACCGCTTTGGCCGGCGGAGAATCCTCATCTTTACCGTCCTGGGGATGTCTCTCAGTCTTGTGCTCGCAGCCGTTGCCTTCCACTATATTCCAATCAACTCCAAGGATCTTACACTCGAGATCAACAACGTAAACTGGGCTGGCATTTTGGTACTCGTCACAATCATCTTTTACGTGGGCTTCTTTGGCACTGGCGTTGCCCCTGTTTCCTGGATGGGGGCGGAGCGTCTTCCACTTGAGGTTCGTGCCATGGGAACCATGGTCATGACTGTTACCTGCTGGGGGACCAATATCATCATTGCCTCAACCTTTCTGTCGATGATGAAATCTTTGAGCCCCAGCGGCGCATTTGGCTTCTATGCAGCCATTTGCTTTCTGGGGTTCTTGTTCGCTGTCTTCTGCTTCGCGGAAACCAAAGGTATGTCTCTGGAAGAGATTCGAGAGGTATTCAACCACGGTTTTGGAGTTCGGTACGCACGTAAGTGGCAGAAACAGCACGCCTTGGACAACAAGAGAGCGGCTGTGTCCGCCTAACCGGAGAAAAGTTGCAGGCTGTTGCTGCTGCTGTCGACTAAGAGGGGTCGCAGGAAGAGCCTAAAGCAGACATGTCGGAAAGACTAAGATATGAGATTGGCGAGGTTTGTCCAACAACACAACTGCAAGAAATGATGCGTTGGAGCCAGCAATTCGAAGTTCTAGAATGGTCAATGAGAGATGAGTCAAAGTTGAATTTCCGCAGTATAAAGATCAGATGGGACCGTTGGGCAATCAGCCACCTGGCGGTGCTGCCAGTTTCCACATGATCCCAACACAGTTGATAATGTGGGCTGTCGAAGTAGTCTGTCTTGGTTTTCTGCATCCCAACCATAGGATTAAACCTGCAACCTCTGGTGATGCTCCCAAGCCCCTCGGATCCTTTGCATCATGACAGGGACAGGCGATTCCAAGAGCATGGGAAGAGCTGGAATTCACTTTCCCGGAGGAAGTCGGGGATGTTTCGAATATTTTCACCGTTGTAAGACATAGGCTGGTTATTTAATTCAGAAATTAACTGACGGGGGAGTTGATTTTAGACATGGACAGCTCTGTTTAGGGGGTTGGAGGGAAATGACTCTGGATTGTGCAGCCTTTCATTACCTCGAGGCTGTTGATATTGCACGGTGAGACATATCGTCCGTTTGAGGTTTTGACTTGACTAACGCTGATGATGGGCTTGAAACATGGCTTGAAGAGGCAGCGCATCTGATGGTATAATCTCTTTTGATGTGATAGATGGCGATGCTTAATGAGTTCTTCACATCCATTGCACTTGATCTTTCGTCAATAGACATGGGTTGTTGGTTGTTAGGAGCGCGAGAGTTGGCTGTTGCGTATCTTGCGTATCAAAGAAAAATGCTGTTGTTGGGTTTATGCCCCGCCGTTGTATCAAATGACACTTTCAAATGACACTCGGCGCGCTCAGCGGGCCAGGAGCTTTGCAACTCCGCAAGATGGAACTTCGATATCGATCAATTGACGCAGGTGCTTGAATTCTTCCATCATTCGGCTTTCAGTCAGACTTAGCTCTTGCTCTTAAAGCCGTCGCCAGAGATGCAGGCATTTAAGGCCTGCGCTCCTCGGGCGCTGCGATCTGCGACTAGCACTACGTCAAGAAGCTATGCCACAGTCTCGTCGGGTTCACCCTATACTCAGACGCGGAATAACTTGAGAATCCACGCGGACACGAAAGTCCTCTTTCAGGGTTTCACGGGGAAGCAGGGCACATTTCATGCTCAACAGGCAATTGAGTACGGCACTAAGGTTGTGGGTGGAACGAACCCGAAAAGCGAGCCTCCCCATCAGCTTCTTGCAAAGATACAACATGCTGACCGCAAGCAGAGGCCGGTACCCAGCATCTCGGTCTACCCGTTTTCAAGAATGTTACCGAGGGTGTAAAAGAGACAGGAGCTACTGCAAGTGTCATATTCGTACCGCCTCCGGTAGCAGCAGCTGGTATCATGGAAGCTATTGAAGCTGAAATACCGCTGGTGGTTTGCATTACTGAAGGGTAAGGAGGCTCTTATACAGATTTCACTTACTGACAAACTTCAGAATTCCCCAACATGATATGCTTAAGGTCACCGACGCGCTAAAAACCCAAAGCAAGACACGTTTGGTCGGTCCCAACTGCCCTGGAATCATCGCGCCCGGCCAATGCAAGATCGGCATCATGCCAGGATTCATCCACAAACGAGGAAGAATTGGGATCGTATCAAGATCGGGAACACTGACATACGAGGCGGTCAATCAAACAACCCAAGCAGGTCTCGGACAATCTTTGGTCGTGGGTATCGGAGGTGATCCATTCAGCGGCACCAACTTTATTGACTGCCTGAGTGTTTTCATGGAAGACGACGAAACAGAGGGTATCATCATGATTGGTGAGATTGGAGGGAGCGCCGAGGAGGACGCGGCAGAGTTCCTGAAGAGCGAGAACAAGAAGAACAAGCCCGCAGTCAGCTTCATTGCCGGTATCACTGCCCCTCCAGGACGCCGAATGGGACATGCTGGTGCTATTGTCAGTGGAGGAAAAGGTGGTGCCGAATCAAAGATCTCGGCATTGGAAGCTGCTGGAGTGATCGTGGAGAGGAATCCAGCCATGCTGGGCAAGTCATTGCATGCACAGTTCGTCAACCGGGATCTGGTCTGATTGGAAGGCCTTCAGATAAGATGTTCGGTGAGGAGGGACACTCGAGTCTTCAAGGGGTGCACGCATGTATTTTGATACCACAAATAAAGCGCATGTGATAACATTCTACATGGCCGCATGCCCTATGAGCCGTGAATGTTCAGCTCTTGTACAGGGGCTGCCCTGATCTTGGGGCCCTCTAAAACGCATGATCCCTCCCATCTACGCCGTCAGTCTGCCCAGCTCTTCGGAGAGTATCTTCTCCTTTATCGCAGAGAATCCGTTATGATCACAGTGATATAGCGCCCCGCCGACTCGCCCGAACATGCAGCCAAGCTTGAAAGCCACAGAATACCAAGAATGCCTGGCCTGCAAGTCAATATCGAACACCTTAACAAGCGGTCCAGAGGATGGAGACTCACAGCATAAACCGCCACTGCAATAAATATAGAGCCTGCGACCGCTCCACCGTCTTCAGGATCTCCTTCTAACCCCATCATCGAGTGATGGTCTGTCTGTACGCCCCAGGCAATCAGTATGAACTTCACTCGAATCGTGCTTGGTGTATGGCGGGCAACACTCGTACCGCAAACAGGCCCCCTACAATGGAGAGGATGACAATGGCGAAGACCGAGAGAACCGTGCTGTCAAAGGGTCAGTAGTCCGCACCACACACAAATATCGACGAAGGTCGAAAGACTGACCAGCTCCATGCGTTCAAGGCGGATACGACTGGCTTCATAATGAGCTGTTTGTCTCAACGTGCTGGAACCGAAATGCAGGACTTCGCGCTCCCTGTCGGCACTAAATAGCCCGTTTGACGTGGTGGACAGTCACTCGAGGATATACCGTGCGACACGCCCCGTGCGACAGGTCCGATGGCGATTTCTTAGATGGAGGTATTACTCTTTAAAGGTCTTTGGGCTGCACAGGAGTGACGTGCGCTTCCTTAACAGGTTGAACCTTTAAGCTGAGGTGTTCCTGCGGCCAGCATCGGGGCAGCTCGAGATGCGGAATTCCGACGGAACAAATATTTTCCATTCCGAGTCCCCAAGTCCTCGTATGACCTTGGTCTGATGATCCAATTCCTGAGGTGTGAAGAGTACATATGACCTTCTTCCCATCTGACGACCTTCAACGAACATTTATCTGTCTCAAGTATTCATTCTCTCCTCTTCAACTCTGTTATTTTGAACTATCCTTGAAAAGGATGGTGTGAGCGACACCCCGAATCACAGTACGATTAGGAACCCACCCCTTAAAATTCACATTCGAAGACATCGGTGCAACTCTGGCACGTGCTCCCTGACGACTTCCTTTCCGTCTGTCGTCAAGACATTCACACCCTTTAATAGTCTCCGCCGACATATTCATGACCCGTAGTGATCATAGCTCAGATAGCAGCGAGCGCTCCCCGCTCATTCGAGAAGCCAAAAACTCGAACAAAAATGACGATATCCCCGAACAACCACTTCTGGAGCAGAGACGCCATTCGGAGGAGCCACGCCAACCAGAGGATGGACTCCTTTCGGATGAGCGAACAATGTCAGAGGCGATTGACTATGAAGAGTCCATAGTGGAGTCCAAAGATACCCTGTACCTCGCCTTTCTCACGATTTGCATTGGGGGCCTTCAGATAGTCTGGTCCGTTGAACTCTCCAATGGCTCCCCATATCTGCTCTCTCTTGGAATGAGCAAAGCCTTGCTCGCATTCGTTTGGCTTGCAGGCCCCTTGACCGGGTCACTTGTTCAGCCATACATCGGAATTCTAAGCGATCGATGCCGAGTCTCGTGGGGGAAAAGGAAGCCCTTCATGATCGCCGGGACCCTGGGCACTGTTGCTTCGTCGATGATCCTTGCATATGCGCGAGACATCATCCGGGTCGTTGGAGGACTTGACGCAGATGCACAGTATGCCGGGGGCTACAAGACTGGAACTATCGTCCTTGCCACAGTCATGATGTGGTGTCTGGACTTTAGCATCAACACCGGTAAGTTCATTCTGAGGGCCTTTCTCCCACATATCTAACACCCTCCCAGTACAAGCCGCAATTCGCGCGTTTATTGTCGACAACGCTCCTTCTCATCAACAAGAGTCGGCCAATGCATGGGCTTCACGCATGACAGGCATTGGGAATGTGTTCGGCTACATCTTTGGATACCTGAATCTGCCACGATATTTCAGCTTCTTTGGAAACACTCAATTCAAGGTCCTGGTTGTCCTAGCATCCATTGCGTTAAGTTCGACTGTTTTGATCAGTATCCTCGCCATCAAGGAGCGGAACCCACAACTTGATCCCCCGTCGAAGGCCGATTACGAATCGGGGGGTTTGCTGTCCTTCTTCAGACAAGTCTTCAGTTCCATCAAGCGACTGCCGCCTCAAGTCCGCAAGGTCTGCGAAATACAATTCTTCCACTGGCTAGGCTGGTTTCCTTTTCTCTTCTACATTACGACTTATATTGGTCAACTATACGTTGACCCCCATCTGAAGCCTGGTCTTTCGGATGATGAGGTAGAGCAGTTTTGGGGCAAGGCTACTCGAGTAGGAACACTTGCACTCCTCACCTACGCGATCGTATCGTTTGCGTCAAACATAATCTTGCCCTTCTTAGTTGTACCAACGTACAAACACAAAACGACAGATGACGCCGAAGATTTTGCGAGACCAATCACTCCGACTTCGCCTATCGGCACGAGATCACGGGAATTTCCGTGGGGCGAGCGCCCTACACTCAGTCGGTCTCAGACCAGTCTGTCACTCAATCGGCCGCTCTCGAATCCTGTCGCGAGCACATCGTCCACTCGCAATTCTGGCATTTTTAGACACTGTTTGGATAGGATGCAAATTCCAGGGTTGACATTGCGACGAGCGTGGCTAATCTCTCAGCTTCTCTTCACGCTCTGCATGTGGAGTACTGTGTTCATATCGACACCCCTGGCGGCATCAATTATGACTGCTCTGGTCGGAATCTCCTGGTCATTGACATTGTGGGCTCCGTTTGCATTGATCTCCGCAGACATTTCACAACGTGATGAAGCGAGGCGAAAGAGACAGCGGCAGAGACTCATAAATGGAGAAGATCTTGAAGACCTTGATGATAAAGAAACAGATGAAGAAGATCAAGCTGGTATTATCCTTGGACTTCACAATGTTGCTATCAGTGCTCCACAAATTCTGGCAACATTGATTAGCAGCGCCATCTTCAAACTGCTTCAGAAGCCACGAAACGAGCCAGGAGATGTCAGTGTGGGATGGACTCTGAGGATTGGCGGGCTTGGGGCGCTGGCAGCTGCCTTTATCACTTGGCGGATGGAGGAACCTGGGAATGAGGATGATTGAGACATCTGATTTACAGGCCCGCATTGTTCAGGCGGTGGTAAGTCATGGTTTGGCATGGGTCATTGGTTAAACGCAGTGGATGGGCTGAGCTGGAGCAAATCCGACTTGGAATGTTAGACTAGATTGAGATGTCCCGGATATGCAACCCCGTCAAAACTAGCACGAGGTTGTTGCAAGCGAGCTTGGGATATGGAGCATTGGAGGGTCTGGAGGGTGCTCAGCAGCATTGTGACCAGGGTATGGGGAAGGGAAATGGAATGTACAGTAGGTTGATACATCTGCAAGGAACTGCTTTAGCACAACGGCCCTTTTCTATTCCCAGCGGCGTGTTCTTGGGCTTGAGGCTCCTTCTGGATGGCGCAATGCAAGGCTTCATGTGACAGAGTTTTTAGGCGCTCGGCGTCTTTTAGTTGCTTCCTCTGTCAATTCACAGGAATTGTAGGGCGACACTCGGCAGGAGCTGTGTCGCATGGTGTTTTATATGCCAGTGTGGTCGACGGCAGGCCAGTCAATCCAAGGGTCGGCACAGCCAAAGTCAAGAGAATCAGAACCATTCTTCGTCTCTTCATTTCTTCTATATGTGAATCTGACAGAGGCGTGTCTGATCCGACACGGGCACTTCCCCCTCTTCGAATACGAGGTCGACTAGGTACGCAAACCAATGTGCTGGCCACAAGTTGCCCATATCTCCACCATCTTTTGTGGCGAACACTGACAGGCCCAAAAGGAACCGAAGAGCAACCGTGAGGATGGATCGATAACTGCGGTTTGCCACGGCGCGCCTACAGGCTGTCAGGCTAAAGTTCGGCATCTTGGGTGAACAGGACATTTGCCGGACAGCATCAGTCCGCAACCAATCCGGTAGAAATGCCATCCATCTAAGACGGTGGATCGTTCCATCGTCAACTCTGGAAGCGAAAAAAAATGGTTACCACCAGGATAAATCATGGCATTTGATCACCCTGGCGGCGAGGCGGACTCGGCAAAAGGGTACAAATATCATACGAGCCATGGTCCCTGCCAGAGAAGCGACACTTCTGCTCCTCGAGTCCACTGTTTTCTTACAAGGAAGGCTCTGAGCACGGGAGTCTAGTTTTTCTTGAGACGCTGATACATCCAAACTAGAGCCCGTCAGCCCGCGAATCGACCCACTTTCTCGTCTCCCTGTATCTACTTCAATCCCTCGCAATCCGGTGAAAGAGAAACGAAAAGAGCTGGTGATTCTCGTCGACCACCTCCGCCATGGTCAAAGACATCGCCCCTAGAGCAGGTTTGCCTGCTGATTTCCTTTGGGGCTTTGCAACTGCCGCGTTCGTATACTAATTGCCAATCTACATGCCCATACTAACGGGGTGCAGATATCAGATTGAAGGTGGTGCCACGGCAGATGGACGAGGCCCTTCAATTTGGGATAGCTTTTGCAAAATCCCCGGCAAGATTGCTGACGGCAGCTCCGGGGATGTGGCATGCGACTCATACCATCGAACAGCCCAGGACATTGAGTTGCTCAAGAAGCTTGGTGCCAAAGCATATCGTTTCTCCATCTCCTGGTCCCGTGTCATTCCGCTAGGTGGCCGGAATGACCCAGTCAACGAGGCCGGGCTCCAATACTACGTCAAATTTGTTGATGACCTCCTCGAGGCAGGAATCGTGCCCTTCATCACACTTTTCCACTGGGATCTCCCCGACGAACTCGACAAGCGATATGGAGGGTTCTTGAACAAGGACGGGTTTGTTGCCGACTTTGCCAACTATGCACGAGTCATGTTCGAGGCCATGGGTTCTCGGGTCAAACACTGGATCACATTCAACGAACCATTCTGCAGCGCCATTCTCGGATACAATGCCGGTGTGTTTGCCCCAGGTCGTTCCAGTGACAGGAAGAGGAGTGCGGTCGGTAACGGATCTACCGAACCTTGGGTAGTCGGCCATCACATCCTGCTGGCACATGCAACTGCAGTTAAGATCTACCGAGAAGAATTCAAGTCGCGAGATGGAGGAGAGATCGGAATCACCTTGAACGGTAAGCTTCCTCCCGCTCTGACTGTCCGAAACAACATCAGTCTCACATGGTGCAGGCGACTGGACCGAGCCATGGGACCCTGAGGACGAACGAGACCGGGAAGCATGTGATCGCAAAATTGAGTTCGCCATCTGTTGGTTCGCCGACCCTGTGTATTTCGGGCACTATCCAGAGTCGATGGTAAAGCAATTGGGTGACCGTCTGCCCAAGTTCAGCGAAGAAGAAAGCGAACTCATGAAGGGTTCGAACGATTTCTATGGCATGAATCACTACTGTGCCAACTACATCAAGCACAAGGAAGGCCCCGCCGACCCGCTCGACTTCGCAGGCAACTTGGAGATCCTCATGGAAGACAAGTACGGCAACAGCATCGGACCTGAAACACAAAGTTTCTGGCTCCGACCGCACGCTCCAGGATTTCGAAAGTTGATGAAATGGCTGAGTGATCGATACGGACGGCCGAAAATCTACGTGACAGAGAATGGCACGAGTCTGAAGGGCGAGAATGACTTGTCGCGCGACGAGATTCTCGAAGATGACTTCCGGTGTGAGTATTTCCGGAGTTATATCACCAGCATGGCAGAGGCCGTGGCCGAGGATGGATGTGATTGTCGTGGGTATATGGCATGGAGTCTCATGGAGTAGGTTTCCCCCACCGTTTCCTTGTCTGTCCATGTCGGCTTGCAGGGCCCATTGATGCTAACCCATGGACGCACAGCAATTTCGAATGGGCTGAAGGATACGAGACTCGCTTTGGGGTCACCTATGTTGACTATGAGAACGATCAGAAACGGTACCCGAAGAAGAGTGCTCTGGAGATCAAGAAGATATTTGACGAGTACGTTGGCAAGATATGAATGGGGACGGTTTGTCAGATCCATACTTTGAGTGCTAGAGCAGGAGAGCCATTCATTGTAATATGGCATGAGACCTCGGGAGTTTTGCGACATTTTCAGGAGACGATGCATTTAGGGATTGCTGTAGAACTCGGATCATATACTGCCGATACGCCAGTTAAACCGGACAACCGGTGGATGTGCTTTGCTCGGCTGTTTGATGATTTATTATGGAACTACATCTCCTGACATTGGCAACATTATGTATTATTCGAGTCGAGAGCGTAGACTGTTTTGGGTAGCTGGGCAGCTGGAAGTCGTGGCGGGCCTCAATCGGCATCGGCTTCTGCGAGAATCTGCGGCCGACGGTCTCACTTTCGCATTTTCCTCGCCTTTAAAAACAATTCCTCTTCCCCCCCCTTCAATATCGCACAGATACCCTGTAACCCTCGGAGGTCTTTTCACATTCTCACAAAATCATTATGGAGACGCCCACGGTGCCCATCAACTTCGTCCCTGCAAAGGCGGGCGAGACCTTCAAGGTTGGAACCATCACCATCCGAATCATGGAGGACGGCTCGAGGACAGGTTTGTGTCCTATCTCATTCTGCCACAGATTTACAATGAATGAACTGCTAATGTTGCGGTGCAGATAGTGAGTGTTAACCGCCAGCTGAGCTCTTTCGGGTCGCAATGTACTGATTGACATGCCCAAGATCGCATTGGCAGGTGAGTGTTTGAGGGGCGTCCACTTCGACGGCTTTTGGGATGTGATGTCGAGAATATGACCTTGACTCGAATCGCCAGTGCCGAGTTCACGGTTCCTCCGCATACTTCAGGGTAAGAATCAGAGAAAATCTGGAACTGCAAATCTTTCTGGGTCGTGGCCGTGAGGCTGACATGGACGGATGGCGTCGTTGGTTCGTCAAGGCCACCTCCACACTGGCATGAAATGGTAAATATCAAACACCACTCAACCCAATCCCAAACCAAGCACCCTACGTCCCGCTAACCTCTCCCTTTCCATCTCAAGCACGACGAAACCTTCCTCGTCACCCAAGGGACCTTGCGCTTCCATGCCCTCAACGGCCAAACCGTCGATGCAAAGCTCGGAGACTTCGTGACGGTGCCGCCGCGGTCGCCGCACACATTCAGCAACCCGTACGACGAGGAAGCCAAGTTCTTCAACACATACACGCCCGCCTTCTACATCAACTACTTCCGGCTCCTGGCGACCATGAACGAGCAGGGAAAGCCGATGAATCCCGAGGCGAACCGCAAGGCCATGGCTGTAAGTTGCCTCGCCCCAGCTTCTCATCGTCGGTGTATGTCTTCTAGGCGGTTCGTGTGCTAATTGACGCCCGCGGGGGGGCGCTGCTGGGCAGTATTTCGCGACCATTGGCGTCGCGGACGACGAGATGCAAATGGACAAAGAACAGTTCTACGGCACTGCAGCCCCATCGAAGAAATGAGGTTGGATGAATAAGTCTGAAGGGGTGGGAGCTTTGTGAGGTCTCGGGAAAGAGCGCCGGCAAAGTGGTCGTCGAGCAAAGCCCAAAATGCTGTGAATGCTCCTCGATCGCAATCAACCGTGATTAAGGACAGGGAAAGGGAGACAGTATCGACAACATCGCTCCATTGGTGCTCAAGCTTACCCTCATGCTTGTTTACTCCTTCCTTCCTTCCCACCCAGACCCGTCTCGTATCCCCGGTTGCAGGGGCAGTTGTCCACACGCCTGATAGTCATTTTCGCCATCGCACCGGGGTTTTTCTCACGTCCTTGGCCGGATGTTCGCATTTCCGCAAACGCAAAAGGATGCAGTGCAATGCGGGTCGTGCGTAGGTCGATTGCCCAGTCATCATGAAAGCCCAGTCTTGAACGCGATACGTGATTATCTGCATGGATAGCATGCGTGCGTTCTCTGTGTCGGCCCTGTAAACGAACGTCCGGGAGAATTCTATCTATGCTTCTGAGACAAATACACCAGCCATGCCCATGCCCGTGCCGATGCACATACTCGTAACACCGACCTTTTGCTTACGCCGCTTCAGCTCTGAAAGCAGGGTCACCACTTGCCGTGTACCGGTGGCGCCTAAGGGGTGGCCGATAGCACTGGAGGGATGGGTCGTTAGCGTCTATGGCTCGATTCCTCAGAATAAAGAAGGGGGTTGAGAGGAAACTCACATGGCACCTCCTCGGACGTTGACCTTGTTGATATCCAAGCCGAGTTTGTTGACGCAGTAAACATACTTTTACACCAGCCCATGAAATTAGCTTCAGACCGCCTTTCCTGGCTGAGAAATGGAAAAACACCGGAGAAAACTCACCATAGAAGCAAAGGCTTCGTTGATCTCAAAAAGATCCACGTCATCTGTGCTCAGGCCGGTCTTCTGCAGGATCTTGGGGATCGCCAGACTCGGGCCGATGCCCATAATGCGTGGCTCGAGCCCGACGACGGTGCTCTTGACATACTTGCCGATGATCGGCTGGCCCAGTCTCTGGGCCGTTGACCGCTTCATCATCAGCACGGCCGCTGCCCCGTCGGTGACTTGGGAAGCATTGCCTCCCGTAGTGGTCGGTCCCCATTGCGGGAAGGCGGATCGAATCTTGGACAAGCCCTCATAGGTGGTGCCCGGTCTGATGCCATCATCCTTGTCCAGCGTGACCCTCTTGGCCTCCTTGGTCTTGGGATCGATCCACTTGGTCGTGACCGGGGAGATCTCGTCCTTGGTCCAGCCTTCTTTCTGGGCCTTTTCGGCGCGGTTGTGCGACATCTCGGCAAATTTATCCTGCATCTCCCTCGTGATGTGGAAGTCACGGGCCACATTCTCCGACGTCCAGCCCATGGGCTCGACATTGTCTTTGGCGATGGGGTGGGACATGACGGTGTCGCTCATTGGCGGAGGGGCGTCTCTGTTGGACGACATGCTCTCTATGCCGACGGCGATGCCCACGTCAATGGCGTCGATGGCAATGGAACTGGCAAGGGTCTGGATGCTCAACAGGCCCGACGAGCAGAATCTCGAAGCGATGCTCGTGGCTGTGGTGACGGGGAATCCCGCGGCGAGAACGGCACTTCTGGCCACGAAACCTGGGGCGGGTTGGAGGACATTGCCCACACAGACATCTTCGACCAGGTTAGGATCGATGCCGGACTTGTCCTTGATGGCTTTCAGCACATGGATCAGGAGCTCGTCGGTGGCGGTGTCCTTGAGTCCACCCTTTCTGGCCTTTGTCAGCGGAGTGCGCGTGGCACATGTGATAACAATGTCGTCGGGATTCTTTTCTAAGATTTTCTGCAGGCCGGGAGAGTGAGTTGTGGTTGATGTGGAGGAGAGCTGGCCCGAGATGGCGTCGAGGCGTCTTTGAGCGCTCATTGTGCTGGGTATGAAGTAGAGAAGCCACGGATTACGACACAGGGAGGGAAAGGAAGACAGAATGTATGGAAATATGTACACACTAGAAGTATAAGTATGGACAATAGTAATATTTTAAGGTCGATGCAGGTGGTTGTCGAGACGCTTAAAGCGGCAATTGATCACGACGGTCGAAAGTTGCCTCGGCATCTTCGGAGTCTTCAGCTTCCGGCAGTTGTTCCGGGTTCTTTCTCCTTCTCTTTCTCTCTCACACACACACTCTCCGTACCTCGTACTGGGTACTCCCTCTCTCACTCACACACTCTCTCTCTTCCAGTCGCTGCCTCAATTCATCGCCGCCACCAGGTCCCTCCCTCTCCATCCATAGCTACTCCTGATGTTGCTTAGCTGCTGGCTGGGACACAGTCTCACCCCGCCGGACAGATGCCAACCACCCAAAACCCAGCAACTTGCCCACCGGCCCCACCTCCACATACAAGTTCCATTTTGATCCTTTAGGGTCGAACCGGTAAGTGTGAATTCAAGGCATATTTGATCCAGACTGGAGACCACGATGGAACACTTCAGCGAGACGATTGTGTGGGATTCGAACTACATTCCTCTCTCTTTCTCCCTCCCCTTTACGTGGCTACATTAATATATTAAACCTGTTCTATCTCGCCTCTCTATTACCCAGTACTCCCCCTGCATCTCTCTGGCACCCGTGGGGCTCCCCAGGCGCTGTGGCTGTTGGCTCGTCAACTCACTAGGCTAACGTGGGTTCTCCAATTCTTCTCGGCCCGGGGAACCGCGTCTAGAACGGCGAGAGCATCCGTTCCAACTCTTCTCAAGGAACCCTCGTTGCCTGGGGAAATTTCCGAACTACCCCCTCAGGTAGTAGGCAGTCCCCTGAATACACCGAACTCACACGCCTTGCTCGATATCCCAAGACGCCTTTACGTCCGTACGCCGCTGACGGATCATTTTATTCCAGCCTTGTCCATGTCAATTGGCCAAGGGAACCTCCAACACGAGCAAAGTAAGCTTCCTACACTTAAGTCACAATTAGCCTGACCGGCTCACCTTACGGCACTCACCTTACGGCACTCACATACTCCAGTGAGATAGATCAGCGTCAACCTCGCGACCGAGGCACGGCATCTATTAACGGAAAGGGGATTCGTGCTGGGTCACTGTTCTGAAAAGATCCAATCTTCAGTTCCATCGATTCATCTCTTCCTTCGCCGAAAGCGAGAACTTCAATTTGTAACTTCATTTGGGACCTTTGGTTTCTGAAGATGGCTACCATAGCGGCATCCACCGCCGCTGCCGCGGGTCTGCTCTACTACGCAGACCAGCGCATTGGTATTAGCCGGGACATCAAACAATACCGTCACGAACAATCCTTTACGAAGCGTATGCTCCAGTTCATCGATAATCTCGGTCCTCAATCGCCTCACCTATATCGCATGCTGGAACTCTGCGATCCAAATGCTGATGCATTGTGGTTCGAGGGTCGCTCGTGGAACTTCAGAGCTCTTAAGGCTCAGGTGGACGAAATCGCGCTCGGATTGAAGGAGGGTCTAGGCGTCAAAGATGGAGACATTGTTGCTGTGTTCATGACGAACTCGCCCGAGTTCGTGGCCACCGCCTACGCTCTAACAAGGCTGGGAGCAGCGCCTGCATTGATCAACAACGCCCTGAGAGACGATACATTGTTGCACTGTGTACGGTTGCCAAACTCAAGCCTGATTCTCAGCACCCCGGATTTGGCGGGTTATGCGGCGTCGGCAGCGCAATCGATGGGTGGTGGAGATGTCAAAATAGTGAGGTTGAATCTGGGTTCTTTTCGACCTACGCCGCTCTCAAGTGATATTGGGAGTATAATCGACTTCCCCTTCCCAGACTCGTCCATATCACCTGCCTCGTCGTTACCACCAACACCACCCAAAAACCTCGGCTCAGTCGCTGCCCTGATCTACACTTCCGGTACAACAGGCAAACCAAAGGCCTGCAGTATCAAAAATGGCCTCATCTGTGCCGTCGCATGCACTTCTTCCCCTGACGCCTCCAACCCGAAGAAATACCTTCATGGTCTCCGTGCATACTCATGCATGCCGCTTTTCCATGGCACTACATTCTTCGCCGGGATGTGTTATTCCGTGGGACAGGGAGGTTGTTTCTGTTTTGCGAGGAAATTCTCGGCCAGAGGGTTCTGGAAGGACGTGCACGAATCGCGCGCCACGAGGATCCTCTACGTTGGTGAACTGTGTCGCTTCCTACTGGCCACCCCACCGGGGCAGTTTGACAAGAAACACAACGTTATCGTGGCCGCTGGCAACGGACTGCAAAAGGATGTCTGGGTGGCCTTCCAAGACCGCTTCAATGTCCCCGAGATCCGCGAATTCTACCGCTCAACTGAAGGACTCGTCAAGTTCGACAACGTACACCGCGCTGGGCAGCCTGGGGCCGGGAAAGTCGGGTACCTGGGCCCGTTGAGGAAGAAAATCCTGGAAAAAGATCAGTTCATCATTAAATTCGACTACGATACCGAGTCACCGGTCCGCGATCCAAAGACTGGCTTTTGTATTGTGTGTCCGAAGGGAGAGCCGGGCGAAGCTATCGCACGGATCCACAATCTCTCGACGTACACTAACTATCACAACAATGATTCCGCGACGGAACAGAAATTCCTCCGCGACGTGTTTGAGAAGGGCGACCTGTGGCAGCGCAGCGGGGATCTGCTTGTGCAAGAAGGCGACAATTGGGTGAAGTTTGTGGATCGCATAGGCGACACATATCGCTGGATGGGCGAGAATGTGTCGGCGGGAGAAGTCAGGGCGTTCATTTCCGATTTGCCTGGAGTCAAGGACGCCGTTGTAGTGGGCAAGCGACTGGCCAAATATGACGGACAGGTCGGCACCGCACTGGTCGTACTCGACCCGGAGATCAACAGCAGCAGCAGCGGTAACGAGAAGCAACGCTCCGGATCGCTTGCCGGGGAAAAGGCGTTCATGAGCCGCCTGTTCAGTGTGCTGAGAAGCAAAGGCGTCCCGCGGTACGCGGTGCCACGGCTGGTCATGGTGCGCAACGAACTAGTCGACGTGGGCGACACGTTCAAGCACGCCAAGATGGTCGTGAAGAACATCGATTGGGCAAAGACCGCCGACCACCAAGGCCAGAGGGCTAGGACGTATTATCTCGACCTCGAGGAGGAGCGGTTCAAGGAGCTGGACGCTGAAAGTTGGAGGCGGATTGACGATGGGTCGGCCAAGTTGTAGTTTCTTGGACTGTGCAGTTGTTTAATACCTACATACCTGCTAGATCTGCCAATTGGGCCTAGATATCAAGATTCTAGATAGAACGACCCAGGATATAACTCTATTTTTAGGAGTGGGGGATGCGAGAGCGACTTGGAAGAAAAAGAGCCGTTTCCTGGCAGAGAATACCCAAGTACCCCGTTGTTAATGTTACCATTCAATATAGATATCTAGCTTCGAGGGGACAAGTTGAGAAAGGTACATGAGTCGCACTCCGAATTCGAATTCGAATGTTCTTTCCCCCCAGTGGTAGTTCTTTGATTCATTTTGTGCTGTTTTTCCGTTTCTATTCTATTTCCTGCTCGTTCCGAGATAGATATATATCATACGGACCCTGTCCCTCCTTACCCTTCCCTTGCTTGGTTGCTTGCAGAGTGTTGGTTGGCCTTTGAGAGAAAGCCACATACACAGAGGGAGAGAGAAAGATCTGTGTCTGATGCGTCCAGTGAAAATATGCCCCAATCTAGGCCTCCAAGATGTAGACCCCTGCTCTTTTTAGAGATGCCTCCCTTGAAAATTCCCTTTGCAATTCGGCCTGCCTAAGTGACTTGTCTCGACCCTGCTCACGATGCATTGCGTCTAACGTTGAGTGATATAAATCCTGCATTCCTTTACATACGTCCTTATTTTGCCCTATTTGCCCTATTTGCCCGGCCAGCTGCTTTTCCGGCTTGATGTCTGGGCCATGCTCCTGCTTCTACCTTCTCTTCGTCCGGGCCGTATCCAGTCCACCACCATCCGGCCTCGCCCTTTGATGCCGTCCACCGACGAGTCGACACGCAGGTCGTACGTTCCATCCGAGTATCGTTCCTGCGGACCGCCGACGGAACTCGCGCGTGTCCGGGTATTGTAGCTGCTTCTTCGGCTTAGGTGAGATGGAGGCATAGTTGTCTGCGTGCTCACTGTGGTCATTGTGCAGGTCCTTCCGGGACTTCGGTCATCGGAAAAAATGCCAAAACTGGTTGTTGAGCCCGCTGTATCCTCCTGGGAGATAGTATCTCGTGTGTCGGCAGTCCTTGCTCGACTTCGTCCCCGAATATTGTCTTCGCGATGAATGCCAATTGTAGCTGGACCCCACCTCGCAGTGTATCCTCTCCAAATCTGTTTCACTTCATGATCACGCCTTCTGACTAACTGGTCCAGCCGGTCCTCCATCTCGAAAATAGCCTGGGTCGCCTCAGGCTCGAGTTCCAACGTCGAGGGGAACAAAAACGTGGTTATTGCATCGTCGGTTTTGTCCGGAAATGACATGTTACAAGTTTCAATAGCGATGTCCTTCCGAAGGAGACTCAATTGGATAGACAGGTTTTCCAGCTCATGAGTGTATCTGTCCAACACCTTTGATTCGGCCTGGCGTCGCATTGTGATATCACAGTCAGAACATGAGCCCTCGAGCACGTAAAGCGTCGGCGATGGTGTTCCTTGATCGGGATTGTACGCACGCAGATGGAACGGTGGGTACGCAAGAAGACCCCTGCGATACCGCGCAAGTGTAGGCTGCACATTGAGGGGACGAGACATCGGAGGCGACGTGTGGGCACAGAATGTGTAGTAGTATGTGTGAGCGTAAGCAGTCTCGGGATCTGGCAGAGGCGTCCTCTCGGCCGAAGCTGGTCGACTTGAAGCCGAAGCACCAGTCGCCCTGTTTTGCGGGGTGGCGGCGTTTTCCGGAGCCCCCGGACCGGAAAAGATTATGCTGTAGCGACGATGAGATCTTGGTCGAACTGGCAGAGGCTGAGGTGCAGGATTGATTGACGCTTCAGGACTTCTTGGACTTTGCGGCCGACTGGAAGTCATTGTGCCGGTTGATGAGGGTGGGTTGAGGTCCACTTTCCCAAGGCTGACATTGTTGTTCGAACTCGCAAATCCACTATCCAAACAGCCACTTGAACTGCGTCCCGATAAGTCGTATTCGCCAACTGCTGAGGTGTGGAATTGGGCGGTTGCTGTAGGCCTCCAGCTGGTGGGAGGATAATGGCTTTTCAAAGACGGAAATTTAGAATCTCCGCCTTCAAAGGTATTTGAATATTTCTTTATACCTGACTGCCAAGTACTTTGCTCGACATCTTTTGTATCCTGACCCAAACCACCAATCGTGATCCGACGTCGAAGGCGAGGAGGCCTTCCGGACTCATCTCGAGAGAAGGTTCTAATCTGGCCAAGAACTTCTGATTGCATCCTTGGACTTGAAATTGGCCTTTGGGTGATGGTTCTACTCAAAGAGTCCAAACTTCGAGGTTCTGTCCTTGGAAAGTTGGGATTCTGTTCATCTGTGGGGACGAATACGACTTCATCGAGGACCTCAGGGGCCATCTTATATATGCACTCACATATAATTCTTGGGGAGAAATATTTTGTCGAAGACACCGTTTCAGGAGACACCAGTCGAGCTGTCTTGACCCTTGCGAGAACAAAGGATTGTCTGTGCGTGTATTTAGAACCGCCATTTTAGCTTCGTTTTTGTGCTCGAGAGCTAGATTGAACGACTACTGTCTTTGTGTTGTAATTCATTGTTTTATCAGAAAGAGAGGGCACTTTGCTTGGAGCGTCGCAGGGGAAGGTCGAGCAGCTGAGGTTGTTGGAATGCGACACGAGGGTGGAGAAGGATGCATTGTTGGGGAGCACAACATTCCGAAACCTAAACTCGGCAAAGTCCATCTGCAGGTTTGGGTTTTGGGCGACCAGACATGTCATCACGTGTTAAACTCCACCAGGCTGTCGGCTTTGGCTGCGTTCAACAGGGCTCTGAGAAGATGGACGTCTGAAGGGGCATTCGTTCGCGAAGAGCCTGGGAGATCTGCAGTGGCCGGATCAAGTAACGAAAATCTCCGGGAACCGAAATTGCCTTCAGTCCTCCTCAGTACTGCCCGTCAGAATGATCCTGAGATTCATCCTCCAGCGAGCGACTTCATGCTCAAGCGCACTCAATTTTGCGGCAATGCTCAGCAAACTGGGATCGCTCGTCTCGACTCGGACCTTTTCACGCACAATAACATCTTGTCGACCACGCCATTCATAAATTTCGCCCATTTCGTCATGATTTGGAGGCTTGGGACCCAGGCCGAGCAACCTCGACCTCAGGTTGAGCCCAGAGAGAGAAAAAGATCCCTCGGAAGGCGTGCTGGGAGTCCCGCCAGGAGAGGTTGGAGTCAGGGTCCGGACCGTGAGGACGAGATTGGCGTCCTGAATGGTGAAGTGCAAACTAAGATGTTCCCCAAGCGGGGGTTGGAAGACAATTTCATCAGGGCTATTCGTCCACCATTCAACCCCGGGGATAGAAGAGATGTCGGCGCCGGCCACAGGGCCTTTCAAGCAGGCCTTGGCCTCACGCAAGTGATCATGTAGCAGCTTCAACTGACCCGAGATGAAGGAAGAGTCGGTCGACTGACCGGTCCACCGTGAGACGTCAATTATGTCAAGTGAGTCGTTAAGCAGGGACTTGACAGCCAACAGCTGTGCAATGACGATCTCGGCGGATGAGGACGAAGAATGAAATATGTGGCGAGTAGATGGGGTAGAAGTGGTGGTGCCTCTTGGAGTGTTTGGTGGCAGCGTCGTCAGTCGAAGATGGATGTCCTGTATCGTTGTCAGATCAGAGAATCTACGGTCTGTTGGAAGCGGCGTACGCCTTTGACAAGATTGGTGCCGACCCTAGTGACGAAGCCTTTGACACTTTCGGATCGCAGAGATGACAAGACCAGTGTCGACCCCGGTTCTTTGGGAGCCAACAATGCAGCACATTCCTCCAGGGCTTCTTTGAGGGCAGGCAGGGCACGTTGCAGCGACTGAAGCAGCCATTGCAGCTCAAGTTTCTGTCGGCAAGTCAGCGCACGAAGGCGAGGCACATTTGTCACTTGTTCAACCATACCAAGGAGTCGTTCTCGGCTTTTCGAAGCTCGTCGGGAGGTATGGGAGGGTAAACCCAGGTAGACATTGTGAGAACCTTGATGATCGGTGAAGGAGGAATACAGCAAACATGAAGAAGCAGGATGATGATGAGGGATTTAGTTTGTAGAAGCAAGGCTGGTACCAGCCAGGAGGGATGTTTGATATCAGGTGATTGAGAGCCCAAGGGCGTGTCACCAGCATCACCAGCATCACCAGCGTCACCGACTCACCGCGTCACCCACGCTTGATTTTCCAGCTCGCGAGGGTCGGCGATTGGGGAGAATTAGACTTGCACGCTATTGAAGGCCAAGCCTCGGCAACTAACCATGTCAGGACTAGATACGGTCCAAAGGTGGGGCAAGGATGATGACGTGGTGTGTTGTTGTGCAGCAGGGCAAGAGCAGGCCAGGCCTTTGCCCTTCTTGCTCGGAGCTCCGTCACTGCCCAAGAGAACCTGATGGAAAGCTGTTGTACCCAGTACCCAGTACCCCGTACGGAGCTCTTGTGCTCGTACTGGGCACCGAGTAGGTAGCTGAAGCTAAAACCACAGCCCAGCAGAGTTGAAGCTTGGGGCACTATTGGGGAGCAAAGCACCCGGAGCTGCCTCTTGGTGACAGCCAACTACAAGTACAGCCAACTTTCTCCAACAGTGGCTTCCCAATTCTCTCGGTTCTCCCTCCCGCGAAGGATGCTCTACAAGTAGTGGGTGGTCAGTTTCCCTCGGTTGGGTTGGTTGGGTGACCTCATCCAAGACATTGCACCTCATCATCTTGCACACCTTGACGCCTACCGGCCTATTGCACTTCCAGTTGTAGCCAGAACTGCGCATACCTACATCACAAGCTCTCTTCCCACTACGACTTCCCACACCATCTCTAACCTTCCCACCCCCGCGCTGCTGGCCTCTGTCGCTTTTCATTCTTCTCGACCTTTCAACAACGTCGTCAAGTAACTACTTTCTTCCTTCCGGTCCTGTCGCCTTGGCTGAACACTCTGCTGCGAGCTCAAGCAATTGTCCAAGCATTGCGCCACCATGGCGTCCCGTAAGTGAAGACTGATGCCTCTCGTTCGAACTCCTAGATACTGATTGTAGTGCCGCAGGCAACGGCCTCTTCGCTCTGTTATCGCTGATCCTCCTCGCCGGCGGTCTCCTGTTCATGTTCTTCATCCTTCTCGCAGGCGCAGTTCAGCACGGTCCGGTCAACAAATTCTACATCCTACAAGCAGATACGGCGAATATACCAGGAGCTCCACCTGTGTCCAGGTGGTCATATTGGAACGTGTGCGGCGTTCGGAATGGACGCACACACTGCGGCGACCAACACTATTCAGATGTCCACCCGGCATTCCCACTTGATCCTTCATCTCATCGAACCTTTGACACTCAGGTGAATGTGCCTCGAAATTTTGTCGAACACCATGGCTACTACTTCTACATGACTCGGTTCATGTTTGCTTTCATGCTCATCGCTCTCTTCTTCGGCGTTTGCGCCTTGTTCACCGGGTTGCTGGCCCTGTGCACCCGACTGGGCTCCTATCTAAGTGGTCTCTTGACCATGCTGGCCATGATTTTCCAGGCCATTCAAGCATCCCTTATGACGTGAGTTGAGCTATGTTGCAGGCTATGCGGCAGCGTGCTAACGACGGAACAGGGCTGCTTATGTCAAAGGGCGCAACAACTTTCGGAACAACGGTCAACCGTCCGATATTGGCGAGTATGCCTTTGGCTTTGAATGGGCAGCCTTTGCCTGCTTCTTCATTTGCACCCTTCTCTTCTGCATGGGGGGATCGTCACACCGCGAGCCTAGCACTAGCACGCGACGAGGATTCCGGTTCCGAGGACGAAGGAGTAGGAGCACAAGGAGCCGAGGCAGCTTTGTTCACGACAAGGAGTACGGATCATAGAACCAGCAAATCTCCGAGGGGCAGGGACGGTGGTGATCGGAGGATTCTGGTGGAAAATGAGTGAAGAGTCGGTCATTGTACAGACATTTGTTAATCCCAGTCCAGAATGTGCACGGGTTAAGGGATGCGGAGTTTGCGAGGACGAAACAAAAACCACCAGGATGAGAAAAATGCCTTGATGTTGACGACCTTGTCACGAAATTACAACTCAAATGGGTAGTGTCTATCGTAATGTTATCTGACAGTTGCAAACAGGAGCTCCAGTGAAGAACTGAGAATGCAACCTTGTTTTTTTTTGGACTGCCTGGCATCGAAGCTATCTCAACCCGCTTGGATACAGTACCACTCAATTCTCTGTGGAATTTTGTCTATGAAAGCTCGTTGTCATGGTCGTTGTGGTTGTGGTTGGTACGATTCGCACCATTGTGGGCCTGCGAACGGGGATTGACTGGGCCAAAGCCTAAGCGAACCCAATACTTCGTGTATTTCGACACCAGGCAAGGCCAGGACAAAAAAAGTGAGACACCCACTAAAATTGGGCCAAATACACACAATTTGCGATAACGCTGGCTACTTCAATCATTGATATTATTTAGTAAAATTCTCTATATCTATAGATTGTAGCTTAGTATTACAGTATATAGATTTTTGTTTCATTAAGCGGATGTTATAGTGACCGAGCGAGTCTGAAAGCTCTCGGTATCGTGATACAACTAAATTATAGTGAGAGTAGGCACTAAATGCCCGCCTTTCACTGTTCACTCCTTTCGTTCTCAACAACGATAAGGAATCCCTAATTAAAACTTGTAATTTAGCGAGATCTCATACCTGACTCTACGAGACCGGATTTATAAACTGAGGTATAAACTATTAGAGTGGCAGCGTTGTTGTAAAATCTGCGTATTATCGCCTATTTCGTAGGTATCCCACTTATTTTGTCCCGACCCTGACCAGGACACTGCTCCATCAACACCAGCCAACCATACCTTGGCTCAATCGTTGAGAAAGATGGGCGCCCGCAGACGTCCTTCACTGACGCCGAGGGAAAGGGAGTGTTGTACATTGGCGCCACCCTCGGAGTCATGCTTCCAGTTCAAAGCTATTGACTCGAGGATCAAACGCTTGCACACAGGTTAGTGAAAAGGACCTCTGTGGCATTAAGCGAGTGACATCGCACTCACCTCGACGACCACGTGCAGCGTAATATGCGACCTGCCACAATCCCAGAAGGGCCACGAGGGCCATGAAGACCCCGAACACAATGGACACGGTGACGTCTGGAACGAGTGCCATTGTGGGATCCTTGGAGGGTGGCGGTGGACCCAAACAAGGCTGTTTGAAGGTAGGCGTGATGCAAGGCTGAGTCTACTTGTGCTGGGAATACTCCTGATTAACAGGTTATCGACACCGGACAAGACGGTGGGAGAATGGAATGGGGTTGTGAGTCGATGCCCGGTCTCTTCAGTCATTGACTGGAGCGAGTGCTCTCAGTGATGATGGGAGCACGTCTTCAAGCATTAGAGGCCAGGTATATATTCACGCCAACGACTTTTGTTCGAACGACTTTGGACCTCCAGTCCCGTACCGAGCCTGAGCCCCCATATCGCCGCTGGGGCTGTGTATTCATTGAGCAACGGGGGACGCAGCGAGGGGGATGGGTCCCAGCTAAGGGCGTCGTCTGCGCCAATCAATGATAGGCTGGCACGAGAGCTCAGTCTCGGTTGCACTTAGCATAGCCGTCTCGATGGCGCTCAGCATGGTGCTCGACATGGTGCTCAGTCTGGATGGCAGGCTGGATGGCAGTCTGGATGGCAGGCTGGGTGGCAGACTGGATGGCAGACTGGATGGCAGTCCGGATGGCGGTCTGGATGGCGGTCTGGATGGCGCCCAATGGCACTCAGCATGATAGTCTGGGTAACGACGCAGGATGTGGCTCGCAGCTCGAAGTTCCCGACGGTGCCTATCACAGCTTGACAAATCATAAATTCCCCCACAGAACCCGTGACAGCTTGATAAATCATGAACGGTATGTACCTATCCCAGCTTAGTAAGATACAAAAGCTGCAATTGGTGGAGTTGGGTTCTCCTGAAGCTGGACTGGCCCCAAACCCTGGTCTGCTTGCCTAGGTTTTTGCGCCTGAATCTGCCAGTGATACAGGTTGCAACTTTTGGTCGCTCACAAAACTGCCCACAACGAAACGAATAGGTTGGAGCCTACGGCAGCAGGGGGTATCTTTCTTCTTCAGACTCCCCGAGGTCATGTCATCTCAGGTCTTCCCCTGAAACTTTCTGCCTTTGGATCGCCCCCGTTGTCAAGCGAGAAACGGTGCGCTGAATTCCCCCTTCCGCCTTGCTGTAACACACAGCACACGTTGACCCAATGTCCACCACGGCATCAATTTCACGAGCTCCAAGAATCCCAGAAGACGAATGGGATGAGCATCGCTCTGCCATTGAAGGCCTGTATCAGGATCTCGAACTCCAAGATGTGATCCTGCTGATGGAGAGTGACTATGGTTTCCATGCCACAGACAAACAGTACAAGCGGCAGCTCGCCAAACGGGGGATATGGAAAAACTTCACCTCAAAAGAGCCGAATGCGGTCACCAACGGCCCCAGTGGAAATGCCATCGTCCGCGGCGTCCAAGTTCCCAAGGGCAGGATCGAGAGATACGCCCGCAGATAGCGTCGAAAGAAACCACTTGCTATAGGTGACCAGACGTCCAGCCGTCAGACACCGACTATTCCAGAGAGTGCAGAGACACCTCAAGAGATCCGATCTCACCACTCGCCAGCTCCCGCTCAGCCGCACCGATCCAGCTCTCCCAGAGAAGATGGTCAAACCATGAGATCCCTTTGCCTCCTTCGTCGCCCTGAAGCTTGCCAAGCAATGTAAGCGTTCTCAGGAGCTGTGGGGGACCTACATGCTAAATCCTTATTAGACTTTAATTCTACCTCTCCATATTGGTGGAGAAGCGAATATGACGAGAGGGAGTTGCCCAGAGCCGATTTCTTTAAGGCTGTGGATGTAGTTGAGCACGAGGTTGGAGATATGCTGAAGATCAAGTCCCCAGAACAGATTCCGCCGCCCGACACGCTCATAGGCCTACTCTGGTTCAATGTTCCTTTCAAATCAGTACAACCCCAGATCGATCTGGCCAAGACAGACATTGGGTGGATGGATTCTCCTGCTGTACTTCGCTGTCAATTGTTAGAAGCCTTGCCGACAGCAAGAGATCCATATAAGTGTTATATACATAAGGATGTGGCGACCATGACATCTTTTGACTTGAATTCTTACTGTGTTACAGTTTCCAAAGAGTTTGGAGTTTGGGACGACGTGTTTTGAAAATGATACCGATCGAGATGATTATTCACGAGGGGTGACTTGACAACAGTTCAAAACGGCCGTGCGTCAGATGTGTCCGTGAATCGTAATGGCCAGGTGGTCCCTCTAGAGTCTGTCATATCTTCGAGAGAGAAAGGCAGCTGACTTCCATCTTTTTCTAGTGGTAACCGAGAAATTATCGAGCGAGCAAACAGACCCGAAAATGAGCATTCCCTTCGCCAACAGCCTAGGCTGGATGCTCGAAGCGGGTTGATCCAGCTAGTACAGAATTCCTACCGCCATCACGCATGATACGGGGCTCTGTGAATGTTTCAAGACTTTGTTCGCCATTGCAGCTGTCCCAATTCACGGGCTCAATGAGGCCAGAGGGCCAGGATCCTTTTACACCGTCCCGACTCGCTAGGTGGCTAACGATAGCATCATCTGGAGCTCCTATCCGGTCATCCTGCAGGCCAGTGGGCTCCCCTTTCCAGTCAGCCTCATTCCCATGTCACCCATGAGCCGCACGCTTCCTCATCCAAAAGACCATTACGCTCAGTTTCCCTTCCTCAAACTCACATAACAGTCCAAATTCTTCTGCTTGACGAACCAGACATTCTCCATCTCCAGCGGCCTGTTCGGATCAACAAGAGTGAAGTCGAACTTCCTTACTAACTCGGGGATTAAAATGGAGATTTCGAGAAGACTGATGTTCTTGCCGATGCAGGTGCGGGAACCGGCTCCGAACTGTTTACGTAGGATCCCAGATTAATATCAGACCAGAAAGATGATAGTGAGAGCGTCTGATAGTTCGCTGAAGGTCAGCTGAATGATTTACTTACCGTGAGGATATATCGATTCATTTCGGCAGCTCTCTCGGGAGACTCGAGCCACCGCTCGGGTCTGAATTCCTCGGCGTCCGGTCCAAAGATCTTCTTGTTGGCGTGCATGACCCAGCTGTTCACACCGACCTCAGTCTGTCATGCAAATATCAGCGCCTGAGCCTGAAGATAGTCTCTTCCTGGACTTCGGTCTTACCTTCTCTGGGAAATATCTCCCAACGATCTTGGCGCCGCCCTTTGGAACGACGCGAACCATGGGCAGACCAGTTGCTGGATGACAACGTAGCCCCTCTTTGATGACGGCTTGAAGATAGGGCAGTTTCTGTGCTTCTTGAAAGGAGAGAATGTCGCTTGATCCGCGTTCTTCGATCGCCTGGTCGAGTTCGTGTCGCAGCTTCGACGTGTTAGCACTGTTGATGTTTCAGAGGCTCGAAAACAACTTGTCGGCCGGCGTCCAGAAGAGCGTGATCGAAATCTAGAAGATCATCTGAACCAGCGCGAGTTGGTGCTGAACTTACCTTCTCCAACGTGGCAGGTGCCTTCATCAAATGGTACAAAATGCCCGCCAGGCTGACTGACGTGGTATCCGATCCGGCACCAATATTTGTTCCGCACGTCGAAAACACCGATTCCATCGGGAACCTATCTGGCTGCAAAGCGTGCATTCTCAACAGCTTCGTCAAAAAATCGTCCGTTGGCTTGGATTCGTCCTTCTCAAGAACGCTCTTGGATTTCTGCCTCTGGCCTTCAAGGACTTGTTGTCGCATGAACGAGCCCATATAGTGCATCCCGCCATTGGGCAAGAGAGACAAGATCCAGTTGAGGAAGTAGTGCCATTCATGGTACACGCCTACTTTGGAGAGGTAAAGGAGGTACGAGTGCAGGGCGGCGATCATGCTGCCATTGTCTTTGCCAGTGTCAAGGAAGCCGAATCTTTTGCTGAGCTGGGGACTGGTCAGCCTCTCAAGGCAAGATTGCAAGAATCTCGCGTGCTTGACATACTGTGATGAGTGCTATGGTATCAAAAGCATCTGGCCTGTCGTTAGCAAGGATGCCTTCGATCTGGTGATACATGTAGTTGGAACAAAGCCGTTTCAGCACATGTCCGAGTGTTCTTACAGTATTGCAGCCAGACTTGCAGATTGATAGGGACATGGGAATTTGCAAATTCAGTAAGTTTCTGAACAAGGATGTCTGCACACGCTACAGCATTTGGCTCCATGGCGACCAAACTTGTCATGGAATATAACGAGGCGACGTTCCGTCGATTGACAGCATGGGTCTCGGGGTTGAGGTCGGTGAAGAGATCCGGATGCTTGTTCTTCGGGTTGTTGGAAGCGATGTACCATTTGCCCTTGACGAAGTTTGAGCCATGGCCATAGATGGTCTTGATGGCGTCTGCGTCGTCAATGGAATAGTAGTTCGGGGCAATGCGCACGATCGAGCCTGGCAAAGTCAGCTAGAATGTCTACACTGAGGAATTTAGTAGTCTGCTGGGCTAGGGGGTAGTACCATATTTCTTGTGGAGGGCAATGTTCGTCTTCTCAAAATGGCCGCCAGCCACCTGCCCACGTCAGAATCGATGTGCTACACCTAGCGATTCGAAATGCCTACTTCTCTCAAATACCACAGCCGTGTGAACCTAGCCCAAAAGGGTCCTGGCACCGACCTCAGTGGATCTCGAAGGACGATAACCACGTTATAGACGATCCATACGACCAGCAAACCCCCAATCAGAATGATTGGTGAGACGGTGGAAGCGTAAGCGGAGAGCAGGCCCTGTAGTTTTGCCATGGCTCCTTTGGGGGCTTCTTCGCAGCTCGCCTAGGATGAGGCTCGCTGTGAAAGACGCAATACAATGCTCGGAATCAGCGAAAACACCCAAGACGTCACCTCAATATATCAATATATGATGCCTGCAGAAGGTAGAATTCCGTGCAAGTCAACTGCCGACAGCTGCAAGGCTTAAAAGTACGGGAAATACCCCGTAACCCCGGATCTCGGGTTCTGCGATGCTTGGAGATACGTCGATAACCCCACACGATTGAAGGCTCTCCACCAAGTAGTCGAAGGCATTGAAGCCTCAAGAAGCCTTCTCCACATGAAGATGCAGTGTTCCATGTGGGTGCCTTTTCGCTGCTGGCTGGTAGAATCAGCAGGTAGAGAGCCATGTGGGACCCCTTGACCTTAGACTCCCCTTCTCATTCTGCTCCTCTATATTTCAAGCCTAGAAAGAGAAGGGGAAGCCTCCCTCTGGCTGTACTGTCAAGGGACTTGTCCGAGTCATCATTGACATGCGACAAACCAACATGGGTGTCCTCCAGAATCTGTCAGGTGCTCGGGGCTCAATGGAGCTGACCTTTGATTCCACCAGCCTCCTGCGGGCTGTGCTTGTTGGTGTCATTGGCCTGCCTGTGATATTAATCCTCGTTGACTACATCCGAGTCCTTCGGCTCCGCCAGAAGCTGCCTCCAGGACCTTTTCCCCTGCCGCTCTTTGGCAATTTCTTCCAGATCCCCAAAGTCAAGCCGTGGATCGACTTCGAGAAATGGTCGGAATACTACAAGGATCCCATGATCACCATCTGGCAGGGTCACAGACCGACCATCATGTGTAACGACATCTGGACGATATCCGATCTGCTTGACAAGCGAGCAAACATCTACTCTTCTCGACCGCATATGATCGCTATGGGCGACATGATCAATGCTACAGATAGTAACCAAGTGTGCCTTGTGTATGGGGACAAATGGCGCCTTCATCGGCGCCTTATGGTATGTCAGATCTATCCTTCCCAAAACCTGCAACTCATTTCGATCAGCATTCAGCAACCGGTTCACAAGCCATAAGGCCGTGGCGGGTGATTCAAGCCAATGAGTCCAAGGTTCTGGTACGCGATCTGCTGGACAGACCAGATGACTTTGTTATGAGTGTCGAGAGGTACTCCTGTTCCATCGTCTCCATTATTGGTTGGGGTCGCCGAATCGACAAGATCAACGACTACGTTGCTCAAATGGCACTCAAGTCCATGGAGGGAGTCGACCTCATTATACCGGGCCTTTTCATTGTCGAGTCGATACCATTCCTAGCCAAACTGCCAAAATGGCTTGATTGGATCTACCCAATGCCGGGCAAGATGAAAAACTTCGCAAAGCATATGCAAAGGCAATTCTGGAACTCCTGTCGTGGTGGACCTAGACTAATGGTGACTCGCAGATACTTCGTTGCATTATCAAAAGAGGGCGCCCAGGCCCCTGAAGACAACTTCGCGAAACGCCTTTTCAAGGAGCAAGAGCAGAGTCACATTGCCGACGAAGAAATATCTAGCCTCACTTCCAACCTCATTGGAGGCGGAGTCGACACCACGAGCGGGACCATAATCTCATTCATCCTGGCAATGTGTGTCTTCCCAGACAAGCTGAAGAAAGCTCAAGAAGAGCTGGATCAAGTGGTAGGTCAGGATAGAGTCCCGGACTGGAGCGATGAGCCGTCACTACCGTACGTCAAAGCCGTCGTCAATGAGACCCTCAGGTGGAGGACGGTCACCATTCTTGGTGGTATTCCCCACGCGCCTATCCAAGACGACGAGTACCGAGGGTACTTGATCCCCAAAGGCACGCCGATTACTGGCAACGTCTGGGCTATCCATAGACATCCAAGAGAATTCCCAGAACCTGATAATTTCCGCCCGGAGCGCTACCTCGGAGGACTAGAGCGCCCTTACCCCAACAAGCAGGGACATAATGCTTTTGGATGGGGCCGTCGTCAGTGCAGCGGACAGCCCTTGGCTGAACAGGGCCTATTCTTGACAATAGCGACCCTTCTTTGGGCGTTCGACTTCAAACCCGGGCTGGATGAAAATGTAAGTGGCTTGTATTTCCTCCCGTATCCTGGAATAATCTTTCTCACACTTTTTTTCTTTTTTTTTTTCAGGGAAAGGAGGTTAAGCTGAACATCTTCGCTTACACCAAGAGCGAGAATATGCGGCCGGAACCCTTCAAGGCCCGCTTCATCCCTCGGTCAAAGGGGGTTGAGAACATAATCCGTCAAGAGGCCACAAGGGCAAGGAAGGAGCTCTGTGCATATGATGGCGAAACCAGGTTGACTATGGAGAATGTTTCCTAGCTACACTGTTTTGACTCTATCTGGAAGATTTTCAAAATCACACGCTCTATACTAGATATTTAGTCAGCGGGGCTATAACTTGGCATCTCGCTTTAGACTAAGGAGCTTGGAGGCAGGATCTATATGAATTGACCTCTTGACCTCTGGGACCCACTCCTCGAGGACCTCTTCGCTCCCAGCGCCTTTCTTCAACTCTGGATAAGACTCTTGCACCTCGACGTCGAGACCGGGAGAATCCGACAGCTCGACCAGAGGTCGGAAGGGCACCTCTGTCTCGTCCATGTTCAGCACCGGCGTCACACAGGCGTCGACACAATCGAATATCTCCCGCCACTGATCCATCGTCTTCTGCTTGAACCGTCGCGCAATGAGCTCCTTCATCCTCGGCCACTCCGCCCTGTCCCACTGCTCCGGCAACCCCTGATCTTGCAGTTCCAGACCGGCGAGGAAATTGTGGTAGAATTGCGGCTCTTGGGCGCCCACCGCGACGAATCGGTCGTCCTTGGTTCGGTAGACCTCGTAGAAGGGTGCCGCGCCGTCCAGCAGATTCTCGCCCCGGGGCCGGTCGTTGTTCTGGTGTCCCTGTTGCTGCCGCATGAACGTGGCCAAGTATGCGCTCCCGTCGACCATGTTGGCCGTGACGATCTGGCCTCGTCCGGACGCTTGTCGGTGCAGCAGAGCCATCAGGATCCCCGTAACGCACACGAGGCCGCCGCCCGCGAAGTCGCCCAAGATGTTCGCGGGCGGTGCCGGATTTTCGTCCTTGCGCCCCAGCAACGACAGGATTCCCGCCACTGCGAGGTAATTGATGTCGTGTCCGGCGCGCTTTCCGTAGATTCCATCCGGCCGGAACCCGTACAGGTGCGCATAGATCAGTCGCGGGTTCAGCTTGCAGAGTGTCTCGGGCCCGATGCCGAGACGGGCCATGACGCCCGGGCGGTAGGGATCGATGAGGACATCGGCGACCTTGACCAGCTCCAGGAACGCCAGACGCGACTTTGCCTGCTTGAAGTCGACAACCACGGATCGTTTTCGCCGGCACAGCGTGTCTCGCGGTGGGCCGAAGACGTCAAAGGTCCGATCGACGCGGACGACGTCTGCGCCATAGTCTGCCAGGATGAGTCTGCGTTGTTTTGTCAGGGTGCTCTTGTGTGTGTGAAGTGAATACGGGTGAGGACTTAGCTAACCCTGCGAAAGGACTTGGGGCCAGTCCGCCAAGTTCTAGGACTATGTCGTAGTGGTCCCGTCAGAGTGACCATGTCCATAATTTTGCGGCAGAAGATTACGATATCTCACCTTTCAGTCCATTCAAAGGAGTGTCCGACGACGACATATTCTGCATTCCTCCCGCTCTTCAAACAGTTTGACATCAGTATAATCCTCCCCAGCCAAGCTTCGTCTGTGAACCTCGTGGCTGTCGAAAGAGAGTAGAACTGTGTAGAGCCCGACCCAGGTCTTGAAATGTCTACAAATGACGTGCCCAGCACGGAAGACAGCCAGAAAAAAAAGATCCAAGGGAGTTGGTCAAGAGACACGAGAGGTGTGTAACTCTGTTTTCTCCGGGGCGAGTCACAAATCTACAAATCCGGCTGTATAACCTGCGATTCGAGGCCTCAGAGTGACATTGATCATCCTTCAACCGTGCGTTAAGAAATCGATTAACGGAATCTGTGGCACGAGAAGCATGACCCCTTAAGCCCCCCAAATGGCGAGGCTGGCATGTCGAATTCGGCCTAGTTAGCTCCACATTTCTTACTCCACATTTCCCCGATATCTCGTGGAGCCTTGGAGCTTCTGGGGTACAACGAGGCGCCCATTGTCCAGGTAGATTTCAACGACAAGCCCAATGAACGACCACCTTGGAAGAGTACATGGCTGGTGGCATTTCCCTCGGCTTGAATTGGCGGAAAGGAGCCGCTTTTCTCATATGAGTGGGAAGCGAGCTTCGGAGTGAGGGTGTCTATCTTAGAGAAGCTCCTCACCCAAGACAGTCGACTCCCTATTGGAACCTATCTCAAAAGGGTGCACGGTCTAGGTCTTCACCCACAATGTTATTCGAATCAGAATACCATGTCGACATCCCTGACACAGACCTACTGACGTTTCTCTTCTCCCGGACACCGTTCAAGGACACCGATCCCATATGGATCAACCCGGCAAATCCAAGCAACCATGTTACGCTCGCCAAAGCCCGCGACTTAACACATCGAATCGGCCAGGGCTATCGAGATCTCGGCATCGGCGCCACCTGGGGAGCCGGCAAGGACATTGTGCTCTCGTACATTGAGAACCAGGTCATGGTTGCTCCCAACAACCTGGGAGTGATATGTGCAGGCGGCATCCACACGACTTGCTCCGTGACTGCGACGGCGTTTGAGCTGGCGAGGCAGATCAGGTTGAGTGGCCCCAAGATCTTGATTTGTTCGCCGCAGACTAGGAAGGCGGCTGAGGAGGCCATCGATCGGTCCGGGGTCGACGGCATTCAGCTGGTGATGATGGTTTCTGAGAAGTTGGACATTGTGGATGTGAGTGGCAAGTCGATTATCAGTGATCGGAGACTGGCATGGCAGAGAGTCACGGACCCGGTTATTCTTGAAAGGACGCCTGCTTGTCTAGTCTATTCCAGCGGCACGACCGGCAACCCAAAAGGTGAGTCGACGACAAACTATTGCTCTCTGAACAATGGCTGGTTTGATTTTAACATCCACGAAACCCAGGCGTCGTGATCACACACTCCAATATCGTCGCAAACCTCTGTCAAATGGCCTTTCACTTCGACCACTGCGCTCGAAAAGCAATCTCAGACGGCATCTATCTGCGCATGCCGGGCGTCATGCAAAACGCCGTTGCCGTGGGCATCTTCGTTCAAAATATGATGTGCCTACAATGTGGCATGCAGGTGTACATGTTCCCCAAGTACGACTTCCCCACTCTGATGTCGAGCATCAAAAAGTTTCAGTTATCCGCTTGCTTCATTGTCCCCGCAATTTGGAACCGGGTGGTGCAAGAGTGCACGAGAGAGGATTTGGCATCAATCAGATTTGCCATGAGTGGTGCTTCGCCGCTGCCGTTGCCGTTACAGTTGAAGGTCCACGATATGTTGCCTGATGGTGTGGTGTTGCGGGTCAATTGGGGAATGACGGAGACGGTCACGGCGGCGTCCCAACCGAACGTCACGGAGGTCGATAGAGAAGGAAGCTCGGGGAGGCTATTACCAAATATCCAAGCCATTATTATCAGTCCTGAGGGGAAGAAGTTGGGCTATAAAGAGCCCGGAGAATTGTGCATCAAAGGTAAGCAAACCACAGGCGCTTCCATCATACTATTCATATCGACATGTCTCATTGACGGGGCCCAGGACCAAACATAATCAAGGAATATTTCAACAATCCCGAAGCCACGCGCGCTGCATATACGAGTGATGGCTGGTTTCACACAGGGGACATTGCGTATTTCAATGCGGACGGCAAGTTATTCATAGTCGGTCGCTCAAAGGAACTGCTCAAGTACAAGTCCTTCCAAGTGAGTCCGACTGAAGTCGAGTCTATCTTGGGCCAGTTACCCGGGATTTCAGACATCGGCGTCATTGGAGTGCCCGATGGAGAGGGCAATGACCTTCCCCGAGCATACATCGTCAGGTCTCAGAAAGGAAAGACCGCAGCGCTGTCGGAGAAGGATGTCCATGACTTTTTGAACCCGAGGGTGAGTAACTACAAGAGACTGAGAGGAGGAGTACGGTTTGTGGAAGAGATACCGAGGAACCTGAACCAGAAGATCATGAGGAATGTGCTGAAGGAGTGGGTGGAGAAGGAAGTGGGGGAGCGGTCGAATTTCCGGGCTCGATTGTAGTCTATAGACAGATAGACTGATAGAAGCCTTTGAACCGGGAAATGAGGAACAACCTCACGACAATCTCGGCTAAGTTCCCCAGCGTGGCTTAGACTTGCCGTAGAAGTTGTGGATGGGTTATCAAACCACCAAAAACCGACTATCTCTGTCGAGCAAATGAAGTCTGTCGAAAGAGTATTCGCCGTATTGCGTCAATACCTCAGATTTCATTTTCAACCAAGCTCATCACATCCTTCAGCCTTGCCTAAAAGCCGCTCTTAAGTCCATTGAACAAGCATCAGCCCTACTAGCTACCATGGATTTCCCGCCTGGTTCAATACTCACCAATATGTCAGTCTTCTGCCCCGTCGACACCAGCGCCTACGACAATATCGAGGATGCCACGCTGTGGACGCGCATCACGACTCGTCATACGCACCAAGAGATGGTCGTGGCGTTGAACACGGCCCCGGCGGTTAAGCAGACCTTCTGCCTTACTCACCTCAACGTCATTCTGGTCTTTACTGTGGGCGATGAGGACACTCATACCCAACACGTCCGCACGGTCCTACAGATGTGCCAAGACAACAATATGAAGGCCAATCTCCAGGCTTGTGTCTTCAACGCACCAGACGCGGAAAAGGCCGGGTTCAGGTTCGAGAAGGTTGGCTCGGGAGACAACAGAGCGCTCATAGTAGTTGATCTTGGTGTTCCACCTCGTCAGAGGAGGACTTAGAGGAAGTGGGGATATGGGTCATACGTGGTGCGCAGCGATGGACTACCCGTATAAAGTACTTCCACAGGCAATGGCTCCGCCATCGGAGCGTTTGATGTGAGGCTCCCCCACATCGTGCCCAGCGAGGCTGCACTAGACTATTTTGGGAATTTGGAGAAAGGGAGAGGTTCGACGGGAGAGGGGTGGGAGAACCCCCCCGGCATTTCTTCTATCCCCACAAGACGCCTACCTAGAGTTGGTCCTGCTTCGAGCAGGAGTATTAAACCCTCCGATGGGGATGCATGCATGCATCTTGAACGGAAACATGTGGGGTTCATCCTCATTCGTCAACCGAAAATGGAAGAAAGCCAACGACAGTTGCAAGGGCGCCTCATGTCTTGGATGACATCCATATCCCTCCCCTTTGAAGGAGACCCGAAAACTAAGGGCTGATTCTTTACGAGTCGAATATCCTGTAATCGATCGCTCGTAGTCCTGTCTTTCCGTGGATTAAGAAGGTATGGACCCAACCAAGTTCGGAGTCTCTTCGATTCCCTTGAACCACGCTCCCTACGGGCCCATCACGGACGACAAACTCAAAGGCTTGAACCAGGGGAAGGTCGCCCTCGTCACAGGCGGAGCGAGAGGTAGGAGACAGACCTTGCACGAAAATCCAAGGACTCTAGAAAGGCAGTTTCCGCTACTCAGAGGAGGCGGGTCTTGCTAACAATGTGTGCAATCACTATTCAGGGATCGGACGGGCAATATCAGGGAAACTGGCCTTATCTGGCGCCAATATCGCGATATTAGACCTCCTGGAACACGAACTTGCAGAAAGCAAAGTCCTGGGCGAGTCGTTTGGGGTCAAAGTCAAGACTTATGTGGTTGATGTTACCGACGTGGACGGCTTGAGGGCCGTGTTGAAGCGGGTGGAGGAGGACCTGGGACCGATTGAGTGAGTGAGTTTCGCGTCCCCCCCCCAGGCGTTTTAGTCTGGGGCTCCGATTATGGATCGTTTCTACGCGGCGCGAGATACAGGGCTGCTGACAGCGTTGAACCCGTAACGCACAGTATCCTGGTGAACAACGCCGGAGTATCTCCCGGAAAACCACAGTGGATGGAAAGCTTTGAGGATTTCTGGAGGACGATCGAGATCAATTTCAAGAGCGTAGGTTCTTACTTTTCACGCACATCACGCAGATCAGATCACCCATTCCCTGGCACGAAAAGCCGTGTTCCGGACAACCTCAAGGCAAAACTGACGCCGACACAATCCATTCCATAGGCAATGGTCACTACCTGGGCTCTGCTCCCCAAACTACGCGAAAGGAAATCCGGAGTCATTATCAACATCGCCTCTCGCGCCGCAACTGTTGACTTCCCCTTTGCCGTCGGCTACAATTCTTCAAAGGCCGCCGTGGCCCGCGCGACCTCGACTTTGCAGGAAGAAATCGAACTGGACGGATTGGGCGACGGGATTCAGATGTATGCGCTGCATCCCGGGGGCGTGCCTACCGCCATGTCGAAATGTAGGTCCTCTCCCTGCTCAAGCCTCCCTTCCTTTTCCATACAATGCGGCGGGAGAGAAGCGCAAACAAGACCAATTCTAGGGGTTTTGAATCGGAGAGTATGCTGATCGAATACGTCCTCCAAAAATAGCCGAAGTTCGCATGGACCTCCTCGAGAAGTACCCGTCTCTCACACAGCACGGGACGGACTTCCAGGCCCTCTTCAAGGATCCACCGGAACTGTGCGGCGCGACGTGCGCGTATCTGGCGGCCGGGAAAGCAAAGGAACTGAGAGGCCTGTACTGGGACTGTAGGCAGGATATTGAGCGAGTAGTCAGGTATGGAAGGGAGAGGCTGATGAAAGAGGGCAAGTACGTGCTCAAGATTGATTTTGTCGAGGGTTACAAAAATGAGCCGTAACAAATGTGAACGCAAACTGGCGGTTAAACAGCAAGTTGGGAAGATGAGAGAAACATTTAGACATACGAAGGAAGAGTACCTCAACATATCATTTGAGCAATTTCCTCGGGCGTTCAAAGCTGTTCGTTCCGTCCAATTGCCGCGCAACTTGGGATATCAATAAGTCGTCAGGAAACTCGCCTCCATTTCGCCACTGGGTCGCATATTCCTTCCTATCTTCACATACCCCCTTCAGCGCCAGCATGGTCGGTTTCCAGGTGTAACCACTTCAGTGCATTATGCTTGTGCCAGAAATATCGGTATCTCTTCCCGAAGATGTACATCGGCACCCCAAGCAGGCATAAGAACCCAGTAATCCCTGCCATGGTCCCTGCCATCTCGACAGGCCCATGTTTTATGTACCAGTCGATGACATAGTTTGTAAGCCTGCCTATCTGTCAGTTTACAGGATATCACTGGCAGGGGAAGAAATAAGTCACTGACCCATAGAAGAAGAAGTTTTTGAATACCCTACGAATTGTCTGTTAGCTAGTCCCGGGTAGTCGACGTTTCACGTAACAGAAGGAGTTGCCAAAAGACGAGGGGCGCTCACATGTTCATAATAAACACTTCGGTGCTGTTTTGTCGATAAGCGTCGAGAGCCCACTGTGTCGCAAAGCTAGCAATTATCGTCATTCCAAACAGAATGACTCCCCAAATGAAGCAGATCAAGTAGATATTCTCAAAGTTCTTGACAGCGTAGGCCCAGCCAACCAGGCCGGCAACCGAGCATATCCCACCAAGGGTGACAGGGAGGAGCGCAAATTCCGGCTCATAGACGCCGTTGTTTCGACGCGACATCGTTTTGACGAGTGGCTCCGAGACCACAAATGAAAAGACTGCACCCAATAGCCCGCCGATGAACGGCCCTGCTGACATGTATCCCACAGAGGCGGAGGACATGAGGTAGGGAGGCGAGGCGAAGATGACACCTGAGAGAATTGCCACAGCCACATACCAAGCAATAATGACTCCTGTCATCAAGACCTGATAGAGCGCTCCTAAGTTGAGGAGGATTGCAACAGAGGCAATGGCCATTTTGATGACGGAATCTTCCACAAAGGTACCGTTATAGAGGGCGAGTTCTTGCATAAAGGTTTTTGGTGGGGATATCGATTCCACCGACGTATGGGTGGTATTGGTCATTGTTTTCTCCAAGTCAGTGTTTGCACCGGTCGTGGTTGCACCGACAGGTCGCTCCAAGTGATGTGCAGCTCGCGACTCAACGCTTGCAAGCTTTTCCAGGTTTTCCTCGGAGCCGGCCGTGTCGATTTCGTATATGGCTTTGCGTCGATACATTGTTTCGGGACAGTAAAAGATTACTAGGACCGTTTGGAGCGCTGCAAACGGTATGTAGATATGGAAGTTATAGTGCCAGCCAAGATGATCGGTGATGACGCCGGCAATAATGGAGATTCCGTTGGATATGGCAGCCAAAAGGAATATGATAACAGCAACCCGTGGCCCTCTCTCATGGACGAAAAACATGTCGCCTATGGACGCCACAGCGAGAGATTCGTACGCAGCGATGCCTATACCTTGAAGAACCCGACCTGACAGGAGCGTGTTGTAGCCGGACGCTACTTCGGAGACGATGATTCCGATTGTGCCGATCAAAGATGAGAATACGTACATGGGTCGTTTGCCGTATTTTCGACCCAAAGCAGACGCGAACGGACCCATGGCCCCGGTCGCGAGGAGAGAATAGCCAGAAAGTTTGGCGATATCAGTTGGGGAGCGATTGAGATCCAGGGAGATTTGAATGATACCAGCATTGAGAATTGGTCCCTGCGCAGCTTGTCAGTCAGAGCCACATGTTTATGCTCCTAGAGATCGCCTACCGGAACCACGCCGTGGACGATTACGCCAAAGAAAATGATCGCCAGCACAATATGCTTCTTGAGAGACGACCAGTTCAATGGATCGTTCGGGTCCTCAGAAGGCTGTGGTGCCAAAACAATATGGGCATTCTTCCCTGTTCCATGTTTCAAACGACCCGTCTGATGCTCGGAATGGGCAGCTCGCTGGTCCAGAAGGACAGTTCCTGGAACGTGCGCAGTGGTATTCGCCTCCAACACGCCGAACCCCATCGTTGCTTTATGTCGTTTGCACTGATTTGAGGGGGATGGTGTTGCAGATTCGACCACAAGAAGCTCGTCGACATGCTTCGAACCTCAACCCAAGCTCCCGGACTGGACTGTATATCAAGGATTCGGGGCAGAGTGGAGAGCCTTGTCGAAAATCCGGGGGGACCCAATTCTCAAAACCTGGGGAATATCCCTACCCCACCTTTCCTCATTGGAGCAATCCATTGTCTGTTCGTGGCTAGACGGTATAATGACCCGTTCTCGTCGGCAGCCCAAGCCCAACTCGAGAAACCTGGAGTCTACCATGATCTGGCCCCTGTGTTGGAGACAGGAGCCTCGAAGCGAACAGGTCCTGTGTGATTGCATTGGCCGAGTGGTATGAATAGACCGGGCGTCGTCCAGGGCTAGAGTGACCATGCACTTGGCGTTTCTCGTGGCCAGAAACGATAGGCAACGGCAGCTTCCAAGAGTGGCAGCCTGAAAGTCCTCCTGGCCACATGATACGAGAGATGAGTTGGAGCAAGCTTAATCACCCCCCCCCCTTCCCCCCCGGGGCGAAAACGAGTCCAGGCTCTGTAGGTCGGGGAAGAGTCTCGCAGCCTTGCGTTAGGGCCAAAACTTTTGACTTTTCATTGATCAGAGACAGGTAGGAACATACTTTCTCCAACGGTGAGATGACTGATCCAGGGTCCTAATGGTGTACTTGAGAAGAGGCTCGTCTTGGGCGAGACGGGATTTTCATCCGATCGAAGGCGCTGGAGACGCTCGGGGGCAGAAGGGGATAGATTGATAGGGGGCTGGTATGCAGAAGCTGTCTGGAGACTCGGATGGAGAATGGTTCGAAAGTTTAAGCGCATCTTTGCATCTCTCTAATAGATGCCCGGAATGATCCTCCACCTAACGCGTTTGCAATAGCGCTCCCAGTCTTTTCCATACTTCTTCCGACACTTCTCTTCATCCCTCATTTCTCTATGCACAAGCAGCACGCCAAAATATATAACATAGAAGTATGTAAAAATCATGCCCCAGCCGCGTGCGTCTCCTTGTACCACCTCTCTGGTCACACTGCCGGTGACAGGATTCTGATACTGGTTGATGATGTATCCTGCAACTCCTGTCGGGAGAGAATAGCTCCAGGACATGATCCAATCACCCAAATAGTTGATATGTCGCGCACGACCCCACCAACCAGAGACTAGAAGCTTGGAGCCGAACTCGGTTGTCATGGCTTCAAGGTGGGAGACACGGGGGTCGTTGGGGTTTGTACGGAATCGGTTCTTCTCATTGTTTGCCCCCCGAAAGATGTAGTATCCCAGACCTTGAACGCCCAGAACGCCAGCAATGCCGCCAATTCCAAGGGTCAACGGATAGACTGCGAGATAGCGTGCTTGTAGGCTGTAAAGGAATGGGACCCAGGTCAGGTCGCCGAAAGCGAGCATGTAGCCGAAACCGTCGGTTGTCACGTCCATGGTAGTCAGAATGGCTGACTCCATGTAAAGAGCGTCCATGACATATAGCGATTGAAAAAGGGTGATGAGAATGATCGAATCGCTGACGAATCCATGTACTTTGTATTGATGCACAATGAATGCAAGGTCGAGAATGATCCAGCCGAGCAAACCTGGTCTCATCTCGTTGAAGACTTTGATGTCAATCACTTGACCGCCAGCTATGGGGATCCAACGCGGAACGGTGACGCGTGGGTTCAGCTCACGACCGATGAAGAAGTCATATAGCATGTTCCCCGTGTGCCCTCCTTTGGCCAGCTCCCTGTTCTGCGGGTTTGGTTGACCGGGCCTGGGGACGCTGAACGACGCCAGATAGACATAGATGGCTTGAGCACAGGAGACGAGGAGGTTGGCAGTAGCGACTTGGGGCAGATTGTCCCAGATGAAATCCCAGACCACAAAGCTGGTACCTTGAACTGCGGTGCCAATGCCCAGTCCGGCAAGCATGAGGACCGCGGAGTTGAAGGCGTTGAACTTGTAATGGTGTCTTCCACCCGTGCCCAGTTTTGTGCCATCAACCTCTTCGCCTGGCAGAAACAACTGCAGAGCCACGCTGAGGGCATAATATGCCAGCACCCACAGAATGACGGTCAGATCGAACAACCCTAGGAGCCCATTCTCCGGCCAGGGTGTCTGTCTCTTCAATTTCTCCAGGGTCAAGGTTCTCGGATCCAGCAAGGCAGGTGCAGGGCAGCCAGAGACGTCGTTACAGAGGAAGATGGTGGCATAGATGAGGATCGGAAGGCCGAAGACTATCCCAGCAGCCCCCAGACTGCAGAAGCATCAATACAGGGCATTCCGAAACGGTCATGGGATTGGAGCAACTCACGGTCCTCCGAATTCATAGCCATGCTTTTCCTCTGGTGCTGTTTCCGTCTTTAATTTGACCGTCATTGTGGACAGGTTTGCAACGGCATTCGCTGCACAGACACAAGCAGACCCGGTAGAAGGGGAGTGAAACAAGACAGAAGGAAGTTCAGAGAACGTAGAGAGGGAGAAGAGAAATCAAACGAGGGACATGTTTTACATACGACATTGAATTGACACGAGAGATGGAGCAGGAGAGAAAAAAAAGTGACAGGGCCGGGATGTCCACCAGCCGAATGAGATCATGACTGGCAAGCTGGGCGCAGTCATCGCGCTGCGTGTTCGTTACGTGTTGCGTGGTCGCGCCTCGGAAATGCTCCTTCGGCAGATTGAACCTTGCCCGACCTTCTTCACCATGATACGGAGAGAGTCAAATGGTAAGAGTATTAAGAATATTTCGAATGGACCGAGTAAAGAAGCATGTCTCTGGGGGGCCTGCCGCATGAGCGAAATGTTTTGCGAGATGTGCCAGTCATTCCCGATGGCGTTGGGTTCTTTATAGGCGACTCAACTCGACGAGTCTGTGGCCTCTGCCCAACCCCGTGGGATCCGCAGGAACACGCACTGCACGCTTCTCCCTGGCACCTCCCTCCTCCTTCCATTGCTCCTGCAACTCCTGCATCTCCTACTCGATACCGAGTACATCCACACGTAATCTTACAGGCCGCCCGCCGTGCAGCTGAGGCTTTTGTTTGTTGCGACTGCCCCCTACGACTTCCCCCTTTTCGATCATTCTTCATCTCAACACAGAACCAACGTAACCCACTGGTTGTGCCGAAGTATCGTGTGCAGCATTCACTTGCATTGCGCCGGCCTGGTGACGACTTCCAATTCGCCATCTTGGTCCATTTCTTCCAGATCATCCAGAGCAACTCTCGATAGACCTTTGCCCTTCCAATCTCCTATACCATTGATCAGCCATGTACCTCTCAACGTCTTTCCTCCTCCTCCTCCTGTCATCGTTACCCTCAAGTCTCGCCGCGACCGAATCGATCCCCCCACCGAAGCCATGTACCATCTACTCCCCTTCAACCGGCTCATTCTTCGACCTTCGCCCTCTACAATTGACCCTCGAGGGCACGAAGTACCAAGTCGCCAGTAACGAGTCGTACCACTCCAAAGGGTTTGACTATCCCGCAAACTTCACCATGAATTTCTGCGGCCCAGTTGTCGAGAAGTTGGAAGATGTCGAGGGAATTCCTCCCGGCAAACTGAGAAACATCTCGGCCTACTACAAGGACTCCCGCGGGGACATTTACAGCATTGGCCAACAAAACGACCAGCCTCTCTTTCGGGGCAAGAAGCTCGTCCTCAATTACACCATGGGCTCGCCCTGTCCCGACCTCGACGAGGATGGTCACCCGATCGACTTGGATCTCGTTGCAAACAAAGCCAACAAGAGACGGAAATCGACCCTCCTGTCCTTCATCTGCGACACATCCCCCCTTCTCTCCACCCGTCCTGCTGTCGCCTTCCTTGGTTCTCCCGACCACTGTACCTACGTCTTTGAAGTCCGCTCTCGCTATGCGTGCGGTGGCACGACGCAGTCCGGAGAAAAGGGAACACTGGGACCCGGTGCAGTCTTTGGTCTGATCGCGGGTATTGCTCTACTGGTCTATCTCATTGGGGGTATCGTCTATCAGCGAAATGTGCTGCATCAGAGAGGTTGGAGGCAATTGCCAAACTATGCAATGTGGGCGAGTATCTTTGGCTTCTTCTCGGTATGTGTTTCCCCCTTCTTTCCTCTCTGCTTGTCCCCTCGGTTGTGTCATGTTCCCTTACACACTGTGCAATCTACAGAGGCCCTTCTTCTGTGGGCCACGTCGAAAGCGTTATGCGTCTGTTACAAGAGATCACGATTGGAAGTCGGACCTGCCTTGACCACCCACGGCTAACCTCATTTTTCCGTCCGTGTATATAGGATATGGTTGTTATCCTGTTCTCCCCATGCACCCAAAGAATGCCTGGAGGACTCACCCAGCTATTCGCCGGTCGACGAGGCTACCATCGCGTGGGCGTCGATGAACGGGGACACGGACGAGGGCGCACCCCGGACGACGAAAATAGGTTGATTGACCAGCTCGACGAAGAGTGGGAAGATTGAGCACGTCCGCAAAAGTAAACTGTGTTATTGCACTTCCCCAAAACATCAGACTTGCTGTGCTCCCGTGCCTGTGAGACTGGCAGTAAACAAATACTGCCGGGACTCCCGGTTGCGCAAAGATCAATGCCCACGCGAAGCGAATCGAACTTTTACCCTGCAACCAAGGAACAGTCCCGGTCGAGTCGCTCCATATAATCATCACAGTTAGGGTCAATCTTTCTCGGTTTGCTTGGTCGACCCGGGAGACTGTCCACTTCATGTGTTGCCCGAATTTTGCTCTGCACCAAATTGTCCGCCAACATCACTTCCTCCTTGACCAAGATCACTCAAATCCATCCCATCCAACGCGGTATTTCCAAATTCCTCCATCCCGCTGGCTCCGAAATTCGGTGGTTCAATATTAAACGGCAACAACCATGCCGAGGAACTCGTGTCCATCCCCCCTGTCCCTCCTCCTGCGAAAGGATCGTTAAATCCATACGTCGTGAGATCGAGTTGATCCCAAGGATTGGTACTCCCATAGTTTCCCACCGAAGGCGAGTTGAGATTGTTGAGTCCCGAGGACGTGTTTTGGTTGCCGCTATTATTGCCCGTGCCGGCAGGGTCCATGCCGGCGTATGCGGCGCCAAAGACCATCTGTCTATCGATGGCCGGCAAGGTGGATATGAAATGGAGGTTGTTGTAGTGTGGCGATGTCGGTGAGCCACCGTAGGTGTAAGGGTCCGGGAATTGGGCGTTCTGGTACAGCGATGGAGATGTTATGTCGAAGCTCGAAAGATCGAAAGGTTGATTGAGATTAAGGCTCAGGCTGAGATCGGCACTTGTGGTTGGGAGACGCTGTCCAGGCAGTTGTTGGGACGTCGATTGCCGTCTTTGCGAATCCTTCCCAGCACCGCTTCCAGCTCCAGCTCCAGCTCCAGCTCCAGCGGCAGCAGCCGCGGCAGAACTTGATGATGTGTTGCCCTTCCCCTTTTCCCCCTTCTCTTCTTTATCCATCTTCTTGTTCTCTGCCACACTTTTTCCCCTTCTCCTTGGAATCTTCTTGCCTCGTCCAGCCAAGCCACTACCGTCATCAGCTTTAGAGGGCGGACTCAGACTCGCGAAAAACTCTTCGACCGACTGTAAATCACTTCTCTGAGACATGACTGCCTCCGCGCCGCCCTGGGCGTGTTCGCTACGGTACTCCAGATGCGACTTTTCCCATTCACTTTCAGAGACACCGTGAGGGTACTTATCGAACCAGTCGCCGTATTGAAACATCGTTTTAGATTTGTCTTGTTCCGATTTCGGTTTGTTAGGGTCAGCAGGGGTGTCAGAGCGGGAAGGCGGGTTCGTGTTGGCTGTGAGTGCCGCGGTCGCATCCAACTCCATCGGCGTGTGCGTCCCGCTCCCTCCTGTGGCGGAGGAATGTCTGCGCAAGAGGGTCACACCAGAACCAGGAATTCCATTCGATCCTGGTCGAGCCTGGGCGTGACGAAGTGTGGCGTCGGCGAAAGCGCGATAAATATCCTTCACCGACTCGGCCATGTAATGAAACATGCCCCAATACCGTTTCATCCTGGTGAGGTATTTGTAGTTATGCCTTAAATTCTCCTTGCTCTGTTGCTCGAGCGCGGAGTTCTTGGAGAATATCCCCCAAACATGCACTGTTGCGGCAGCATATGCACAGTACCCTGCAAAGGGAACGGTCAAAGTGTGGCCTGTCGAGTCGGCGATGAGTTTGCTGATGAGCGAAGCGGATTCGAGGACAATGTTGGCCGAAGTTGTGAGGAAAGCTTTGGGCATGCCTTGTTGGGTGTAATAGTGATGATGGGGTCTGTGGCTGGGTTGTGTAGGGATAGCGAAGCGGTGGAGAAAGAGGGAGGTTTGCGCGAGGACGATATGAAGAAAGAGATATTGGTTCGCGAGACGTTCGGAGATGTGTGTAGCGAAGTTTTCTGAGGTGTAGGTTATGTCGTCCGGAAGGGACGATTTCAACTGCGAGATTTGCCGTTGTAAAGTGGCGAATTGTGATAAGGGGTCCCATATAGGATGCGGATCTTTCTCCTTACCCCCTAGATTGAGATACTTGACGATGCGTTTCCAGAGGACCACGGCACGGACGATGTACGCTGCGACCCCCATGTTTGATTTTGCCTCTGCGGCGGCGTCTCCCGCAGTGTTATCGAGCGATGATTTACTGTTGGACATGGGGACGTTGCCGTACAAATCTTCCGTGGGACCGGGCACCTCCATTTGGAAATGCGATTCTTTGATTGGCAGCTGGATTTGGTAGTAGTCTTCGTTGAGGAAGGAGGGACGTTCAGTACCAGACGAGTTGAATGTGTCCATCAGGTAACAAGCCCACATTGTTCGACGGCGGATTTCTCGATCTGTAAAGGAGAGTTCGGGTGGCTTGGGACCTTTCTTGTTCTCGTTTGAATTCGCGATTTGGTTTCGACCGAGGGGGTCGTGGTCGAGTTCGCGGTGCAATTGCAAAGCATACCCCATTCGCATGGCCTGCCCGCCAAACGACCACGACAATCCGCCCTCACAGGTTCCAAAGTAGTGGAGGCCCAACATAAGCATTGCTGTGAGAATGGTGATGTTGGGCTCATAGTGACGCTTCTCCACGATCCGTCTAGCGGGAGTCGCCCACTGTTCTCCACGGAGAAACGCCGGTTCCGTGCTAACTTGCGGATGGGTCGAGAAGCGTGCAGAAATGGCACACACGGCCAAGATAAGGACTGGTGGGATTGTTCCAGCCTTCAATTTACGCATGAAACTGGGCTTATGCAGAAGAAGGTAGGATTGACCATAGACGCAGTCAAAGAAAACTTCGGCGAGATGTTCTTGGATGTGTTGCGGCGGGAGAGACTCGGAGCCTTCGATAAAGAGCTTGTTCTCACCTTCGCGCTGTTTGCGCAGTCCAGCCGTAGGGTCGAGCAAAGTAGATTTCTCTCGAGAATTTCGCCAGTCGTTGAGTTCTTGTGTAAAAGCCTCGTCGGCGGAGCGCTTTTTGGGCTGGTCTTTGTCCTTTTTCGGAGCCTGTCCTGGGAGAGGGGGACGGACTGAACCACGGCCAGTGGCGCCCAAATCTGGGAGTTCGTCCTTTGGGATGACTCGAATCACACGGTCTTCCATCCTTTTCAGTCGCTTGTCCAACATGGCCATGTAGTCCGTCCGAGGCGCCGCTTTTCTGGTCGTGACTTTGTAGACGCAGGGTATCCGAGCACGCAGACAATGTTTGCAAGCCGGCTTCTCGCCCGAACATCTGATCTTCTTTCGGCGACAAGCAATACAGGCGAGCGGCAAGCGTTTCCTCTCTTTGCCTGCTTTCGTCTTTAGCTCGCTCCATGCTGGCGGCTTTCCCTCGTCAGCCGGCTTTTTGTTTTCCTGCTCAGTGGTGCTGGATGGTTTTCTAGGTGACGAGTCTGCATTACTGGGTGGCTGATTGCCGGAGTTGGGCGCCCATTGACTCATTGCGACGGCACCAAAAAGATCATGGTCAAAGGCTGAATCGATGCTGGCCAGACTGGCGCGATGTTGAGGGCTGGGAATTTTGCCTGACACATAACTGACCATGGAGCCTCGACCCGGGAAACCCTGGCTGTGGCTCAAGCGAATGTCTGGCGGAGCATCAATACCACTATTGCTGCTGCCATGAGGACTCCCACCAAAGGGAAAGTTGAAATCAATGGAACCAGGAGATGATGTGTCGAAGACGGATGTGTTGGACTGAGGTTGAGCGAGATTGTCGCCGCGGGGGTTACGTGCATCCGACATGATATAGGCTGAACTCGAGAGTAGGTTGCTTCGCTGTTCGCCTCGAGACTGGCCTAGTTGGTTTGATGATCTCGACATGATGCAAAGGGGGTGGAGGAGAGCCAAACAATGGATGACGGCATGTCCTCAAGTCGAGATGACAGCTTTACACGCACCACATTGTCAGACTGGCGGAAGGCAGAGGAGCCGAGGTTGCAACAATAGCGTGGACCAGGTCGATGAGAAGTCAATATGTCCCAGCAGGCTTGGGCGGGGATCACACTAGATGCGATGCATTCATTGCCCGCAGCTCCAAAGGACAAGGCTGAAGAAGGGGGATGTTGGTAATAAGATAGTGAGAGGTGTAGTAGGCAGTTTGATGGCGAAGTCCGACGGGTTGCGAAAATGTGGGAAAGTGAGAAGCGGGTCAGCGACTCAGCGGTCCAAGTGTGGATTCGTCCGTGGCGTCTCCCCAAAATGGGGGGAAAAGCGCCCCCGGGGTATTAGCAAGTTAATTTTTTTTTATTTGAAAGGGAAGCCTTTGATTGCCGTGCTTGTAGATGGCCAGAGCATTTGACCAGATGATGGAAGAAGACCTAGAACTTTGCAGCAAGGATGATGATTGAGGGGCGTTTAGCCACCGTCGAGCTGGGAGATTCTGGTGAAAATTCTCTGCTCTTCTGGTGCAAAGCCACCAAATCTTTCAGCGGTTTGAGAGTTGTGAGAAAGACAGACTATTGCGGGAGAATGAGGAAGGAGGATAAGGATGGGCGCAGGAGTCGTTCGTCGAGAGTCGACGAAGGAGGGCCGCGGGATGAAGGTCGAGTCGAGGGTCGCGGGTCGAATAGGCTAAATGAACTAGGTGCTCGTCAAGTCTTGTTCGTCGTAGTGGCACACAGTGGGTTCCAGACTCCATGGCGGCCTTCGCCCGGTGCCAGTTGACAGTTAGCTGCTCCGCTGGAAACAAAGAGGCACCGCCACAGTGGGAGAATATTTTAGAGGCAAGGAGGGCCACCACAAGATAGCGAGTGGCTGGATAGTACTGGGTATGATGGTGGCGGGTGGTGGTGGTGGTGATGGTGCCTGACGCAATGCCAAAGATCGTCTCTCAATACCACCGAATGAAATATGAGCTTCAAGAAGCCTCCAAACAGATATACGAGATCAAGTGGACGATGTAGATGACGGCGACAAGGACAACAACAACAACGACGACTGCGGGCAGTCTCCAGGAACTTGCACGTGACAAAAACTAGGCTGCATAGATTCACGTGATGTGCTGTGGGGCTCCACCCTCACAGGGCTGCAAATTCTCAGTTTGATGCCCATATCCAATTGACATGGTCCATTGCGCTCAATATTCCTCCATGCTCCTGACTGGACAGCTATGGAAGGATCTCAATTTCAGAAGCTAGCCTTCTCACCCCTCAAACTCCTGGGAACCTTTTCTCTATGAATCTCCTAGCTGAACGCGTGGCACATCTCGCGCTATCCACCTTCAACTCCCTGCCTCAAAAATGCAAACCACGCACTCTATCAGATGGCGAGACCGAATGGACACCAATGTCGGCGGTGGTTCTGGCAGAGGAAGGGCAGGATTCGCGTCTGACCTGTGTCTCGGTAGCCACGGGAACCAAGTGCCTCTCAGCTACTGCCTTGCCCAGATGCCAGGGCCTTGTAGTCCACGACTCTCATGCAGAGATTCTGGCTTTGCGCGGATTCAATCACTGGATACTTTCAGAACTCGAAATAATTCTTCAAGACCCGGCTCATCAATCGCCCTACCTTGAGTTCTCTCTACAAGACGACGCTGGGATGATTCAAGGTTGCCCGTTCAGACTCAAAGACAATGTGATCATCCACTTCTTCACTACTGTGGCTCCGTGTGGTGATGCGTCGATGGAAATCTTGATGGATTCTTTCCCTTCTAGCGACGCAACGCCATGGCCAGTTGACAGCAATACCACCACTCTACTACAAGGCCGGGGCTACTTTTCCCAGTTGGGCTATGTGCGTCGAAAGCCCGCCCGGGCAGATGCCGACCCAAGTGATTCCAAATCCTGCACAGACAAGCTCGCTGTCAAGCAGTTCACAAGTATCCTGTCTTTCCCGGCTGACCTGCTCATAGAGAAGACTCCGAATGCCTACATTAAAAGTATTGTGGTCTACGCTGATCAATATAATCCCGTAGGTTACCAGCGTGCATTTGGGCCGGAAGGACGCTTATCGGCCCTTAAAGCCACTGGGCTCTTCTTCACGATCGAGCCTTTACCTGCGGACTTTCCACGCTTTGCGTTCGAGAGGCGACTGCAAACTTCCGTCAACTCGAAGCAGTCAAAAGCAAAAACGAGCAACGTTGCTGCATTGTGGGTGCAAGGGACAGGTACCAAAAGTCCAGACGTGGTTGAAGTTCTCATCAACGGGGTGAAGCAAGGCTACAAGCAATGGGATGAAAGGTCGGCCAAAGCGAGTGTTGTCTCCAGAAGGGAATTATGGGCCTTTGGCCTGAAGATCGTCAATCTCCTTGAACGTCTTGACATCGCGAATAACCCCACCGACATACCTGGTCGGGGTTATATTAGCTGGCTCGGAATGTTGCAGAGAGGACTTTCTGCAAGCACATATGAAGAGGCAGAATCGTCAAATCTGAGAAAATCTTACAAAGAGCGCAAAATGCGTGTTACCCGCGTCCTGGATAACTGGCCCAAAAACGCGGGCGACAGCTACTGGAGCTGTAGCCAACCTGCCTAGCAGACTCACATTCCGCCAGGTAACGAACGTCTGGCACAGAATTCACGGTCTTTGCTTAACGACGAAGGCAGCCGCTGAGTGGATAACTACCTCCACACCTAACGAAAAAGAGCACTCCCTCAGTGCCTGCTTTCCGAAAATACAATTCTATTCATAAGGATGCCTATACTATTTCTCTTTCCGGACTTGGATTTTCAATATCTGTCGTCTCAGAGTACGCCGACTTCTTCGGCAACAAGCTTGAGCAACCGCCACTTATTTGAGAGCTGATTCAAGCATCCAACATGATGTTGCCGTTGAGCCCAGCTCCCGTATATGGGAGGAAATGGCCGGATGGAACACTTCCGGTCCGAGTCCTCCCAATAGTGGAAGAGCCCGACGAGTCGGCGCAGAGCACAAGTTCATCACAAGACCGAGTCCTGTGCGGACGCATCACAAGGAACAAGGTGGTCAAGTCAGCCACAAAGATGAAAATTGATGAAAGCCCAAAGGTATCTGTAGGTACGAAAGAGAGTGGTTCACCATGACCCGACACACTTGAAACTGAAGATGAGTGCTTTTTGTTCTTGGGGTACCAATTTGGCGCCAACCCAGAAGAGATCCAAAGATACGTTCGCGAAGCAAGAAAGCATCCACGGCGATCTTTGCGCAAATCACTTGGATCCGGGGGAGGCCGCGATAGCAATGGGACTCCAGAGAAAGGCACGATGATGACGACTGCAGAGATCCCCATTCCTATTTGCTTGCATGTCTCATTCAAATCGCTGAAGTCAAATGCCTCCGTGGCGCCGACGGTCATGATAGCGCAGCAGGATCTGCCTGATATAGGCGCACTCTGTGTACGGCCGAGGGACGAACTCTCAGAAGCCATTGGGAATCAGCTTTTCGAGACAAAGCATCCAAAGAAATGGGTCTTCGAGAGCAAGGCTGATGACAACGCTTTCTACAGGAGGGGCGGAAATTTTTCGGAGGTATGCTCTCAAGTTCGGGCCAAGAGAGTATGCCCACTCTTTTCCAATTCCTTAAGGAGACGAGACATGTCAAGGTTGCAAAACTGACGCAGGAGGAAAAGGCGAGCCAGGAAATGGTGAACTGTGGTGACGCAGCTTGCAACAATGAACCCGAGACCCCAGAACAGCCTTTGTCGGAGGAAGCTGCTATCGATGGATTCGTGGAGATCTACTTTTAGTAGTGTAGAAGTCGAAACTCAGGACGCGAAAGGGCTTGCAAGCACTGAAAAAGGCATTGCAACGTGACAGGACATCATCATAGCACATGAATGTTGATAGCATAAGTAGGAAGGGTCAAGAGAGGTGTATCCGGTTGCATTCTTCTACAACAACTCTGTCCGAATTCCAGTTTCTATCTGTTCTGCTTCTGGGTACCGTGGATCCCCCTTTCCGACCTTATTCATCCCTTCAATGTCGTGACTCGTTCAGTAGTCTTTCATTTCACATAGCCTTTAACCTCATCTGCCCTGGCCATACACTCTTCTAATGTCCGCCAAAACTTTGGTAGATCCAGTGTTCTTGGTATTCTCACACCTTCTCCATTCGGTGATTTTGTCGCCACTGTCCTTCCAGTCTGTTCCCCTTCCAAAATGACATCGACGTCCCATCTCTCGCCACCATTATCGTCGAAATCGATCCTAACCTGGGGATCTGGATGGTTCTCCAGCAACACAGCGACCGCAAGCGGATCATGCAGAGGCGGTCCGTCAGTGAGCCCAAACACTTCGGCATAGGTATGCGCAAAGAACATGAGCAGTTCATTAAACATCGTCCTGAGCTTCGTCGGTCCGTTGATCCCATTCAATAGCATGCGCTGGATTTCCGGCGTTGCGTACGCTTGGTGAGTCACATCTAGGGGAATCAGAGTCGTCTTCGACTTCAAGAGTGGGTTTTGAAGGACCGAACGTGCAGATTCCGGGTCGGCCCAAGTATTGAACTCTGCAAAGGGTGTGCGGTTCCCAGATCTGGCGTGGCTGGTGCCGGTGGTGTCGAGGTAAGGTTGGCCCATCTTCGCAGTAGTTCCTGATGTCAGCTGTGTTCCTGGAGAAGAAGGGTCTGGCTCAAAGAGTCCCGGTTTCAGAGGTATCAGGCGGTGCAAAATATATACTAGTCTCAGTCGTTGACCGCAACGGCCAGAGCAAAGGGAAACGTACCGAGACGTGAGTGAAGTCTGACCCGATTGCACCCCCCATTATAGCGAGGCCGGCAATGTGTTCGGCGACGTTCGGGAAGAGGGTGAAGAGCAGAGCAATATTGGTCAAGGGCCCTGTTGCAACGAGATATGGTGCGCCCTTGGGTTGAGAGAGGAGCGCATTACGCATCTCGAGGACGGCACTGCAGTGCGTCAAGGCGGAACGCGATGGTTCAGGAAGGAGGTCTGTCCCGGCCAACCCGCTCGCGCCATGAATATCAGGAGCGGTATGAACGGTACGACAGAATGGACGCGACAAGCCGGGGAAAACAGGGATGTCGGGTTTTCCGATCGCTTCCAAAACACTCAGAGCGTTGAATGTACATTTAGATAGGGGCGCATTGCCGTGCACCGTGCTGACCCCGATGAGGTTGAGGGATTGGTGATAAGCCGCAAACAGGAGAGCACATGCGTCCTGATGGAATAACAGGAGCTATGAGCATCTTTAAACTGAGAGGTATGAACCAACGTAACTCACGTCATGACCTGTTCGGGGGGAATGAGTAAGGGGGGCCGTGAGGGTTGGATGTTCACCTACCGGGATCGCAATCGAGCCATACAGGGAGCCTGGAGGAAGAAACCATATCCTCGCCCATGTTGAAATGCAGAGCAAGAGAGCATTTGTGCGAGGCGCGTCATTACCTGGAGGGAGGACTCCGTATTTCAACAAGGATGGACGTCGCCGTCACTCTGGTTTGATATAGGGCCTATATAGGAAGGTGCGCCGAGCTTTTCCCGCACCGCTCCCTCTCAGGGTGCCTCCAATTTGTCTTTTACCGAGAACTCATCCACTCGTCCACCTCCTTCTCGTTCGCAGCCTTGACAATTCCCCATCCACCAATCATACGTTGACACATCCTCTCGACACCCCTTCAGTCATCTAAACCGGTGAGCGAACCTCTGCTGCCCCCTGCATTGCCAGCGTGGCCAGCGGGAACATCACACTACGCTCGAGCACTGAACTACAAAGACCTGCGCAATGCTCCTCCACGCCATGGTCCTGACATGACCGCCTCAAGTTCCTCTCCTGCCAGACCACCCTTCCCGACCATAGCAACAAAGGCCTCCTCCACCGCTCAGTCGTCTCAACTGACTGCTGTCGCTGACAGCAAGGCCACTTCAGGCCCTCGGTCCACCTCTCGAGCCCCCCCGATCGCCACCAGAGCCCGTCAAGATGCTGTGGCTCCAGACCCTACCTCGGAAAGAGCAACTTTGTCCTTGATCAGAAGGACTTTGGTGGCAGATGGAAGTCATGGATCGGATCGGAGAGTGTCACCGGCACCAATTGAGGGCGACCTACCGCCACTTACCAGTTCCAATGAGGTAGATGTCCAGCTTTATGCAGTCGTTGCCATAGTCATTAAGGACTTTGTCAACTCCTGGTACTCCAAGATCACGCCGGACAGAGCATTTGTGGATGAGGTCATTCAGATTATTGCTCATTGCAGTCGCGCGCTGGAACAGAGGATACGGCAGATTGACATCACGGAATTGATACTGGACGAGCTGCCTGTGGTGGTTGAGAGACATATTGCTGGTGAGCAGAAGAGCATGAAAAGCCAAGTTGTGTCGTCCGGATATTGACCATGTCTTTCTCTCGCAGCCTACAGGACGGCCACTACTGCTCAGGCTACTCTACAATACGGCGAAAATCCCCGACGAGTCTATCACGCCCTAAACCCCCATCCAGCCCTCGACCCTTCTCTCCCGCCGGAGCAGCAACGAGCCCACGAGTCTGCCTACCGACAACTTCTTGTTCAGGGGGCATTGGCCGTCCTCCTACCAACCGAAGACCTGGCAAACGCATGTCTCAGAACACTGGTGAGCGATATCATCTCCGACCTCATCCTCGGACAGGCACTGGCGCAGAAACTCTGTGAGCCGTGGTTCCTGCACGGGACTGTCTCAAGGGTTGTGGAGATAGTGACATCGCCTCCAACGCATGCGTCTCCTGCCAATGCCGTCGATGACCAGAAAATCCTTCAGCCAGATGGCCGCCAAAGCCGGCTGGAGCAGTTTGGCCTATTAACTTCCAATACGGCCACTTCAGAGAGTTATTCGTCAGACCGGCACCAATCATCTCTTAGTGCGTGGTTCTGGAGACTGCTTCAGTACGCCTTCATCGCATATCAGTTGGTGCGGTTCATCCTCGTCGGCCTGGCTTACGCGCACCATCTACCCCGGAGACTCCGGCATCATCATCACCTTCTCCTCGACGGCTCCACTTCATCGCCGTCCAAACACAAGTTGCCCGTCTCGTCGACAGGGCAAATATCGGACCCCGATCATCGATCCCCGCGAGCAGTGATCCATTACAGGCTTTTCTCCTGCATGTCTACCATGCTCGATTTGACCGTCCGCATGCCTTGGCTGGCAGGCTCGTTAGGGTTCTGGCAGCACATTCTGAGCGCGGGCCCGGGCAAGTACGGTGCTGCAAATTCCACACTGGACAAGTAAGTGCCGTCGCTCTCCTTTTTCTCCCTTGACCCTCAGCCTCGCCTGTGTTTCCTTGATCGGTTTTCCCCATCCCCTGCCCCCATCTGTCTCACTACGGGGGCTTCGGCAAAGTTGGGATCCTTTTTTTATCTTGGGATAATGCATGAATGTCTGGTCATCTGATGGATGAGAGTTGTTGCGAGCCAATGGTCCTCGGTATCAGCATGTGCGGGCTACAATCCTTTTGCTCGCCATGCCCCTATGTGAATCAGGAGGGTGTGGACCTCGAGACGACACCAGTATTCAGCCAATCGCGACCGTTACGAGTAATGACGGTCACGCTTGTGTATCGTCACAAGGCTCGATACAGGCTCCCATTGGACAGACCTCGACCCTCACGCCTTGCCAAATTCAACTGGTTTGTTTCTCCCTGGCTGCCCAGGTCAGTGGTGGTCATGCCCCCCAGATATCTTGTTCTCTGTTGCTGGTGGAGTTCGCCCGCACATGTTGTTCGACCACTATACGCCGACGCCATGGCCATGTTGACAAACCCTACCTTGAGAAGATCGACCATCGTGACGATCTTCACGAAGCGACCACTTCGGGGCAGGCGGCCGAAAAAGCAAAAAGATAAGTTGTTGTCGCCAATCGAATGCCCGGATTTATTGGGCTTTTTCTCGCTTCCCTGCAAAATGATGGTGCCAATTTTCGAACAAGGAGGGCGACATGGATCGGCCCCGCCCTCCTTCCCTTTGTACTTGGTATGTCTCCGTCGACTTGCCCTCCCCGATGCCCTCGCCCTGCAATTCAACCAGACAGCACCAATTGCTGTCACGCAACTTCCTCAGTCCTTAGTCTCGACTCCGAATCAGCAGACTGGCCCCCGAGTCCAAGTCTCGACTTGACCAAGGCAGAAATCTCACCAGAAAGAGCCATTTTGAGGTCGCTTACCAATGAAACACCTCGCTCCTCTGGTATTTTCGAAAAGCTGCCAGCTAGCGCCCCCGATTGGTCTCCTCACGGCGCTTTTCCACAACTGAATTCGAGTCTGATAAAATGCGGCCTCCCACTCTCCTCAGCGGTAGTCGTCGGCTTCCTTCGGCACGTGCCGAGGGACCATCGAGTTCATCAGGCACTGCGATAATGACCTTGCAAACAATATTCTTTTTACGTCACAACAGCCTTCCAACCCAAGATGTTGGACAGTCAGCCCCTCCTCGCACGTCGACCTGTTATCTGTCAATGTCAGTGAGTCTTGTCGGCCCTGCAATCGTCAACGGTTCGGATGGGTTCTTGTGTCACCCCGAGTGAACTTCGACGGGAAACTAGTCTGCGTCTCCAGTTCCAGAGACCCTTAGACTTACCGACTTCGGCTTGGGCATCCTTTTTGCAATATTCTGCACCCAGCAAACTCCACCCAACCTAATTTTCTTTGCAAGTGGCGCTTCGAGACTCGAAATCAATGGCTGGTCAGCTTTCAACAGTGGGCACTTTGTACCACACCCTGAGTCCTGCATCATTTGGGCCGAAAGATTTGATGACCCTTGATCCTAGTTTCCTGGTCATTCGAAGCTGTTGCATCCTGCATGCAGAAACACTAGTTTCTACTCGCAGTTTGCGCATCACTTCAAGCCGTTCTTGCAACTTGCCGCGGGCTAGAACTGCGCCTGGATGCATTGGGCTCTTTTCCCAGGCATTTTCCATGGTCCTGGCTGGCCTGGATCACCAGGAATTTAGGCCCTTGATCTGCGCAAACAACCACGCCAGCGCCAGTCCTGTGAACACATGCTCGCGACATTGTCTGCACGGTCTCCATGGGCGGTTTTCGGCGCCGTCCGGTGCACCTCCTGAGGCCCAGCGCCTTGTCCCTCCTGCTTCAGCGTAACGACGTCAAGGTCAAGGTCACGTGGATCTCCTTGGATAGTTTTGGAAGTGTTTGGGTACTGAGTGATGGGGCGTTGATGGGCAGCGATGAGGCAAATTGGGCAGCATTGAAGTGATGGTGGTGTTTGGGTGCTCGAGGTCCGCCGGGTCGATCTCCCGAAACCTCGCCTCGGTGAAGGGCGAAGACAGGGCGATTCTGCCAACATCGAGCCACAAGGATCGACCGGCGACGAGAATGGCCCTCTGACAGAATTGATTGAACCGGGTGGACAACATCACTGACTCCTTCAAACTCGCAACGTTGCTCTGCCTCTTTTCTAAATGATAATGATGTCTTTTTTGTGGGCGGTCTTTGCTGACAACTTGATCTTCCTTCTACAGGTTCCTCTATCACACAATCTCGACCCGCCTCTTCTCACCGGCACTGATCCCACCTCTCCTACTGCAGATCCGCGTCCTCATCTTTCCCAACAACACTCTAGGCCCACCTCCGCCGCCTCCTCCCTCTGTAGAAGAGGCACGCAAGATCCGCTCCAAGGCCGCCTCTGACATTCTCTCCTTGGTCCCTAGAACTGTGGGTAAGACGTTCTTCGCCGTCAATGACGCCGAGAATGCAGAAGATGAGGAGATGAAAATCCGGATAGAGGTCGAGGAGAGGCTATTGGGGTGGACAGACGATGTTGAGATGAACAAGTACCTTGTCTATGCCATTTTGGAGCACGTTCTCCTGAAGCTTGTGCCAGAAATGAAAGATAAGACGCCCTCTGCGCTTTTGGCTGAAAGAGGCGTGGATCTACTTGCATCAGAGGAGGGGGAAAAGGTTGAGGAGTGGCCTGATGGTAATGGAGCTTGAAGTTGGGCGTCGGATGGACAGCGGAGGACAAGTTTCCAGAGGAGGGCCAATGTTCCAAATCTGGACAATATGTACAGGTACGAGGAACCGAAAATCTTGCTGTTGTTTTCAGCCTTTGAACTGAAGTCGCTTTCACTTTTCCCTGAGTTTGCTAAGCTGAGACTGTTATCGGTGGACCTTTTACGACAGAGGGTCGCAGAGCTTGTCCAAGAACATCCTTCGTTCCAGCAGCCACCCTCTCTTCTCTACTCTTTCCTTCTCTTTACTCTACTTAAATTCACATCCATTTCCCCAGTGTGTGGAGACCCAAAAGCGGAAGAAAAACGGCCCTTCTTCGCAGACAGACATATCCTGATTCAAGCCTAGCCAAAAAAAGGCCAACCATTCTTGAGACTCCTCCTCCCCGTATTCACGAAGCGACTATCCTCCCCTCCTTGCGGGCAGTTCGGGATTGATAAGGCTCAACATAAATATATATTTATAAGTACATTTATATGAGCAGCTCCTAGACTGTGCTGTACTGTACTGTCTATTCAGCCAACCACCCCCAAACCCCTTCCTCCAGGACAGCACGATCAATTCAGCGAGCGAGCGAGCGAGGACGACGACGAAGAAAAGATACGAAGGAAGAGAAGTACAAGCGCAGATATGATCTATCTCCCTTTCTCTTCTCTCTTCTCCCCTCTCTGTCTCTTTGGTCCCATATGTGGGTAAGAGAAAATGAGAGGAGAAAAGAAAGAAGAAGTTCGTCGGTGTCTACTCACACGTTTTCAAGCTATAGGGGCCTCACTTTCTATGTCTCGACACCATCTCCTTCCTCTCCTATCCTTCTCTTTCTATCCTGTATGCGTCTGCGTCTCCCCTCTCCCTTTTATCCTCACCCCTTTCTACCTAGACAGCAATACATATCTCATCACGATCAAAAAGAGTGGCTGGAAAGACACAAAGAAGCAGGCAAAAGGCAAAGACTCAGGGACAAGAGAGAGCAGAGAAGGGCTCAGGATCCTCGGCCCCTTTCTCTGCGGCAGAGAGGAACAAACTACAAGTCGACAACTGGGAAACTTGAAAGGAAAAAGCAAAAGAGATGGGGAAAAAAGATCGAGATTCTTGTATTTCCTTCTCCATGTCCCCTGTGGATTGGACTATACTGCGGTTGCCCTTTGTCTTATTTTCATTTATGTATTCCCCCTTTGCTCATTCCCCGTCATTTCCCTTTCTTTCCTTCCCCTTCCCTCCCTGCCTGCCTGCCTGCCTGCCTGCCTGCCTGCCTTTTTCTTCGCGGGCCTTGCCCTCTGTAGGAGCTTGGAAGGTGATGATGGCACGAAGCTGCAGCCATTGGGATTGAGAGGATTAGAGACTTGAGGGATAGAAGACAAACATGAAAGGGGAGAGGAAGAGTCACGCTGAACTCCAGTATATACACAAAGCAAGCTGGGCTTTTTCACCTCCTAACTGACAAACAATACTCCCGAACTATTTTCTAGTACGAGGTGAGTGAGATTAGTTCTGCTAGGTCTTGAGGATCAAGTACAGGGAGGGCAATACGGCATACCCTACCGAGACCCCAGACCCAAGACCGGGCGCAGGCAGGTGAGTGAGAGTCCCTCTCCCCTCCCCCTCCCATGGGCCATTCCCACTCCCACTCCCTCCACCAGGCGCACCCTAGGGACTGGGAGGGGGTATCGTGCCCCCGGGCCAGTTGGTCACCTAAGTGGCTGCTGATTGCGCCCTCTGCAGAGTGTGAGAGCTCAAGCCTGGGAGACAAGGACGCACCAATGGCGTTCTCTTCAAATTTACATCGTCTCTCGATGGTTATCCCCCTTTCTGAAGCAGACAACACAGCTGCTTGGGGAAACAATCGGTTATTCTTGTGCCTTGTTTTTCCTTTCTCTCACACACACTCTCTCGCCCCTAGTCTATCCTTTGGAAAACAGAGACTGCACACGGTTCCTCGGCGCCTCTCAGACCTGGTAGTCTGTCGTGTCAGTCTGGTTCAGTTTTCTTTCAGTCTTCGACTCGAAAGCTAGAGGGGAATCGCAAGAAAGTAAAGGCCATAAAACCTCACCAAAAAGGGGAGGCATGACGGGCGGCAAAGTTGAAAGAGACACAAAAGTGTGCAAAGAGCAGGCAGGTCTTCGGTAAATCTCGTTGAGACCGCTCAGTGAGAAGGGGTCTCGCATCAACACCTTCAAGACAATTATTTTGCTTCCATCACCCCCTTATATTGAAGAGCTTGCTTGTCTGAGCTCTGAAACAATTGTCACTGTTCTGGTATGCTTATCTTCCCTTCTCTTCTGATGTCCAGTTGAACAGATCGTGTCCCCTTGAAAGACATTATTTCTTGCACACTTCGGAGAAACTGACTCTCTATCAAGAACCAGATGAAAAGGCGGTCCTATCAGGAGTTTCTCTTGGGGATTCGGGTATTTAGAGGCCTGTCAAGGCAGTTGTGAGGCTTTGGACCTTGTGTAGCTTCTCTGTCCTGTAAGCTCGTCTGGTTCGCTCAAGTTCAGCAGAAGAGGGGGAGACGGTCATCTCAGCTCTGTAAGCTTCAATCCAGCCAGGACATCCTCTGAATGTTCTGTTTTTCTGGCGTAGCCGATAGAACGAAATGAATGCGGTCTCCAAATGGTACACAGTCTGTCGGCGACGCCCTGTCTGTGAGATCAGCCGTTCTCAGGAGAACGTCAGTCGTTTCTTGTGCCTGCATTGGATGGAGCAACTTGTCGCTTGAATTGTAGAGCTCAAGCAGGAACAGAAGCCATCACTTCGATCAGAAACCCTCGATTGGCAGCAGTGTCCACCCAGTCGTCTGGATCGACTGTTATTCTTCAGGTCTGACCTTGCTTTGGCGGTGCGGGCAATGTCTCACAGCCAGAATTTGACTTTGCGGGCCATTTCGCCACTCAGCTCTTCAATTGGGGAGGCTGATGTATAGCCCGCTCTCAGCTCTTTTGGGCCCCGGATCTCCACCTGGCGTGGTATGAGCATCACTCGATGTTCGTTTTAGGGAGCTTTATTCGTCGTCTGGGGGCGTCGCTGTCTAGTAAGCGGGAACGAAGTCCCTCCAATGGAGGAATTGAAATGGAGACATTTTCTTCTGACTAGACTGAGACCTTTCAGCAGTTCCATTGTTGGAAATAATCTGAGCTCACCGTCTTCTGCAGCTTCATGAGTGGACAGAGATGGTCCAGTCGTAGCGCAGATTCAGGAAGATGCTGTGATATTGGTACAAATATTGTGGTATCTTTTGGCATCGCCGTTACAGCCGGGCTTCCCCTTTGTCGGCGACCCAGGGCTCGCCTCGATGCGACTGTCCTCCCGTCTATTCGGAGAGGTGTATACGGCGCAGAAACGAAGCTCTGAGGCGTGCGTGGACTGTTCTCGCCTGCGGTAGTATCTGAACGTGGTGGCGACATGAAAGATGATAGACGGAAGGTCCGAGGGCCAGGAGACGAAGCGTGGGGGGTGCTCAACAGAACCCGGTCCCAAGGAGCAGGGATTGCCAGACAAGAATCTCGCGACCATGGAAGCAGAGATGTTGTCTCCCTCTCGGCGAGGGAGAGAAGACAGACGCAGATGGGGACTTCGCACAGCCGGGGAATCTTGACCATGGTCAGCCAGTGCCATTGGCGTTGATAGTCCCGCGACTGTCGGCGCAATTCATTTCTGTCCTGTAATAGAATCTCGTCCTCGCTCAAGGAAGAGCTGTATATTTCGGATGGCTCACATTGCTTTAGCCTCCCGGTCTCCCCTTTTCTCAATGCCACGCCTCTCTCTCTCTCTCTCTCTCTCTCTCTCTCTCCTTATGCATCCATGCCAGAAGTATTTGTTCGTCGCCGTACGATTGGCCATGGAGCAACGCGTCACGGAGGAGCAGCAGAAAGTACCCCGAATTGCTTCGTCGGTTCTTGAAACCGGCTGGGGAAGCCGCTGTCAGTAACTGGAACAGGAGTTGCGAGGGAAAGGCAACAGAGCCGTTGCCACGAGGCACTCTCAATGCTCGACGCTCAACGCTCAACGCTCATGCCTGAAGCAACTCGAGGTCGTCGACGGGCGGAGTGCGATCGGCAGGCACTTGGACGAAGAGTCGAGACTCGAGACTGACCCCTGTAATGGATCTCCTAACACAGCCTTGCTAGCCTCACTCCATCCGAAGTTTTCGGATGCGTTTTAGGTCATTGGCAGCATCTCCCGTGATCGACAGGATCTGCGCACGTCTCGCCGTGACATGGACATGGCGGATAAGGGCTTCTGCATTGTTCTTTTGGACGTTTCGTGGGTTGAGGTTGAGGTTGAGGTTGTCATTGCTAACAGTATGTATCTCAAAAAAAGCCTCCCAAAGCTTGCGCTGCCAATGTATATGCCCCTAGCCCGACATTGGACATTTTTGCTGCACTGTCGCTGATGCTGACGCTGCTCCCCTTCAGACATATGGCGCTGGTAGAATGCTGCAGCATGCGACCGGACACCGTACACCACAAGACCCCTTCATGTGCACCTCTGTCATGCATGTCTGCTTTTACACGTTGCCGCGTTCACAGGAAAACGTAGTTACTGGTTCAAGAAATCCCCCAGCGAGGGCTGGAAGAAGAGAAAGTTATACACTCATGGTCCAATACCCCCCGTATTGACCCTCCCTCATGTCCTTCCCCCCCCCGGAATCCATCCCCGTTTGTGCACCCACGGCCTAGTTCACAATTTCAATACAAGCAAAGAGAAATGGAAAACATACACAGCTCTGACATGTACTGGTGGCGTACATGATCCATGGTCGGATAACCCCATCGAACTGGACGAGAGACCGACAGAAGAGAAGAAAGAAAATAAGAAAAATAGAACCCAATTTCCGCCATAAATGTCATCCAGTGGCTCGATCGCTCGCCTGCACGCTCCTCTTTCTTCCCACATATACATGCCTTCATACAATGAATAAGGAGATTTCGCCTCGGGGCTGGGTAGTCTCTATGTGAGTGGTCGTCTGCGATCGTAGGCGGGTG